CTTTGATCTGAACCCGGCTAAACGCCGTGACCTGTTTGACAGCCCTTGTCACCACTTCGTTCGTCTCAGCTATGGTCCCAAGATGGATGTCCTGAAGAAGGGTCTGGACGGCATTGAGAGGGTCATCAAGCGGGCGCGCGAGATCGGCGTCAAGAAGCAGTGGGAGGACGAGGTTGCCATTCAGGATGATTAGATTTCGTCTGAATTCGAACCTCAACAAAGAAGGCCCTTCGATGATTTATGAGATGTTGTTGCAGTAGTTTTGATCCGTCTGGCTGTGCCTGACGAGTATTTTAGCATCAGTGATATACGAGTTTCCTTTGCTACTATGAGATCGCCATTTTGTAGATTGTATTGATAGTAGTGTAATTGGAATTGCGTGGGTTTGGGTTCTTTTGGAAGAATGTTTTTAAGCACATCTGCTCATAGTATGTAACTAGGAGAAGAGGCAGAAGCCAGTAATCAACCTCGGTGATATGGGAGACACTATGTACGTTGAACGTACGGAGTAGACTTTGCGTGATTTTCTAAGTGGTGCATGAGACCGACAGGGATCCGCAGATACCTAGGTAACGAATTCTTCCATAAATGTACTCCGTAGTAAGGTTCTACAGTATAGCTTCAAGTTTGAGGCAAAATTCCCGAGGTCTTTTCACTAATATCGCCAAACGAAAAACTAGACTCAGAAAGTTCTACTAGGGTCGCCACCTATACGATTGATCGATTCTCACAATTCATCCATATGGTCTTCATCTCTTTCCTCTCGTGCCGTCATTAATTTGCGACCGCCATCAAGCGAGGAAAAGTATTCCAAGGTAGTATACGAAAACGAGAGGGAGGAGCCAAGGAATATTCATATTACCAACACGGTATTATAAATACTCTAGGCTGATACCACAATACATACCGTACTGAGAATATACGCCATGAAATACAAGACGGGGGAATAAACCCCCACAGCCACTCAGACCGCGCGGATGATTTGCAACTAACTTGGAACAGGAAAGGCCACGAGAGCAAGTGGGCCAATGGCTGGCGGCAGTGACCGCTATTCGTCTAGTTTTACTGAAAGTAGTTTAGCTTGGAGCGTGAAGTGGATTGGTGTTGGTGGGAAACCAGCAACCACACATACCGACAGTATTACTAATATACAGTACACACTATCTCAAAGGTAACGGGAATTTAATGCTCTGGTGTACAACCTCACCACCCTTTTCCTAACCAGGTAGCCCGGAGAGGGCCCAGCTTCCAACGAACCGGAAGATGAAACTAAATCTCATTTTGCCGACGAGAGTTCGATCTGACAGCAGTCTCCCCACTTCACCACACGGTTCTTGACTCGTTTCTCTGCCAAGCACTGCGTGGGAAAAGAAAACCCGCGCTAAAGCGCATGATCGATAACCCAGCTTAGTTGCTCCGGCTGAGTATACCGCCGGTCGGGGTGCGAATGTCATTAAGTGGAGATATTCTGGCAGCTCCAGCAGCTCCAGTAGCAGTGGCACTTCTTTGATCTGGGCCCTCGACCCTTTCATTCAAGTACCTTATGGTATGCTGGATCTATGCCATGTGGTCCATCGTTATCAATATAGGGATTTACGTCTCATCCAATTATAGACCCCGGACAATCATTTTGAAACTCTCGCAACCACTTCTTGACCTCTTGACCCCCTCAATCGAAAACAATAGAGTTGCCGAGAGGGTTCAAAGGTTTGGGTTCGGCCTGAGCCGCGACACAACGCAACCTTCCCCCACCAGTCGCGTACATGCACTATGTACTGTTATGTATATCTGGTACTGGTTACTAGTACTATCCGTACCTCAGTCGGCTCGGCTCCAGTGGGGTTTGTCGTGTGGGATACATATGTCGATCGCTCGTATCTTGAGCAATTCCTGCCTCATGTGGCCACGGGACTGTTTCTCAATTGATTCCGCACGGCCTCGACCTCTGACCCTCCCCGGCTCCATCAAAGCTTGTTTTTTTCTGTTTCCCTGGCCAGGAGATCGATCTAGGCTGAAAACAGCAAATGCCATTCGGATCATCATGAAGAGGTGTCAGGTTGGACGGGGATGTGTTACACTGGTCTCAGTCCTGGTCTTGACTTTGACCTTGGCCTTGGCCCTGGTCCCTTTCATTCACTACTTCTTCCTCCCTTTCATTATTTCCTTCTGCTTGAGTTGAAAGACTCGATCAAGATGACTCAAAATGAGCAAACGGCGGAATTTTCCAAGTCGACCTTAAGGATTTATTCCCAGACGGAAACTGTTTCCGTACCTAGTACATTATTTTCTAATAGAGGAAGTATGGCCGGGCGGGTTTCGAGACGACAGCCGACTTGATGTCCCAACTGGGGATTACTTTGAACCAGTCAGCGTTTACCTTGCGGGCTTGACCAAACCTCTGGGTTCCGTGGACAAGTCAGGGACAATGTCTTTCACTATTTCACTTCATCTCGTTCTCCGTACAAGTGCCATACATGGCTCCATCGTTCCAGCAACCAGGAACCCAATCTGCGGGCCTAGTGGACCCCGGGAACGGTCAAGTAGCGTACTCCGCAGTGTATCTTTCGGTTACACCTAGTATGTATGTACGGAGTATACATACTGTACAATCTGTTCTCTGCTTTTTCTTACCCTTCCAAGGTTTACACTTTACACACGACGGGACGCACCCACCACTCCCTGGTGCCTCCCCCAGAAGAGCTCCTCTTCCCATCCAACGTCGCGCGGCCCAAGCTCCTTCAGCTGAAAATCTGCAGCTTGGGATTGGACAGACGTGAAAGGAGCTTCTGCATTTTCCCCAGTGCTAGGTCGATCGCTTGATGGATCGTCTTTTCCCCCTCCCCTTTCCCCTTGGTCTTGGCACTCTCCATGTTTACCCCTTGCGTGGTGCATGACTTGGGGGAGTCTCAAAGGGATGGGTCGGAGATTCTCGGAGTTTTCTCAGAATTGTTTAACACTTAGCGCTATGTGTGCTGCATATCGGTACCGATCATTTCTATCTGTCGTGTGACATAGGGCAAATTCTTTCAACTTATCTTTTACTCTGTACTCTCTGTCTTTGCATGGGCTATCTCTCATCTGCCTCTTTTTTATTCTTTTCCCTTTTTTTTTTTTTTCTTCTTCTTTGCGGTAATTCTGTTATCTTCTTTTTCTCTTTCTAATAGTATCTTTCAATATTACCATATATATTCCAAACAGTATCTCAACGCCAGCCTTGTTCTCCACCGCCCCGCAGCGCGCCAATACAAGCGACAAGAACTCGGCGCCTAGAACGTCGGAGTTAGGACTTGGCCGAGGTGCAACTTTCTTACTAGCTTGAACTATGATACGTCACTGCTCGGCTGGACGAGACGGGGCCAGGGAATATCCCTGTTCCAGACCCCAACTGCCAACCCCCTTTTGGTCAAGACAGCACTAACACCGGAAATAGAGTGCGAGGTTGAGTTCCACCTCCTGGAACCCATCCCCGCAGATCGTTCTCTCGCTTGGACTTCATACCCGTTTCTGATGTGATGAGCTGAGATGAGATGAGATGAGTTGACCTTTCTATTTCAGAATTCTCCCCCCCAAGTTGACTACTCCACGGATTGTAGACAATCTAATAAGCGGCAAGCTGCAGTCTCAAATGACCAAGTACCATTCAAAGTTTCCCTACTGCACACTCCATCCTTCATGTGTCCAATTAAATGCACTTATGCTGTACATACATGCCTGCATCCACAAGTATAGTGTGCATTACTCCGTACTAGTCTCCGTAATGGAGATACCGAAAAGTCGCCTGCTGGCCCCATTGTACCCAACCCCTTCAACCTATCACTCACTCTGATTGGCACTCGATTCGCCAGGCGCTTGGCTTTTCCTTGTAGCCAATCCAGCTCACTAAGAGGGTGGGCTACGATCGCCCGAGATCGAGAGGGGGAGGGTGGCCAGCTAGCGTCGCACGCGATGATTTGCCTTCATTAAGTATGTCGTATTGAGAAGGGTGGAGTGGCCAGCGTCTCGCGTATCAGCGCGCGCGAGAGAGAGGGAGGGGGGCCGTATTCAAAGCTACAGTACAATATACCGCCAAGACAACCACTTGGGATAGTACGGGCGCGCGATGCAACTAGGTGCAGAAACGGTGATCCTGTGGCGCCGTGGGCCTCGGTGCTAAGAGTGGCCCTAGATGTTATGCGGGTTTCCTTGTTTCAGGTATTGTTGGCAGTAGTGTCTTTCTGTCGCCATGCGGGATGCCTGGGGCGCCCGTGGATATTCTCATCCCGTGGCTAGTTTTCTTCCGATCATTTTCTATCCGTACATACATGCACTACTACGATCAGTCGATCACTAGTGATGACGCCCGATGATCGGTGTTCGGATCCGAGTCTTCGGTGAGACATGTTGGTATTAAAAGGAAGGTTGTATTCGAGGTGGCGCGGTTGTTCATAGTGACCTTATACACATGACGGATACTTCCATATTTGAGATGCTAATTTGCATACTATCATCAAAGCCGGTGAGGAAATTGAAAATGGAAATGCCCTGCGAGCAGGGAAATGTGAAACCACGGTCTTGGGTATAGATCCACCCTAATATTACGGTCGCTTCCTAGTCTGTAGGCGAGTCGCCCTAAGGAAATGAGTTGGACAAGGGATCCTGGTCTTGCTTGTCGGCTCATCTGCATGTCGCTATCGCCATCAATGTGCCCAAATTATACCCTAGGGTGGCATGCACCGACGATCCTAGTGCTCCAGTCTAGTATCTAGTGGAAATTAGGTATCCTCGATCATTCCAGAGTATTTGGGCGATGAGTAGCGATTTCGATTCTGAATTACTTCTTTGCCATATCGGGTTGATGCGCGAAATAGAACGCAGTGGCTTGAATTGCCTCGGCTATGTTGATATGTACCCTCAATATGAACTGTACAGAGTGTAAAATCGGACATTAAAAGTAACTACTGCTGCCCATCCGACAACCCGATATGGCGGTGAAATCATAGCGATCCCATTAGTCCGTTCGTCTAGTTCTGAAGCAAGTACTCCGGACTAGAAAACGGCGATCCTTTAGACCCAGCCGTGGGACCTGTCGGGTGGATGTGATGCATACATTCGATTGGTGGCAGGGGTGGGATTGACGTGAGCTTGCTCCGATCGAGGGTTGGGTCAACCCCATCGGCGTCAAAACTAGCCCCAAAGCTGAAATGAACAGCGCCACGCAGCTCCATCCTGGGGAAAGACGAGCACCGATCAAATTACTGGCGGCAGATAGATCCCTTTCTTTCCCGATGGCTGCGACTGCCCTATCTCCGGAGTCATTACCCCCCATCAATAATCAACCTCCTATTCCCTTTACGACAGCCGTTGTTGGAAGAACCGCCGCCAAGTTCAGTATACTGGTACTGCACTGCGCAGCTCAGGCCTCCTGTAACCGCGACTGTGGGGAACCAACTCATTCAGCCTCAATTCCTGGGAAACGAACCCTCCAACCAGAACCAAAACTCTCCGAGCGCAGGATATGTACATATGCGTCCACTGACGTCGTTCGGCCTCAGGGGCTTACCTTGAAGCGTTTCCTACGGCTAATGCATTGCCAGGTACACCCAGCCGTGCTGCCCGAAGCGACAATCTACTAGCAGGGCTCAAAGGTTAGCCCCCCTGGCCTCTGTGCCTTCCGACGATGAGGGATTAAAGATGTTTTATTCCGACAAGCCTCGAATCTCGAGTACACGTACTTACCTAGGTAGCGTAGTCACATACATAGTTAGTTGGTAGTGCCCAATCCCTGTCACGATCTGCGCCCTCCCTCCACCATGAGTGGGTTTATTTCGGCCCGTCCGGAGACTCCGCATTTACTACTCTGTACGATGGATTCATATGCTTTGCTTTTTGCGTTTCTGTTCTTTTTCGGTTTCATTTGGTTCTGGTTGGCCCCCAACCCACATGAAGAAAATTTTGTTCCCCAGCCGCTATTTGACCTAAACGATGTCGTAATTTACTAATTCTACAAACCAATCCTTAGCTATCGTGTTTAGGCAAGTGAAGGCTGTACTTTCTTCGAGGCCAAACTAAACCTAAAACCACGCCAATCATCAAGTCGAAACTAAAATAGAGGGGAAGAAAACGAAAATCAGAGCATAGCTTGGAAAGCAAAGTCAGTTAGACACCGGAAAATAATAGATTACTCCCTACGTCGTAGTAGTTGCATAGCCCCGTCCGCTCTTCTCCGGGGCAGGTAGAATGTCCACTATTCAGATACCACTTCTAAACTCCTCTCAAGCGCAGCCGACACCATCCTCGAATTGTAAAACGATCAACGGGGAAGCGGTGATGGAAGCTGCATTTCAAGTACAACAACCAAGGACGAGATCAAGTTTGCTTTGTGCTCTGTATCTAAGGTTCGGACGAGTTCGCAGTTTATTCGGCCTTCCTTTGTTTAGCATCCGTGCTCATTCTTATTTTCTCATTCCTCACGCTTTTATGTAGGTACGCCCGTACATCCATGTAACTACTGTAATTTCATTATTGGAGATACCACCTTGTAAATGCCAATCCTGGCAAGTTTAGTAAGTCCATATAGATCCCACGAATCGCAACTCACCCGGCTTGCCATCTGCAGTTCTAGCACTGTACATGTCTCACAAGGTTGCGAGCGCTCTCACACACACACACACACTCTCTCTCTCTCTCTCTCTCTCTCTCTTTTCTCTCCCTGGCATCGTCATATTGCCACGATAGACTCATCACTTGTACAGATGCGCCTTCTGTAGTGTCGATCTGACAAGCCCACGCGTGCATACTGTGCGTACCAGTGGCGATCCAGCCAAGGGGGGGGGGGGGCAGACGTAAGTGTACACTATAGATTTTTTTTTCTTTCTTTCTCCGTTTCACACTAGACTCCTGCATTCCACATAAAAACCTTCAATGTTGAATGCGTAATGAAATCACGAATATAGTGGTTATTTTCGTGTTGCCTTTCCAACTAGTCCCTGTTAGTAGGTTGCTGATTGGGATTTTGGAACATTCTTTGTCTCTCACAGTTCGCCGCCGCCTTCAGACCCAACCAGACGGTTCGCCTCGGAACTCTCCAAACTCAACGGAAATGCGGACGTCGCACCCTGGTCTCTCCTTTCTCGTTGCTCTGGGCCCCTCTGGTAAGCGATTGTGACCGCACGAATGAGAATGCATCACCCTTTGTTAGTTAGGTCAACAAGGACCTCGCCGTTCTCCCAACCTGACTCTGAAAGCCTTGGCTTGACCAACCAAGCCCCACTTCCAAAGCCACGAGTCCTGCACGCCATGCATTCCTCGGATCGTAGACCAATCTGGGCGATGCCTTCATTGCCTGTCAGCGCGAAGACAGAAAAATGCGAGGGATGATTTCTTTTTGGCTTTGGGCTTTGGGGGTGTTTTTTTTTTTTGGTTTGGCTAAGCTGGAATCAGCGACAGCGCGTACGGAGTGAACACTCCGTACTTCGTCCTCTACACCAGAGTTGGTGGGTGTACCTGTCCTGGATTGATTGAAACTTATGAAATGATTCAGGACAGGCCCACTCGGCGTGTCTCGGCTCTTATCTAGTGGTTCTGGGGAGGGGAGGTTGGCGCCACAACATCGTAATCATTGGCTGATCGGTCCATCGGGAATTAGATGCTGTTTTTTTTACAAAGTAAAGCACCAAGCAGGTTGTTGGAATATTTTGCCATCGTCTTATGCGAAAGTTCACTCATCAGAATTTCTTCGTACCTCGTAGAAAGAAGGGAGGAAGGGCTAAAATGAAAGAGACCCCAAGAAGTAAAGGAAAAACGAGTAACACATCTCATGCCCCAGGTATCAAGGAAGACAAAGCAGGCGCAAAGTAGAAGAAAACATGGATAAGGAATAGAGTAAAATGGAAGAATGAATCCATAAGAAAAAAAAAAAGGTGTAAAACGTCTTCCCGCTCCATTTAATGAGACATAGAAGATGACCAAATGGAATAAAGAAACCGACCACAAAAATTCTGAGAGGAGAGGGAATCCAAACAAAAAGAAAAGCTCCCGGGAAAGCCGAGGCCAATAAAGCCTTAAATAATAAATAGTGAAAGAGAGAGATAGAGGTAAATAAAGTAAATGTAAAGAGACGAATACAAACTCGAGAGATGCTGGAGTGTCCCACCTGTTCTTGAAACGCATGCAGGAACATCAACGAAACTGGGAATCGGAAATCGGGAATCGGGACATAGAAAAGTCGTGACGGGCATCAATCGCACCAGATTTCCACACATACACTTCATGCCGGATTTCTTTTTATCCTACTCCCAAGAAACCCCAGTCAGTCCCCTCCGGTTGGTTCAAGATCCGGGTGGGGGGGTTTGTACTGGTGAAAATTGGGATGGTATCCCACCATCATGGGCTGTCCATCTGGCATTTGGTGACCCGGAAATTGGGGCTGGTGGTATTCTGGCGGTAGATAATTTGTTCGTGGATTGGGGTCATAGCGCTGCTGCATCATATGCATGTATTGTTGCTGCTGCTGCTGCTGCTGCTGCTGTTGTTGCGGGTGAGGATGCGGGTGTGGGTGCGGCGGAGCATGTTGCTGGGGAGCATGAGGCAGGCTCATAGACGAGGTGACGGGTACGTTCTGTGGGACGATCGGCGGTGCGGACTCGTGTACTGGTACTCCTCCCATCTGAACACTTGGCGGGGAATAGAAATCATGATTAGGTGTCGCCGAGTTGGAGTAATAGGGCTGCTGAGCGATGAGGTAACTGTCATTGCCGTTGGGTATGGATACCGTCACGGGAGTGTGATGTTGATAGGAGTGTTCCGAGGTCGCATCTTCCGAAGATGGTCGAGTCAAGGAGCCAGGAGGGTGCGAACGATGCTGATGCTTAGTGAGAGTGGTTTTACGGCAAAAACTGGATGAGTGGGAAGAGAGTCAGAGTCAGAGTCAGCTTTAGAGAGAGAAGGAGTGACCTGATGCTTTGCGACAAAGCTCTGGGTTATGCGCGGGCCTACCTTCGTTCACAAGTTGGTTCCTGACAGATATAAGGTCTTTTCCCAGTGTGGATTCGTCGATGACGAGCTAAACTGGAAGACTTTGGGACAGGTTAATATGGTGGAACTTGAAACTTGAAGCCGATAGATTGGGGACGGGGAAAGGCGGGCTTGTGTAGCTTACATCGGAGAAGGCCTTCTGGCACCCATCGTGGTCACAGACATGCGGCTTTTCGCCAGTGTGGGTACGTGAGTGCACAGTCAGGGCACTGCGTTGAATGAAACTCTTGTTGCAATTCTCGACATTACAATGATAAGGTCGTTCATTGGTATGTATGCGATAATGGCGACAGAGATCTGACTTGCGATTGAAGGACTGGTGGAAACGAAAGGTCTCAGGTTAGGGGCCAAAACACCGGAAATAAAAATGGAAGAAAGGAAAAGGAAAGGAAAGGAAAAAAGAAAGAAAGAAACGAGAACATACCTTGCCACAATTCTCCCAAGAACAGTTGAAATCGCGCCCACTACGAGAAGCCATGACTGCGAGTGGGATCGAGGTCGAGCTTCAGGTTGCGGGGGAAGCGGGTCGCGGGAGTAAAGCGACGTGGAGATAAGAAAGGGAAATTCTTCGAAAGAAGAAATGGGAAGAGAGGGGAAAGAGGGAATGTCAGCGCATGCGAGGTGCGAATAATCCACAAGGATTCCGGGATAGACCTGGTCAGGCCGGATGAATAGTAACCGGGATGGTCAAGTAAGCCTGGGGCATAATAGAGGTTTAATATAAAGGGAGGAAAGGGACCAAAAACAAATGGGGAAGAGAAGGGGCCCGGGGGAGGGGAGAGGGGGATGATAGACGATATAAAGAAGATGAGAGAGAGAGACGCGCCCCAGAGAGAGAGAGAGAGAGATGGAGATTGGAGAGAGCCACAGAGAAGAGCCACAGAGACAACAGCTATTACTGGAGTGTCCCAAGTCGCCTTCATGGACAAGATCTGGGAAGGGAAATAACGGTGCGGATAGGACCGTAAAAGGCAGTTTCATTAGAAATATTACGATTTTCTTTTTTAGGGATTTTGGATTTGATTATTTGGGGATTTAATTTAGTGGGGGTACCTGTACTCTGACTGTCAGTACACTCACTCTGCTCTTTTTCCCTTTTCTTTTTTTTTCTTTTTCTTTTTTTCTTTTTCGATTTCTTTTCTTTTTTTAATTTTACTTTTCCCAGTATCAGCGGTACCAGCGGTACGGTGATGGGGGGGATCCACCAGTCTGATTACACCTGGCCCCGCCTGTCATGGTGTAAAAAAGGGGGTATTGCCAGGTACTGCTGGGGTACAGGTAACGGGGGTACCGCGTCGGATTTGTGTAATACGGAAAGGCCGGGTATTTTAGTCCTCTGATAGGCAACAGTTGGGTTTGGGATAATTACATATGATTATGATTATAATGCAAGCATATGATGGGGACTATACTAGTACTAATATAGTTACCTAGGTATACCACTATACTAACCATACTCTTTTCAAGTTGGATACATACTATCCATCACCCATATAGATCATACCTTGTAATACTGCGAAGAATGATGAATGAAAGTATACTTAATACATCAATGGTTCCTTACAAAATGTGAATGGAATGAATGAATATAACATGCCCCACACGACCCAACTCCTAGGACTGACCCACAACCCGAAGTCCACACTAACCAACTTAGCCCCGACTTGAGTGCGTGGGGATACGAGGTGGGTATCCCATCGGTACGGCTCAAGGGGCAGAGGCAGAGAATAAAGTTAGACAGCCTTGGGTTAGGATGGGTTCTGAAACTGCGCCCCCCCCTAATTCGCAATCCCAGCAGGAGTTGACCACCGTGGGGGGGGGGGCCATTAGACCATCTGGACCACTGAGCTCTACGCGGTCCTCGGTGAAGTCCTTTCAAATAGTCTGAGAGAAAAAGAAGACTTGGAAAAAAGAGAGAGACAGGAAAAAAGGAAAAGAAAAGGAAAAGGAACCCCTCTTTGGAGTATGTATGCCCCGGATTACCCGGTTCAGGAAAAGAGATGGAAAAAGAAGAGGGGGAATAGAAAGTAACCCATGATATCATTGTTGGCGCTTGGGAGAAGGCAGCCAACTTTCTTCCAATCAAGGTACATGATTTATCCATAGTATCTATCTACATACATCCAAATACTCCGTATATTCTCTCACTTACTCACTTGCGGCAACTACGGAGTACTACTCTACTCGCATAATGTATACTGAATAAGCTGAAAAGCCAAGCCACCTCACTGCGACCGAGCTACTCCGGACTCGAACAATCCAGCTCCACTTTTCCACTCCCCACGACGATCTTCCCAAGGAAAAGCAGGACAGATGAGAAAAGCAACTAGTAGCTCCTCCCCAACCAAACACCCAGCTAGTAGCTAGTGCAGATGCTGTCTAGTTTTAGACTGTTCCCTTCTCTTCGCGCAGTCCCTTCCCTCCGTTAATACTCCGTCCCCGCAATTCAACCCGTCGAATCCGGGAACATTACGAGTGATCGCAATATGTACATCAGAAAAAATCCCTCCTACAGCAAGGGATGGAGGGACCCATGACGCGGCGTCTACAGCGCGGGAGAAGTTTCTTTCGGTCCCGTCATGGATCAGAAGTCACAGCTTCTAGGGTCTGCTCGTCAATTCAATTCGATTCAATTCCCCATAGGCCTGCCTGTTTCTTGTCCTGTCGTTCTTACTAGCTTTTCTAGCTCACAGCCGTACTAGTGGAGGGTCCCCGAAAAGGTTCCCGAGTCATTTCTTCCCACTCCTTCAGATTAAAAACGGCTACCTCTCCCGAGAAGAACGTAAAATGAAAAATCTTAAATAAAATACAAAGAACATTTATGGCAACCTTTCTCCCTGGGCCCCCTCAAATTTGGTCGAGATTCCGGCAGTTTTCTTTAAGGGAAGGAACTCTAATTTCTTAGTTCCAAGCGGGGCCGAGGAGAAACAACCGTGGGAGAAGGAAACACCCGGGGACTAGGACCGATCCCGGAGATCGGGATGACAGATTGGCTCAGGAGCTCAGGGTATTTAGATTTGTATCACTCTGTACTATGTATATTTCAATATTAGATGTACTAGTAAGTTGACGAGGGTGCGGAAGGAACAATACTCTGAGACTAAGTCCCTATAGGTCCCCAGTACCTAGGTACTAGCAGAAAGGGATGATCTACTAGTGTCTGATCGATGTTGTAATTCCAACGAGAGAGTACTGGACCCTGATACGCGGGCATTGCAGAAAAAGAAACAAAGAGTACCATCCCCTTGGGTCATGTATACCATCTACAACCTTGGAAGGAGACTCTCTGATAGCCACATTCACGTTTACGTACACACCGTCTTTATGTGATATACAGTAGCCTATAGTGGAACCAAGCGGGCCATTTCATAGTCATTTATTTTCCCCAGCAACCTGTCCCAGGGCCTGGAGCCAATCTCGGCAATGATTAATTTTATTTCACTTTGCCGCACCTAACAAACCTAGATGGCACATCAGGCAGGAGAATCCCTGCATGGAACTTTTTTTTTGTCGCTATTTACTTGTCGGTGGCGATGGTTATGATGAAATGGGAAGGTCTAAAAGGATCAAAAACCACCAGCACAACGCCTCTTCACAAGATAACGGTTGGCCTCGGTAGAGCGACGCAAACCGTTTTCGTCCAATTTGCCTCTCTACAATTAGCACTTCCAAGAAAGGAATGCCCATCGAAAATCATCGGGATGGCCTGATATGTACCTGTACCTGTCCAAATTACTTCCACCCGTTTTACAAGGAAAAAGTAAAAGTAAAAGTAAAAGAAAAAGAAAAAAAAAGCTGAGGCACCTCGGTGGCATCTGCTCCTGAACGTGGGGATCCACTCAGTGCAATCTTAAACCAGCGATCCTCTGATCCCCTCAGCCTGATTAGCTAGAGAAAGAGTTCGAGGGTTCAGCCACGAGAAACGTGAGTAATTGACCACCAGTCCAGGTAAAATGAAACAAAGGCAAAAAAGAAAAAAAGAAATCCGGCGAGAAGAACCAAAGAGGTACCAGATAACTTCTCAAGGGCGCTCAAGATCGACAAGGTGTGTTTTGCCTCGTCAGAGCTTCTCATGCATCTTGCATGTCAATATTCCTCATGGCTACGTCTGTGGAAGGGAGGCTCATTAGTTCCACAGCTAATAGCGTCTGCAGCGACCATGAAGCTGGCCCCCTACTGGCTTTAGCCATGCTGCGAGCATCGCAGCCCTGCAAATGACCCTCCTCAACCGGAAAGAATCAACACCCTGCACCTCAGCCATTGGTGTAATCAGGCATTTTCTGCGGCGTGGCGTTCGCAATGGCGCTAACAAATCACCCAAAGGACCACGGGCAACACGCGACGAGTGGAGACTCTTTTGCCTTGCACCGCCATCACTTGGCCCCTCCTAATCGAAAGGGGGGTCTTTCTTCCTTTCTGTTAGCTTTCCTGACGTGTCCCTTCATTTTTGCTTTTTTTTTTTAAAAAAAAAAAATTTCATTTCTATAGAGAGCTTCTTCGGTGGCTTCTAGGAGTATCCGTACGGCAGGCTTCCCGGTCAACGGGGGCGTTTACTGCGGCGGATCTAGCGGCCCCCAATTCAAGCCATACTAGTAGACTCGGAGCTCAAGGTGATTTCAAATAAGATGGATGTCAAAATGTGTTGCGAATATACACAGCCACGAACTTGAATATTTTTTGGTCACATTCTTAAGAAGCTTGAGCCTTGAGTCATGTAATACGGGGATTTGAGCTTACGCTAAGTCAATCGGCGAAATCAAATAATCAAAGTAAATCTATCCGTAATCCAGATGCCCTAAACTACTACTCTCCACGGGTATGAGTTATCGAATCTATATACTAGTATTAGTAAGGGTAGTTCCTACGAGTTCACTGGAGAATGGCTGACCGCCAGAATTCCAGAAGCCAAGGAACTCCTCGTCGCCAAGATCCCAGTCATCGGACATATGACGAAGCCGATATCTGACAGTGTCAAGATCTCCCAAATTACCATTAAGGGATGAAGTATCCGGGACAAGGATGAGGTAGGGATGGTGTGTTCATTGTTATTTTTACTTTTCGTCTGCGGGTCCAATCCTGAATCCTTTCTTACTTACTTTCTTTGTCTCTCTCTCTCCCTCTCCTTGTTATTGACACAACAAGGCGTGTCTCTTGTTTTATTAGAGCTTCAGGATTGTGTGTGCCTCAAATTTCTTGTCACGCGTCGGGATATTGTGATGGAAGTTGCATATTCGTCAAAGGTTGGCGGCACAAAGCTCGGCGTTATAGGGCCGCCTACCCCGCATTTTGGAATGGGCTTACGAATGATGCAATCTGTGATTTAGCACCAAGTTATTGGTTTTTTATGTGAGATACGTGAGATCGAGACGCAAACTAAAAAATAATCAAAATAAAAATAAATTATTTCAAAAGATCAGAAAAGGAAAGAGCCGGAAAGATAGCAAGATAGGAGAAAAGGAAGAAACGAACCTAAAAAGAAAAATACATCAAAATTCCCCTCCCCTGAGGCAATCTACCACTAACTCCATCCATGGATGATTCGGCTAGAGAAGGTTGAACTAGGATTAGCCCAGCTTTACTCCCTTCCCTCTGTTTGTCTTTGGGTGGAGTACGACCGTGCACTGTATACCCGCCAATGCTTAAACTTCCAGACCTCTTTGAACCCAAGTGAAACTAGAAAAAAAAAACAAAACCAAACAAACCTTCCAAGATTGGGATCACAGAGTGTGATGGGGGCTAAAGGTTGTTGGTCGCTTACGAAGGGGCGACCACACAGGGAGATACGATATACGATATGGGGCAAAAGAGTCATCCGAAAGAAGTATGTATCAAATTCCAGGCGAAATCATTGGCAAAAAGCATAATGTAATCTCCAGATGGCGTATTTTCACTTTGCAGATGATTACTCAAATCGCGTGCAAACACTCGGTTTCGCCTGTTCTTGTTGACACAGAATTAACCAACGAGAATGGGCGCAATCTATTTCACCTCGTATATGACTGGCGCATCACACGTCCAGCTGTCCAGGACGATCATTTCACCTATTCAACTTCCCACGGGTGCGTCGTTCGCCAATACCGGAGGAGAATTCCGACCACTGCGACACTAATGATACTCGATCTCTCTATCTATTCTCTACACGTCCAAAGAGTCGGTCAGGGGCAAGTCAGCCAGCCTGTGCAGAACTCTCATCATGAACCTGCTTATGGATATTCTCGGCCAACAAGCCTCCCGGGAAGTCTCCGAATATCCATGTCCATGTCCATGCCCATCATTGTGGTCATTGGGGCTGAAAAGAACGCAAGCCATCACTTACCGTTCCCAGCGCGCTTCCTTCCTAATGCAAATCCCGTACGAGTAGGGAGTATAGCGCGTTCGATTGACCATCATCGCTATGAAACCCGACCCTACTCCGTACTTGTCCTTGGAGAGAAAGACGAGGGGTGGAAAACCAAACTAACCACAACGACAACGTCAACAACAAATCGCCTTTCACCTCCTTACCCCTATCCCTATTACAATTCAAAAAACTACATTTCACCCCACGAATCCACCACATATGTATCAGTACTGCCTATCGGTGACAACGCCACATGCGATGCTGATACGCTTACCTCCTTACCGATGAACCCCGTGTTTGCCGCAACAGTAGCCATCTCCGGAATCTGACTCTCACCGACAAGGATAGGGACGGAATTTTGAGACAGAATGGCGACCTCAGAATTTGGAGATTATCCCTAGAGAAGGGTTATCTTGCTATCTCCCCTTTCTTTCTTTTACTTTTGCTAAGCCAGAGCCGGCGCGGCGGGGGAAGCCAAGAGGAGACTCCATCCTGGCCAGGGCTGACATACTTGGCGCGCGGTGGTTCTCACATCCCTGTGCAGTCATCTGATTCATTTCCGGCCATGTCTCCGAGGGCAGTCGTAGCACTAGAAAAGTATCTGAAAAGGGACTGTGATTGTGACAGTGACGTCGCCGTGGGCAAAGTAGGAGTGTTTCCTGCGCGGCTCGGCCGTCGGGTAGGAGAATTATCATGCATGCCCGCGGTTTCACGAAGAAAAGGAGGGGTTGGAAGAGTCGGGGTTATCTCGACTCAGTACTCCGTAGTAGCCGACCCCATCCCTTGTTGGGCTGTGGGTTCACACAAGTACCATTTGTCAACGGCTTTTTCCACGGTGTGATATTGTACCTAGTAGGTGCCTAGGTAGGTAGAAGATATTCCGTACTCGGTGAGAAGTAGACGGAGAAAAGGGTAGTACTACACTGCTAGTTAGTACTACGCTAGTTGTGGGGCCATCTATATGTAGTTTGGACATGAAGACGATAAGTCTTGTCTCGGCTATACCAGTGGCATATCCTCTAGTGCCTACTAAAGAAAGCATCACTCTGTTCAGAAAAAGTATTACCCTAGGGGAACCTTGGAAATATGTCACCTCCCTGGGCTGCTGCGAGTAGCCCGTACTTTTTCCTCGGAATCCTGGCCGACGAAAAGTGATGCGAAATAGCGCCGGAGCTTTCAAATGGGGCTTGTGTTGCCATGCTGGTTGTGTGAGCTGTCTCGATTCATGACTCTGCTGAACCCCTGGTCGTCTTGTCACGAACAGTTGCAATTGTAGGTCGAAGAGGCGTTATTCTGGACCGGAGTATTGTGCTCCAGGATTAGATCATTCCACGTCCACGCCACAAAAAGCTCGCTTGCCTGATGGCGAGTGTGTGTACATCTCCCACTCTGAGTTGTACTTCAACGGGGGCCTTCTTTGGTATCTTCCCTCGAGATGGAGACCATTCACATTTGAAACCCCACAGCGCCACATCCACCCGATGCATTTACGATGGCCAGCCATGGACACGCCATGTAGTATCCCACGGCGTGGCAAACGGCGTAGAATCTGAATTCGGATGAGAAGCTGCTCAAGCCACGCCCGAAAGTAAATGAATTTGGTTGGTCCTTTTGATTCCTTGTCATTCTTCTGGCTACTTTGAATATTATGCATCTTATTCACAATCATTATCCCAAGATGCAGTCCCATCTATGTACCCCTCCAGCCAGCGGCCGAGGCAAGAGAGGGGGGAAACTGTAGGGAAAAAAAAGAATTGACTTGAATGACTCTAGAAGCTACCAGCTCGTCAACCCGCGCTGGCGATCAAACCCAGCCCTCAGTTGAGTTTCAGGTTTGAGGACTTTGCCTTGCAGGACTGTATACCGAATGATGTTTTCGCACTCCTCTGGCCGCACTCGCGCCAACCAAATGCCCTGAGAAGCACCCTCTTCTTCATCTGCAGCGCGTGTTTCCTCGCGCTTGTACCAATCAAAGTCCCTGCGACGGTACACGATCACATTGGCCGAATACTTGTGCCCGCCAACATGGTTAATAAAATAGATGCCCACGCCGCCAGGTCGCTGATCATCCATGTCACGATACAGGCCCAACGGCCGCAGATGCCGCTCAAATTCTTTGCGCAGCAAGGGTGCAGACTGACCGCAACGTGCGTCGCGAGTACGTTGCGAGCAGAGGAGAATTACGGCGGCATGAGGGCAAGGGTGAGAGGTGAGAGGGGTTGATGTGATAGATGTATTGGAGGGGTGCGGTGGCTGCTGCTCTTGTTGCTCCTGTTCTGGAGATTCCACTCCACTCCCACCCTCTTTGTCTGAAGGAACGCCGCTGAGTGGCGTGGTTGTTGTCGGGGAAGTGTTGACAAAGTTCGCAATCAGATCGGATACCAGCTGAGGCGTAACATTTTCCACGATGGTGAAGCTGGGTAGCAGGAGCACGTTTGTTGGTTGTTGCCCTGGTTCATGCATGTGGTATTCGTCTGGTACCGGCATATTTGAAGCGGATAGCTTCAATCTCTGGAAGGAACATCTCGCGTTAGTTTGCTTGTTATCCAAAGTGCTTGGAAGATAGGTAGCTTACCCCGTTGCTCGGCTCGACTCCTCCTTTCTCGATTGCTTCCATGATACTCCCTTGCTCGTCTGCAACATCGCGCACCCAGTCTGATTTCCCAGTAGCAACAAGCATGTGTGTCGCCCACCCATTCACCTTCCCATAAAGCTCATCCTCCAAGTCCACATCGAATTTTGCGGGGTATTTCACGGTGCAGCTCGAGCAGTCGTGGAGGCATTCTTCGCCATCGGTAGATGCTTCTGGCTTTATAAAAAGCTGATCGGATGCTGATACAGACTGGAATCCCTCCGTAGCGAGTGCGTTATCCCCCACGGCGTCGGTGGTGATGTCGGTCCTAGAGGAGGCGAGTGAAACATTGGACGAACTGAAGAGTGAGGAGGTACCCCGGCGGAAGAGATGCATTCTGAGGGCCGAGACAGACGCGAGCTGTCGGATAGACAATAGTGTTTATCGATTCGAGTCGGGGGGAGGAGAAGCGACCGAGGGGAGCAGTTTTGATTTCTAGTTTGGATGACGCGAGTGCAAAGTGATCTTATCAATCACTGTGCATTCCCGCTAAGAGTTCGGAATGTTGCCGCGTGACTAAGCCCCCACTCCGGCCCGATTGATATCAAGTGGACTTTGATTCACTAATAATACATATGATCCGAATGGACTGCTATTGTGGGGGAGAGTGGGCCTATCTACGGCCTGCATAGTTGAAGCTATATGGCAGTTCCCCCGGTTTTTGCGGCTGGGTCAGCCGAATCACACTTCCTCCTGAACTACCAGACTGGCCCGACTGTACACGCTGCAGTGACCGCACACTGCTCACCGGCGACATACCCGAAGCGGGGCTTTGAACTGCTGGTGCAGTATCGTAGCCTGACTGTGTGTCCCATGTCGACGCATTCGACGGGTGCAGACTATTGCTTCGCACCGGTGTAAAGGTTCCTTCATAATCAAAATTATCCACAGTATCCGTCTCTCCCTCCTCGTCAGAGGGTCCGATAACTGACTCGGTTTCCGTCCGGTGGTAGCTTGCGCTGTCTCGGATTTCCTCAATGGCTGGCTGTGTCGGGGCTGTCATTCCCCGTAGAATCTCCGCAAATAGGTGCATTAGGTCGCGGAACTCCGTTTCGTGTAACTGATGGGAAGAAAATCGTGCTCGCTCATAGAGCGCTAAGAATTCAGCTCCAATTTCGGGTGGATTGACCACTCCTAGAAACGTGAGATGACTGATGTATTGGCGTAAGCCCATAGAGCCCGGCCGCTGAAGCACTTCCACCACGCGTGTATCTGGTAAAGACTCCATTGCGACCTCGCTGGTTGGGTCAAAAGGATTCAGGTCATGAGGGTATAGTGCGTCGGGAGGGGCGAGTGATACGGCTTTCGCCTCGATTAGGTTGGGTAGTTCTTGGATGACAGTGCGGTATGGTAAGTTGGGTAGGTCGGGCGAGGCGGGTGATGACCAGCCAGGGTGCTCAACGCGACCCCATGGCGGGTGTTTGGGGTTGATCAGAAGATCCTTGTGGTTTTGGAAACTCCCAATTTCTTCTGAGGTATCACGCGGTCGAGCCTGATACGCGAGAACCACACTTTTGGCTATTCCATCCTTGACCATATGCCTCACACTCTTGCTCAGGTCTTCCTTCTCGACGGGAATCCAAGCTTTCGGAATGCCAGCCAGGGTGCTGCGATTTGTATAAATACGTGTCGCATATATTAAAACCGCAAGGAAGAATGTTATCACATAGGCGCCGGTTATGAAAAAGATATTCGTGAGTCGATCGGTCTCGTAGCACTGATAGATGGCGTCGGCTGGTGTCAGGAGGATGAGACAGAAAAGGATAACGGCAAAGAAGAAGAATGCACTCGAGTTGAAAAATGTCTCGAGTCCCGCAGTTGTCATGATGGCCCGCGCATACTGTGCAAAGAGCACGGCATCTGGTAGAAGACTCGAAGCTATCGAGGATGGCCGAGGGCGACCCTCACGGAGCTGCCCTGATTGCCCGCGGAGATAAGCCAATCACGTGACAACCCAAGTATACCGTCCTAGGGTACCCTACGTACAGTAGTATCACCAGATACAAAAGTCAGGGTATATCTATACCATAGGGCGGTCATGTTGGCTAGTTTAATCTGCAATTACCAATTTATTGCACATCTTGTCCACAAGCATTGAATAAATTGTGGTCGGCCCATTCGTTGGTACCTGACCAGTATATCACATGACCCCCTATCTGCCAAAAGTGGCTGTCCCTGGATCGCCAAATAATTTCGAGAGTCAAGAAAGCCATGGGCGAATACTTTCCTCCTCAGGAGGAGCGAGATCTCTATATTCTAGTGACAGGTGCAAACAGGTACGTTACTCTACATTGGCCAAGCAGTTCTCGCCCTCCGCCACATAGTCGTTTGTTTCAACGCTAATTGATCCTCCGCAGCGGGCTCGGCTTTTCGATATGCTGTCGCCTCGCAGACGAATTTCTCTCCTCGCACCCTACCGATGAGTCCCTTACAATTATCTTCACGACCCGCAGTACTCGCAAAGCCCAAGATACTCGCCGCCAGCTAGAGCAACACCTTCAATCCTCCAACCCCTCCCCCTCGGACTCTGGGCGCGTGAAATTTGTCTCCGAGAGCGTCGACCTAGGAGACCTCCTCTCTGTCCGCTCACTCTCCCGCAGACTTCTACAAGACTTCCCGAAACTCGATGCGATTATTTTAAATGCTGGGATCGGCGGTTGGTCGGGCCTTGACTGGCCAGCTGCTATTTGGGGGGTTTGCACCGATCTCATCCACCAAACAACTTGGCCCAAGTACAAGCTCGCGGCGGTGGGAAAATTGACAAACAGGCAAACAAAGGAGGATAAGGAGCCACAGCTGGGAAACACCTTCTGCTCCAACGTGTTCGGTCATTACATGCTGGCCCATAACGTGGTGCCGTTGCTGAGGCGGGCCAACTCGCCCAACGGGACGGGTCGAATTGTTTGGGTCTCGAGCATCGAAGCAACGATCAAATATTTTGATGTCAATGACATGCAAGGTCTCCGCACGCTGGCCCCTTACGAGTCCTCCAAGGCTCTGACCGATATCCTGGCCTTGACTTCTGATCTTCCTGGTTCTGCCCCCTGGGCAGTGGATAGCTTCATGCATCCAGGTACCGAGCCAAAGGAAATGACCGGAAAAGCTCCTTTGAACATTCCGACGGTTCACGTCTCTCACCCCGGAATTTGTGCCACGTCCATTGTTCCCCTCATCCTCCCTCTTGCCTGGGCGATGATAGCTGCATTTTTCGGTGCGCGCTTCTTGGGTTCCCCGTGGCACACTCTGGACACGTACCTCGGCGCCTGTTCTCCTGTTTTTCTTGCCTTGTCACGGCAGTCCGAGCTGGAGGATGCGGAGTCCCCCTATCGCCAAGGTGGGGGAGGAAGAGTAAAATGGGGCTCATCAGCCTCTCGCTGGGGTAAGGAGAGTGTTGCTTCAACTGAGACGGACGGCTGGGGACATGGCGGTGTGGTGGGCGCTGCTGTGGTCGATGCTGATCGGAACCGGCGTCGAAAGCGCGGCATGATAGATCTGACTCGGGAACAGAAGGAGAGCTTCGAGGATCTTGGGCGCCAATGCTGGAAACAAATGGAGGAGCTCAGGATCAAGTGGGACGGGATCCTCGATCAGGCTGAGCAGCGTGCGGCGGCTGAGAAGACACAATAGCTATGGAATGGGCGCTAATCGGCTACTTGCAAGCTTATGGCCCTCTTCTTGGGCTACTGCGCTCCAGCTGATCAAAACAATACTAATTTCATGTAATATATCTACAATTACCCTTTTCGGATAATGTACAAATCATCTTAATGCCGACACTATGTCTACTGCTATCTCGAATACTACCTAAAACCAAATGAATTTGGTTTTTTACTACTTAATCTTCTGAATTCTGCCCCCATTTAATTGCATCAACAGAACGGGACTATGATATCAATTAAATTCAGATAATATATTGGTTTCTATTTTCACTAAAATGCCAGTGGAACCTCGAGAAAACTGGAAAGCAAAAAAAACCCCGATATGCGCACGAATGGGAATGTGTGATGATTTTGAAATTTCGGGTCAATAAGTGACTAAAATGTGATAAATGTTGCAGAAAAAAAGGAACCGAGTATCCACGCAGGTCTGCCATCTAGGCTTCATGCCGCGGTGGCTTTGTCATAAACAAGATTAAAAAGGTTTTCGCCAACGCAAAGCGAAGGTGATAGACTGTCGCGGGCGAGAAGCAGGGATTCAAGGACCGAAGAGGCTCGGGACAATAGAAGATAAGATCACGCAGAAAACGACTCCGGTTCATGCATCAAGACTGGGGGAAGAAAGGTATCGGCAGGTGAGAGGGGATGTAAAGTTGCGTAGCGACGTGAAAGAGAGAGAAAAAAGGAGTGAGGAAAGATTACATGATAATCGCAGGGACTGTCTCGGAGGTTAGTATTGAACTCAGATCCTCTATGGGCATAAATTGCAGAACTTACCATCAATGTTTTGCTTGATGCTCTTGTGGGGCAGGATTGAGCCACCGTTGACATACACCTCGTCGGCGATGGTAACGTCGTCACCCAGGACGGTAACATTCTCAAGACGAGCCCAGCGACCGACAGAGCTGTTCCATCCGACGATGGTTGACTTGATCCAGGCATGGTCCTTAATCTTGCAGTTCTCCATCACGACGCAGCGTTGAAGGCGAACACCATCACCGATCACAACATTGGGGCCGATGACAACGTTAGGCCCGATGCGGCAGTTGTTGCCAATCTTGGCGGAGGGGTCGACCATCACGTTTCCGCCGTGGACGAAAGGCTCGGAGTTGGAAGCAAGCTTCTTGGGGTTGCGCTTGGCGAGCGAGCTGAGGTACAGGCAGGTGCCAGTGAGGAAGTCCTTAGGTTGACCGACATCCATCCAAAAGCTCTCAAGGTCAAAAGAGTGGAGCTGGCCGTCCTTGCAGATCGCGGGGAAGGTCTCCTGCTCGATTGAGGTCGGGCGGAGCTCAATGCGGTTGAGAACGCTGGGATTCAGGATGTAGATACCGGCGTTGATACGGTTTCCAACAAACTCGACGGGCTTCTCGACGAAGCGGTCGATACGGGAGGGGTGGTTAGGCTTGTGGACGACAACGCCGTACTTGGAGGGCTCGTCAACCTTGGTGACAACAATGGTACCCTCGTTACCGTGGGACTTGTGGAAGGCAGCGAGTTCCTGGAAGGGGTAGTCACAGATAACGTCTGAGTTCAGGACGAAGAATGGGGAGTCGTCTTTGCCCAGGATCTTCTCCGCCAGTTTGAGCGGGCCAGCCGTGCCCAGCGGTTCCGACTCGACGGAGAATTCAATGTTCACACCATATTGCTCCTCGTACTTCTTGAGGGCGGCGACCATAACATCGGGGCGATAGTTGACAGCGAGCACGATATCGGTAACACCAGCAGCAGCCAAGCTCTCAACTTGGTGCAGGATCATAGGCCGGTTGCCGAATTCGACGAGGGGCTTAGGGAGAGTGAGAGTCTAGACGGGGAGAAAGGAATGTGTTAGCCCTGTTGACTTCGACGTCGAAAGAGACACAGTGATGGTCATCCAAGAGACAAGAGCAATTGGAACAGTCAATGCGAATGAGAGGATCGGCATGAACTCACCAAAGGACGCAGACGGGTACCGAACCCTCCGACAAGAATTAAAGCTAGGAGATGGTCAATCATGGGCGGGGAGAGGGGGGGAGAAGCATGGAGGGGTAAACATACCCTTCATGATGTGTGGGGTAAAAGGGTGTGAGTCAAGGAAGTAAAGATAGAATGAATCAGATCAAGGTGGGAGAAGATGATCTAAAGAGCATCGGGATATTGATACACTCAGGGAGGAAATAGCATTATTTAGGGAACACCTGGCCGTTGATGGATTTATTTTTGGGAGGGAAGGCCTGGTGGGGCACGTGCGTGGCCGGTGATTGGGGAAGGCACACGTTTGCAGCGAAAAGGGGTGGGTGGAGACTACACATACACTACATGCAATGGTACACACTACTCCGTACTCCTCTGTCGAGAATACACAATACTCTGTCGAGGTTCATAGAGATCACCCCAATACATTCCATTCAATTGACCAAAGGGATCCCCGTTTGCATAGGGGTATACGTACAGAGTACGCCCCTAACTCTTGCGGGACTTCCCTGCTCTAGTCGCCGCATCTCAGACGGGCCACACTGGGTCCAGCCCCTAGCCCAGCCCATCCCAGCCCATCCCGGCCCCCAATACCTCCAATGCCGTCCTTGACTGGATCGGGACCGCCGAGTTGACTTCCCCGCGAACTTTCAAGACGCCTCCGTGTGTACTCACTGCGTACCCTCGTAAGTCAGACGATGTCGCCCCCTGAGGAGGGTGGCACTTAATACTCGTTGGTTTCGGTCTCGTGGAATAAAAGGACTCTCCTTTCGTCGCACCATCCGATCATCTGACTGAGATGGTGCCAACTGCGGGCCCCGAGAGATTCCCTATTCCCCTCCCCCTTTATTGCTGCGTGTCCGGAGGCAGCCGATGACCATGTGTTGTTGACATTCCTGAATGGCGACCGCCTGCTTCATCCGTTGCACACACAAATTGTAGGACCCATTCACTTACCCGGCGAGCTTTATGAAGCAAGAGCGGCTGATCGACAAGCAAGTCATGAAAGCCACCCGCATCCGTCATGTCCACCGGCCGCCGGTGTAAAAGATCAACTTGGGTCATTCCTCCCCGTAAGGTTTGTCCATGAACCCGGTTCTGGAACGAACTTAACCCTACTGTCCGAAGTAGGATGATATCTTGAGGTCGAAGCATGGCCAGCGATCGACCAAGGCGATCGATCCGCTTGGTCTCGGCAGCCACTGCGCTCCGCTCCGGAGGAAGCCAAATGTTAATCCCAAACCCCGTCCTCGTTTCGTCTCCAACCACCATCTCAATGATGTCGAGTTCGGTCTTCCACTGTCGTGTCACCACACGGCGTGGTGGTTGTATCGCAATGATGCCCACGATAAGATTCACCGTCATGGTTTGCGGAACGATTGATTCGAGAAACTTTGCTGTAGGGATGTCCTGCAAGTCACGGATCGGTCCACTCATTCTGAAAGAGGTTTGTTGTCCAGCTGCATCGTCCTCTTCGTTCTCTCCTTGTGAACTGATAGTGGAGACCATGCTGTTCGGGGCCGTCCCGCTCTCTTGAGCAATGTATTCGAGTTCGGAGGCATTGATCTCGGAGGCTTCGTGGACGGCAAATGAATGATTGTAGAAATCTGATAAAACCGAATCTCTATCTGTGAGTATGTCGCCAGTGGTGACTAGTTGTTTCGTCGTCCAAAATTTTGGATCTTCTGGCCCGTAATAGAAAGTAGTAGTATGAAAGTGGTCTGGTTGGCAGCTCGGCAGAGCTTGGAGAATTCTCCATTTCACAGACTCGGGGGGTGCATCTGGGTCAATTGATGTCTGCGGGCAGTGGTTCAAGTTCTGGTCGGGGATCTCAGAGTCGTGAAATGGTGACAGGGCCGTATCCAGAAGTTCATCATTTTCCCAATCTAGGCTGCTGGGCAATGGACTTCCCACCAAGAAGATCGTCTTTGGAGCCATTCCGTCTCGATGTACTCAGGTAAGCCCGGAACTTATAGACCTTTAAGCCCAATCCTCGAGTCGCTTAAATCTTGATAATATGCAGGTCAAGCTTCTCAATTCAACTGGGCTTTCATTGTTAAATCGAACCTGGAATGCGGGTGATTTGGGGGCTGTGAGGCAAAGGCTGATGGCACGATCCGTATGAACTAACCAGCAGCCATTACAGACAGAACTCGGGGCTCAAGTTCAATTTGTCTGTTCGGGTGGTGCTTCCAAGTTGAAGGTTTATTGCAGACTCGGGTTGGAGAAGAAGTTCAAGCTCCGAGGAGGTTCAAGCTTCCAAGGAAGCGAACCATGGACCGCCATAATTGTGGACTGGAGTGCCTGCAGACCTTGGATTCGAGTTTATATACCTACCTAGCCTAGGTACACTGCCAGTGGGCGCATAGGTGGAAATTAAAACTAGAGAGCTCAACACTTCACAATTGTAAGGAATCCTAGCAGTCAGACACAATTATATGCCTGCTTTCATTGCTCTCGTAAAGACAAATGATTAAATTAAACCTATCAAAGCTGGCTGTATTAACATGTTCACCGAGTCTAGAGCCGGCCCTTCCGCCTAATGTCACCAGTCACGTGATACCCGGATACTCAGACCGCCCAAAGTGGCAACCGACATTCGCCGCAGCGGAGTAAAAGCCATCGTCACTGTCCCCCTCTCCCGTTCGCCTCTGCTTTTCAATCAGAGATAGCCGTTGGCTCAACCAAAGGTCATCTCCTTTTGATCATTCCCATCAACCGTTATATAACTCCCCCGAAGAGCAGATTCATCCTTCTCACGCGGCCAAGCGCCGCCGTTCATCGGACAACTATGGCCTTCCAAGGCATTCCCCGGCCGGTGCGAATCATCCTGAATTCTCCAAGATCTGGCTCCCCATCACTAACCTGTGTTACGATGATTCAGAATGTCACTGCTGTGACATCCGATATCTGGCCCTCCATGTCTAGCCTTTTCACTGCCTCTCTGAAGCGCTCCGGCCGAACTTCGACCCTCGCCCGCGCTTTCGCAATCCCGGCCACTCGATCCGTTTCGACAGTGACGCTCTTCCGCTTCAAATCCTTGCAAACATCACCAAAGCCACAAGGTCTGTCACAGCTCCAACAACAGAGGTTCATATTTGGAGGTTCTTCACAGAACCTACTGGCACAGAAGGAGAAGACCGCGAACAATAACCCGAATAGCGCCAATGCCCAGAATGCCTTCTACCAAGCCCTGCTGCGTGCAAACATGCCCGCGATTGTTGTAGAAAGATACCGGACCGCACAATTCGCAAGCAACTCTACGACAGAGGCCATCTTCACTCAAGCTTTGCAACGCGTCGGCGGTGCTGAAGCCATCGGTTTCGGAGCGCAGGCCCAGGGTCTCAAATCAGAACAGCTTCAGGCCGTTGGACAGGCCGTTGCTGCGCAGAATGGTGGTGGTCAAATTGGAATGGCAACTCGGCAAACTGGCACCGGCGCGAAGGAGGCCCCTCTCTACGTCGTAGTGGATGAGTCTCTGAGCAGCGTAGTTTTCCGATGGGTCAAGTTCCTTTTGATCTTTGGATTTTTCAGCTATCTTTCCCTTGTTGTGGTTACCATCTTGATCGAGACTACCGGTGTTTTGAAGAACATTCGCGGCACACAGACCAACGAAGCCCAGCCCCAGCAGCAAACTGTGCGGTTCAGCGACGTTCACGGATGTGACGAGGCCAAGGATGAGCTTCAAGAGCTCGTCGAATTTCTTCTCAACCCCGAGCGTTTCTCATCTTTGGGTGGTAAGCTACCCAAGGGTGTTCTTCTGGTTGGCCCTCCTGGTACTGGTAAAACCCTGCTCGCCCGTGCTGTCGCGGGAGAAGCCGGTGTTCCTTTCTTCTACATGTCTGGTTCCGAATTCGATGAGGTCTACGTCGGTGTTGGCGCTAAGCGTGTCCGCGAACTCTTCAGTCAAGCCCGTGGCAAATCCCCCGCTATCATCTTCATCGATGAGCTGGATGCTATAGGTGCGAAACGGAATGAGCGTGATGCTGCCTATGTCAAGCAAACCCTCAACCAGCTGCTCACTGAGCTTGACGGTTTCTCCCAGAGCAGCGGTGTTATCATTCTCGGCGCTACCAACTACCCACAACTGCTCGACAAGGCATTGACCCGACCTGGTCGATTCGACCGCAAGGTCACTGTCGGTCTCCCTGACGTCCGCGGCCGTATGGATATTCTTCGACACCACATGAAGGACGTTCAGATCGGCACTGATATCGATCTTGCTGTTATCGCCCGTGGCACTCCCGGTTTCTCTGGCGCAGACCTTGAGAATCTTGTCAACCAGGCCGCGATCCATGCCAGTCGTGATCGCAAGACCAAGGTCGGCTCGTTCGACTTCGACTGGGCCAAGGACAAGATCATGATGGGTGCTGAGGCTAGGAGCCGCATCATTCAAGATAAGGATAAGCTGTCGACTGCCTACCATGAAGCCGGTCATGCTCTTGTTTCCTACTTCTCGCCCTCATCTACCCCTTTGTATAAGATTACTATCGTCCCTCGTGGAATGGCTCTTGGTTTGACCCACTTCCTGCCGGAAATGGATGCTGTCTCACGGAATTATTCCGAGTTCCTGTCTGATATTGCCGTTGCTATGGGTGGCCGGGCTGCAGAGGAATTGATCTATGGCCCGGAAAATGTGTCAAGCGGTATCTCCGGCGTGAGTTTTTCCTACCTCAAAAACCTACCAACAGTACTAACTATGTTCATAGGACATCCAACAAGCGACCGAGACAGCTTTCACCCTGATCACTCGTTTTGGATACTCCAAGAAGCTTGGCAACGTTGACCTATCCACCAACTATGATAGTCTTTCCTCCGAAACAAAGCAGGAGATTGAGGGGGGAGGTCCGTCGCCTCGTCGAGGAGGCACGGGATAAGGCCACCAAAATCCTGACCGAGAAGCGCAATGAACTCGAGCTCCTGACCAAGGCTCTGATCGAGTACGAAACCCTCACCAAGGACGAGATGGAAAAGGTTCTTAAGGGAGAGAAACTCGAGGGCAAGCTCTTGGCGTCGCCCAGTGCGCCGCTTAAGTTGCCCGAGGCTCTCCAGATCCCTAACCTGAACCCCACTGGGACTGAACAACCGCCCACAGCGGCGGAGTAAGCCCATACTTCTCCTGAGTCTTTCTTTCATTTTCATTTCTCCTCTCTGCGATTTGTATCTTATTAGGAACGGGCCAGTTGTCTCCTCATTGTGCATTCCCGGTTTGTTCGGGCGTCTCTACTGAAAATACCATTTTCTTTTTTTAGCTCTTTCCCACCTTTGTACCCCTTTTTCTTGGTTGTTGTCTCATTCTTGCTCTCCTTGGCCCATTTTGTATTGGTTGTGTACATATACACTCTGTCTGCCTACTAGTTGCACGCAAATATCATCATTTGTGCCCAGTATTCACCACCCAATTGCCAAACTGCAAAGCCTGTGTGTCTACCGCTATCGATAGAACTCCCTTTCCGGTTTCCAGTCTTTAGGCCATGCATGATCACCTTGAATATCATCGATGCCTGCTTTCCCATACCCTCAACCTTGATTCTTAAACTCCTGTGCCTAGGTATACTTGGCCCCCCACAATCCCCACACCGAGTGATGTCATGGATTCTGGCCTGCCGCGACCCCTCAACTTCTGCCTGGTTCAACAAACCCGGCAGAGACTTGTCACATCATACTAAGATTGGCATGATGCAGAGGTGTTGTAATACCCGAGTGTGTGCTAGAGAGCCAATCAAAAATCCCTTTCGGTAAACCTAGTTGGTGGGAGTCTTTGTTAGAACGATTACTAGTACCTAGGTAGGTTTGAGACTCCGGGTTCGATTGGAGCATCAACTTGAAGTCCAAGTACCTACGGTTTTACCTTGGGCCTGCCCAGGTGGGCGGTAGTTAGTAACGAGGAATCGAGTGATTTGGAATTTTTTTTTTTCATTTTCTCCTTTGTCTCTAATATATAACATATATATAGAATAGAAGATTATTTCCATAAGAATTCGGATGGTATGTACACAAGATAAGAATGCATCGTCGACGCTTGGTCGACAGTCAACCGCCAAAAAACGCGAAGAAAAGAAGATTTCGAGGCCAAGGGAGCAAAGAGAAAAAAAAGTAGGGGAAAGGGGAAGAGGTGAAATGATCAAGAGCCCAGCTCACTCCGAAAACCAGAGCTGGGGGAGTGGAAAACACAACCGTCGTCAAGGTCATGAGGCGGGTATGTAGCGCAGCATCCCAAGTTGTTACGCCAACCGGCGCACCTATTAGGATAGCGAGGCTATCTAAGAGAGCTCTAAATATGTATAGTGGAAGATGAGGGTGAATGTTTGTCCCGATGCGCACTCGCAGGAATTGAAAGAGGTGAAGGTTATGGTCGAGGAAACCGAGGAGAGGGTATAGAATGAAGGGTCAAAGAGGATGATGGGCGGGTGGGTGTTCGGTCCTTGGTTGAATGACAGACCATCTGGGAGACCGGCTTGCGGTCGTATCCCGGATGGTAAATAGGTAGGAAGGGCGGAAAGGAGGATATGGTAGGCCGGTGTGCGCTTTAAATGTCGTTCTCGAATAGCTCTTTTTGACGATCGAAGTCGTCGTCGTCGTCCGACTCATCAGCCTTGTTGTTCATCCAGCCTCGAGACATCTCGACGGCCTTGGACCACTTCGTGTACATGCGTGTACTGGCCTTCGGCGAAATATGTGGGGTGAAGGTTGCACGGTTGGCGCGATTCATATGCTTGAGATCGGCGAAATCTTTCCACACGTCGATGGCGAAGGCTGCGGCAATAGCGGCGCCGAGGGCAGTGGTTTCGTGCATAGCGGGGCGCTCGACGGGGATTTGGATGATATCGGACTGGGTCTAGTAGAGAAAGGAGAACCGTCAGTATTCGAAAAGAAAGCGAGATATGCGAAAAAGAGATGAGTTCTTACCTGCATGCAAATGTCGGAATTACTCATGCCACCGTCCACGGCCAACTCTGTTAACTTCTTGCCACTGTCCATCTCCATGGCGTCCAGAATAGCCTTGGTTTGGAAGCAGGCGGCTTCCATAGTTGCGCGAGCAATGTGGCCACGCTGAGTGTGGTGAGTGATTCCCCCTACAGAATGGTTAGTCGGTCACGGTGAGATAAGGTCTCGGGGGTGTAGAAGCTTACAAATGGTTCCTTGAGCATCATCAATCCAGTAAGGCGCGAATAGACCACTGAAGGCTGTGACGAAAATACAACCTCCGCTGTCAGGGACAGTAGCGGCTAGGTCGCTGACCTTCCGGGAATCGCGGAAGAAACCCATATTGTTCATTAAGAAAGATACACCACTTCCTGCCACGGCCACACTGCCTTCCAGGGCATACACGGGTTTACGATCCCGGCCCAGCTGGAATCCAACCGTGCCGAGCAGGCCATGCTTGGAGATGACGGGCTTTTCGCCCACGTTGTAGAGGAGGAAGCAACCGGTACCGTAGGTGTTCTTGGCGCTTCCTGGGGTGAAAGCACAGTGGCCGACCAGGGCGGAGGCTTGGTCACCCAGACAGCTGGTGATGCGGGTACCTTCCAGGGGACCCTCGGCGATTTCACCGAAGCCCTCCTTGTCGGCGGAGGGCATAATTTCGGGAAGGCGGATTTTCTTGGGATCAATATCGAAGAATTTCAGGAGGGTATCGTCGTATTTGAGAGTTTCGAGGTTCATAAACATGGTCCGCGAGGCGTTGGTAACATCGGTGACATGGCGTTTATTCTGGGCCCCACCGTTCAGATTATAGAGTAACCAAGAGTCAACTGTACCAAAGGCGGCACGGCCATCTTCATAGGCTGAGCGGACATCCGGGAGGTTGTCCAGCATCCAGCGCAAGGTTACGGAAGAGGGGTATGTGGAGAGGGGCAGACCGCACAGGTTGACCAAGTTATCGGCCCCGGGTTTCTCCTTCAGTTCACGCACCAAGTTCATGGTACGGGTGTCGGTCCAAGTAATGGCGTTATGCAAGGGTTCGCCGGTCTCCCAGTCCCAGACCAGGACGGTCTCTCGTTGAGTGGTGAGACCGACGGCTTCGACGTCGGATCGTGAATGGCCCATTGCTAGGAATGATTTCATCGCCTCCTCGATACAGATGAAAACCGACTCCACCAACTCGTAGGGATCTTGTTCGTGCCATCTGTTCAACGGCAAGGATTTTGTTAATTGGGCTGTACTAAACAGTCTTTTGCAGCGTGGCGTGTTTGCTTGCTGGCCGAACTAGATGAAAGGGAGGGGTCGAGAAGGTGGGGGGAGAGGGAGAGGGGGGGGGCAAAACCTACCCAGGATGTTCGTGAATCTGGCGAAACTCGGTTTGATATTTGGCAATGGGCACTCCCGTGCAATCAAAGATAATAAAGCGAGTACTGGTGGTACCCTGATCAATAGTACCGATGAAACGTTCCTTCAGGTCCTCCCCGTGTCGGTCCTCGTCCTGCAAGAGAGCGCGTTCACCATCATCTTCCTGCTGGGGTGCTGTGACCACCTCGAATTGGCGACCGTCAATCTCGTCGAGATCATTTGCGGGCTCGGAGTCGCCATCCACACTGGACTCGTCAAATTCGAAGAAAGGGTTGCGCATCTTTTCTTCTGTGTGGTGTGGGTGGTGGTGGTGGTGGCGGCGATGGTGATAGTGGTGATAGTGGTGATGGTGGTGGATGAAGAGAGGGGGAAAAGGCGGGTGTGGGGGTGAAGAGAGAACTTGAGAATAAATTACGCGGAGAGAGTAGAAAGAGAGAGAGAGAGAATGGAGAATCTACAAGTGGCGGAGAGAGTATTCAAGTTGCCCCAAGTCCACAAGAGGGCCAAGGCAGGGCAAGAGTGGAGCGCGTTGACGTACGAGGGGCGAAGGCAAAAAGAGGGAGCTCTCTCTCTCTCTCTCACGACTCTCTCCAGGTTGACCTACCTTTTTATCCAACAAAGTGGATCGACGACTGTGGACGAGTGGGGGGGGTCTCCCCCAAATCCGGTTCGGGGAGGGGGGGTTTTTTTTCTGATCAGAAGACCTCATCACTCCCCACTTGGCCGTGCATCATTTGTGGTGCATCTTTTTTTTTTTCCTTTCCTTTTCTTTTCCCCTTTCTATTTATCGGAAGTCTTATCTGTGGTATGCATGATATCCTAGGATACAGATGGCATCCCATCTTATATCCCTGGATTTTGAATAATACCTAGGTATAGGGTGATATCTTCCAAGGTTGTGAGTACATACTAGGGTAGTAATAGTATACTACTACTACTACTACTACTACTACTACTACTACTACTACTACTACTACTAATCCCCGCCTATAATTACCCTCCGTTGTATATTGGCAGAGACAGAGACAGTATAGATAAGTATAACCACCACGGTCTACAGGCACTCCGTAACTCTCTGTGAACTCCCACCAATGCAATTGTCCCCTTAATTAATTCTCTAAAAATGGTGGATATCTATCAGCCCCGTCGATCGCGCACATGACACGATCCATTTTTCCCCTGTCCCTTTCGTGGTTCTAGGCCCCCCCTTTTTCCGATGGCTGTTTCTTTTCCTTCTATCGAACGAGCTAGTCCTCTCTAGGCCGATTGCGCTGCTCATCTGATTCATGGAGAAATCATGGAGAAATGCGGAACAATTGTTGGCTGAAGAGGCTGGAGAGACTGGAGAAGGGGGAGGGGGGTTCTCCGGAGACTACAAAGAAAAAAAGTGAGAATAGAAAATAGAAAAGAGAAACCACTCTAGTCGCAGCCAAGAACAACCCTCGAAGCCTTCTTCTGCCCCTGCCACCCCCCTTCGAATCCACTTTGCGTCTCCATAAATCATTTTTTTTTCTTCTCCAAGACTGTGGAAGTCTGGGCAAGCATGCCCCGGCCCGAGTTAACAGACACGGTGGCTCTATAGATAGATTCCACCAGATTATCCGTACTCCCGTATATAATACATGGGTATACCTCCGGGGTGGTGACGTCTTAGTCTGCCCAGGTGAGTTCCAAGGTTCAAGTTCTGATATAAAAAATCCAATTGAATCCTTCGATCCAACACTCTGGAAAGGCTAAAAAGAACCGGTTCTCATCCCAAGACCAAGACCAAGACCCTAAGTCCCCCTCGCGCCGCGGGGAAAAGGGAACCGTCGCCTGCCAGGGACGGGGACGTGCACTGGGAGCAGATCACGCGAGGAGTGAGCGACGATCCGACAGGAATCTGGCGCGTACAGAGTGTACGGCTGGGCCTCTCTATCGCAGAATGAGGAAGAGGAGGGGTCCGTTATGCACCATTTCTAACCAGTCAATGGGCCACCCTCTTTTAAAGCCCTCGCTTTACCTTCCTTCCTTTGCCAGCCACACCCAAGGGTTGACAACGCTAGATCCGCCCAGATCAACTAGATTGGGTTTCCATTGCCCCCCCCTTCTCCCCTCTCGGTCTCTTCTGTCTTCTTCCTAAGGTCCCCTTTGGTAATCCAGCTGACCCCGTGGATTTGGATGCGGAAGACGGGAAGATAACCTTGGTTTTAAGCTAATGGCCGAGCCGATCAACGTAAACGTAAATTTTCATTAATTAAATTAATTTTTTTAATAACATTCTTTTAAACAAAAATCGAGATTAGCTGCTCCTCCAGGTACACCACGCGCGGCTCCAGGTCTTGGACCCGGGAGTCGGGGATCGTCATGGGCAACTTGAACCGGCTTCGGCCCTTGAAAACTTGAATGAGGTCCCGATCGGTCACGGTAACCCGGTACCTACTAGTACTAGGCACATGCTTTTTTGGTACCCCTAGTTCAAGTTGACTTCAAGTTCTTTGAAGTACCCAGAGGGTCAGTCATGGTGCTTTTGGCAGCTCGATCCGGTTTAGTCCCAATTGAACTGAACTTGAAGGTCAATCCCACCGCAGCACGTGGGTACTAGTATTACACAGTTCCGGGTCCGAGTCAATCTGGACCATTGACTTCGCAGCCTTTTATAATTAGAACATGTCACGCCCGGTTACTTCTTGAGAGTGACAAATGGAAACGTTTATTTTCGAAAGTCTTTTTGTGACCACTCCAATTCAAACAAAGGAAATAAACAAGCTTTCAGCCCTAGTGCGTTCTGCGTATATTCTACATGAAAATCACGGGGAATGCAAAAATCGAGAGAGAACACGGGGGCTCCCACCAATCAGCCCCTCCCCTTCAACACAACTTCAAAACATGGTTTCGTCCCAAATTTACTCAGAGTCCTCGATCTCAGCCTTGCGGCGGGCATCGGCCTCCTCCTTCTCCTTCTTCTGCAGGAAGAGCAGAGCCTTGACCTTGTCGGTGATGGTGTGCTCGGTGTTGATGGTCGACTGGATCTGCTCACGGCCGATCAGAGTGGCGACGATGGAGGCACCGACAACGAAGGTCAGGACGAAACGGTACATGCCGTACCAGTGGGGAGCACGGCCAACGGCGGCAGCGCGAGCGTCGTTGTAGTACAGGAAGGTGAAGGCAAGGAACTGGGTGATCAGAGCGTACTCAGTGGGGAACAGCAGAGTAGGCCAGGCCACGGCAGGGGCGATCACACCGGCGGCGTAACGGCGGTAGCCGAACTTGCCGCCGTAGCCAGCCCACTCAAGACCCCAGTGGACGGCACCGAGGAAGGAAAGGATCTAGAAGAGAGTTTAGCGGGTGGGGATCTCTGGATTTGACGCTGACGTCAAGATATCTATCTACTTACGACGGCACCGTAGGTGACCTGGAGGGGCTCGAGCATGTGCAGGAGCAGCTCAGCGCTCTGGCCGGAGAAGAGCAGACCATCGCCAAGGGAAGCGGCGCGGTTGATCTCATAGGAGAGGTAGACGGTCTCCAGAGAGGTGGCCAGGTAGGGGATGACACCGGCCATACCGAGGTAGAGAGCCTCCTTGGGGACCGCAGCCAGGCTGAAAGTGTCCTTGATGACTTTCTATAACGAGAAATCTCAGGTCAGTCTCTGCTCCAGGGCAATTGATTGTGGAAAATGAAAGTATGGGGAGAACGTACAGCCTCGGACTTCATACCGGCCATCATGTCGACATCATCGTCATCCTATATCGGAGGTTAGTCAATTGATCAGCGGTATGGTGCGCGGGGTCGCGCAGTAATCTGAAAAGCGTCTCATACCTTGCTGGAAGACGAGGCGTGGCGAACAAGGGCAGTGGTGACGGGCTTGTGAGCAGCGAGCGCGAAGTTGGACTTGACGGACGGGCGGACCGCATAGCGGGCGGACGAGGTCAGCTGGGCCTTGAAGACCGGGTTGACCAGGGTCGAGCGAGCCACGGAGGCATTGGAGCTCGAGACAGCCCGGAGCACAGAGCGGGCGGCGGTGGTACGGTAGAGCATGGCGGGGGATGAAGAAGGAAAGAAGCTTTTCGTGTGCAGTCGGGTTAGCAAGCCGCGCGGGAACGAAAAGCCTCGGGTATGGCTAGATAGGCTCGTCAACTTACCCAATTGGGCTGAAAAGAAGCTGAAGAAGAGGGTGAAGAGTGGAGATGAGGGTGTTAACCCAGAAAGAGACTCGAGATCGAAGTCGGGGAGGCCGTAGGTTTCCGAGACGGGGAGCAAATAGGAATATCCAGAAATGAAGTGACTTGGTGAGGTGCCCGGCATTTCGGGTGGGCCACAGAGACCTAGATGGTAGTTTCCCGGGAGCAACTTGGAAACCTCAGGCAGAAACGTTGATTGCGGTTGTGCGGGATTGCCCCGGATCCCGTGACGTGCACGTGACTACCAGTGCAGTGCCAGTTCAAGGTTCCAAGCTGCACGGGACTGATGTCACTCTGCGTGCACACCAGTAAACAAGCGTATACTCGGGTACAATACAGGAGGGGGGTTGGCATTACTGAGTAGATGGATATGCTAAGAATCAATTGTTATGGGGTTCTCAAATTATTTCATGTTATTATTTCCTGCTAATTCAACGAGATGATGTCTCTATTTCCTGTAAATATAGTATTCTTTAGTGTAGATAGAGTTACTGGAGTCGGTACTGTACACTCAAAGTTCATCCTTGGCAGTCACGGGAGTGCTTGCCTCCCGCCCCTCGTACTGTAGCTTTACCCCCTCCGTACACGCCGCCTTTGCGTAACAGATAGCCAAGTGGACGGCCCTTCTTGAATCCACGCAATCAGGGCCATTGGCTTGGCTTCCATACCCAACATTTACTTGCGATCCTTTAGGTCGCTTTCTCAACACCTTTCTATCATTCTCACACCACTTTCACACTTCCTGGAACCTGGCTCTCTCGTTCAACTTGAAGGTTGTTTCTCCGCCTCGGTATCGCGTGCGGCCAACCCTGTTTGGATGGCTTGAATTAGTTCGATCCTATCGGAAAGAAGTCCTTGGATATTGTGAGAGAGCTTACCTTCTCCCCTTCAAACAGCTCGATTGAATTAGATCACTAACAGACCTATCGTTCAAGAGTTAAGAACGCCTTTCATTGATCTCGACCCACCCTGTTTAACGACATCATTGCCGGCAATCGAGCCCAACCACCTGGCCCGGTCGACGGCCCCATCTAACAATCATGTTGGAAGGTGTGGTTGCCAATTTGCTCAACCGCTTTCTAGGAATGTACGTGAAGAACTTCGACGCGACACAGCTTAACATTGGAATCTGGTCGGGCGATGTCAAACTACGGAACCTGGAACTGCGCCGGGAAGCGCTGGATCAACTGCGCTTGCCCTTGAACGTTGTGGAGGGTCACCTCGGACAACTCACATTATCGATTCCATGGTCAAACCTGCGGGGTAAACCGGTCAAGGTCGACATTGAAGATGTCTTCCTGCTCGCAGCCCCGAAGGAGGATGCAGACTACGATGCCTCGGAAGAAGACAAGCGGGCGCATGCCTTGAAGATGGAACGGATCGAAAGCGCTGAAATTTTGCGCGACCGCAATGCCGAGGGTATGAGCCAAGAGGAGCAAAGACGAAATCAAAGCTTTACCCAAAGCATGGTAACGGCAGTCGTCGACAACCTACAGATCTCGATCAAGAACGTCCATTTTCGATACGAGGATTCTATCGCTTCGCCTGGCCATCCTTTTGCTGTGGGGTTGACTTTGAAGGAATTGAGTGCTGTCAGCACTGACTCCGAGTGGAATCCTACCTTTATCCAATCCACTTCCGATACGACACACAAGCTAGCCGTGCTCGGTGCCTTATCGGTATACTGGAACACAGATGCAACCCTGCTGGGTACTGGAAGAGGCTCTGATATAGGTGCTGAAGCTCAAGGAATCAGCCATGACGACCTGATGACAAAATTGCGCGACGCTATCGATAATGGCGACGGAAATCAATTCATGCTTCGTCCCGTTAGCGGCCGAGCTGGACTGGAAATGGACAAGTCGGGGAAGTATGACCGTCCTGCCATGAAAGCGCGATTGCTATTCGATGAGTTGGGCTTTGTTCTGGACGACAACCAGTACCGCGATGCCTTGATGCTGGTAGACCTCTTCCATTACTTTATCCGCCATCAGGAGTATAAACGATTCCAACCCAAGTGCACGGTCAAGGAAGACCCTCGCGCATGGATGAAGTTTGCTGGAGATGCAGTTCTCAGTAAGATTCATGATCGTAATAAGCGATGGACCTGGGATTACGTGAAGGAGCGCCGAGATGATCGTATCGCCTACATCAAATTGTTCAAAAAGAGGAAAAGAGAAGAGACATTCACTCCAGAAGAAACTGAAGAGCTCGAGAAGCTAGAATGGAAACATAACTATGAGGATATTCGATTCTGGCGATCGCTGGCGCGTAATCAGCTTCGCAAAGAGAACGTCGGCATCAAGAAGCCCGCCCAGCAGCAGAGTTGGGGCGAGTGGATCTGGGGCAGCAAGAAAGAAGAGTCCGAAGAAACTGCCATGACCGACGAACAGCGACAGGAGCTATATAACGCCATTGATTGGGACGAGAAGAAGGCCCTGTCCGAAGATGTCGATGTACCCAGGGAATGGGCCAAGCTGCAAATCAATTGGAGTCTTCGTGCTGGTAGCTTCACATTAAAGCAAGATCCGCATGGCGCTGCAAATGAGGTTATGAAACTTGTTTTCGACAATTTCCGCGCGAAAGCTCTTCAGCGACCCGACTCTTATCTCCTTGATCTTGATCTCGGTGGCTTGAAGATGTATGATGGTACCACTGCCGGGACTCTATATCCACAGATAGTCAAGGTCAAGGACTCAGTTCCCGAACCCAAAAAGGCCTTGGAGCAGGGCAACGACAACAAAGACGATAACGACGACGATGACCTTGCCTCTCAAGCCAGCGCAGATGATCTGGAAGATGAAGACAGCCTGTTCCATCTGCAACTGGAAAAGAATCCCCTCGAAAGTGACGCAGACTCAGCGGTCAAGGTTAAGCTGAAGAGTATCGAGGTCATCTACAATCCGCGATTCCTTGTGGGAATCGTTAAATTCTTTGAACCACCCGAGCGGCACATGGAGTCAATTGGAGCGCTGCTGGACACTGCTGGAGCTACAGTTGAAGGTCTGCGGCAGCAAACTCGAGCAGGTTTGGAGTTTGCACTGCAAGAACACAAAAAGGTTGATGCACAATTCGATGTGCGCGCGCCTTTGATCATCGTGCCCGAGAGTATCACACAGGAAAGCTCCCTGTGTCTCATCATTGACGCCGGTCATGCAAGTGTCAACAGCGAACTCGTCGACCGACAGGCCATACGAGAACTTCAGTCCAAGCAGAAAAAACAATACGAAGAGGAAGATTACAAGCAGCTTGAACACTTGCTATATGATCGTTTCCTTATCAAACTGGATTCCACTCAAGTACTGATTGGTCCTGGTGTGGAAGCAACGAAAGCACAGCTCACCTCCGCTGTCGCGTCCAAAAACTTCCACATTATTGATCGAATCAATGTCGACTTCGTTCTCGAAATGTGTATTGTTCCAAAGGTTACGCAACTCACGCGGACGCGCATCTCCGGAAATCTGCCGGAGCTGCACGCTTCCATGTCTGACACCAAATACAAGGGGCTGATGAAGTTGATTGACATCGCGATCCCGCAATTTGACAGTGCCAGTAGCTCTTCCGGTCCGGCAGAAGCGAAAGCCAGGGAGGAAGCGGCAATCGCTACTCGGGCTAGAGCAGCTTCATTCCTACCCCCGGCGCAACGGGATCTACCTGTTGTCGACGATGAGGAGGAACATGAAGGCGATGCGGAGCATCATAAGACGAGCCTTGATACACAGAACAATATTCATCGCCGGGACTTTGAGTTCAAGTTCAACGTTGGTCGTCTTCGTGGCTCGCTATTCAGAGCAGACTCGCAAGACCCACTCAAAGACAAATTGCTGGTCGAGCTGGTTGCTGAGGGCTTCGAGCTTGACTTCTACATGCGTCCCTATGATATGGTTGCCGAGGTCATTCTCAAGTCCCTGAGTGTTGATGATTACATCGAAGAAAACCCACTACCGGAGTTCAAGCGGATCATTTCATCCAAGGGATTCAATGCTGATGAAGACAAAGATCTTTTCCACTTGAAGATGGTCCGTGTGAAACCTGAATCCCCAGAATTTGAGTCAACCTACGAGGGAGTCGCGATGAACCTTGATATCTCCGTCTCGACCATCAACCTTGTGGTGACGAGAAAGACGCTGCTTACCCTTCTGGACTTCATTCTTCTTACGTTCACAAGTCCTGAACAGCCAGCCGATCAGGATCCACAATCAGAGAAGATCTTGCAAGAAGCACCAAATGAGCAGGAAACGCCACAGCAAGTCGGGAAGATTCGTATCAAGTCTAACCTGAAGAGTATTGCCCTTATTCTTAACAATGACGGTGTTCGCCTGGGAACCTTGAGTCTCAACACCGCTGATGTCGGAATCTTCCTTGTTGGTCGTGCCATGACCATACAGTCCCGCATTGGCAGCTTGACTTTGGTTGATGACATTAATCTGGGTGCTTCAGAGGACTCAGATGTCCGACGTCTCTTGACGATTGAAGGTGACAATTTCGCTGATTTCAAATATGAGACGTTCGACCCTGAGAGCGACACTTACCCTGGCTACGATTCCGAGGTCTATCTGCGGTCAGGCTCAATCAAGATCAATTTCCTTGAAGAGCCGTATCGAAAAATCATCAATTTTCTCGTCAAGTTTGGTAAAATGCAGGCGATTTTCAACGCTGCTCGACAGGCGGCTGCGAACCAAGCAAACCAACTCCAAGAGAATGCTTCACGCATGCGTCTTGACATTGTCATCAAGACTCCCATTGTTGTTTTCCCCAGGGTGATGACTGACGACCGACCGCGGGACACCATCACTGCTCACCTTGGTGAGATCTACGCCAAGAACGAGTTTGTTCCAATGGACGAGTCCAAAGACAGCCCGGCCGTTAATGTTATCTCCACCGGTGTTCGCAACATCCGCCTCACGTCCAAGTTCCATTTCACAGATGGTGTTGTTGAAGAATTGGATATGATTCAGAAGGTCAATCTAGATTTCAGCATATGTTATCTGGAACATCAAACCAACAATCCTCGCCCAGATATGGAGATCGAAGGTTCCCTGTCTCCAATCAATCTTCGTATCTCGCAGAGTCAACTCAAGTTCCTGCTTGCACTTTCGAAGTCGATACCTGGCGCATTCGCCACCGATGCTGAGCAACAAGAGCTCGAGGCTATGGAAGCTCTGCCTTCATCTGTCACTGAGCCCACAAGAGAAGCCACCTCCAAGGCTGTACAAGCGCAAAAGGACCAAGAGACGGACCCAGTAACTGGCAGCGAGACCAAGGAGAATTGGGTACGCCTAGACATGATTTTCAAGGTCGATAGTGTTGGATTGGAGCTCATCCTAGCCAATGACAACCAACCCGCGGGCCACTTGGAGGATTCTAGTCTATCCAAATTCTCCCTCAATGACACGAGAGTCAAGCTCCGCATGTTGACCGATGGGTCCATGGAGTCAGAACTCTTGATTCATTCGTTCTCAATCCGCGATAGCCGAAAGCAGGACACGAATAAGTTCAGAAATATCATGTCCTTGATCAACAATGATGTGCAGCAGCAGTTCATGGCTAGCGTTTCCATGTCCCCTGGACCAGAAAAGCATCTCATTGCGATGCTGACTATCGACAGTCCTCGAATCATGTTTGCTTTAGACTATCTGTCTGCTTTACAGTCTTTCAGCAATTCCGCGTTTACTTCAGAGGAAGCTGTAGAAGTCCTCGAGGAGGATGCTGAGTCTCCTGAAGAATCAGAGATTGGCTCTGACGATGCAACATCTCCTGAGGGAACCGAAACTGAAGTATCTACGGGCAATTCTACTGCTGGGACGACAACGGTTTCATTCCGAGTCAATTTGGTTGATGCTCAGGTTATCATGGTAGCCAACCCGGCGATCCCCCACTCTGAAGCTATTGTCCTTGGTACCAAGGAGATCCTTATCTCTCATCAGAATGTGTCGACTCTGCAGATCGAAAAGGTTGGCATGTTTCTGTGCCGCATGGATAAGTTTGAGACTAGTCGCCTTCGGATTCTGGACGATTTTACTGTTGAAGTGTCTGTTGACAGTCGTCCACAAGATAAGGGGTCTGCACTCACCTCGATCGAGGCGCATATTGAGCCTCTGGTTCTTCGGCTGTCTTTGCGTGATATCTTAATGGCCACCCAGATCGTCAATAAGGCATCTGAGATGAGAGCTAGAAATGCCCAGCCCCTCGAGGGCGGGGAAGTAAAGAAGATTACAGATGCAAAGAGCACGCGAGCACGATCTGGCAGCAAGACATCTTCGACTCTGGCCCACAGAACTCGTCGTCGTGCCAGTCAGACAGTTGAGACGCCTGACAACAATGTCACATCTGAAAGCTCAGCTGTCCTGAAACGCGAGGAGCTATCCGCAAAAATTGATGGCCTCAGAGTCATTCTTATCGGTGACTTACATGACTTGCCATTGCTGGATTGGAGCGTAAAGAAATTCAACGTGGACGTCCGCGACTGGTCCTCTACCTTGAATGTTGATACGCACTTCGAGACCTTCCTCAATGTGTACAATTTCTCGAAATCCGCTTGGGAGCCTTTGATCGAACCGTGGCAGCTTGGATTCCACATGGCGAAAGAAAACAATCCCGATGTTTTCTCCATTGATGCTTACTCTCACAAGACCATGGAGTTGACAATGACGTCGGCCACGATTGCACTGGCCTCCAAATCCTTCCAGTTCCTCAATACAGATGAAGATGTGCTTTCCAAGCCAAGAGGTGCCGATGCTCCTTACAGAATCCGCAACTACACTGGCTTTGACCTTCGAGTGTGGGCCGATGTTAGCGCAGGTGAGGAAGGCCCGGCCGCTAAATTGAGCGACGGCGAGGAATATCCTTGGCGATTCGAGGACTCCACTGCCATTCGAGAAACCCTCACCCCGAGGGCCACGGTGGAATTGTTGGTGTCAAGCTCGAGGGTAGCGGATTTGACAGTGTCAATCGAATTCCCGTGGTTCGAGAAGGCGAGGTTATCTACGGTCTCAAGCCCAAGCGGGATAATATTCTTCACCGTCTCTTGGTTGAGGTTACGCTTGGAGCAGATAACGTCAAGTACATCACATTTCGCTCACCCCTCTTGGTGGAAAACAACACTCAGATCCCCGTGGAGCTGGGCGTCTTCAACCCAAGTGATGGCCATCTACTGAAAATCGAGAAAATTCTTCCTGGCGATGCACGACCGGCGCCTGTCGGATCGGCTTATCTTCATTCCGTTGTCATTCGTCCTGACCAGGGCTTCGGTTACGATTGGTCACACGAGCAGCTCTTCTGGAAGGAACTTCTTCGACGGCCTACCCGGACCGTCAAGTGCGTTAGTGAAGGGGGTCAGCAATCTCCGCCATTCTATTTCCAAGTCAACGCCACCTTCGACAACAAAGACTCTCTTACAAACTCATATCCCTACATGAGAATTCGAATATTTGCCCCGGTGGAGATTCAGAATCTCCTACCCTATGACTTCAAATATCGCATCTATGACAAGAACACCAAGAAGGACTGGACGAACTTCTTGAGAAAGGGTGGTGTGAGTCCTGTGCATGTGGTGGAATTGTCTCACCTCCTGCTGCTTAGCATCGATCTAGAGGACACGGTCTTCCGACAAAGCGAGTTTGCTATTGTCAACGGCAATGCTCAGGATTATCGCAGAGAGCATACCCTGTCGTTAACAGATGAGCGTGGCCTCCAACTAAAGCTGAAGCTTCATTACTTCAATATCCCCGATAGTGGAGGAGCTTTCAAGGTTTCTGTTTACAGTCCGTACCTAATCTTGAACAAGACTGGACTTCCCATGGACATCCAGAGCAAAGCCTTCCTCCAGTCTGCGCGCAGTGCCGCAGGCCAAGGAATGAGAGTTGACCCAAGAGAAGGAGGCCGTGCCCTTCCTTACATGTACTCATATGGTGCCGAAGACAAGAAAAACAGGTCAATCCTGAAGATTGGCGATTCGGCTTGGAGTAAGCCGCAAAGTTTCGAAGCCATTGGTAGCACCTTTGAGGCTGCTTTCCCCGATAAACAAGGCAGATCTGAGTTCCACGCTGGCGTGTCAGTCGTCGAGGGTGAGGGCAAGTACAAGATGACCAAGGTAGTTACGATCGCGCCGAGGTTCATCTTGAAGAGCAAGCTCAATGAGGATCTTCTCGTTCGCGAACCTGGCTCATCTAGCGTTCTCGAGATCAAGAGTGGCGAGCTAGTTCCGCTTCACTTCCTTCGGCAGACAGCAGATAAGCAGCTTTGCCTCTGTTTCCCTGGTGTCAACAATCAATGGTCTTCTCCATTCAATATCGCCGACGTTGGAACCGTTCATATCAAGCTGGCCAAGGCGAACCAACGACAGAAGCTGATCAAGGTCGATGTCATTCTCGAGAATGCCACCTTATTCCTGCACTTTAGTTTCGAGACTCGCAACTGGCCATTCTCGATGCGTAACGAGAGTGACACAGAATTTATCTTCTACCAAGCCAACCCCAATGTGGAAGATGACGAGGAAGACCGATCCACTAGTTGGAAGCCTATCCGTTATCGCCTTCCTCCGCGAAGCGTCATGCCCTACGCGTGGGATTATCCCGCTACCAAGAACAAGTCGCTTACCCTCACATGCCAAGGAAAAGAAAGACGCATCAAACTTGCTGAAATTGGCAACCTGATCCCGATGCGAATCCCACCCCGACAACCTGGCGAGTATCAGAGAATCATCGATATCAACATTGTTGCCGATGGACCCACGCAGTCACTTGTTTTGTCCAATTTTAAGGCCTCTAAGAGTCTTTACAAGCAGCAGAAGAGTCACTCCTCACAGGCGAGCATGAGCACTGGATTTGAAGTCAAAGAGATGAACTCGGATGTGACCTTCAAGGCTCAACTTCGTCTAGGTGGAATCGGTATCTCCTTGATCAACCAAAACTTGAAGGAGTTGCTCTACTTGACATTCCGCGAAATTGAAATCAAGTTCCGGGAGTCGAAGATCTACCAGACACTTAACACAACCATAAAGTGGATCCAGATCGACAACCAGTTGTACGGTGGTATCTTCCCTATCCTTTTATACCCTAGTGTGGTCCCCAAGACTGGGAAGGAGATGGAGGCCCACCCTATTTTCCATGCGATGATAACCAGAGTCAAGGACGACTCATACGGTGTTCTGTACATCAAGTATGCCACTCTGCTTCTGCAGCAGATGACACTTGAGCTGGATGAGGACTTTGTTTTTGCTATGCTAGACTTCGCCAAAATTCCTGGGGCCTCGTGGTCTGAACCACAGGAGGGAGTGCTTTGTGACGAAGACCTCAACATTCCTGAGCCTCAACAGAATGATGCCGGCCAGGATGTTTACTTTGAGCTGCTACACCTCCAGCCCATGCAGCTCGATATTTCATTCATGCGGACAGAACGAGTCAATGTCGAGGACACCATGCAACCATCGAATCCCCTGATGTTCGTTGTCAATGTCATGACAATGTCGATGGGTAACGTCAACGATGCACCTGTTCGCCTCAACGCCTTGATGCTTGAAAACGCTCGTGTCTCCTTTGGAAGATTGTTCGGCAACGTTCGCGCTCACTACACCCAAGAATTCTTACGTCAAGTCCATGTGATTCTTGGATCTGCTGACTTTATTGGAAACCCGGTTGGCCTGTTCAACAACATCAGTTCTGGTGTGGCTGATATCTTCTATGAGCCATACCAGGGTCTTGTCATGACCGACCGCCCACAAGAGCTTGGCGTTGGAATCGCGAAGGGTGCCACAAGCTTCGTCAAGAAATCAGTTTTCGGATTCTCCGATAGTATGGCGAAGCTTACTGGAAGTATGTCCAAGGGCCTGACCGCTGCGACCCTGGACAAGGAATTCCAGGACCAACGCCGATTCTCCAAGTCCCGTAACCGCCCCAAGCATGCACTTTACGGTATCACGGCCGGTGGAAATGCATTTGCTACTAGTTTAGCAAGTGGTATTGGTGGCTTGGCGCGTCATCCTCTACAAGGCGCTGAGAAGGAGGGAGTCGCAGGGTTCTTCAAGGGTGTCGGAAAGGGTGTTATCGGCCTGGCCACTAAGCCCGCAATTGGTGCCTTTGACCTTGCCTCGAATTTAGCAGAGGGAGTCCGGAACACCACTACGGTCTTTGACGCCGAGGGCCTGGACCGTGTGCGACTGACTCGTTTCATCGGCATCGACGGCATCGTTCGTCCATATTCACAACGCGAAGCCCTTGGCCAATTCTGGCTTAAAACGACCGAGAATGGAAAGTTCTTCAACGAGGACTACATCGCTCATCTGGAGCTTCCCGGTCGTGAAATCATGGTCCTGTTGACGTATGTCAGAATTATGCTTGTGCGTACGAAGAAGCTCGATGCGGAATGGGACATCCGTCTCAAGGACATCCAGACCATTTCTAAGGAACGCACGGGAATGAGTATTACACTCAAGGGTGGTGCCAATGGGCCCTTCATTCCTGTCCAGGATGAGAGCTCTCGAAACTGGCTGTACAGACAAATTGCCGTTGGTAAGTACTGACTGCCCTCAGTGACCGTGAATTCCCGATACTAACTAGTTTATCCTCGCAGCGGTGAACGCATTCAATGAAAGGTATAATCGGGGATAGACAGGCGCATTGCCAATCTGTAACGATGTCATGAAAATGGACTGCATCATAATTTGGGCCAAAGACCACAAATTGGCGAGGGCCACTCGCTTCACTTTTTTCTCTCAGTTGTCTCGTTGGAAATTGCAATGTTCTCCTTCAATTCACGTATATAGTTCGTTCTGCACATTTTTGCTTTCATGTTCTTTTTTGGCCCGTTTCTATCCAACCTATTCGCACTATACGTATACAAAGCGAATGTTAATATACTTAGAGGGTTTATAAAATATTCCGGGTAGAGGTACTCATCTACTACGAGTAGGCAGGTGCCAAGGTGTAAGATGGATTCTGATAACAAGATTCGTCTTAATAGCTTTTCCTAAATTCATCGTGAGCTCGCCGCTGAGAGGGCCCAGAGAACCTTGGAGGGCACTGGGAACAACTTCTTAGTGAAGATTGGAATCTTCCAGGAGTAGTAATCTACTACGATCGAGACATGTCACTCAACTAAGATGGATAGTACGGGCCTGGCCAAAAGTAATTTGACATCATCTGACTAGATTGTGTCACAAGAACTCGTGCTTACTACATTTGCCTACTCAGTTCTGCAAAATGAGAACGACACGAACTTGAAAATCGTAAAAATTTTTGTCCCTGCCGTAGAGCGTGCTTACAGTAATGCCTTCATTGACAGAAAAGGATATCACCAACGAAATTCTACCAGCAAACTGCGAGCTAGGGTAAATTTCATGTGCGTGGCTACCGTCGCATTGATACGGCTGGTGACTGGAATTCTAGAAGAAATGTTTCTCGGGGCTGCTGGCCTGAAGATTGATAAAATGTGGACGGTTAAGTACCTAGGTATCCCATTGGGAGGACCTCCCCCGGTTTGGATTTATCGAGTTGGGTATGGCGTGTTCACTCTGATAGTATGTACTTAAATTGTTTTATGTAGCCATAATTTTTGGACCAAATATCATCCAAGGCAGTTTGACGAGCGGTCCAGGGCGATTGACTAGAAATAAATTCTCCTCGGAGCTGACATGCCAGCTGTCGTTTTCTTGCAATTCAAGTCCATTTTGAATTCCAAGATTGAGTTGGTCCAGGTAGTTGGGGGTCAACCCAATAGGTAGATAAGCAGCGTCATTTATTGCGATTGCTCTGAATGCAAAAACTTCCGGTTGGCTCTGTTAACCTGGTAGCAGAGTGCCACAACAACTGTATTAATTATATCGATAGCCTCGGATAGTTCTCCCGCGACTCTAGGAATACCCCGATTTGAAGGATCTGCGAAAAGTTCAAACTCATCGTGGCTCGGCAGCTGGGTCCCTAGTGATGATAAGTCAGATTTACTGTTGCCAAGATAACTCTGAAACCAAGGCAACATATATTGATTTCGAGGAAGATGCACAAAACTCTGACACTGGGGAAATATTGCTCCATTATCCAGTGAGAAGGCGGTTCCTGCCCCGATAACTCCGATGCCAAGTTACTAGGGGTCATCATGCAATCATCGGGGAGTATGTATTTTCCAGTACGACGTGAGTTCGAAGGAGTTTCATACCTCATGGAAATTTCGAAAGCGAAATATGATTTGAAGCCAATGAAGAAATTTGTTATTCAAGTTTATACATATAAAAAAATTCCCTCCTAAGTGTATCAAATAAACAAAGAATTTATTTCTCTCTAGACTAACTAGAGCATAAAAATGCTCCAATCAATTAACGACCTGTCAACTGCCAACGGTCATAGTGCTATACTAAGCACGCCTGACTATGTTACAGACTGTGTTATAGTTGGGACGGGACCGTCGGGAGGCTCGCTGGCATCCTTTTTGGGATCTTATGGTAAATGATACTGGATGACTTTCCGAGCCAACTACAAGGTACTGATTGTCATAGGAATCGAGGGAATTATGATTGGCAAATCATCTACAACAGCCCAGACTCCACGTGCACATATCACAAACATGGCAACTATGGGTATGGAGACTCTCAATGACAGACGAAAAAGATAGAGGGATTAACAGCCATGAAGAGTGCATGCGAGATATTGGCTTAGAGGATGAATGTCGCAACTCTGGCTTGGATTGGTCTTACATGACACACGTACACTGGAGCGAATCAATGACCGGCCAAGAATACGCTCGCCTACCAGCTTGGGGCAATGGCCCAAGCAAGGTAAGTTACCCGTTCCGAGATCTCGAGAGTTTTTTGCGGTTGGCGAGTACTAAATTAGAAGCCTGAAAGACTCGGTACAAGGCTGCTAGCCCATGTCCACCGATGGATCTTCCGCAGACTTTACTGGAGCCAATATTGATCCGGAAGGCTGTAGAGTCTGGTTTCATCGTCCGCTTCGATACTGAATTCGTTTCGTTTTCAGAAAACGATCATCATGACATCGTACAGGTAAAAGTGAGAGATTTGGTCTTTAACAAAAATTTGACAATCCACTGCAAATATCTTTTTGGTTGTGACGGGTCTCACAGCCGCGTTTTGGAACAACTCAACATCCCGATTGTAGTTGGAAAAGGTGCCGGTATAAAAGCATGGGACCTACTGGTGCGAGTTGACTTGTCCCACCTAGTGAAATTTCGGGATGGAAGCCTTCGTTGGACATTTCAAGATGATCATATCTGCCCGGGTAAACTTCTTATTGTTCACCCTCGAATGTACAAGCCTTGGACGGAATGGGTTGTCGGGTTTTCCTGGGCTCCGGGCTCAGAGCCGGACTCAAATGTCGTTCCAACACATGAAGACTGGCTGAAGCGATTGAGGAAAATGATCGGAGACGAAAATGTGGAGCCGGAAATTTTGGACATTGTGAGGTGGGAAATGAACAATGCCATTGCGGAGCGGTCGTCTCAAGGACGCGTCTTTTGTCTTGGGGATGCAGTTCACCGGCATGGTCCCGGTGGGGCCCTAGGGTCAAATACTGCTATACAGGATGCGTATAATCTTGCGTGGAAGGTCGCATATGTATTAAAAGGTATGTTTTTCATTTCGAATTTGCTCAATCATAGAGTTACGTAGGCTAACTAGTCGACGGCAGGACAAGCTGGTCCTCAGTTACTTGAAACGTACTCTATGGAGCGAAACCAGGTTGGAGCTCAAGCTGCTTCGAGGTGAGTTTAAATATTTCCATGTCTATTTAAATCTAGCTCAAGTTAAATCTCCAGTTCGATGAATGCCGTTCTTGCAAATTTCACCATTTTGGAAGCCTTAGGCGCCCAAGGAGGTACCAGTGTCAAAAGAATGAAAGACCGACAAACAAAGTTTGCTGAAAACAGCGAGGAGGGCAAGGGGCTACGCGCAAAACTGCGAAAGGCGCTCGAGGATTCTAAATTTGGAATCGAAGGGCTTGGTAATGAGATGAACCAACATTATCAATCTAGCGCTGTCTGGAATCAAAATGAGAATAAGCGACCGGAAATGCTAGAGCCGCGATTAAACTACTACAAAACCACATGTCCGGGATTTCGGCTTCCACATGCATGGCTGAATACGACCATTCCTTCAACCCCGATTTCCACTATTGATCTTGCTGGGCACGGACGTTTTACCATCTTCACCGGAATTGGAGGGGAGAAGTGGAAGATATCTGCGCAACGGGTGAAAACTATCCTCGGGTTAGATATTGCAGTGTTCTCAGTTGGGCATGGTCAGGACTATGAAGATCCTTACTTTGAATGGGAGGATTTTCGAGAGATAGATGAGTCCGGTGCTATCCTAGTCCGACCTGACCGCTTCGTAACATGGCGCAGCAAAATGGTCAAGGTTGACTGCGAAGCCACGCTTTTAGCGGTGTTTAGAAGAATTTTGTCACTTTAGAAGGAATCAACATTAGTGTCAATTTCCTTTTACATTTATACTGTTCAATATCATCGAAGACGTCTAGCACTGAAAATACCTGGATATGTTATGTTGGGTTAGGTATAGTAGTATGTTCTAAATATCGAGCTCTTGAGCCGCCAGCCATTCTTGGAATTTCAGTAATGCCTGATAACGATGGGACAGCCCATTCTAAGCCAAAGTTAGTTTCAATCATCACACCCGTAGTAAATATCGAAATGCATCGCATACCTTTTTCTCGTGTGCCATTTCCGCAAGGGTTTCACCCTCGTGTTCAAATATTGGCTCCCAGCCTGATGTCCAGATGTGCATTAGTAGAAATTTCGAATATGCTGATGAATGGAAAATAGTATTTACCAAAGACAGGTGGCCCTCTTGCAGAAACGATTTGTCCCTTTTATGTAAATCATGAGTGACAGGAACCAATTTGAAGTTTATTTATGGTGATTCTGAACAGACCTTGAGCCTTCCTTGGAAGGTGATGGGCTCGGTAGAAGGCCCTGTAGTAAATGCAAATGTGCATACAGCTTCTGCCGTTTTATCGGTATATGAATGCAACAATTTATTGAGGCCATCATTTCCGAGCTGCTCGAGAAATTGCTTTCTAATTTTTATAAGAAATGTCAGATAATCAAATACCAGTGAGATACCTACTAGTCAGTATCTTTTACTAGCATATTTCAAGTTGCAAAAGCTTCTTGTATTCCACTTATAAAGGTTGGTGGTATACTCACATATAAGGACCCGGAAGCTTATTCATCGCATTGAATTCCAACGCAGAATCCTCAACGATGACCGGTCCTTCTACCTGTAAATTAATCGGAATTAGAGACTATACCAACGGGAATCGATAAGATAATTTTCTGACAATTTTGGCAGCACGTCGACATTTGTCTATTGCGATTTCTTCCAACGTGCCTTGGATTTCTGGAAGGTCCAATGCACGCGGCTCTATCGCTATTTTGTCTCCCACGATAGCATTGACCTCGATAATCTTGTTAGGGTTACCAGTCACGAACGTGCACGTCTTCATGGTGGATGAGGTCTGATGTGTACGGAGTACCTATAGCCCACCACGAGAGAATTAAAGTCTTTGTGAAGGAGGGGAACACTAAACCGCATTAGGACTGGCCTAGGCTTAGTAGTTGGCGCAGTGAATAGCTACTATCTACAGGTTTACGGCTTGTAATTCAATTCTTTGAATAGATGATGGATTTTTGATATTCAGTTCAATACTGGAGTTCATATGACATAATTTACTGGAAGCTAGACAATATATAATATTTCTTTCTCAAGTTCCTATCCACATGGCAATGAGCCCACAATTTGCCAGTGAGCATGGATAAGTTGACCCTTGACCGAGTGACTTGGAAAGTTAAAAAATCTCATAGCGTAACCAGCGTAGGTCTACTCCAGATCTTCACATCCGGTGTCTGGCCCGATCGGTAAAATTTGCGGGTTATGAGTGGATGAGAGAGAGCCTGCCGGGTATCCGTCGGTTAACTGACGCTCGCTTGCTGGTTTCGGCATATCTTGATCCAGTATTAATACCGCATGTCTAAGTTGCATTTTAGCCACTTTCGATCTTGATTCTTCTTGGAGTTTAATTCACTTCATTTTTTGCAGTAGATATCATTGTCTCAGATCCCCACTAAACAAAGAATTAGGGCCCTCATACCCAAACTAATGAGTGAGTCACCTACGAACTTGACTCCTCTCCGGGGCTACTTGATTACAACTTGACGCCATGCGCAATCCCAAATATCGCAGATATTCTTAAAGAAATCGACTCTTCAAAATATTGCACTTGCTCATTTCACGATTTTTCTCCAGAAATATCTTCAACTTGAATCAATTATTACTATGTCGGATTCGCAAATGGAATACGTCCGGTACGAGTCCCGCACCCGCAGCAAAGTGTCACAACAGTACCTGATTATTGACAATTGATGGGATAAAGATTGGGCAACTCGGGCCTAAAGATCTCCAAGATCATTCTGGGTACCATGTCCTATGGCAGCAGGCAATGGCAAGACTGGGTCTTGGACGAAGAGGAAGCCTTGCCCCTCATTGAGCATGCCTACAAGAAGGGAATCAACACCTGGGATACCGTAAGTGAACTGTGATTCTGACACAAAGGATTACAGCCCCTACCAATTGGAAATCGTGCTCATTTGTGGTAGGCGGATGTCTATGCGCATGGTCGGTCCGAGGAGATCGTCGGCAAAGCCCTGACGAAGTACAACATCCCACGTAACCGCGTCGTGATCTTGACAAAGTGTTTCTACGGTGTTGACGACGAAGGCAAATTCCCACCTATCGCTGCTACGGCATGCAATGGCGGCGACTTCGTCAACCGCGTTGGTCTGTCTCGCAAGCATATCTTCGATGCTGTGGACGCCAGTGTCAAGCGACTGGGAACCTACATTGATGTGTTGCAAATTCACCGTCTGGATCGAGAGACCCCTCGTGAGGAGATCATGAAGGCTTTGAACGACGTGGTCGAGAGTGGAAAGGTGCGCTACATTGGCGCCAGCTCAGTAAGTATTCAGTCTGCAAAGCGACACTTGCACCCCCGGAACTTCTTTTCGTGGAAAATGGTGTACCATACTTATGATGATTCACAGATGGCTGCCTGGGAATTCCAAACCCTTCAGAACATCGCCGCTCGCAAAGGCTGGCACCAGTTCATCTCGATGCAAAACTACCACAACCTCATTGCTCGCGAAGAAGAGCGTGAGATGATTCCCTACTGTCTCGACAGTGGAGTTGGACTCATCCCATGGTCTCCTATGGCTCGCGGTGTTCTCACCCGACCTTGGGGCTCCCGGTCGAGTGTGCGTGAGAACACCGATGGCGCATTGAAAATGCTTATTCGCAGCCGCGAGACCGAGTCCGACAAGGCGATTGTTGATCGCGTGGAGGAGCTGGCGGGTAAGAAGGGGGTGAGCATGGCACAGATCTCTCTGGCTTGGTCTTTGGGTCACCAGAGTGAGAACCCTATCGTCGGACTGAGCAGCATCGAGCGGATTGATGAGGCCGTGGCCAGCCTGAAGATTACGCTCACCTCAGAGGAGATCCAGTATCTAGAGGAACCCTACGTGGCCAAGGCTGTCGCTCCCCTCGAGCGGTAAAATAAATGATAGATCTCATTCATGATGGTAATAGATGTGAATGTGGATATAGTATATAGGGACTATTCCATTATTTCGCAACAATTTGAAGGCCGAGTCGGATCATGATGGATTACACATTCCAAGGTTAAATCTTAGGTGATTAGATATGATTCTGAGATCTCCCCCAAACGCGTTTTCATCCATGAGTGAGGACAGCAATCAAAGTCTATTTTATGTCCTAGAGCAAGCAGAGTCACAGCCTCGCGATCGACTGTTTCTATCCACGTCATGATATAGTGTTGATGAATTCAAAGAGCATTGGCTCTCAAACCGGCTCACAACTTTGTTGACAGAAATGCTAAACACGAGCGGATGGCTCATAAGTTCGCCCAGTGGACTATTGGCTCTGAGGGCCAGAATTTTATCACTGACTTTAAGATAAATAACAAACAGCTGCACATCGGTGCGCCCGCTAACCGGACGGCGCAGCTCTAAAATGGCGGTCTAACTTGGATGCGCTGTCAGTCAGTGGTGGCTGAGCTGTTCTGACCGACTGCGAGAAACATAATGAATGCCAGTGGATGTAGGCGATGAAGCCAACCCTTCGATGGGAAGACAGTTTGTAACTCAGCAAGGGAAGATATTAATATTGGCCAGGAAATTTTTGATTGGTATGGTATTTATTCGTAAATAATTTACCGAACTTGGCGTATTCATGTCATAGCTGAAGCTAGACTAGGTTGGAACCGAGTTCTAGTCATAGGTAAAAAGAAAAAAGAAAAAAGAAAGGTGCATACAGGAAGATAGCAACTGTATGCGACGATCACATGGTTGATCCGGGTGTCATGGCACCGCAGTACCAGAAATGCTAGCTATTCAGAATAAAGAGCCCCTGGAGGTCACATTCGAAGTGAATTAGACAAGATCAGAGCCGAGAGAGAAGAGGTGGTAAGACTCCGTACCAGACGAGTCATCTACCGGAGCAACGCCTATCCCAGATGCAATTGGGCACTGAGATAATGCTAGATAAGAAAATACAGACAGATCGCTGATAAGATGCAGATGCAGGGGTATAAGTATTTGAAAAGAGAGGAGACTTGGCAGGGGAAGTGGGGAGTGTGAGGAGAGGTATCAATGGACCGTTCCTTTTCGGTGGAACATCGTGAAGAGAGAACTGAATCGGTGGCGTCGTTTGGTTTTTGTGTAATCGATATCCTTGTCATGATCCTGCCATGACGGTGGGAATGCCGCTGAGTGACGATCGACAGTGGCTCGGTCAGGTTGGAGAGTTGGCTTGGAATTTTCGTTGGCGTCCCGAGGGTTGGATTTGGTCTGATCGGGACGTTGGGTAATGTCATCGGGATCGAAGGAACTCTGACGCAAGGACGCAGGGCGAGAAACGACAACTTCACGACCGTTGTCGCCTGTGGCAGTGAACATACTGTGTCGGTTGAGTCGGGTGGTGATCCCTGAGGCGGTCCGTTGCTTAGCTCTTTCCATGAACGCCGCACCGGTTGAATTCGAGCGCTTGGAGAGACTGCCGAAGGATTTATCCCCTTCCGCCGGAGTTGTGGTGACTGGGCGACGGAAACTGGATACGGACATACAGCGCTTGCCGTTGTTAGTCACTTCCTTCATTGGGCTTAAATCATCCTGTCCATTGGTATTTTTGTTTTCGTTCTTTGGGACAGCTGGCGAGCCAGTTCGGGATGAGACCGGGGAGACAATCGGTTTGCCGTTGGAGCTAGACAAAGGGTCGCGGTAGCTGAAGTTGGGGGACCAGCCTTCTCGAAAGGCAACCCAGATACTAGTCGTGATGATCAGCGTGCGCAGACCATCGTCGAGAGTGATGAGGTCGTTGGACTCGATGGGGGTTTCAGTGTCAGATAGGTCACTGATGACAGACATCGCCGAAGTGGGGGTCGTCGGTCCAGTATTCGATCGAACATCTGCGGAATATTCATCGAAAACCTCCAACTGATTGCGAGTCATAGAGGCGATGACGGGGTGTCGACGAGTGTGGGGGTCGATGACGCTAAAGGTAAATCGCTTGCCCTCTTCGCGCGACTGAGTGACCGGGTGAACCGATGAAGATCGGCGACTCTTTCCAGCACGCAAGGCCCATCGCATCACTCGCAGGCCATTCTCTGTGCGCGCGACGAACTCATAGGAGCCGCTCGGTAGCGGGGTTGCTTCCCAGACGGGCCCAAAGTTGAGGCAGATTTCAGCTTTCCCTTTTAGATGCGCATCCTCCTGGAGCATCTGACAGATGGTAGCTACCACTTCTCGGTGATCATGATTTTCAGCCTCAAATTTTGGCGCCTTTTCTGGGATGCTTGAAACAGTACGCTCGTATAATTCACTCATGACGATGACCAGGTCATTCGGGCCCAGCCCATTTCGCCCGCGAAACAATGCGGGAAACTTGCCCGCGAGAAGGGAATTGTAGATTGTGGATGGTAAGATGTCTAGAATCGGTAAAGGACGCGGTGTTTGCGACACCTGCTGGAGCTGAAGCAATAGCCTGGGGCGCAGTCTGAGTCGTTTGTGGCGGGCATGCGAAGCTGGATGGGCGAGCTGGTACGAGGTCTTCGGCCGTGTCGACTTCCGATTCGTAGACGAGCTGACACGAGGCCGGGCGAGAGGCGGTGGTGGCGTTGGGGTTTGAGAGGACTCGCCTTCGCGAAGTGTCGCCGCAACGGGACTCATGGCTGGGGCGGATACAGATTCCGCGGCCTGGACAGGACCATCGATCTGTTTGGGGTTGTAGAGACTCCCCAGGAATGGTAGAGCTGGGAGTAAAAAGCCCGCAGTGTAGCAGGAAGGAGAACTGGGAGCTGAAGGTGTATCTGGCTGCGGAGAGGAGGGATCGGTAGAATGGGCTGCTGCGGCATCCGCTGTGAGGCCAAGATTCAGCAGCATTCTTGGACTCGGCGGAGCCACATTGATGGGGCTTTACTGGGACTTGGAGTATGTATCAGGGTGTTGTTAGTTGACCCCGGGAATCCGCGTACACATCCAGGGTCAACGCGTCAGCTGCGGGGATTGAAAGTGGGGGAAGAAGCGAAGGGATATAAGGGGGGTCAAAAGAGGGATGTATGCGTGTGAGAGGTAGAGAAAGAATGAAGGTCAGAGGTAATGAGGTGTAGAGTGTATAGGTCAGACCAGGTCGGGTCAAGGTCAGTGACAAAAGGGAAAGAGTGAAGGGAGTCACGGGGATGCAAGGGGAGGAGATGCTTCTTTGGCTTCCTTTTTGTTTCTTTTTCCCTTTCTTTTTTCTCTCTAGGACTACACCAGAGCTAACAGCGGTCAGCCTTATACAATTGGATTGGATCAAATTGGAAATCGAAAATGAAAATGAAAATGAAAATGAAAATGAAAATGCAAAAAAAGGCCCACTCCACTATACTACACTAAGATGGAGCGGATCGGTGATTGCGGCCTCCGACACATCCGGCGGCGCGATCGCCCTAAAGCGCGAGCCATGTGAGGCTCCGACTCCGAGAGAGTGCGTCATGCTGAGGTGAATGAAGAGAAACTTCCTCGTTTGTTTGGTCCTTTTTGGTCCTACTTGGCCCTGGGCGTATCTTGGCGACGCCCCTGCGGCTTTGACGGTTACTTTATTGGTCAATCAGAAAGTGGCCATAGTATGTACTTCGCAATGGCGGCGCCGAACTTCTTCAGCTACCTAGCTACTAGCGTCCCTTCTACTCTGTTTTGGTTTTAGGGCAATCGACCGGGGTGCGCAGCTACCCTAGGGTATTACTAGTACTAGTTATAAGTTATGCATACTATACTTAGAGAAAGCTAGCCCGCGTGTCTACTACTAGTACTACTACTACCAGCACTCTTTTACAAAGGGAAGTATAGTATAGCATCGCCCAGGTTTTAGTACCTCGGAACCTAGTCCTTCCAAGGTTACTAGTACTAGTAGCAGAAACGGAGTCGATGCATAATCACTATTCTTGAGTGAGAGATTTAGAGGGGTCCGGACCAGGTGGGGAACAAGTCATGCCAACAGCAGACTTTTTTTTTCGTGGAACTGAGAAAAAGCACCGGGGCAACCACTAGATATTAGACACTAAACACGGGACAAACCTTGATCTCTGGAAGAGCTACCGAGGATCCAACGGAGTAGTACGGAGGAAGCAAATGTATTAGCAAACCAAAGCCGCGGAAGTCGGCAAGGAAAATCGCCGAAATCCTTCTCACCGGCTTGGTTCGGAGCAGCTCGTAAGGATGAAGGATGAAGGATGAATCAAACGATGGGTACGGAGTAGTCCGTAGCATCGAATCAATTATTGAACTTTTGGAACTGGGGGGACAATACTATAACTAACACTCAGATATAGTTGCAGCTTTCCAGTTTTACACTGTCTCTGATAGGGCTGAGAGCTGAGAGCTGAGAGCTGAGGGCCGAAGGGCCGAAGGGTCTGGTCCCGGGGTGGGTCAAGTTCAAATTCAAAGAGAATTAAATGCTAAAAGGTTGTTTTCCGTACTCCATACTCCGTACATACTATCAACCTCTTTTCTAGAACAGGGGATCTTTGCCAGATTAATCTGTCGGATGACCAACTGCCAAGATAGGCCTTGTCGTGTGCGTATGGCCAGCGGTTGCCACCGGATGGTGATCCTCCAATGTACTACAGAGTACGGAGTGAAATGCCACTGCCAGTAAGAGGATGATGATCTTGGAGAATGTTTCAAAACGGGAGAGAACCTTGGAATATTGCCACTAGAGAGTACTGTATGTGCTGTAGTGTTCTATTCGGCATGACGGAAGGTCCCACACCCGCTGACTCAGTATTTGTGCATAATTTATGCGCATCTCGGACATCGGCACTATCACTACCACCATCACTCCGACTAGCACTGGCACTGGCATTGGCATCCATCTCGTGAACCGGGACCTACTTCAAAATTAAATCGCCATAGCTAATCACTGCCTCGGTTCCTTCCGAGCTCTTTGCTAAACGCCCCTCACCTTAATTCGAATGATCCACAGTGTCACGCCACTTGGGAATGTCCTCAATTGGCCGTGGCGCCGCCTTGTTGCGACTGGATAACCCTAGTCGGAGCTTGACCGTGGCCTTTGCGCTCTGGAAAGCTCTCTTGTTCCTCGTCATCGTTGCTTGTCCAGGTCCCGGATACGATACCTCTACTACCCTCCTCACCAACGAGCATTCCGGTCTAGCCCCTGACAGCTCGACCACCGCGCTCCCTCTGTCTTTCAAATTTGCCCGATGGGATGCAATTTATTTTGTACACTCCGCCGAACATGGCTACGTGTTTGAGCAGGAGTGGGCTTTTAGTTACCCTCGAGTCCTCGGTTTCTTTCTCTCCGGTAAGTTGTCATCCCTAGTCTACTTGCAACCCTCGGTCGTTCGTTTTGTTGATTTGTTATCACCAGGAATCCGCCTGTCTGGCGGCCTGAGTGGACCGGTAACGGCAGCTTTGATCGGCGTGGCCTTGTCTCACGTCGCCCATTACCTCTCCGTGTTGGCCTTGTATGGCCTTTCGGCCAATGTTTTCGGCCATGAAACTCCCACCCAGAGGCTTATCTGCTTTTTGTCGGCTGCTCTGCACATCATCAGCCCAGCGGGCGCCTTTCTCTCGGCCCCGTACGGAGAATCGATATTTTCATTCCTGAATATCTGGGGCTTCTATATCTATACATCATCGCTCATTGCTGATCATAAGGGCGCGGTCCGGTTCCGAGATATTCTCGTTCTCGCGGCTGCCGTGCTTTTCGCTCTGGCGACACTCGTCCGCAGCAACGGCATTTTGAGTGGGTTCTTATTCGCCTACGATGCCACCACCTTAGCCTGGTCGACTTTGACAAAGGGACCTTCTAGCCGTACCCTTCGTCGCCTTGCCGTGATCGTTTTGGGGGGGCTCAATTGTAGCATTGGGAATGGGCGTACCGCAGATCCTGGCTTACCGCGAGTTCTGCTTACTAGGGGCCAATTCTCGGCCATGGTGTAGCTGGACTGTGCCTAGCATCTATACTTGGGTGCAGGGTCAGTATTGGTATGTGATATCCCCCACGTCTGGCGGCTAATTGAGTTGAGCACACTTCTAGACCCCTGCTAACACATGTAGGAACGTTGGGTTTCTTCGGTATTGGACGGTTTCCAACATCCCTTTATTCTTACTGGCTGCGCCAATGCTGGTGATTTTTTGCAAATCGTCCTGGTGGGCGCTTCAAGCTCCATCAACCTTGGCGTCTGGATCTGGTGGTCACTCTGCCTCGGCTGTCAGTCCGGGGTCGATGCTTTTCCGTCTTGCGGTACCCCAGGGTCTACTGGCGATCATGGCATTGACTAGTTATCATGTACAGATCATCAACCGGATCTCATCTGGATATCCCTTATGGTATTGGTGGTTGGTGTCGACAGCTATGGACGGGTTGCAGGGTCCCCGCAAGAGCCCGAGCCAGAGCCGCAGCCTTCTCTCGGTCGCGACCCAAGCCATGGTGGGCTATGCGTTGATCCAAGGGGTTCTCTTCGGTTCTTTTTTGCCGCCGGCATGATTATTCGCACTTGTGAAAATGAATTAATCACCAATGACAGGCATTAATCGGATCGTAATAACTTTGTGGTTGGACCAGGTGTGTGTTCCGCTTGCGTAAGGATTCTGCCTAAGTTGGGCTGGGCTGGTGAGGCGTACTCTCGCTGCCTGGTAAAGAAAACCCAAAAACCACGTATCCCGGGATAAATTCAAGTAGATAAAAGGTAGGCAAAATCTGAATGAGAACAGAAAAATATCTAAATCGACCTAGTGAACTAACTTAACTATACGATGTACATTACTCGTAGTTCGGTTTAACTTCTAGTACTGCAGCTCTCCTCTCTTTGGCAGTTACCGTGGAATTATGTCATCCAGCTCCAACTTGAGACCTCATCCTTCTGGTTGAACCTCCTAGCCCTCCCCAAGGTTGTTGATTACTCCCTCAAAGAACCACCATCCCTCGATTACTAAGAGCTGGCCCCCAACTTGATCCCCAGCCCACTTTGGAGCTTCGCGTTGCTTTTCCCGAGAGCCCAATACCTCATGCGCTTCCGGCCGTGTGCAACGCTTCCTCCGGTCTCAACTCTCCTACCCAGCGGCGTGGAATTCCGAGTCTTGTGGTGAAAAAGGTATGCTAACATCCAAATTGCTGCTTCCTGTGATATGACACGGTGATACTTCTAGGAACTTCTTTTTCGGGCTTGCTGACGTATCTCAGATCAGACCCCGATCTGACCTCCACGCCAACTCCCTTCCTCGCCCCCATCTCCACCTTCCCCCCCCTCGTCCTCCTACCCCCTCCCTCGCATGCGATTATGGACGCCTCAAGCCTCAAGGCGATTCTGACATCTGATAATTTCCCCCATGCCTCGGAGATCTCCCGGGCCACCTCACCAGGTGGTGAGCCTGCCGCGGTAAACGGCAGTGGCGAGCCCAAAGCCCGTGTTCGCCCGCGCACCTATCCATACTTTGAATACCTTCCATATCCGTTAGAGGATGAGACAGAACGGGAAAGGACTCTGAGAGAGATCTTGAATCAGCTATATGTGTCCGTGGAGGCCGGCGATTTCAGCCCGGGAGCTGTCCACTGGACACGCGAGCTCCGAGGATGGCTATCGTTGAAATTCGACCCGACTCGAAAGGAGCGGATCAACCTTGTGAAGCTGTACTACGAGCTTTCGTTAGCTCCCGGGATAGATCCCGGGGTCTCTGAGCGATTTGCGAGCATGTTCATGCTTCTTACCAAGTGAGTGATTCCCAGATAACCTGGATGAGCGGGGAAGCTTTGGTGCTAATCATAACGCAGGCGCAAGCACTATCTTCGACCCGTGAAAGACCTCACCCTTGACTGGAAGCCTCTCTACAAAGAACTGAAGGCCTTCGTACTCCCGACCGAGTCCGGATTGGTTCACTCGACAAACCTGAAACGGAATGTGAAGACGTTGACCAAGCTTTGCGCCTTCGCGCAGCTGTTCATCGACCCATGCGAGGTTCCCGCGATGCTTGAAGAATTCCTCCCCCATTACACAACCTCTTTCTCTGAAGGCGCTTTCGTGGTCGCGGGGTTGATCAACCTGTTGCTTCCAACATCGCCCGCTCCCGCGGACCGACAAGACCTCCTCCCTCAAACCTATCTACCGACTCATTTCCACCTATGGTCCCTGGTTGGGCGCTCGAAGACTTTCGACACAACATATTTGGACTATTTGTCACGGTTGGCTAGGGATTCCTTGACAGCCGCTCATATCCCCTTCTCCGAACATGGTCTTTTTACGAAAGAACAATCCGCGCTCATCTTCACAGCGACCCTGCGACTCTTGGAGATCCCAGTAGGACAGTCTTCATCGCCTTACAGCGCCTTGGTAGATATTTCTTCCGGGTTGGGTATTATGCTTGATCGCGATACACGGAAGCACCCTGTTGCCCACCACATTGCCCGTTGGATAGTGATGTCGCTTTCCCCTGCTTGTCTGGAGTCTGAAGATTCCGTTCTCTCGCATCTGGAGGGCCTCATTCAGGCCGTTGAGACATTCTTCCATCCGTCGAACTCAGGTAGCTGGACAAAGACTCTATCACAATTAGTTTATTATCTAACGGACTTCTTCGTGATGCGTTGGAATCGTGAGCAAAGTGGAGAGATGGAAGTACCGGCTGAGCGACGACTGACTGAGCCATTGAAGCGCCGCTTTGTCTTGTGTCTGAGGGACGTAATCTTCATGGGTATCTACGCCAAGAGCAGCACTGCCATGACTTTCTCGCTGTCCACCCTTCAAGGCCTTGCCTATTTGGAACCCCATCTGATCCTTCCCGGGGCCTTGCAGAGAATTTATCCCGCACTACAGGGTCTAGTCGAAGTTCATCGGACAACATCCTCCCTGCGCGCCATGCAAGTACTATCTCGTGTTATCACTAGAACCAGGGGTTATCGTTGTCATATGACAACTCTCCTTGGTCTTTCTTTGCCTGGTATTGATGCCAACGATCTGGAGAAGTCGCTCCATGCCCTTTCTTTTATCCAGTCAGCATGCTACAACATCCCTATGGTTGACATGACTCAAGGAAGAGAAGATGTTAACTGTAACATGCTGGCCATGCAGTGGATTTCTGGCGAAATGGAGCGAATGGAAGAAGAAGGGTCTGACGTGCAGTTCAATTACGATACTGAACTTGACGATACAACGGAGGAAATGATTTTGCGATCATCAACCTGTGGTTTTGGCGATTTTACCATCTCGTTCCTTGGCCGGGTTTTCACACTTCTCGAGAACCTGCCAGATGTCACTCGAGTTCGCAATGGCTCCCCAGAAGAAAACATTGTGAACACATTGCCCGCTACGTTCATGCCTCTCCTTGCCTCCCTATCACCCGAATACTACGATATTGCCCTCTCCAAGATCGTCGATTTTGTATCCAACCACGTCATTCACCAGGCTCGAGACGCCATGGCCTTCATTTGCAATGCACTTTGCAAAGTCAATCCTGAAAAGGCGCTCAAGCGGTTCATCCCAGTTCTTACCCAAGCGATTCGCACCGAAATTGAGGACAATGGTGCCGGATCGACCCGAACAACTGGTACAGACGTTTTGCCTCGTGATCGTGGCTTGGTTTGGAACGTCAGCATGTTGAGCATGTGCGTGGTTCATGTTGGCGATGCCGTCCTGGCTCATCGCCAGGAGCTCTTTGACATCGCAGTTTACATGCAGAACAAATGTCGCGGTATCCCAACCGTTCATATCTCCAATTTCATTCACCATCTCTTGCTTAATCTCACTGGAACATACACCAGTGATTACTCCCTCTACGAGAAGGCGGATTCAGCTGGCGGAATCGGGCCGAAGCACTGGAGTTACAGCGCTGATGTGCGAAATCTCAATATCAATTGGCATGTGCCTAAGCGCGAAGAGCTGGAGTTCGCCGTCGATGTCTTCAAAAACCAAGCCGAGTCGGCGTTGAAGCATTTGACTGGGTTGACGAATGAGACCTCGAGCGTCAAGCGAGACGGCAGCGGTAAGGAGTGGTCTGATGAAGTTACACGAAACTTGGTGCTTCTGCGGCTGCTCCTCTCTGGTATTTCCGTTCTCTTTGATCCCAAGGCGGCAGCCAAAACCTCGCCCGATATCTTGAAGAGCGCATCTGCCGTCTCCAGTGAGTTTGAGCAAGCGGAGGATTCTACTTTCTCCAACGGGACAAGCGATGAAGAGGCCGAGGCTGCTCTCGATAATACTGACGAGGCCCTCATCAGGGAAAGTTTCCCTTACCCGACGGGATATCCGCTACACGAAGGGGATTCTCTCTACAACACCATCCACGAGATCCGCGAACGAGCTGGTTGGGTCCTGCATGAGACTCATCGTTTCCTGAGCGACAAGCAGGAAGATGATGTGCCTTGTTTCGGAGCTCTCTACTCGGCATTCCGATCCTGGTTTGTGGATGTTGGTATCGAAAGATCAGCTCACGTCCTGGACCGTGTCACACGACTTCTGGCTGCTGACATTCACCCATACAAGATGAGTGGTGTCCGTAAGGACTACCCAAGAGCATTGCTTGTGCGAAGAGCCAATGTGTATCATCTGCAGCGGCTCCGTCACAATTCTGCCCCGCGACCGCGATCTAAGCTTGACGAAGTACTGCTCTACGATCTTGCCGAATCATGCGTCTCCATGTACACTGAGACCCGACGTAACGCCCAAAATGCCGGCGAGTCCGCACTTAAAGCAGTATGGGGAGCTCGCAATCTCATCATTCCCCCTCTTCTAAGGGCCCTGCAGAGGGGCGTGAAAGAGAACGACCATGCGCGTATCAAGGGTGCACTGTTCTCACTCCTTCTCAGCAGCATTGCAAAGACAGCAGGCAGGAATTGGAAGTTTACGCCAGCCTTGATTCGGACCTTCATCGATGCCAGCGCTGTTGATAAACCTTCTGTCCAGAAGATCTGCTCAGGTGCCGTGTTCCAGATTATGGATTACGGTCGCGCTATGGAAAGGATGGCTATCCTCGATCGTGACATTGTGGAGGCAATTGCTCCAACTGTTGATTTCACTGATGAGATTGAGCAGAAGCGAAAGGTTATCAACAAGAAGCGTGCAGCAATCGAAAAGAAGAAGGCCGATCTCGCCGAAGAGCTTGTCAACCTAGCACGCGTCTCGCACTGGAAGATTGCTAGCCGTGCTGCGACCATTGTAATCACAATGGGCCTGCGTTTTGACTACATTGCCAGTCAGAATTTGATTGAGCTGGTTACCATTGGCTCGATCGATGACCACCCCGGCCTACGGGGCATGTATTCTCAGGCGCTCATTGCGTTGTTCACGATGATCGACGTGCGAGCTATCTGCAGCCACGAGTACAAGAACTACATTCTGGGCCACCAGCGGTTCCCTTCGAAGATTAAGGTTGCGACGCGCCCATATGAGAAAGACTGGACGCAGGAGTACTTGACCAGCTTTGCCAACCCCGAGGCTGAATACTACGTGGACCATGATTTCCCTGGATGGCTGGTATGGGGTAAGACTATGCCCGCATACAAGTCTAACGTGGCTCGTGATATTGAGTATGACGAAGTTGAGTGGAGCGTACGGACTCAAATGGGCAAACTATTCACCCGCGAGTGGTTCTCCAAGTTCTTCGCCTACTTGAAACAGGAACCGAGGGATCCTTCCGCAGACAAGTTCCGCATGTCGTGTGCCATGATGCTCCTCTATGCTTTCGAGCTTATGCTTCGTGATGGACTTACGGCTGTTTCGTTCAAGGATATCCAGGAGGAGATTCAGGTCGTCTTTGAAGATGGCAGTGATAAGCATCAGCACCGCGCCACTGCTGAGATCCTCGGAGCCCTGATCAGTTCAGTGACTGATTCGAGCGTGGACAACCGCGCCATGGTTTGGGAGTATGCCTTCCCTATCGTAAGGAAGATCTTTACCGACGGCCTGACACCTGAAAACTCCGGATACTGGACAACCTTCCTTCACATGATCCTGCAGTGTCGTGACCCGCGACGAGCCTGGCCTTTGGTCGATTGGCTTGCTAGCTTCCGGCTAGACATGTCAACTAACGCAGCTTTTAAGGAAAGCTCAAAGATCAACCTGCTCCATCAATGCATTATTGACGCTGGCTGGCATTTCCAGTTGGAAAAGCCCATCGTCAAGGATTTCCTCGCGCACTTGGACCACCCCTACAAGGGTGTTCGTGAAGCCATGGGTCAAACTCTTGCCACGATATACCGCACCAGGTACCACGAGTCGTATCCCGATCTTCAACATCTCTTGGATGCTCAGAAGTCCGCATCATCGGTTGGAAGCTATCCCTACACTCCTTCCAACGAGTTCTCAACAATGGTTCGCGGCGTTTTCGACCAAATTGAAGAATGGCGAAAGGCCAGAACTCCTGGTCAGCAAACGCCAACCTCCTATACCTCTGGCAGCAAAACTGTGCTCCTTTGGCTGGATTCAACTCTCTCCTCCCACGAATGCACACAGTTGGTCTCCTTCTTCCCTGACGTTTTCACGGCGCAGCTTCTGCATATGATGGATGTCAAGGAAGACCCTGAGCTCCAATCTCTCGCCTATCATGTTTTCCGCCACCTTCCTAACATCCCCTACCCTGCCGAGAAGGACTCTGAATTTATTAAATCCCTCATCCGTATTGGACAGACAGCCCCATCATGGCATCAGCGCCTACGTGTCATGATCAACATCCAGATCATCTATTTCCGCCGCCTCTTTTTGCTCGACCCCGCAGACCGCGATAAGCTATTTGAGTGCATCGCATCCATGCTCGAAGACCCCCAGCATGAAGTCCGCGCAGGCGCCTCGGCTACCCTCTCTGGAATGATTCGCTGCTCGCCTATTTTCCTGCGTAACAAGATGGTCAGCCGATTCCAGGAGCGTTTCACCAAACTTCTTGCGGATAACCCGCTCCCGAAGAAGCCCAAGAACTTCCGCTCTGGAATTTCTTCTGCGGTCTCTTCTGGAGCCGGCACCCCTACCCCTGAGCACAACCGCCTGATTATTGTCCGTCACGGCGCGGTGCTGGGACTTGGCGCGCTGATCCAAGCTTTCCCCTACAACAGCCCCCCTCCACACTGGATGCCCGAGGCGTTGACTACACTCAGCATTCGAGCTGCAAATGATCCCGGCGTCGTTGGTTCCAGTGTGAAGTCGATCATTAGTGAATTCAAGAAGACCAGACAAGATACTTGGCATATCGATGCGAAGGTGAGTTACCATCGACAATACAACCCTGTTTCAAGTTGGATACTAACGCGATTTATTCTAGGCATTTACACAGGATCAACTTGAGGACCTTTCGGGTGTTCTTTGGAAGAGCTACTTCGCTTAATCCAATCCATGCCACCTTTGCCCCAAAAAGGGTTGATATCTTTGATAGCACTATGAATACACTTGTGGATAATCAATTTTGAAGCGCATGGTTACGCCGCTTGTAAAGACTTGAAGAGACCTTCTCCAGGTGGCAATCGAGTTACCGCATTCAATGTCTGAACATACTCTGATCAGGTTGTTCTGTTGAAACCCTTTATTTTGTTGTGTTCGTGTTTTGTGCATACCCAGGTCGGCTCTCTGAACGGAAATTCATTCCTTAATCAATTGAGTAATTACATGAAGGTTCTCGGTCTTTGATTGAATGTATGCACTGCAGAGGAGACAGTGTCATTTCCTTTGAATTCTAAAGTTGGTAGAGGCTGGTGATGACCAATAATATACGTAGTACCATGAAATACCTAATATCGGGGTCGAGGGGAGGTGCTCTACTAGATTGTCAAGCGGGGATGCAGTCAAGACCGCGTAGTAATGACATCGTCTCCTCTGACACCCGGCACCGTATCCCTCCCTAACATGGATTGCTTCTACTCGACAATTCTGTCGGAATATGTGATATTTTGCGACAGCTAGGTCGGCAACTCACAATGGACCCGGTACTGGGATTGCAACTCCAAAAGCCTCCGAGGTTCAGAACGAGGAGATCACTGCGCCTGCGCCCGACAACATGGATGCGATGGCTTGGATATTTGGCTCTTGTGATGACTGTTCTTGAAACATACTCATACCTCTCTGTTCATCCGGAGCTCTCGCTTCTGTGTGCGTTGGTCTCGTATCAAAAGCCAGGAATCCTTCGTCCTGGCCAATATCGTGATCCTGATGGGATCGAATACGTCTTTGTCCCGGGAGAGACAGAAGTCGAAGATCGACGAGAAGTGGATGATATGGGCTTCGTGCATGCAAGAAGGTTTGTCCACAGTTCAAGTTAGCGTAGAATTCAAGTTGTTACTACTACATGACGAGGCTCCTACCAGGACTAACAGCGCTAATGTATATGACACACAGGGATATCAGATTCTACATTGGTGGAACCTTGACTCTCACCAGTAGTGATGAATTCGACTCCCCTGACCCCCCCTCACCCCAAACCTTCGATATATGATCCCTACCCCCGATATAACAGTCGCAAATGGAAGAAGGAGAACGAGGGAGTTTTTCAGCCCTGCCTAGGCCCAAGAGGCCGAGATCTTGATCGAACCCGCTTGGAGGACATGATGCTCGTTTACAAAGGGAACCAGATTGGATTTCCTGAGTCTCAATTCGGTTCTTTCGAGGCCATGGATCTCGATGGGAACGTTTGTACTGATCGATACTCTCGCTTTGGAGCCTACGGATATGATGAAATGAGCGAAGAAGATGTCCCTGGGTTTACCCGTCCTCCTCAAGTCCCTTGGTCTGAGGTGGATTGGCACGAGCTACAATCCCTCTGCTTTGAGAGAAATGTCGACCGATATCGTCCAGGATCGGCGACGACTCAAACTCAAGAACGACCTCTTTCGTTTGAGCTGAGACGGCCTCCACAGAAGACATATGACTCGTACGATACCCCTTTGCCTGGCCAGAAGCGTTATCATAATAGGTCGGCTTTACTTATCCGATCATGGCATACTATGACCTGGACCGAGAATCATCGTCAATATCTTCGAGCTTTAATCATGGAGCTTTCTCTGCATTCTGGGGGGGAGTATGAAGTCTTCCTTCTAGTCCATGTGAAGGATGACGACCTCCCTATCTTCTCCGATACAAAGACGATGAACCGACTCCGAAATTCTATTCCGGCAGAGTTTCGCAGCATGGCTCTCTTCTTCAATAACAAGCTACTTGAGGCGTGGTATCCAAAGATTGCCGAGCACAGGTAAGAGGGCAATCTGCTAATGGTTTCTACTCGATTTGTGCTAATTCTAACTTATAGCCCCATTTTGCAGCACCATCAGCCATTGGAGATATTCTCCCAATTATACCCCAACTTTGATTTCTATTGGCAGCTAGAAATGGACGGCCGGCATACCGGACATGTCTATCACTTCCTGGATAAAGTGGTATCATTTGCGAGAAAACAGCCGCGAAAGTACCTATGGGAGCGCAATGCCTATTTCTACACCCCAGGCGAACATGGAACGTGGGACCAGTTTACTCGAATGGTCGATGAGAGTCTTGCAGAAGTATCCGACAATACAGTCTGGGGGCCAATATTTGGTACTGGAATTCGATCACTCGGTCCGAGTCCGGCGACTGCACGCCCGAAAAATGACAACTATACCTGGGGCGTGGGCGAAGAAGCAGACATGATAACCTTTTTGCCAATTTTCAACCCGAAAGACACGGCGTGGACCTTTCCGGATATCATTTGGAACTTCAGGTATGGTATCGACACTCCACGACGGGCAGCTGTTATTACGATGGGTCGGTATTCAAAACGTTTACTTGATTTGATCCATAATGCACAAGCGGCAAAGGGATTGGGCCTTGCATCGGAAATGACTGGCGCATCATGGGCTATGTATCATGGGTTGAAAGCAGTGCACGTTCCACATCCAATCTATGCGGACGGTCAATGGACCTCTGAAGAGCTCGCACGCATCTACAATAGAGGGGTGCCGGAGAATATAAATGGTGGTCCGGATAGTATCTGGAACTTTGATCATATATATGATCACATCATGTACCGACTTTCGTATATGTTCACCACACATACCGCGGAGGACATGTTTAGGAGGTGGATGGGGTTTCGAACCGCAGCTAATGAAGGTGGAAAGAGGGTATGTCGCACATGCTCTTCTTAATTTATTTAAAGCTCACGTGAGGGAGTTCCTTATTCCTGGGGATCGCGCTAACTTCTGTCTTAATACAGTCAACAGAGGTTCGCTATGGTCGGCATTGTTTTCCATCTATGTTTCTCCACACCGTAAAGAACACGGCCAGGAGGTTTGGGCCTGACAGGGCTGTACCATGAGCCTGGACCTAAAATATCTCATTGGAGGTTGTTTTTACCCTTTTAGATCTTGATCGCTTCTTTGAAAGTCTTTGATTCTGCTTATAACGAGCAGCGGATAGTTTTACATGTTACTAGCAGATTTCGTTTCGTACGTTGGTAGTGATTTGACCTGTACTTCTGAAATAATTGGATATCATATATTCGAATCTTCGCATAGGGTGGACTATGCCCAGGTGAAGGCATTCACGAGAATAGCTAAGACATCGCCTCCGCCGTTAATCTATTTTGTCAAGCAATATCATTTCATCTGCCGTAAATGCCGTCATCGGCAGCAGCGGTCCCCGGGATTAATACGAGTCAAGTAGGAAGCTGGTGTGATTGGGTTATGCTTAATATCCTGGCTTCTTTAATTAGAAAATTTACCCAGGCCATGTGCTCATCAAATCAGCCACATCCCCAAACCCCGCAAAACTCCCTTATCGCCCCAGCCAATATTAGGGATGCTGCCTCAAGGTGGCCGGGGCAAATTTCCAGTTCTTGCGAGGGCAACTTTCCCCGTCCCTCCAAGACCCACCCTGGCCACAGATAGGTCATAGGGTGAAAGACACGGCCACTGACAGTTTATTCTGATACACTTTACTGCAGAAATCTGGTTTCCCAATCCCCTCCAAGGAAATCTTCGTCGAGAAGCGCGGGTTGTATTTCCAGGCTAAGTGGCATGGAGCTCCTCCACACCTGGCTGAGGGGATATAGTTTGAAAAACTGGACCTGATCTCAACTTGAAAATGATACTTAAGTTAAATCATAATCCACCTAGGTAGCTGATTTAATTTCCAAGTCAGACTCTTCAATTTCTTCTTTCTGATTTATTTACAGTTCTCCTTGGGTCTTTAATCTCAGGACTATCTTTGCCGAGGACTATTTTGTTCGAAATGGCCTCATTGGCAGCAAACTTGAGCCAATCCGGCACCATGTGGTCGGTCTTCTCACTGGCTCCATATGCGATTGGCATCACCTTCTTTGCTTTCGCATACTTTGTCATTCTACCGTATATTGAATATCTTCGTGATCCAAAGGGTATGTCACTGTGCATAAGAAACACGATGAAGGAGATTGTTGACGGTGTCTACTAGGATTGCGCAAATACCCCAACCTCTCCCCCTTCTCTGGGTTCTCAGCGATACCTTTTATGCTCATGGCCGGAAGAGGCTTCCGATCAAGGGAGCTATCAGAGCTACACAAGACGCACCCTGTCATTAGGACGGCCCCCAACGCGCTCTCCTATGGAGATGCCCGGGCCATCAAAGACATTTACGGACACAACACAAAGTGCACTAAGGACGGCGCATACTCCGTTCCTGTAGGGAGCCATTATAATCTGGCGGATGTTGTCGACAAGCCTGACCACTCCCGCAAGCGAAAGGTTCTCTCGTCGGCCTACGCCTTGAAGAACCTAGAGAGCTGGGAATACAAGGTTACCGATAAGGTCCAAAGAATGTTCAAGCATTTCGACAAGGTCTGCACTCTGGCTCCTAAAGAAGATGTGGCGTCTGGAAAGGTAGCACCTGATCAGAACGACCTGACTCTGGACCTACGTAGCTGGAACAACTTCTTCACTCTGGATGCCATTGCCGATATTGGTCTTTCTGAGAAACTGGGATTCCTTGATGCCGGCAACGATATGGTCATTGCTGAGCGAAAAGACGGCTCGACATATCAGACTAGCCTTCGTGGAGCACTTTATCCTACTGCTCGGAAGCAATCCTACCTTCTGTGGGATTACAATTGGTACCTGACGATCAACAAATTGGTGGATGTGATTCCATTCTTCAAGCGCATGTCGAAGTCAGCCGATGACTGGGAAAACATCATGTGGCACCGAGGAAGCAAGCGTTTAGAGCGCTACGAGAATGGCGAAAAGCTCGACGACTTCTTCCAGGCACTTATGGAGGATAAGAATGGCAACGCTAACAACCTCGAGTGGGGTGAAGTTGTTGCTGAGTGCAACATTATGATGAATGCTGGCAGTGTTACCACCGCTGTTGCTATTACCAACGTTATGTACCAGCTCCTACGCAACCCCAAGGCTCTTGGGAAGTTACGGGAGGAGCTTGATTCCGTCTTGGATGAGGATGAGGTGGTCGCAGACTACGACAAGGTAAAACACTTGCCCTATTTGCGTGCTTGCCTGGATGAATCTCTCCGTATCTTCCCTCCCACTTCCCACGGACTGCCTCGCGAGACTCCTCCCGAGGGCGCCAACATTCTTGGAGACTGGGTTGCTGGAAGTACTACTGTGAGCATGTCTGCTTTTGTTGCCCATCGCCTTGAAAGTGTCTTCCCCAACGCCGATCAGTACATTCCTGAGCGGTGGTTGGGAGAGGAGGGCAAATCCCTTCAGCCGTACCTAATTGCTTTCTCTGCTGGTGCTCGTTCCTGCATTGGTCGGAACATTTCTTACCTAGAGCAAACTAAGGCTGTGGCATCTATGGTACATCGATACGATTTTGCTCTGGCCTACCCCGGATGGGAATTGCAGCGCGAGGAGACAATGAATCTGATTTTAGGCGACATGCCCGTGAAAATTTGGCGCCGGGACAGGGGTGCAGAGGCATAGATTCATTGCTGGCGATTTTTCTTTATTTTCTATCATGATTACCCCCCCATTTTGATCTCATATTTTTGATGAGATACCTTGAAGAACCCCGAATAGACCTTTCTTGATAAACAGTCGGGAAATTGTATCTGACCAGTCTACACTTAAATCTTTGTTTCGTCTGAATAAGCTTTCAATCACTCAGATACTAGTTGTAAATCGCAAAAAAAAGAAGAAGAGATACACACCAAACCCCGGTCTGAGCTATGACCAAGGGTCGCGTGGAGTTTGCATACTGCATGTCTCGCAAATCAGGCGCGTGATAGTACGCGTCGGAAGTTACGCCGAGTCCCAGATTTCCATGAGATAGAATTCTGGCCACCTCCAGATCATCTCGAAAGTACTCCCATTACCCCGCGACCCCGCCATCTCGAAAGTCTCGATTATCCTAAGGTGGTTTTCCCCGCGCGGGGTCTTTACCCGAAAGAGTTCCGAGTGCCTCTCCCGTTCGGGGAAGTTGCCCCGGCAATCTTTTTGGCTGTTCCAGGCGATCTATTTTCCGCCTGCATCATGACAATTCTTGAGTAGAATCCAGAGTATGTCCAAAAAAAATCTCTTGCTGGTGTTCGAACGGTATTTGGTGCACCGGAGTATGATAGCCTGGCCTTGCAGGATCGCGTCTCTCGCTCGCACCCATTGCATTGTCAACTACCATATCATCCTGGTTCAGAAATAAATCAACTGCCACAAAGCCAGTACAGATATCGAACAACTTCCTTTATTTGTTGACGGAATCTGGGTTCCACATTATCTGGGTTCTTTGGATCTCCGGGGGGTGAAAAGGGTGGTGGGGACTGAAGTGACCCAGGGCGATCTCTTGTTGTTTTCGTTTCGCCTGTTAGGCCGCTTCGGGGGATATTTTCCTATGGAGCCAAGCCTCCATAAAGTGTGGACTTGAGCACCCTGGTTCCTCGAGCCAATCAGTAGGTCGGCGTGGTGAATACCCGCAGTCAATAACCGCCGATGCCTTCGCCATGCTAGGTAATTTTCCCCGCGAGGACGTGGGGAACTTGGAGCTTATGCAGATCTCAAGCCTATTTTTTGCCCCAATATCAACTCCGATCGGGAATTCTTTCTCGATTTCGGGATACCAGTCTATGCGGGGTGAAATGTCAGCTGCTCGTGAATTTGATATTTGAACGCGAGATAAACCCCGGATTCTCTTCTCTCTGGTATTGATTGATCCCATTCACCCATCTCAACTCGCCATCTCTCCAACCTTGGAAAAAAAATACGACATACATACATACTAGTATATATGCTGATCCGACTTTACCTACTGAAGAATTGTTATCACTATCTTTTCACATCATGGCATTGCTTTCACAATTAGCGTCACAATGGAATGTCCCACCGGAGTTGCTCGATGAGCTCTCCAAGTACGCAACGCCAACTGGGATCGCTGATTATGCGGCATTGGCCGTCATTGCTGGTATATCGGGTGCCTATATCTCTCGTGGATACCTCTGGGATCAGCCTGACCCATATGCCTACCTGGCATATGAGAGACCACAATTGAAAAATGGCGGCCAGACTGGCGCCAATGCCAACAAAGAAACCCGGAATATTGCACAAAAATTAGAGGAATCAGGAAAAAATATTGTTGTCTTCTGGGGATCGCAATCTGGTACAGCTGAAGGATTTGCCCATCGTCTGGCCAGAGAAATATCTGTTCGATGGGGTCAGGAAAGCATGACCGCAGACCTCTCCGATTACGACCCAATTACCATCAAAGAAATCCCCAACACCAAGCTCGCCATATTCATTGTTTCCACCTATGGTGAAGGTGATCCTAGCGATAACACGGCCGACTTTTGGAGCTGGATCAACAAGACCAACGATGTGTCTCTCCCCTCCCTACGTTATGCCGCATTTGGACTGGGAAATACCAACTACAAGTTCTACAACAAAGTCGTTGATGTTATTGTAGAGGTATTGGATAAGTTTGGTGCCCAGAAATTGATGCCGGTTGGAAAGGCAAATGATGCAGAGGGCGCGACTGAAGAAGACTTCATGTCTTGGAAAGACCAGCTGTTCTCAGTCTTCAAGGGGCAGCTGGGCTTCCAAGAAGTTGAAGCCAGGTACACCCCAAGTCTGTTGATCCAAGAAGACGAGTCCTTGGAGCCTATCGACTTGCACCATGGAGAGCCTCATGGCCAGGCCGATGGGAAAGCAAACCAATCCTCGGCAGTTCGCACGCTGAGCATCTCGAATTCGAGAGAGCTCTTTACTTCATCCGACCGCCACTGTTTACACATGGATCTTGACTTGACCAACCAGCCAGAGCTTACCTATAAGACTGGTGATCATCTGGCAATTTGGCCAGGGAACCCTGACTCTGAAGTCGAGCTTCTTCTGCAGGTTCTTGGTACTTTCGAACGACGCGACATACCTCTCCACATCAAGGCTATTGACTCGGCCACTAAGGTCACTATCCCATCACCCACAAGCACAAGCGCATTGTTTCGCTACTACCTTGAAATTTGCGCCCCGGTTAATCGAGACAATGTTCGTGATCTCGCACAATTTGCACCAACCCCAGAGGCAAAGGCCTACCTTCTCCAACTCGGCCAAGACAAGGACAACTACGCCTGTTTCATCAACCGCACCCACCTAAACCTCGGTCGTCTCCTACAACTTGCATGTCCAGGTCAGACATGGTCAGACATCCCACTCTCATACCTGGTCGAAACTCTGCCCCATCTCCGCCCTCGCTACTACTCCATCTCATCAAGCAGCGTGGTCTCCCCGCGCAAGCCATCTATCACCGCAATCGCCACTACAACTCCTCTCCCTGACAACTCGAGTGAACTTGTTCATGGTGTCACATCCAACTACCTCTTGGCCATTTCCCAACAGGCTCAGTCTCAACCGCACCCCTACGGAGTTACATATCACCTCAATGGCCCTAGTGACGCTTTAGAGGGCGGAAAGGTCTTCGCTCACATTCGTCGGAGCAAATTCAAGCTGCCTATCACTGGAAAGACCCCGCTGGTGATGGTCGGAGCTGGAACAGGTCTTGCTCCCTTTCGTGCATTCCTTTCAGAAAGATGTCAAGTCAAAAAGATCGGAAAGGAAGTTGGCCAAATGATTCTCTTCTTCGGGTGCCGCAACCCGAACGAAGATTTCATCTACCAACAGGAATTGGAGGAAATGCAAAAGGTCCTTGGAGATAAATTGCGTGTTGTGACAGCATTCTCGAGGCAAGATGGTACCCCGCGCAAATATGTACAAGATCGGGTTTCGGAGTTCGGTGATGATGTTGTCAGGCTTATTGATGAGGGCGGCAGTTTCTATGTCTGCGGACGCGCGGGTATGGCCCGCGAAGTGGAAAAGGCTGTTGGGGCAACCATGAGGACGGCGAAGGGATGGTCTGAAGATGAGGTGAACAACTGGAGCAAGGCAGTCAAGAAGAAAAATAAGTGGCAAGAGGATGTCTGGGGTTAGACTTTTTATGCTGGAATTATTCGACCAAGGTGCCTTGGCTTTCTTTACTGTGATACATATTGTTCTATTTGATTCGACAGCGAGACACTTTTATTAGAGATCAATTAAGCTGATTATGAAAGAAAATCTGAAGGAGACAGGGAATTACAAGTGAACTTTCTGCGTTACTTTAAAGGCCGTCGCTTCCGGTGGGGTTTGACACTTATCATCTCGCTGATGCAAAATATGTCCCGAGAACGCCGCAATAGTCAATGAATAATCCCGGGAAGGAGAGATAATTGATTGAAGGATTAATTGCAATCAGAACATGTTTTTTTTCCTTTAATTGTTTTCTCAAAATGCCCTACCTAGTGATCAGGATAAAATTGTATCTACTAGAGAAAGATGTAGAAGTATTTGTACTAGTATTGACCGATAATCGTTGTCAATGCTTATTCTAGGTTTCGTGTTCATGATGTTCGAACAGTCAAATAACGAACTCGATCGAGTCAATCTGTCATGATGTCATATCTAAGTGTTATCTCTATTGCTTATCAACAGTTGGGTAGTCCGTGTAGTGGAAGGCATTGTCCTCAAATGGCCCGTAGAAACGAGTTCGATCATAAGGTGTCAAAGGTAGTCCCTTAGCCAGACGGTGTACCAGGTCCGGGTTACTGATAAAGTAACGGCCGTAAAGAAGTCCGTCATACTTTCCGGCTTCCACAATACCCCATGAGTTAGAGTCATCGAAGCCTCCAGCGGAGAAGAAAGGGGTGGAGCCGAAGATCTTGCGGAACCGATCGAGAGTCACATCCTTCAGTCCCCAGCCCTGGAGGAAGCTATCCTTCTCTTCTTCGCTGAAGATTTGCTCATAGCGCTAAATATCAAGATTAGATTATTGTAAAAAAAGCCATGGACGGAGACAGGGAGATATACCGGCTCAACGAAGCTGACGTAGGAAAGGGTAGGGTGATCCTTTTTCAGACCCTCGCAAAGATGAGTCCAGGTTTCAAGGCGTTGCTCTCCACGGGCCTGGTTGAACAGACCGAAAGGAGAAAGGCGAATTGCCAAGTTCTGCTCGCCAATGGTCTTCGCAACCTCGGCCATCAACTCGAAGACAAACTGGCAGCGCTTCTCGGGAGAACCACCGTAATCATCGGTCCGCTTATTGACATTGGAGCTAAGGAATTGCTCAGGCAGATAGCCATTTCCACCATGGATCTCCACGCCATCGAAGCCAATTTCCATAGCAGTCTTAGCCGCCTTGCAATAGTCTTGAATGGTCTGCTTAATATGCGCCACAGACATTTCGACAGGCGGATGATTGGCGTATGGGACCGGCTTTGTGGATCCCACGGGAGGATGGGAAAAGCATTCCGTGGGAGAGTCCCACACGCTGGCGGAGGGGCAAACCGCGGGAGATCCGGTCATCTGGGGAATTGTCGCACGGCCAGCGTGCCACAGTTGACAGAAAATGAAGCCCCCCTTTGCGTGCACGGCTTCGACGACTTTCTTCCAGCCATTGGCCTGCTCGGGAGTGAAAAGCCCAGGTACACCTGGCATACCATTGCTCTGTTGTAATTTGCCAAGGGTTAGACGACTCCACATGAAATAGTCGGTTGAACCATGGGTAGGGTAGGAGAGGGTAGGGCATTAGGAAATAGCTTTTTTTTCTTCTCTAGCTCTTTCTTCTTGGGGGATGGATATTCAGTTACCTCGAGTGAAGGTGGGATTCCCTCGGAGATGAGAAGACCTCCCTCAGTGGCACGTTGGCTATAGTACTCGGCAATAAGATCGCCAGGAACCCAGATACGATTAGGATTCTCGGGAGTACTGATAGGGTTCGAAGGCACCCCGCGGTTACGGGTCAGAGGCGCATGGATAATACGGTGGCGGAGGGTGAGGGCGCCATTGGAAATAGCCAAAGGCCGAAAGAGGCCAGATTCTTCGCCGCTGATGTAGTGGATAGTCATAGTTCACGGTCCAGGTAAGGAACAATGGGATTATGCTTATGCCGGACTTGAAAAGGATGGAGAAAAGGATTCAAACAATCGGAAACATTCAGTTCACAAGACATGTGCTCATCTCCCACGAGTGACCCCCTTTTTCCCCCTCTGCTACCTTGGCTTGTCAAAAGTGTCAGCTCGGCTAACCAGAATTAGGGTTTATATGAAATCCACTCATGCCACTTGGTAAAACAACGGTGGCAATGAACGTGGACATGAGACTTTGTTGGCGTGCATAAGACTGCAAATACGAGACTTGGTACCCGCAGCACTTTACTATAAATGGAGAGTGGAGCTTCTGCAGTGGATGCAATTGAATTTCGCGGAACTCGCGAAGAACTATTCATCGGGCCCGGCCACGTAATAGTTTCCGACATCCAGATTCGACAAACTATATCGCTTCCGCGGTCAATCAGGGATGCATGTCAAATCATTCTTAGTGGTCTAGTACACTATTGGAGACAAGGATCAATAGCTCTGGCTCCACTTTAGTATAACTTGCGCCTATCTTTATACCAATTTTTCAGCCGGAGGGCGCCTAGCGGCCTGGTCCCCGAGCGGAGATCCGCTGTCAGGACCTTTATGTGTCACTGACACCCCCGGCTCTGCTCGCATGATCGATTTGTGTTCACGGGTCGAGTGACAGCTTCAAAAAAAATGTCCGCCGGGAACACCCCAAAGGATGTGTATCGCACGCTGAATCTGGTGGTGCAATGTCTGTGCATTCCGATCGTATCGGCGGCTGTCGCCCTACGATTTTACACTCGTTTTCGATTTAAGCAGCGCCTCGGAGTTGAGGACTGTGAGTTCCGTGGCAAATCTCCTTACTGTTGAAACCTTCACTGACATCGAAACATAGATGCATGCACTGTAGCTTGGGTATGATTCATGCGACTGACTACTTATCCCCTCAACAACAATCAATTACTGACTAAATTCCCAGGGCCTCTTCATGGGATATTGCGGAATCGGCATTCTCAGTAAGTCGTTTTGGTACCCGGATGGAAGTATTGTTGCAGAATACTGATGATATTCCTTTCATCTACGTAGTTGGCCGCCATGGAGGAGGTTACCACATCAATGATGTCCTGGCTCTTGACGACGGAGCGGCGGAGATCATTCAATTCAAGAAGTTCTGCTACATCGCCACCATTCTTTACTGCCCAATGGCACTTTTCGTCAAAATCGCCCTACTCTCGATCCTTACTCGCATCTTCGCTCCCTACCGAAGCAAGGTCTACTTCATCTACGGCCTTCTCGGCGCCTTGTGCGTCTACTACGCCATCGCCCTGATCATCAAAATCCGCATGTGTTACCCCATTCCTTATTACTGGCTGGGATCTGAACTTGAGGGTGGTGGAACTTGTCTCGACCAGACGGCCGCCCTGATCGCCGACTCTGTTATCAGTGTCGTTAGCGATATCATTATTCTCGTCCTACCCTTACCCTTGACCTGGTCGCTCCAAATGTCCAAGAACAAGAAGCTACGTGTTATGGGTCTGCTTGGAGCTGGTGGCTTCGCTGTCGGCTTTAGTCTGTATCGACTCGTGCTGGTGCTTCAAGATGGTACATCACCCGATCAAACCATCGTTTTCATGTGTGTCATTATGTCTGGGTATGTGTCCAAAACCCCCCCTTTTCAATCTGGAATCGCGTCTCCTAACCTGTTTTTAGAAATGCCGAGGGTGGTGTCGGTCTGATCTGCGCTTGTCTCCCCGTTCTTAACGTCCTGCTCGCTCATTATCGGAAGGAATACTCGTCCCAGAAATACTACAACCAGAGCTCTGAGATTCAACTCGGAGACCGCAGGACAGGAACCACATCTAAGACCGCGTCGCAATGGGACAAAGCAACGGCTTTCGGTGATCAAAGTCATCTTATCTCCTTTGCCGGGGCCCCTGAGGCAGCGGACTCCCTGTATAATGAGAATGGTATCCGCAAGACAGTTGCGGTAGAACAAACTGTCGAGAGCCGGGATAGTGATAGTCGCTGACCAAGTTGGACGCTGAACATGACCACATGATATGTACATTTTATCAGAATCTCTTATTTAATTACTGAAATCATCATTCATTTCCTTTTTTTTAAGATTATCCGGGGTATTTGTGTGGGTGGGAAAGGCTATCGTAAGGAAGGATTCGGATCGAATAGACCCGAGTTGTGCCATAGCCCATCGAGGCCAGCGTCAAATCCCGCGGCCCATGATGCATCAATAAAGGGCCATTGGAACATATCCGTCTCGAAATCAGGATGCCCTGCCAACGCAGTACCGTCTCGGTAAAAAAGTGAGTTATCGCCTTCAAGACTAGGCGACGACGCGGCCCGATGTATGTTATGTGAGCCTTGCGTGCTGCCGGGCTCGGCACTCATTGCCCTTGGGCGAGCACGAATGTCGCCATATTCATCAAGTGTTCCCGCTAAAGCAAACCTCCTAGGGCTATGCATGCCGGACTCGGGGTGTGTCTGGGAATTCTTCACCGTTTCGTAAAATCGATTTGCTTCTTGTACAGTTCGCCACTTTGCCGATAGTTAGTATAAGGACTGCTAAATATATTTGGATTGAACTCACCCAACTCCGACCGACTGGCCACAATTTACTGAGTCGCTCAAGATAGGCGAGGTTCTGACTTTTCTCTTCTTCTGCTCTTTCGACTCCGCCAGGGTAGCGTGCTGGAGCGATAGTACCGTACATATTGATGTGCACCGCAACGAATACGCTGAACCCGGAGTAGGGAGTCATTACTGCAGCTTCTGAATTTTCAAGTGCCGACAGTACCCCTCCAATATTCTGCGCAGCCTCAAAAAGCTGCTTGATTGTGTAAGGCTCATGTTGGTCGTCATGATTCATGTCGTGAAAAACGTCAGAGTGCGGTTTGAGATTTGAGAGAAAGCGGTCGCGATGTAAAAATAAGATACTTGGACTATAGTCAGTATTGCTGAGGAGCCATTGATGGACATAATAAAACTCACCTCATGTAATAGAGTAGATTTATATATGCAAACAGCTCCCCGTATCCGAGGGAAACATGTGCTTGGGCGGCTGTGTCTGGGTAACGAACTGTCCTATCCTGGAGCAACCTCCATTCGTCCAGTTCTTCTTTGAGTCGTTGCCAATCCCGATGAAGGGGTGATGATTCGGAGTCGTCTGAAGCTAGAGAAGCAAGGGCACGGCGATGTTCATTTGCAAATCTCAGAATGCGCACAAATATGTCGAAGCCACGAGTGACGATCGTCAAACCGTGCTCAATTGTGAGGTTTCTTGCAAGAGAGCATTGCTTGTTCATATCGGCCGGCATCAGTCTCCTTTCTGGTACCTGATTGAAAGTGAAATCTCGATCGCTGATCGGAAGCGGAACTGAGATGTGAGAAAATGATAGAGCAAAATGCTGCCGAGCTCCTGAGCTCAGTTCGCAATCTTGCGCAAAGCAAACCCAGTAGGTACGGACGAGCTGTTCATATTGAGTTTGGGAAGCATGGAATTCTTGGGGATTATGCTCCATGCTGTCATCTGCCATTTTGAGGAGTGATTGAATCATGTAGGTGGCCATGCCTGGAATTGCTGAATGTCAGAAAATCACATGAACCATAGAAGGCTTCATGTAAACTCACCACTGTACATCCAAGCCTGGTATGGGCGCCCAGTGCCCCATTCATAAAACGAAATAATCACCAGTGATTGAGCAAGATATAAGGAGGGGGCCTCGAGGACACGATGAGCAAGATTGCCCCGGGCATAATCAGCGTAAATCTCCTCATCTCCAAGTGAATCCCCAGCCATGAAACGCCTGCATAGAGATAAAAGAGCAGCGATGAAGATCGGCTCTATGGATTCGAAATTGGATGAAATGTCGGAAATTAAGGATGGGTAGTGCAGGAAATTCGCGACCGGGAATTTCTTTCGATATGTTTCGACGGCACTTATTACAGTGGCTTGCGACAAGGCTGAGATCGGATTCTCCTGGCTGTCAACGAGATTACCAGGTGTCGCCCTTCTGATGCTATGATCACTCTCAACCGTTGGAGAAAGATCAGAAGTAGCCTTTCGCTTCCGAGGAGGCGCAGATTTCGCTTTCCCTTTTGGCTTTTCCGGCCTTGAAACGCGGGGATCTGTTAGGGCGCATCCTTGGGCCTTGAGTCGTTGGCAGCGCCTACAGGGAGGACTGCCATCATGAACACATTTCACTTTGGCCCGGCTAGTTCATTTTAGAAAACATACGAAATGTAGAGACAGTGAGACTCGGAGGATACTTACCGACAACCGTCACAGGATATAGATAACCTCATTGGGTGGGTAGCTGTCGATGATGATCAAGCAAGGCTGCAATGGCAGACATGCAGAATTTCTTGCAGATCCTGACAATTCATAGGAGCGGGTATGATCGGACTAAATTGATGCTGCCATATTGGGGGCTTTGAATTTTGGAGCCTGCAATGGAAGATAGGAGGAAGGTAGGATTCCAGAGCCAAAAGCTAAGATGTCGATCTCGACGGTCATGTGATTTTGATCTATAACGTGCTTATCTACTTGTCTACGAAGATTTGTCAGACAAATCTTATACTTTAATAGCAGAAGGCCGTCTCTCATTAAGTTCTATTAAGTATGCAATAATTATGCAATGATCTATGAAGATCAAGCTCTAAGTGGCGAATTCCTTAGTCGCCGCCGTCCACTGTCTCACCCACGCGTTGAACTTGTCGACCTGCAACTCGTCCGTAGCCCAAGAGGTCACGATTCTCACGACCACTTGTCCGTCATCTAACTGATCCCAGATGTAGAATCGGAACCTATCCTGGAGCCTTTGAGCCAGCTGCTGCGGCATCGTAATGAAGACCTGGTTTGTCTCTGTTTCTGCTGCTAGCTGGTATCCTAGCTCCTCGAAGTTGGCGGAGATTTTCTCGGCCATGGTATTGGCATGTGTGGCCAGTGTGAAGAAAAGATCGTTCTTGAACAATTCCATGAACTGAACACCCATAATCCGACCCTTCGCCAAGAGTGCACCGTGTTGCTTGAGGTGGAATACAAAACCCTCGGCGATGGCCTTCTTGACGACAATCGCCTCTCCCATGAGCGCACCAGCTTTGGTACCACCAATCCAGAAGATATCAGCAAACTCGAAGATATCTCGTAGAGTCATGTCATTTTTCTTTGAGCACATGGCTGTTCCGATCCGCGCACCATCCACCAGAAGTAGGAGGTTCGACTTTTTGCACAGAGCAGATAGGTTGGTCAGCTCGCGCTTAGTGTAAACCGTACCGGTCTCTGAAGCATTGGAGATATAAAGCAGTCGAGGCTTAGCCATATGAGGGAAGAATTGATTTTGTTGCAAAGCCTTTTGCAGATTGGTTGCCGTCATTTTGCCGTCAACGGCCGGGACGAGGATCAGCTTGTGGCCGGTGGCTTCAATTGCACCCGCTTCCTTGCAGGCAATATGGCCCGATTCCAAGGTGATAACAGCCTCATATGGTCGTAAACAACTGGCGATTGAAATGAGATTCGCTGATGTTCCGCTGGGGACGAAAAAAATGTCTGCATCATCTTCGCCACAGTCGATTCGCTCTCGAATCATTCGCCTCGCCGCATCTGAATATTCATCGTTCCCGTAAGAGACTTGCTGGGTAGAATTTGTGCGAAGAAGAGCCTCGAGAATTTGTGGGTGAGCTCCCTCGCTGTAATCGTCCATAAGACTGTATGGAGGACATGTCTCGTCTTGGCAGAGACTAGTTGACGGCATATTCACGAGTTACTCTGATGTAATTTGATTGGACGAAGAAGAGTGTAGAGTTGTTGTGTAGAGGAAACAGAAATACTGATAATATGTCTGACTCAAAAAACTTGTGTGGCGATTCGAGTCCAGACTAAATAAAGCAGTGGAAGAGGTCGGGAAAGCAGAAGCAGTGGGAAAGAATCTCGGGAATAGCGGGCCAGCGTTTGTTAATAGAAACCTTTGCATTTCCTGTTCAGGCTGGGCCCGGTAAGTGTATTACCGATCTGTAATCAAATCAAGGGCAAGATTTAATCTGATGTGTCAGCAAATCTGTAAGATAATTACCAAGTCATGCCTATATTAGCTACAGCAGACCCACAAGCCGAAAGTGAGCCCGGGAATACTTCCTATTCCCGGGCAGAGCCCTTGCTTGATCCACAGAACCAGGTTCTTTTCATGTAATGCGTGGGCCTGAACATCGGAGAATGCATTCCTGCTGAGGATCAGAACTCATTCGTTGATTATCGATCATGCGCCTCCATCAAGGAAAGACAGCTACAATCGAGTTAGTATGTAGACTCGTGGAACGCTGGAATATTTCGGAACTCCGGCGGCCATCGTCTAATGTTTCACATAGAATTCCCATACCAGAATTAGCTTATTTGCACAAGACTCGACATTGACGATGCATACGCGGGGTCACCAGCGTTGCATCCTGGTTGCGCGGGGATCTCGTCAATTTGGAGATCATCCGCCGTCGCTTTCCAGCGACTTGTAGGGATGTTGGACCGCTAGACTGGCCTGTCAGATATGATCAATTAATTTAACATGGAGCCCTGGAAGCCCTGGAATGACCTGTCATCTAGTGCAAAGATCGTATTTCAAGCATAAGAAAAATGAGAGAAAAGGTGGAAGGATCTGGGATATCAACTAACCTAAGGCTATATATGGCTATGTACAAATGAAAGCACGCCCTATCAGTGTAACACACTAATGTACAATAAACTCCCGCAAACCATGCAAGGCTGAAATCCGAAGAGTTCCAAGCCAACAGAGAATCAATCATCTTCTGACCGACGCAGGCGGGTTTCTTCCTCAGGTAGCCCGTCTTCCAATTTAACTTGCTGATAGAACCGGACTCGCCAGCCGCGAATCAGCATGAAGGCTCCCATGACGGTGGCCATCATGGCGAGGAGGAGAATGAGTGCAAATAGACCGCCAATGTTGCGTACGGCTGACTGGGCCTTTGAGAGCATTTGCGTCGCCTTGATGACCTCTGCCTTTGCGGTTCCATCTGAGGATGGCACCGGGCCATTGTCATTGGCCTTTTCGTCCGCAACGCCATCTCCGTTCGGGTAGAGAGTGCCGGGATCTTGTGGTTTGGGAAGCTCTCCGCTGTAGCCCACCCAACCAACAGCGTCCCAGTCAGGGAAATCGGTTCGGTGGACGTTCGAAGAGCCGAGAATAGCACCATTGCGATCAATGGCCTCGGCGGTGATCCAGTCCAGGTAGCCACGGGCAATAAACATGGTTTCAAAGTCGCGTCTCGTGACGTTGCCGACGAAAACGGGTTTATCGAATTGAGACTTGCGCGCGTAGAAACTCCAACTGGCCACTTCCGTGGCTCCGTTCCAGCTAACCCAGATAGACGTTACCAGGTTAGTTTCATCGGTACCGTGAACGGAGGCCACCATATCTGGGGGAATGGTTGGGCGGCCGACAAATTCATTTTTATAGGCGCGATAGTTTGAAAAACGTGGGGATGTGAAACGGGCACTCATAACCAGCTCGCCATCTTCTGTGAATTCTGAAATATAGCCGCCTTTACTCCAGCAAGCGAACATGTTGTTGTTTGGGAGAACTTGAGCGTTCCCTCGGAGCCGGGTAAGATCCTCGTCGGGTCGTTTGTAGCGCCGCAAGGCCCTCGCTGTCATAGGTGTAGTTCCGGTTTCGATTTCGATTATTAAAGCGGATGAGACGTTTTCTTCGTTAAATTCCTCATCGGATGCATTGTTGAGTAATGAGATGATATGGCGAGTTCCTTCCGAGTGGAGGAATTTGGCGTCATGCTGCTTTGAAAAGATGAAATCTTGGTCAAATTCGCCATTACGTTGACCATTTAATCGCCACATAATGCGGCCGTCGGCTCCGGATACCAGATAGATAGTGTTGGTGAATCGCATAGAGAGTAAATAGTCACCGGCGCTATTTTTGTCGACTGAATTTATGTGCACGTAGTCCCAGCCAGGGTCTCCTTCCACAGGAGACCAGGGGGAGTAGTGGACGGTCTCGACCAGCGGGATCTGATTGTATGATTTCCACTCGTGGAGAACCTGGGCAGAAGTGAGGTCCAGTTCAGCGAAGCCGCCTACCTCTAGTTGTGTTTTTTCATCGGAGCGGTTGAACTCCCCCCAGGGAGATTTCTTGCGTCGTATAGGTGGTGACAACAGCCGTCTTGCCAGTGTCGAGGACATTGAATTCGTGGATATCGAACAATCCGAGATCACTTCGCAATGCAACCTTTCGGATGATCTCGAAGTTGGGATTCATAACCAACCCATAGCCTCGGTGTTCATCATCGAAGGGGAATTGCTGAATCAGCGAGATGTGAGTTTCATTGCCGAAGCTGTTGATACCTCTGAAGTCGAAGACATTGTGGTTGTCGAACATTATGGAGCCGGTCCACACCAGGCGCTAGAGCAAAGACCGAGATTAGCATTAGCGCGTGTTGGCATCGAAGGGTAGGGATCGGGATCCGATCCGAGGGGCGATGAACATACCCCCTCCTGGTCGTAGATATGAGGGCCGATCTGGAATGGCTCGAAGACACTGGTCGGGCCATCCGGGTCAATGTGCAAATAGGGCGACACGAACCAATACCCGGGGGCAGCACGGTCGCGATCAAGGTGTTCGATGTCGAATTTGACCGCCCTGACATCCGGTAGCTAGGAGGATGGCGCAATATTAGCATGAGGTCATCTCATCGCGGGTTGCGCAACTTGAATACTTACTGTTTTGAATGTCATTAAGTCATCATCCGTGTGTTCCCAGGCAGCAGCTACATTGCGCAAGCACAGTAGCAGCAGGCCGGACCAGAGCATGATGACGGCTGAGGTGGAAAGAAAGTGAAGGGAAAGAGCGACAGGGTTAGAAAAGAGTGGCCATAGAGGAGGAGGAAGAACTTGAAGGAGGTGACGGTGGAGAAGGAGAGGGAGGGATTGAAGGTGTACAATCCCGACACCAGGCACGACGCTTGGCCAACGGGGGGCGAAAAGGGCCGACCTAGCCCGTTTCAATTGTTTCAGGAACAATCACAGTGATGAGACTGGTCCCGGTGGGGCCAACAGGGGGTAGGCCAAGCATTTTTCAAACTGATGACGCGGGGAGTGGACTCTGGTCAGGAGAGGCCAGAGCAGACCACCCTGTAGGACTGACATTGCCAATATCAGTGGAGGAGCCTTGGACGATCCTCACCTTGGCGGCATCTACGGAGTACAGTACATAACTATAGTAACTGTATAACTAGTCCCAGTTATACTCTCGTTTCTGTACGGATAATGCGATCCACTAGCGGGAGTTTAACCCTAGCCCCATCCCGGCATTGCTTGTCAGCGGCCCCATAAAGTCTCAGATCGGGAGATGTCATGGAATGACTGGAATTCCGATATCGTATAGTTAACTGGGTTGAGTTAACTTCATACTTCGTACCTCGTTCTCGGTTATTCATCCCAAGACTGGTGGAGCAACGTGGCGCAGCCCACACTGTGTACAAAAGCAACTTGAAAGTGAAATGACGCTCAGGGGTGACGATCTTTCAAGTTTACGTGCACTACACGTGATCAGAGTATTTGGAAGGCGGCATTCAAGTCTTAATGCTGTATTCCTCTACTCGGTCACGGTGCTATGGTATGGATTCCCGTCTGGGTTCCCTAACGGTCAGTTATCTGATGAAAGAAGAATGATCGAGATACTGCAATTTACACTGCAATTTTACACCTCAAAAAAAAATGAGCAAGTCGTTCCGTCTCAGCCAATCACAGTCCACCTCTCGAGCACATACTAGCAGAACATGGGCCAGGACCTATTTTCCTTCAATACATCCATCCAATTGTACAAAGGCCCTCCTAGTTGCTTGTCGTGCTTTTCCCATAAGTGACTCATCACATATCTGGCGGCGAGGAAAGGCGGAAGTCGGCAGTTTTGCTCACACTTTCCGACCAACTCCAAAATCGCATTTCGTTGATCACTCGTCATCGCTTCACATCCTGCCATGAATACTGGCCAAATTGTACCAGGGCCAGTGTGATCAACCGTCGATAGCTCAGCGTGCAAAGCTTGAAAGGAACGAATCACAATGTCCACCTGGCCTGACAGAATCCCCCCGATGGACCTTGCGGACTCTCCTATAGAATAGTATCACCAACCCTGCATTAAATGCCCGGAAAACATGAGTGTATGCATCTTGAGGCTCATATGGAGGCCTAGGCTGATCGCTTGAAGAAATGTAAGAGTGAATAACACTCTCAAGACGGTCGCTTCGCTCTTGAAGAAACCGCGATATCTTAGAGTCCACCTGGATGTCTGCATCTTGAGCAGCCCTCACCTTTTCCAGTACATTGGCTAAGCGTGTTGTTTGCGAGACCAGACTCATCCACGTCTCTGAAATTCCATACACCTGCTTGGCAAGTGTTGCTGCAGACTTCCGGGAGTCATGAAGATGGATATCGGGGATATCTTTCCTGGAATCTTTTGGTGAATCGATATCAAGATCGTTATCCGAATGTTCCATATGAAGAAAGTCATCATGGTGTGCATTTCGATCGCTTATAGACTGTGAAGACCTCCGCATATTCTCAGGGCGACATGTCTGGATTTGATGATCAAGGGCATCAATGAATTCTTTTGAAGCCCTGAAGTCTTGGAGAACATATGTGCTTTCACCGACAATTCGCAGCCATGTATAGACATTCACGAGGAGACGGCTTTTATGTGATGTTTTTGGCTTGTAGATTACTCGGCGACGCAGGAGTCTTTCTGCTTCGAGTGTAAAGTATCGTGCATCTTGTTGCTGGCCATTGAAGTTCTAGATATGATTCAGTAAGAATTTCAGCGGTTCACATGATACAGCAATCGCTTACCGCAGCCTCTATCATCCCGCATATCGCCATCGTACGATCCTTGTATTTGGCCTTGGGCACGCCAAGCGGCTCTTTCATATAAATGATTGTATGGTCTTTGGCCTCTTGATAAGACTTGCTAGCAACTTGGTGCCAATGTGCGAATTGACAATCTCCATCCGATTCATTGGATGGTTTCTTTGCAAGAAAAACGGCGGCACATGTGAGGAGACTGTATAAGTTGGCCAGTCGAGCGTGACTGACCTCCTGTGATTCCAAAATAGTCAAATCTCCAAGTGTAATGAGTGCAGCTGGTAGGTTCATCATGTTCCAAGATGCCTTCTTTCCAAAGGGGACAATTGTCAATTGAGGCACAACGTGCCTCTGAAAAATATGCAACAGAAAAGGAGCATCACCCAGGATATCGACGGAGGCTGTTGAATTGCTAGTAGTAGTAGTAGTAGTAGTAGTAGTAGTAGTAACAGGTAGGGTTTGTGGGATCGACATAAAATCTCTACCTAGACCTCCTGGAGGCATCAGGAGTATTTCTGTATTCGAGTCAAGTATCGTCGGCGTGGATAAATTATAAGTCGTATCGCCGTAAGTAGACCAATCCGGGTGGGCAGAGAAATCGGGGTAGCTCGTCAAGTTGAAGGGGAAGTTGGATGTAATTCCATATAAGTCGTCATTAAGTCCGAATATATCAGACCATTGTAACAGGTCGTCTGTAAACTCCGGCAGCCCCGTCGGCAATGGCGACCCTCGAACTGGCGGCAGTACACCGTCCGTTGGAGGCTCAGCGATCGGATTCAGGTTGGAAACACCGCCAGGTGGCAGGTCGCATACTTCCTGGTCCACACCATTGAAGTTCAGGACAGCAAATGGGCCGATTCGAATATCGTTGAACGGAGAAGCCGATGGTCCGCACGATCTTGTGTCAATCTCCTCGATGGTCGAATCAATGGAGCCGGAGAAAAGGCCTTTATTCAAGACAGCACCCATAGAAACCCGGGAATGCTCTAAAATATGAATCAGCCAACCATAAACATTGAAAAGAACCCGTTCATGCACGATGGGCCCATCGCGTTATTTACCCGAGTATAGATGGCGCCTTAGACCATTTCGTTTTAGATGGCTTCCCTTCGCGGACGACTTCTCGCATGCAGCAGACTGGCCCGTTTCTTGCATCCACCGCACATCGCTTGAGAACCCTTCGCACGTGTAGCCTGCCGCGGAACATGTTTTGCATGCGGGTCGCTGCTGATCACATTTGACATGTCGACGTTGGCATGTTGCGCAGGCCCCGAGCAGATGTGTGCGGCGGGATCTTGATCTACGAGCCATATTGATCACGGAGAACCAGCAAGACTTTGGAGCTATACGTGTACTTGGAATTCCATCACTGTTATTTTGCTGCAATCATTGATTGACCGAGTCGCTGGCAGAGAAATGACTCTCTGATTGAAATCGCGCCGTCTGTCAGGTGACCCGGAACCACCTGCCTCTTGGGATCTTCCGCAACATTAAGCCCTCCTAGGGCAGGCTGGAGGTAAGAACTTGAAATTACCCCACATCTCCCGAGGTCGACACCCCAAAACACACAGTAGATACCATAAAGTATAACTTCATATCTCAACATCAAGTTCAAGTTGAATCAAATCCATATATGCGTAGGTACTACTAGTAGTAACCTTCAAGTTGAAATAATTTAGACAATTTAGAGACATGAAGTTGCAATCTATCACATTACCTTGTACGTGTTTTGAGTGGGCTGACTTACCCATGAAACGCGTTAGCGTCCTCAAAATTACAGTAGTAGCAAATTGGTAGTAGTAGTAATAGTAGTCGTAGGATTTAATTCTAGTGAGACTATAGAGCCGATGGGTAGTTTCTCTTTTATCGAAAACTCTTCTATTAGTTTACCAGTGGGCGTCCGAGATGTTATGTCTTGCTATCTTGTGAACTTCATTGAATCATTGCGTGTTTAAAAATGCGAACCAGCTGTCTTCTAAATAATTTATAAGCCCGGGTATCTCAGAAAAATCAAGCCGACACAGGCTTAGCGCTCTTGCGAAGGTTAAGCACAGTCTGGACATGCTCAAAGTTGAGGTCCTTCTTCTGCGACCAAGCCAAAAGACCCGCAGTCTTGAGCATATTCTTAATCTGCCTTCCATTCAGCTCCACCGCGGCAAGTCGATCGAGCTCTCCCTCCGAGAACACCTCAGTATTCACAGAACGAGCAAGGAACTGGCACCAAACATGGCGACGCGATGTGAAATCGAGATTCTGGTATGCCAGAGAGACATGAATTCGAGACTCGAAGGCCGGATCGATTTCGTCGGCACGGTTGGTAGTCAGGAAGAGGATACCCTCATAGTATTCCAGCATGCGAAGGAATATAGAGACCAGCTCGTTGCGCTGCAGGTCAGCTGAGGTACGAGCCTCCATAAACACGTCAGCTTCATCAAGAAGAAGAACAGCGCCCCATTTGGGAATCATGCGGAGAATATCTTTAAGATTGCTTTCAACCTTATAGGCATCGCTGCCTAGATCCCCGGCGCTCATCGCGTATAGAGGAACTTGCATGACTTCTGCGACACTCTCAGCGGTCATTGTCTTGCCAACGCCAGGGGGTCCGCTCAGCTGCATGATAATACCACGACCCTTGCCCTGAACGACATCATCGAATGAAGACATGGCGTGGGACTTAGCGAATGCGAGGATGAGGTCCTTGAGGTTCTCTTGCTCCTTGGGGAGCACAAGGGACTCAAAAGCAGCGGAATTCCATTGGATTTCTGACGTGCCATCTAGATGGAATCGCAGCCACTCCTTGTCCCGTAGAGAGTATCCCCAGACCGAAGAAGTAGCGACGAGCCGGTGCTCATCGGTTAGTTCCTCGGGGAGCTCACCCCAGACCCAAATGCTCTTGTGGGGATGGAAAACATTGAAAGCCTCGGTATCAATAATGATACGGCTTTTGACGTGAAACTTCTTGGTTTTATCGTCATCCAGGAATCCAGTGGCAGTTCCCTCATATTGTTTGTAATGGTACCCCTTGTGCTGCTCCCAGATTCTTCCGCGTGCGATCAAACTCTCGCGAATAACCTCCTTGTCAGGGTGGTAGCGCAGAGGGAAGGCAGGCAGAGATGTGATTGGAGTAGTCCCGATGAAGACAGGAACTTCGAACCTATCGTCGCTGTATCCGAAATCATCGCCATCAAACTCAATATATTTGACTTCGAGAATGATCGCCTTGGTTCGGCAGTTAATTGCATCATCGACGAAGAGGTATGCGTTCCGGCGACCTGCCACGGTGGCAATGACCACATCATCGGGCTCAAAGAGAGTCCACAGCAGAGAGTGAGTAATGACCCCATTCCGGATAAGGTCCTTCTTTCGTGCCAAAATGTCGCGCAGCTCCTCCTCCAGAATCTTGTGCAAAAGATCCACATGCTCTTGTGTAGTTGCGTCAAGTTCCTCTTCTTCACGGGCTTTTAAGAAGTCCTCCCATCTGTGAACTAGGGGCTTGAAAGGAGCGGTGAACTCTAGACGCTCCAGTGTAACTGTTATTCCAGGGTAACCTTCCAAGACCTTGCCGAGGAAAGTTTTCAAAAATTCACTTTGTATGACAATGGAGTGGATGGATAAACTCTTCCGGCCGTTGTAGCATTTCACATTTCGGACGATCAAGGCGTACTGAGCCGATTCCGCATCTTCTGCAGGGTCGACGATAGTTTCCGGCAGTTCTTTTGACCATGATGTCTCCTCATTCTCGTCGGGTTTGGTCTGATAGACGTTGTGCACGCCGCAGAGCGTGCCGGGGTTCGCGTACTTGACTTCCTCGTTTTCGGATTCAGCTTGGATTTCATGCATGTTAGAATTGGGTGTCTCGTTCATAATCCTTTTTCTTTCTGCCTATTGAGAAACTTACTTGGGGTATCTGTGTCCTCTGCGACGGGCTTTTTGGTTGTGTCGGAGGCCGCGGCCATGGTGGGTGCATCCGAGTCGATCGCCATCGTGAAGATATGCCTGATGTCTGTTCAAGGAATATTGTATTTTGAAAAATATAAGGGTGAAGAAAAAGGAGGTTGAAGTGAAAGTGAGAGTATGGATTGAAGATATACCTTACGGCAGTGAAGTTGTTGCGCTCCAGAAAGCAGGAGGAACTGAGCTCTTCTTATACGCGGAGAGAGAAAAGTAATCTCGCAAACATCAGCCCGTGATGCGTCGATGCCTAGAGCTCTGCATGAAGCGGGGAACAAAATAAGTGTCCGACGCTGAGATCACCAGTCAGCGCACCCGCTCGATGTATGGCATACTTCAGGTTTCGACGTGGCACTGGAGACCCACTTTGATCAGCCTCATTCTTCCATCTCCGCGACAAGCCTTCCGGTCTTTCGAGTTCATAATTTCAGGCTGAACCGCCTCACGCCACATTTATATCAAATAGCCTCTCCACTGTCTCTTTACGGTGCCCGGGGGGCTGTCAGCCTTGTTGATAGCTGATCGCCACTGTATCTTCAACTCTTTACGGGAAACTTGGCCCCCACTAGCCCCGCTGGTGACTCAATCTAGACGAGGCTGACACTGCAGAAACAAAACAGCGATGGATATCCAATGGACGACGCGTTTAGTAGCGGGTATGATGCTTGGCATGCAGTCAGATCTTCCTTTTGCAGCCCAACAAACTATGTGGTCCCCCGCCGGCGTTAAGAGAAGGTGAAACATACTAGTACTACGAAAAACTCCGGCGCAGAGCCTCAAAGAATAAAGAATATGCCCAGGTGTACGCCATGGTCTGATTTGGAATAAAACCTCTCTATATGGCAGTATTACTCCAAGAAATACTAAATAACGCTCGTTTTTTGTATATTCATCGCTTCTCAAGCCGGATACAACATATTTCGCATACTATTCCGAGGTCAGCGGTCACCCGTTCCAACTGAGAGGAGAAGAAAAAGCCGGAAGAAAGGGCATACCTCGTAAGCCAGACAATACGATCCCTTTAGAAGCCTTTCGGGGGCTGCTTTGCGTGTATTAACTGGCATTTCGTGGCATAGTATCTAGAAAAAAAAGACCATCGGGAGAGTATTCTTCCCTGAATACTATTTACTAGTATGCGGCCCTCTGGAATGAGTAGCTGCAATCAAGCGATAGTTAATCATTGATACTGTGTAGAAAGTTATAGCTTCAGAGCCTCATCATTCCCGCCATTGCAAGGTTCTTTGACAGTAAATACCTACTAGTGGGGACTTAACAATATTGGATCACGCAAGACAAAAACGGTCGCCTCCAACGTTCAAGGCGGTACCCGCCTGAAGTGATTTCGATGGTGGGGTTAAGTTCATTCTCGTTCGAAGGGATACACTTTCCTGTCTCCCGCCCACTCATCTTCTTCACCGAGTACAAAATTTTGCGCGGTGAGATGAATGGAAAAGGAATTATTTCAATATACATGACGCTCCTTTGTGTTCTTTGACATTTGAATCTCGTAATGCACCTCGCCAAAGAAAATTGTCGCTCTTGATTTCTATGAGAATTTAGAACCACCGGCGAGGCACCGGAGGAATTCTCGCTTCACCGGAGGAACTACCGGCACAACTCGAGAATAACATCCTCCAGGTGGAGTTGAAAGGTGTTGATCTGAACACATGCCCTTGAGCCTAGAGTACAAAAAGGGGGAGGGGGAAGTTGGTTTCGTCGATATTTCTTTTTTCATTTCCTGCATCGTAGCACCCACCTACGTTCTCGTCAAAAATTAGCACTCCCGCCACCGTGCACACAATGCTTCGCTTCGATTATTCGAGCAGGTACTTAGAGGGCTTGAATCCGAGGGATCTCCTGTTGCTCATTTCAAGTACCATCCTTGTGCTCTGGGTATTCTACAAAATTGAAATCCACCCACGTTTCATTAGCCCACTGCGACATCTCCCCGCTCCAAAGGTACCGCGTCTTGTCTCTTTGAAAGTTTCACATGACCACAAACTCATTTAGTTAGGGAGGATACCCGTTCATCGGATACGGCTTAATCCGGTTTAAGAAGCCCATCGGACCCGACTACCTCAAGTTCATGGACGAGATCCCCAACGATGGTCTCATCCGCTACCGGGGATTCTTTAACCGCAACAACATCCTCTTAACAAGCCCCAAGGCCTTGTCAGAAGTTCTTGCTAAAAGGCCGTACGACTTTGAAAAACCTCCTGGTGATCGTGCATTCATGCGACGTGTGCTTGGGGATGGCTTGGTCACGTCTGAAGGGGACATTCATAAATTCCAACGCAAGCGCCTTCTGCCCATGTTCAATTTCCGAAACATCAAGGCTTTATACCCGGTATTTTTGAAGAAATCTGCGCGATTGGTACAAGAGATTGAAAAGAGTGATCCAGCTATGGATAGTGTTATAGACATTAACTCATGGGCTACGAAAGTCACTCTTGACATTATCGGAATTGCAGGTATAGGTCGTGATTTCGATACCTTGAGCGATACTGGAGACAGCCTCGCTAAAACATACGACCACGTTCTGGAACCTTCATTCGAGAAATTACTCATTTTATCAATGATGAATCTTGGACTGGACTGGCTAATCAGATTCATCCCCGGAAATATTGACAAAAAATTCACCAAGGGCACTGACAGTCTCCGAGAAATATGCTACCAATTTATCCGCGAAAAGCGAGAAAGCCAAAAGGGTTCGAGAGAAGAAACGACGGATATTTTGTCCAAGTTAATGGACACCAACGAGTTCTCCGATGAAGAGCTTGTCGATCAGCTTCTGACTTTCATCGCCGCCGGGTGGGTTTGGATTATCCCACAATTTGCTCCTAGATCAGCGGACTACTATAATAAAGGCGCTAATTTACACGGATCACAGTCACGAAACTACATCCTCTACCTTGACCTGGTTGGTATACGTTCTCGCCTCCGATAAAGAATTGCAATCGAGCCTGCGCAGAGAAATACAAAACTGTTTCCCGGAGGATCTTTTGAAAAACGAGAACGGAGACGTTCAAGTTGGCGCTGTATTGGAATCATTGCCACTTCTCAATGGCATTTGCAACGAGACGATGCGTCTATACCCGACAGTACCCTTGAGTATGCGAACTCCGAACAAAGATACCACCATTCTCGGCCACTCGGTTCCAAAGGGTACTGAGTTATACATAATTCCATGGGCAATTAATCGCTGTCGGGAACTATGGGGGGCCTACGGCACACGAATTCAGGCCTGAGAGGTGGATTGATGCTGACACGGGCAAACCGAACAACACCGGAGGAGCAATTAGTAATTACGCAGTCATGACCTTTTTGCAGGGCGTGCACATGTGTATTGGACAGAGTTTTGCAAAGGCAGAGTTACGGGCGCTTGTTGTTACTCTGGTCCGTGCCTTCGAGATTGGGCTGGCCTATCCGGAAAGACCAGTTATCCCGGCCGGTATCATTACAACGAAGCCGGAAGGTGGAATGTGGATTAAGCTGAAGCGAGTTGAAGAATGCTTCTACGCACAAGACTAGGCGCTCATATGCCCAAGAATGAAGAAAAAGGAAAAGCATTCGCTGTAGTCAAGCTTTGAATTGTCGCGTGCAATTTCATTAATACGGTTGAGAATTTTGAAGGGCTGTTCGGGTGGACGAGAGGAACTGAAGCCATCGAGGATGGAGAGGGGCCTCAAACCGTGACAGCATCTGTGTGATGTCAGGGTGGTGGAAAGGTCCTAGCACCGATTGACTAAAAGTGGTAAATGACACTATGGCGGTGTTAGCGTTGGAGCGATAATTTCTTGCATCGAAGACATACTGCTTAGAAGTCTCGGCATAGTCCAGAGTCTAGCAAACTGCTCGAGATAAAGTCTGAGAATTGTTTGGTCAGACTCGATAGACTGATTCTCAGATACTGAAAAAGCACTGGACTTCCTGTGAATATCAAGAAATATCAAGGCTGCGAATACGACAAAACAGACTGCTGGATCCACTATCAAGCAGAAACTGCTGTCCCATTCTGCAGCTGTAGATGCAATATCCTGGCAGGTCTCAATGACCTTCTGCCACCTTGAAAGCCATTCGTCTTCCTTGCATCTAGAGCAGCCTATGACTGAAAACAATAGTTTTGACATCAGTAGCACTAGCACTGTATTTAATCTCAAATGATGGCCCCGAGTAGATTCATTCAGGAGGGCATTGCGCCGGGGATTGAACCAGCCTGATGGAAGAGCAAGACGGAGGGTAGGTAGGAGACGCTCCAGGCCGACCAGGTGTTGGAGTATTTCATCTTGCGATCGGAAGGTATGAAGTCGCAAAGCCATTCCAGCTTGGCGCGTGACAGCGATTGCGACGATGTGAACATTTCCGAGACATGTTTCGGGACTGGAAACAATTGTCGGCAGGATCTCCCACAGCCTGGAAGCCTCTGACGGCAAGAAGAGCTCCTTTGCGGTATTTTCAGTGGTGGTAGATGAACTATCCAGCACTAAAGAGGTTTTAATGAAGTGGTCATCGATCAAGAATGGCGTGCCAGAAGATATGTTAGAATATGAGTCCAGGCGGTAGATGAACCACCATATAGCCCTCCATTCCCGGATTTCCTCGTAGCTGAGAATTTTCCATTCTGAATATAGGTCACGTAGATTCTCAAGTCGGTCAAGGCCTACTCGATATGCCAAGCGGGTCAACCTTCCTATTCGCATCCAAGACTGATTTCCAGGAAATTGATGAAACTCGTAGAATGCTAAGATGCATGATTTGCGAAACTGATCTATCGATGGAGAGTCGCCAATGAGGTCGACTTCCAGCATACTTGAGCTGAGCAGTTGGTCGATCTGAGTGTTCAATGCATCATTACCATCCAAGGAGGCATGGTCGACTGTGCATGAAGAACCGGTAAGCTTTGCTGTAATGGTGATTATAGTATGGATGAGCTCCTGGCTGCACAACGAATTTTGATAGTCCTCAAAGAACTTCTCCTTAGAAGATATCGGATTTGCATCTAGCAAGGTATCGAAAAATATTTCGAGGCTTTGATGTGTGTCATTTAGCTCATGCTTGGATGATCAAATAAAGCGAATTCATACAGTTGCTCTTTTTCGCCAGGAGTAAAATTGACTTGCGAATACTGCCCAGTATTACTCGTATCTGGTAAAGGTGTCGGAAGAGATGCAGTTGCGATAGATTGGTTGGGTGTAGGGGTTGATTGATGTTCCTGCGGTTGGGTATCTGATATGGGTTGATTCTGAAGACATTCATGGTAATCTGGAGAAAGTTCAATTAGTCCTACGTACCCTAGTCTTGAACAACCTGGCAAAAATTCCGATAGCGGATTTGGAATGATTTACTGCGAGACTGTTGCGGTCTATATGAGGATGAAGTTCGCTGTGAACCTCGCTGTGGCCCGGGTTTGCGCCGAGTTGAAGTGTAGCTACAATTTCCCCCATATTCGGAGCACCGAGAGCAAGCGGGTCTCTTTTGATCACCTATGAGTGCCGACAAGTTAGTGGATTGATACTATTCATTTAATGAGGAAATATCATATGGTATATTACACTTCGCTTTCTTCCTGGACAAATTATTAGAGAAGAGGAAGATCAGGTAGGCAAATGCACTCACCTGATGCAGCTATCACAGACCCTTGAGACCCCGCCTGTCGGAGACTGTAGACTTGAACTGCTGGGCGCCATATGCTGCATGTGTCTGCTGCGAAAGATCCGGAGGGGTCTTCCGAAACGTAAGTTCAAGGCGCGAAGACGATGTGATTTTCCGGGGGCGAAATACTCGGAACTTCCAGTTGCTCCGAGGTGGCAGGGATCCTCCGAAGCGAAGTGGATCCACCAAGGCACATTCTTCTCCACTCTTACACTTGTCGAGTCACAGGTCATTGAAAGTGAGACTCTTACACTTGTCGAGTCACAGGTTATTGAAAGTGAGAAGACATAGAAGGAGATTTTTCGATGGGATTGATGCTTCATGTGCGACAATTTGAAAATAAAGAATACCTGTTTAGGAAACTGGTATATTCTAGTAGATGTGCAGCTTGAATTCTTGTACTTACCGGCCGTCAGGCGGTGCATGAAAACATATAATACTAGTAGTATTAATTTACTACTTCCAAGGTTTACATTGTTCGTTTAAGATTTCTCAATAGTATGACTCGCATCGGACATTATTGAGCACAGGTGAAGAGTCGACAGCGTATTCGCGCCCTTGCATCATCTAGAACTGTGTCTCCGCTGCTTAACGCCAACCTTTTCACCAATCAACTTGCTTTGATGTCCATCCAAAAGATCCTTCGCAATAAAATCCGCATTATCCTCGAGTGAAGTTCCATAAGCCGAAGCTTGGTTCATAATGTTGAGATACCCTCCAAGCACAGGTATACACAAAAACTTGAGTGACCAATTTGGCGGAACATTGGATGCGACTTGGAGGTTTTCAGCAGAAGCATCGGTCGCGAGCGGATAGGTGGCTCTGCTGAGAGCATGCATGACCCCGGGACAAAGTATAGACCAGTTGATTGCCGACTGAGGGACTGCTCGGAGCTTGTCCCAGGTGTGACGATGTTCGGGGAAGATATGCATACTAGATGTCATAAACCACCGTAGTCAGCGATTGCACACCCAGAAGGCAGAGCACAGTCGATGGTCCAAAAAGGAATACACTTACTAGTCCACAATTCTGTATTCGGTCGTCGGGATATCCAGTAACCCCTGTCCCCCAAGAATCCATACTCGTAGAGGAGTTCCGCGTTCACGGCCGATCTCCAGCGAAGCACAAATCACTGCGTCCACTATTAAAGGTAAATCACTCTTACCCCACGGTGCCATGGCAGCATATCCTGCCGTATTTACAATGGCATCACATCCATTATGGACCGCCGCCGATTTGATATCGGAGGCCTTTCTCGCATCGCCTTGTTCAACACCTGAGAGAAGTGGCTGGATTCCCGGGGGTAGTTTGGAAGGATCTCGTACGAAGGCGAAGACAACATGTCCCCTCTGTAACAGAGCAGATAAGACCCGGGAACCAAGGTTTCCGGTCGCTCCCAATACCAAAACGCGCATGTTCTTTTGAAGGCGGCAGAAAACCGAAAGAGAAGAATGAGGAAATGAATGGGCGTACGGTTGCAGGGAGACAATAAATCAATATGAAGACTGCTGCTTTTCTTCTCAAGGTCCAAATTGTGGAGACAGCCACAATTTACTAGTACCTGAAGATTACGACTGCTTAGTCTCTTTTGAGTTGTGCCGGGGTAACTGACTGGTGGCCTCGGAGTATCTTCCCGGGGGATCTTGTATCTTGTAACAACAGTGGGAACCTTTTTAAGTGCCGTGGAATAACAGCTGAGGCGATTGGCATGCAGCCAGCTCAGCCGTCGTAATTAAAGAACCGCCAGTAAAACTTCGTATGAAGAGGATGATGAATGAAAGACTCCAGCGTAGAGTCTCCCTAAAGGAAAAAGAAAATCTTTGTTCAAAACAATATCTCGCTAGATCGCGTCTCCAGAACTAAACACCGCCCGACTTTGTCGTAAATTCATCGCTTCTCAAGCTGCAAAACAACCAAAAGCATCATATGGTCTATGCTCTTCCTAATGTGCACCAACTCCCCTCTATTCACTGTTCATTTCCCCCTCTCTTTCCCATGGGAAATGAGTTTCACATTTACTCGGTCTTGAAGGCGAGCAGGCGGTGCTTGAGGGAATCCTCAGTCTCCTGGATATCCAGCTCACGAAGAACCCCGGAGGCCACGTCGTAGATAAGACCGTGGACCTGGAGGCCGCGCTCCTGGATGGCGTTCAGGACGGCACTCTTCTGAGTGACGACACTGAGACCCTCACGGACGTTCAGCTCAACCAGCTTGAGAGAGGCCTCATCCTCAGACAGGGACTGCAGCAGGGGCAGGTTGCGCTCGCGCACCTGACGCAGAGGCAGCAGCCACGGGTCCAGGATTCCCAGCTCCTTGTTGCCCATGGCGGCGGCGACGCCACCGCAGGAAGTGTGGCCGCAGACGACGATGTGCTTGACGCCTAGGTATTTGACGGCGTACTCGATGACGGCGCCGGAGCTGAGATCACCGGGGTGCATGATGTTGGCGATGTTGCGGTGGACGAAGACATCGCCGGGCTGGAGGCCCAGCATGCTAGTCTCGGGGCATCGGGAGTCGGAGCATCCCAGCCAGAGGATCTGGGGTTGTTGGCCGGTCGCGAGGGTAGGGAAGAGTTCGGGGTGCTCGCGCGCGGTGTTGGCGGCCCAGTCTTTGTTCAGGCGCAGGCCATCGGTGTACTTGTCTGCTCGCAAGCCGGCCCTGTTAGTCTCGGGATCGGAGGCAGAGGCATCAACAGCGGCACCGGAAGGCTTGTGACTCTTGCAGGAGAGGGGGGGTAGAGGTCGTGAAGGGGGAGGTGCGAGGCAGGGATAAGGTCAAGGGTCGACTGGCAGCATTGTGCGCCAGGACACTTCGAGCGATGAGGCCCGGTCGACCGGCCAATCCTGCAAGATTCATGACGAACGGTGGGGGGGAGGGGAAACATGTGTTCGGGGTAGGGGCCCAATTATATTAAATTAATTTGAGCGTATGTCTCACCAACCACCAAGGTACAAGAGTAGAAAGATCGATACCTCTCTCTCTCTCTCTTCCTCTTATTCTCTGGAGTTTGGGGAAGGGGGAGGTGCGAGAATAACCGAAGAGAGCGGGAATCCAAAAATGTTGGGGAAGGAAAAGAAGAAAAGAGAAGAGAAAACAAGACCCAAGAAAACCCGGGAGACCTCCCGCTAAGGTTTAAGAGTTTCTTCAACGAGACATACCTGAATCCATTGTGAAAGGAGAAAGTTAGAAAACCGTGAAAGAGTGAAGAGATGAGAGAAGGGAAAAGAAGGAAAGGTAAGGAAAGGTAAGGGTAAATAGTATTGGGTAAGTCGGACTTGCTGGCCGTTGCGGTTTTGGAGGGGCGAGTCTTCCCGAGGGGAAAAGGCGAGATCGGCACCGTCTTTTTCGTTGACCGGGAGGGTTGGGGGGTTTTGGTTTGGGCTTGATTGGGTTCTACTGCATCATGATATATGACATATCACCGCATTCTTATGCTTCTTGCATTGCTCGTACTTCCTAAACTATCCCATATATGCTTTTCACCATCGTGGTGCGCAAAAAAACTCTATCAAAATCATTCATCCATATTTACTTTTTTCAATTCTATGCGGTTCCACCACGACCACCAACCCCCAAAAGAGTCTTCTTCTGCTCCTCGGTAATACCGGCCGCCGGTAGAGGGCGAGCTCCGACAAGAGTCGGAGGAGGTAGGAATCCAATCTCAACCAGGTAAGAGGCATACTTGCCAACCAGCTCCTCCGTCACACCAGCACCGGCAGACACGTCAACGCCGGACCAAACGGCATCCGACTTGAGAGCAGCGGATGCGTTACGGTCATCCAACTCAGGGGCCTTGGTGTTAGCCGGCAGGTCGTTGGTGACAAAGTGGTAAAGCGGCATCCTGGATTGCGAGAGTATGTTAGTCTGTTGAAGATTGCATTGGGTGGTAGTACAACTCGGAGAAACTTACAGCGCGTGCTGTGAATCCTTGTCATCATGCTTGCCATCGTTGACGTACTGCTCAAGAGACAGAGCCCAGGGCACATAATCAACCTGCGGAACATCGTAACCGTAAAGCTCGAGCGCGCCCAGGAACTGGTTGAAGCGGAGGCGAGGGTGGCCTGTAACATGGGCAACTCCAACGGGGTCGCATGGCGGGTGGAATGCAGTGGCAATGACGATTCTCGCGACATGGTCACATGGCACCATGTTCACGCTGTTGTTGACTAGAAGGGACATTAGCATAAGCGCACTGCTTCAGCGAGTAGATTAGGATACATACTGTTGGGTCGGGCAGAGAGTTGAATGCAGCCACGGAGCATGCGAACAAGGAAGTCATCCGTGTTGGTCACAGCGGTATTGGAATCACCTAACACGTATCCGGAACGGATGATGGTTGCCCTCAGACCACGGCGGCCGGCCTCGCGGACAAGGTATTCACCAGCCCACTTGCTTTGACCGTAGCCCGTACCCAGACCAACGGCACTTCCCTCCATATCATCATCTTCGCTGACACCATTTCCACCCTCAGCAATGCTGCGGTCAGAGAGCTCCACATAATAATCCTTGTCCAAGGCACTAGTAGAACTGACAAAAGCAAGTTGCTTAGCCTTGCCGGTAGCGCACAGCTTCAAAGCATCAATCGTACCCAGGACATTGGCAGGTCGCAGGGTCGAGTAGGGGTAGACCCAGTGCACAAGGGCACCGTTGTGGATAACTGCATCAACACGGTTGGCCAAGTCGTCCCATGTAGCCTGGGAAAGACCGAACTGGGGGTTTCCAAGATCACCGGAGACGGCCTGGAGTCTGCTGGTCCAGCTCTCATCCCAGAATCCATACGCGCGGCAGGTGGAGCGAACTCGCTCAAGGGCTTGCTCGTCGCTCTTGGCGCGAACCAGGGTGACAACCTTAGCACTAGGGGACTTGCGAGTGATCAGGTCGCGCAAGATATGAGCGCCCAGGAAACCGGTTGCACCAGTCAGGAAGATGGTCGGCTCGCTAGCGAGCATAGGTTCAGTACGGGTGGGGAAGCTGGCAGGCAGCTCGTTGACCAATTGCTTCGCATCCTTAGAGTACTCGTCGTTGGGTGCCTCGACCGTGGCGCCGGCGTTATCGCTTGTAGCAAAGGACTCCGAGTCAAGAAGCTTGTCGATCTCACCAGCGAAGCCCTTGAGTGTTGGGCTGCGGAAGATAGCGCTCATACTGATATCGAGAGCACGCCACTGACGGCGCAGGTCGAAGAACATTTGCTGGGCGAGGATACTGTGGCCACCCAGGTCGAAGAAGGAGTCATCGGGTCCAATCATTCGAGAAGTAACATTCGGAATGCGCTTGGCCCAGATCTTAGCAAGAGCTTGCTCGGTCTCACTCAGGGCTTGCATCGCAGAGGAGCGACGGCGCGGGGCGGCGGCACTCAATTCTGCGGTGTCAGGGAAGGGGAGAGCAGGCTTGTCAATCTTGCCATTGGGGTTCAACGGCATGCGCTTGAGAGGAATGATGACAGTAGGAACGGCATAGGCTGGGAGCTTGCTGCGCAGGTGATCCCGAGCATCGTCGCGGAGGGGACGGAAGCGACGGAGTAAACCGACCATGCCATCCGCGGAATCGTCATCCTGGAGGCCCTTGCTTTCAAGCCATTGGGCCCATTTGTTCATGTCAGGCACAAAATAGCTGACCAGAGTCGGCTCCTCGAACTTGTCACGTCGAACCAGAGTCACATTCTCACGAACCAGAGGGTGGCGAGAAAGATGAGTGTCGATTTCACCGAGCTCAATTCGGAAACCTCGAATCTTGACCTGGCTATCAGCTCGGCCAGAACATTCCACGTCACCAGAAGGAGTGTAACGACCCAGGTCACCACTGCGGTAAAGACGGTCTCGAGGACCAGAGTAGAATTCCCTCCAGGGCTCGTTCTTGGACTCTGCCTTATCCTTCTCGGTCCAAACCTCGGGCTTCACGAACCAGTTGGTCAGGAACTTGGTGGCATTCAGGTCCGGGGTTCCCAGGTAGCCCTCGGCGAGACCAGCAGCACGGACATAGATTTCTCCAACCTCGCCAATTGCGCAAATGCGAGTGGGGTCGTAACGATTGACGACGAGCATCTGGACGTCAAGCATACCGTGACCGGCGGGGATAACCTCCTTCATGGTATCGAGGAATCCTTCCTGGCTGGAGTAGCTGGGGATCTCGTAGTAACTGACAGCACGCTGGGTCTCGGTGGTTCCGTACATGTTGACAATCGCAGTGTTAGGAGCAAGGCCTTGTAGGGCCTTGCAATCTCTCTTAATCAAAACATCTCCGACAAAGAAAGCATGGTGAAGAGCGGGGAATTGCGCGGAGGCACCACCGACCAGAATTTGGCCCATGGCTGGTGTAAGATGGGTGATAGTAGCCCCGTAATTTTGCATCCACTCGGCAAGCTTCTCGTTTTGAATATCCTCCTTGGCAGGGACAAGTAACTGAGCACCCAAAAATAGGGGAGTGAAGATATCACGCTGAATTGGGTCGTGGGCAATTCCACTCAGCATAGTGAACTTCTCGTCAGGGGTAAGCTTGAAGGTCTCAGACATCCAAGGGAAATAGTAGGCCAGGGAAAAGTGGCGTCCACGGACACCCTTTGGACGACCCTCGGAGCCGGAAGTGAACGACAGAGTGGGAGTTGAATCAGGTCCAACAACAACACCAACAGGCTTAGACTTCAACTCAACCTCCTTGTTGAAAACATCCTGGCCGTTGATAGATCCACCAGTCAGGGTTCCGTCGTCGTGAAGAGCAAGAGCTGGCACCTCAGTGCGGAGCTCTAGAGTCTCATTGATAAAAGAACGAACAATGTCCGAAAGTTCGCCAGCGTCCTGGGTAGCCTTGGCGATGTTGATCAAAGCACGAGGACGAGCAACATCCAGATAGATGTTTTGGCGCTCAGGAGGATACGCCGGGTCAATGACCGAGAATGTGGCACCGGCCTTCAAGATACCCATGACGGCAACCACCAGGTCCACACCACGGTAGGCATAGACCATGACGACTTCTCCTCTTTGAATTCCAGATTGAACGAGATGATGACCCAGGATATTGGAGGCCTCGTTGATCTGCTTATACGTGAATTCACGGTGGGCTTGGGAGCTCGACTTGGTCTCCACCACGCATAGCTTCTCAGGGTGCTTCTCGGCATTCGCAGAGAAGATGTCATGGATGGCACCACGGAACTTGGACCAGTTCAGATCCCTTGTGGGGTCTGGCAAGAGAGCTAGCTGATCATCGCTCATCAGATCAATGCGGCCGACCGCTTCCTCAGCACTGGCTGTGCTAGCAATTTGAGCCAACTGCTGAAGGATGGTGGCTATCCGAGCACTAGAAAACAAACGCTGGTTATAGTAGGCTCCGAGTTCGAGCTCCGATGCAGACCCGGTTGTGGCGATGTTGATCACTAGATCAGTGTTATCGAATGTGTTGGCAGGGTACTCCTGAGAGGCAGCAGGAGCATCATATGCGGCGAAACGAAATAAAATTGGAGTCTGTTCGGACTTCGATTTGTCCTGGATATAGGAGCGAAGGCTACCGAGAGGGACGATTTCGGAGGCGCCTTCTTGGAATGCCTATGGGATCAAGATATTAGTGATGGAACGCGAATTATGTCTTGCTAAAAGATAAACATACCTTGTCGACCTTAGCATATAGCTGGGCAAAGGTCTCAGACGCCTCGTAGGGCACACGAAGGACAAATGGGCGACCATCGTCACCAACGCTTGTGCCTACCGCGATATCCTCGTCGCCGGTCAAACGAGCCACCAGGATAACCAGGGCAGTCAGAAAAACTGTGAAATCGGAGGAAGATGAGCCAGAAAGCTTCTTCAGGGCCAATTGAGCTTCCTGGGGCAGCTTGATAGATTCAAAGGCCTCGATGGCCCGCTTTCCAATGCCATCCTGTTGAGTATCCGGATAATCGCGAGTCAATGGCGAAACTGTGAGATTGCTGAGACGTTGGGACCACCTTTCCAGACGATCCTGTAATGAAGCCGTTCCCACAGCCATGATTGATAGCTGTGTTCAATTGCTTCGAGTGGAATGACAGAAAGAAAGATGAGTCAAGTACCTCCGGCGGCCGGGGGGGAGGGGCACACTGAGAAAATCCGCTTTGGCCGCGATCGGCCCATGATGATTGGTCAGTTGCTCTTTCCCCCACACAATTTTGGGTATCTCACCGCCTTAACGCCGCTTCGTGCGTCACACAAAGTACTAGACAATGTTGGTATGGAACACAAGTAGTATACGACTGGTCGCACATACTAGCTTGCAGATCTTGTTTTAATTCTTTAATTGGTTACCTCACAAAACTCAACTTCTGCCATCATGTCGCGAGCTTCCTTTGCTTCGTGGATTATCGAGGAAGAGTGATGATGGAATGTATGAGTCAGCACTGATGCCTCAGGCGTCTGATCTTAAGGTACTCCTGAAGAGGGATTGGCATCAGGAGAGCTGGTCTTTGCATCTGACATCATTGGAGCTTTCCAAGTCAGGAGGCTTAAAGTGATTCCATCCGATCGCATTGATTTCATCCGATGGAATAACTTTTTTTTCCTCTTTCTTTTTGTTCTGCAACTGCGCTACCTCCTTATCAAGTTTGGAGCGCGTCACTAATCCCGTTGTATTCTACAACGCAAACCAACCAACCAACCCCAGGAGAAGGCAGTATTGCGGGCGAGACTGCACATTTCTCCCAGCCCTCTATCCATTGCACCTTCACAACAATCGCCCTGGCTCAATTACATATCTTAAACCAGTGAAAGATGATTCCGCATCGGAGCACAGGCCTTCTGGCCATCATTGTTTTTGTCGCCCTGCTACTTTTCATCTTCTCCTCGTCCCCTGTTCCCGACCCTGACCCTGAACCCATTGCCGAAGGAGAAAAACAAGAACAAGCACCTGCCGGGCCACGAAAGTTCCTCACAGTTCCGCAGCTCCCATCGTTGCCCGAATTCCACCTACCTTCCTTCCGTCCCCCTTCGCACGAGGCACCCCCCGGAGCAAACAAACAGCACGAGCGGCGAGTCAAAGTGGTTCTCCAACTGGGAATGGTTGAACCCATTCTCCTCAACCATTACCCTGGATGAGGATCGATCAGTGCTTCCGCCCTTGCCTGAACGCCGCGCAATCTATACCTATTATAATCCGAAATATAATCCCAAGAAATACTCCGCCAATGATTTGAAGAAGAACCAAAACTCCGACGGGGAGCTTCTCGTATCCTGGCGCCGGGCGTGGTACGCGCAAGGATTCCGCCCGGTTGTGCTGGGGCCTGGAGATGCAATGAAGAATTCCCACTATGAGTTGGTGCAGAAGCTCAAATTGACTCCGGAAATGGAAAACGAAGTATTTCGTTGGTTGGCATGGGGCCACATGGGCAGCGGTCTACTTTCTGACTTTACCTGCTTCCCCATGGCACGCTACGACGACCCCCTTCTTATTTCATTGCGACGGGGCACTGAGCCCGATTTCATTATACGATTCGAGAACTTCCAGGGCGGTCTATTTTCGGCAGAGAAACATCGCATTGACGAAGCGATCGATGTCAGCGTGAAGAATTTGGCCGACAAATCTACATCTCTCTCCGAATTAATGCCCGTAGAGTTGTTCAAAGTTCAGCAGCCAAATTCTCTGGCATACTACAAGGGTTCCAGCATCAACTCTCGCTATCCGGAGGTGCATGAAAAGATTGGCCAAAACCCCGCGGAAGGTCGACTTCAGCTTGTAAAACTTATCAATGCTCATCTCCACAACACCTTCCAGAACGCCTATCCTGCTGGGTTAGCTGTGCTCAAGCCTTTCCCCCAACATACCACTGCCTTGGTGGAACCAGCCCTCCGGTTGGCGAAGACTCTGATCGAATGTCCAGAGTCCCCAGCACCCAGCTCTTGCCCACCTAACCTACCAGATTGCCGTCCTTGTGGCTCAGCGAAGCAGCCTATGCGCATTAGCCAACCTACCAGCTTCAAGAATACACCTTTCCTTTTCACCATCGGCACTCTACCTCACCCTTACACACTTGTTACTCTACAGAAGAGTTCCGAGGAGGTTACCGTGCGACAGATCCGCCGTGAAACTGAAAGAGACCCTTGGTTGACAGATGTCACTCAGGATAATCTTGGCGAGGATGGACATGAGCTGAGCGCCTCATACCGAGGAGTAATGTTCAAGCAATTTGTTGCAGGTGACCAGGCTATCTCGAACTCTCTTTGGATGACTGTCGAGTCCTTGCCCGCCGAGGCTGGCCAAAGTCTTCCCTCGGAGCTCCTGGACGAATTCGAGTGGCAATTTGGCTTTAAGATTCCCCGCGGAAGCACGATTGATCCTAATACCGCCGGCGATAAGGAAAGCGTGCAGGACAAAACTCCCAGCCAACAGGGTGTCTCTCGCGAGTACGAACTGATCAAAAGGGCTCGGGAGGCAATCAAGAGCCAAGATCCTAACCGAATCAATATCAAGGCTGTCTCCGAAGCCTGGAATATGGCGGACACCGAGGTGTGGCGATTTGTGAAGGCGTATCGGTAAGTTGCGAAGTTGCGTTCAAGCAACACCCAATTCTTGTACCTGCCTATACTAACATATTCTACTCTAGTGCCCGCAGCGTGGTCGAGCGCAAACAGTGGCAAGAGGAGGAGAAGAAATTCGCAAGCTCATCGAAGTGATCCTGGTGAGCACGTTGAATGTTCTATACTTGCTATAATTCCAACTTCAAGAGTAACCTGTGTTTGTATTTATTCTTATTTATTCCTCTTTCTTCCTTTCCCCCCTTATTGGAGACCTCGAGCATATCTGGCGCAATCGGAATAGAAATCAATGTCACCTTTTTCTTGTTTCGGTTTGGTCAATTCCACCCGATGTTAGTAATCGCGGATCGCTATAGGCCTCCGCCTCCTTAAGGCTTTAAGGCTTTTTTTGTACAGTTGTACAGTACATATCGGACGGTGGCGATCCCCGCAGTTGAGGCCACGGCGGTACCATGGTGGAGTGCGGTGGAGACGCGCATGGGGACTTGTCCCTATCACGAGGCGGGGATTGCACAACACTCAGTTGGTCGAATGTCATACCAGCGGCTCTGATAACTGATCTCACCCGCAACTCACCCCTCTTTGTTACCACTTCCTAATGGCGACCTATGACATTCCTCATTTACTGTGGCGATAACATTAGGAAGGTATTTGCGGTCTCGATATATATGACTTCCAGCGGGATCCAGCTTCACCGCTCGTGATAACTCTCACCTTTGCTCTGAGTGCTGTCTACTGATTGCCACGACCTGTCGCGATGGCACCTGGCAGCAGCATCGATACTGACTCTGCGGGGTCTACTGGCGAAATTGAAAAGCCATCGACCCTGTTCGAGCTGACTGAAGATTGGGATGACACAATTCGCTTCTACCTGAACGGCACCAAGGTCGCTCTCGACACCGTCAATCCAGAGGTCACGCTTCTGGAATATCTACGAGGAATAGGTCTGACAGGCACGAAGCTTGGATGCGCTGAGGGAGGATGTGGTGCTTGTACAGTGGTGGGTACACATTTCGGCATCCCGGTCGATCTTCTTTGATCATGATGGTGATCAGCGCGCTAATTTCGCGTTGCTTTGGCTCATTAGGTCGTTTCCCACTTGAACACGACAACAAATAAGATATACCATGCCTCCGTCAATGCTTGTATCGCCCCATTGGTCAGCGTTGATGGAAAGCATGTCATTACAGTGGAAGGACTCGGCGACGTGAAGAATCCCCACGCGGTTCAGCAGCGAATCGCGATTGGCAATGGTAGCCAATGTGGTTTCTGTACCCCGGGAATTGTCATGGTGTGCTCTTTCCGATTTTGAGAACTTCAATTATTTATTTACTAACCCCAAGAAAGAGTCTTTACGCCTTGCTACGCAATGACCCGACCCCCGATGAGCATGCCGTGGAGGAAGCTTTCGATGGTAACTTGTGTCGCTGCACCGGCTACCGACCGATTCTAGATGCCGCCCAAAGTTTCAACTCGCGCAATAACTGTGGCAAGGCTTCTGCAAACGGAGGATCGGGTTGCTGTATGGAGAAGAAAGAGGGTGGAGGTGGTTGTTGCAAGGGGTCCTCAACTGAGGGCGACAAGCTTGGCCCAGATGAGCCGACATTCCCCAGGCCCGACTTCAAAGCATACAGCCCCGATACAGAGCTAATCTTCCCGAATGCTTTGCGAAAACACCAGTTCAAGCCACTTGTTTTTGGTAATAAGAGGAAGAAGTGGTATCGACCTGTGACGGTGGATGAGTTGCTCAGAATCAAGAACATCCACCCCGAGGCCAAATTGATTGGCGGAAGTACCGAGACTCAGATCGAGATCAAGTTCAAGGCCATGCTCTACAAAGCATCGGTCTACCTTGGTGACATTCCTGAGTTAAGGACATTCAAATTTCATGACGACTATTTGGAGATTGGCGCCAATATATCTCTGACCGACTTGGAGGCCATCTGCGAGCAGGCTGTCGAGAAATATGGACCAACTCGCGCCCAGCCCTTCAAGGCTATCAAGAAACAGCTGCACTACTTTGCAGGAAGACAAATCCGAAATGTCGCATCTCCAGCAGGTAACTTGGCCACAGCTTCGCCTATCTCAGATTTGAACCCCGTGCTCGTGGCGACAAACACCATTCTCGTTGCCAGGTCTCTTTCGGGCGAAAAAGAAATCCCGATGACCGAGTTCTTCCAAGGTTATCGTAAGACAGCTCTGGCCCCAGACGCGATCATTGCCAGTCTTCGCATTCCAGCTGCTACTGAGAAGGGCGAGCACATGCGTGCTTATAAGCAATCTAAACGAAAGGATGATGATATTGCCATTGTGAACGCCGCTCTCCGCGTTTCCATGTCTGACACCAACGATGTGACTAGCTGCAACTTGGTCTTTGGCGGCATGGCCCCATTGACGGTATCTGCGAAGAACGCCGAGGCTGCTTTGATTGGCCAGAAGTTCGCCAACCCGGCAACTCTTGAGGCTGTGATGAGTGCATTGGAGAAAGACTTTAATCTTCCGTTTGGTGTGCCCGGAGGCATGGCCACTTACCGCAAGTCTCTGGCGATGGGTTTCTTTTACCGCTTCTACCACGATGTCCTCTCGGGGATGGAGGTCAAGGCTGAAGACATGGACGAGGATGTAGTCGCAGAGATTGAACGTGCCATTTCTTCTGGAAAGCAAGACGGCGAAGCCTCAGTTGCCTACCAACAAAAGATTCTTGGTCAGGCTAGACCTCATGTTGCTGCGCTCAAGCAGTCAACCGGCCAGGCACAATACACCGACGATATCCCTGTTCAACAGAACGAGCTGTTCGCCTGCATGGTTCTTTCCACAAAGGCTCACGCGAAGATTTTGAGTGTCGATGCCTCAGAAGCACTGGAGATTCCTGGGGTGTCTCATTACATTGATCACACGGATATGCCGAGCCCGGAGGCAAACTGGTGGGGAGCCCCCGTTACGGACGAACAATTCTTCGCCGTCGATGAAGTTAGAACTGCTGGTCAACCAATCGGTGTTATCCTGGCACACACAGCCAAGATTGCAGAACTGGGAATGAGGGCTGTCAAGGTAGAATATGAAGACTTGCCTGCGATTCTGAGTATCGAGGAGGCTATCGAGGCCGAGTCTTTCTACGGCCACTACCGCTTCATCAAATGCGGTGACACCGAGGAGGCATTTAAGAATGCTGACCATGTCTTTGAAGGTATTTCTCGCATGGGTGGACAGGAGCATTTCTATCTGGAGACGAATGCTTGCTTGGCGATCCCCAAGCCAGAAGATGGCGAAATGGAGATTTGGAGCGGCACCCAAAACCCCACTGAAACGTAAGTTGCCTAATCATACCATGCTCTATACGGAAGCTGACAAGTCCGCTCTAGACAAGCATATGTTGCTCAAGTGACTGGTGTAGCTGCGAACAAGATTGTGTCTCGTGTGAAGCGCCTTGGTGGTGGCTTTGGTGGCAAGGAATCGCGATCGGTACAACTGGCTGGAATCTGCGCTCTTGCCGCTCACAAGACTCGACGACCAGTACGCTGTATGCTCAATCGTGACGAGGACATTATTACCTCAGGTCAGCGTCACCCATTCTACTGCAAGTGGAAGGTCGGTGTGACGAAGGAGGGAAAGCTTCTGGCTCTTGACGCTGATGTCTATGCCAACGGTGGCCACACACAAGATCTGTCTGGCGCCGTTGTGGAGCGAAGCTTGTCGCATATTGATGGCGTGTACAAAATCCCGAATATGTTTGTTCGTGGCCGGATCTGCAAGACAAATACCGTTTCCAATACTGCGTTCCGTGGCTTCGGTGGACCTCAAGGTTTGTTCTTTGCAGAATGCTACGTCTCGGAAGTTGCAGATCATCTCGGAATCTCAGCGGAGAAGATGCGCGAGATCAACATCTACGAGCCAGGCGAAACCACACACTTCAACCAGGAACTCAAGGATTGGTACGTGCCATTGATGTACAAGCAAGTCCTGGACGAGAGCAACTACTACGAGAGACGGAAGGCTGTGGAGAAATACAACGCATCTCATAAATGGTCCAAACGCGGCATGGCTATCGTCCCAACCAAGTTTGGTATCTCATTCACAGCCCTCTTCCTGAACCAAGCAGGAGCTTTGGTACACATTTATCACGATGGTAGTGTGCTTGTTGCCCATGGTGGCGTTGAAATGGGCCAAGGTCTTCACACCAAGATGGTGATGATTGCTGCAGAGGCTCTGCAAGTGCCCCAGGACAGTGTGTTCATTGCCGAGACAGCCACTAACACTGTCGCCAATACATCTGCTACGGCCGCCTCGGCCAGCTCAGATCTCAACGGCTACGCCATCTTCAACGCCTGTGAGCAGATTAACGAGCGACTGCGTCCTTATCGCGAGAAAATGCCGGGTGCTAGCATGAAGGAGCTCGCACACAAAGCATACTTCGACCGAGTTAACCTCTCCGCGCAAGGCTATTACCGCACACCCGATATTGGTTACGTATGGGGTGAGAACTCTGGACAAATGTTCTTCTACTTTACCCAGGGCGTCACCGCCTCAGAAGTCCAGATCGACACTCTGACCGGAGACTGGACTTGCCTGCGTTCCGATATCAAAATGGATGTTGGACGTACCATTAACCCATCCATCGACTACGGTCAGATTGAGGGTGCCTATGTTCAGGGACAAGGTCTTTTCACCACTGAGGAGAGTCTCTGGCATCGTGCATCTGGTCAGGTCTTCACTCGTGGCCCAGGTAACTACAAGATCCCCGGTTTCCGTGATATCCCGCAGATCTTCAACGTCAGTCTACTCAAGGACGTTGAGTGGGAAAATCTGCGCACTATCCAACGTTCTCGTGGAATCGGCGAGCCGCCTCTTTTCATGGGAAGTGCTGTATTCTTTGCTATTCGCGACGCCCTGAAGGCCGCACGAAAGCAGTGGGGTAACGAGGAGGTCCTTAGTTTGGTCAGCCCGGCTACCCCCGAGCGTATTCGTGTTAGCTGCGCAGATCCAATTTTGGCTCGGGCTCTTGTTCAACCCAAAGAGGGAGAAAAGAGCTTCTTTGTGGCTATTTAAATACTTGGTTGTTCGTTTTATGATTCATGTTTGTATGACAATAAACCCATTAGGGGAGTGTTCAATATAGGCTCAAATTGCATTGATGATTTATCTACAACCTACTACCTTGTCCATAAATTTCAAAGCAGGAAGACCTTTATCCAGGGAATTTTGAGATCCAAGATGTAATATGTCTGTCCATGTAGTATTTTAATTCGAAAACCGCTCGAGATGAACGCTGATAGGTCTATGTGCCATTGTAAAACAACCTTAACTCGCCAGTACCTCATGCTCTAGTACAAAAGAAAAGAAAATTGGAATCGATGTGACTCGAAAACATCATCGCTTCACGTCATATTCAACATAGTTACTCTTCCTCATAGAAGCCGAGTCAAGATGATAGCTTCTGTGCCCTGCAAACCCTAGCTTCTCATCAGGAAATTCAGATCCACTCCGTGCCACTGAGCTCCCCACCGGGGTCTCATATTGCGGCATCGCATTGATGGAGCCAAGAGAACCTTTCGGTACAGCCGTGAGTGGGACTTCTGTGAAGCCAGCTCCGGATGAATTTGGGGCCGGGGCAGGATGGTTGGGAATGGCTTCCATAGCATGGCCGCCGCCCTCACCGCGATTTCGATCACGTCCCCACCAGAGGGCCATGGCGCGAACGACGCCAATGAGAACAATCATTACCCAGAGGAGAAGAATGCAGGTGGCAATAATAGCTTCGACGCGGAGACCGGCGTAGAGCTTGTTGATTACAGATGTCACAACTTCGCTGATCTTGTTGGAAGTCTCGTCGCCGGCATCGGCTAGGAAGCTCTCTGATGGATCGGAGTCACCAGAAATACTGCTGTTCGCGCCGCGAGAAAACGTGTCGTTTGGTAGCAGGGGGAATTCAATGTGAGCATGGTCGCTGACCCACGTTAGACCTTTTTGCACACTCTCGACTTTCATTTCAATTAGACAGTCGAAGATGCCCTTGATCGGCACGTAAAGAAGAGTATCGCCGAAAGCTTCACTTAAGACGCCGTTTGTCTTGTTGATGAACGCCTCGAGGGTTCCGTTGATTGCACCGGTGGTTGTATTTACCCAGCCAAACACATTGTTGTTCAGATCATCATCAAAATCAGTGATAATCTTGTTGGCGCCGTTTGCCCAGTCCGCTGAAGCATTTTGAAGTGAGTCGACAACTTTATCAGCAAAAGCACCAACCTCGGTAGTCAGTGCTGGGACTGTCTTGGAAATTTCCCTGAGCAATATGTATTGACACAAACAGGCGAAAAGGGCAGCGAGGGCGAGGGCCAGAACCAACAGCGCAGTTGATGAGGTAGCATAGGCTATGGCCCAGCGAACCAGAATTTGCCGACGACTGTTGCTGAAATGACTGGCAGCCTTGATACCTGCAGCAGCAGAGTAAGGCCTTGAGACGATATAAACAACATCCATTGGATCGTGAGTGTCCTTGCGCACCAGCTGTGAGCGTTCATTCATGTGCCGCCAGCGTCGGATTTCCTGCCATGCCACGGGAACGCAGGCCAGAATTGCAGCCACGACCAGAACAGCAATGAAGATCTTTTTGGCAGTGGAGACGACGTCTCCGACCCCGTCAAAGAATCCGTTGATACCATCATTATCATTGCAGAATGTCAGCTGCTTCTTTGCGGGAACAGGCAAGCCTGAGCTGTCGAATGTGTAATTTCCCAGGTGGATGTTGAGCAGCTTCTTAACTTCTTCGAAGGGAAGCCGAATGATATTTTCGGTCTCGTTTTGGACTGTCTCGAAAGTAGGAATTGAGCTGTTAAGTTTATTGAGCTTCTCATCTATCCCTGATGGGATAGAAAGGTTGATATTTTTGACTGAATCGATAGTGCTGTTCAGATCCAATGTCGGGATCTTGGCACCCAGGAGCTTGGAAGCCCCATTGACTGTGTCTGTGATCTCCTGGAGTACACCCTCGAAGTTATCCGCGGTTTTTGTAAGACCGCTGCTGATTTCGTGTAGAGTGCTGTTCAGTCCATCGAGGACATCTTCAATCAGCCCGGTTGTCACCGATACAGTTGCGCGCACAGCCAGTGTGATAAGGCACAAATATGTCTGGTACATCATTTTGATGACGAAAAGAATGAGCTCTTCCACGCCCGTGATGGTCAATAGCAGCATTGATCGCAGTCCGTGGACCGCCTCCGAGATGCCCGAAGCGGTAAGTTCATTGACGCCTTGGGAAAGGTAATGCGGCATGGACGCCATCGCACTGCCCATCGATTCCACCGATGTACAAGCAGATAGAGCTTCTCTTTTTGCACTTGACATGTCGTTGTTCACGCCCGAGGTTGCCATAAGTACTCGGACGAGCACAAGTAGCAACAACATCGTCCAGAGATTGATCCATACTTGTGACAGTCGAGCTCGCAAGCCAAGATAAGGAGTAAGTCCGTCCGGGTTTGATGGGACTATGCGCCCGTCATTCGGATCGTGTGCCCCATATGGGGGGAGAAGGGGAAAAACTGATCGCCCTGATCGTGAGAATATCATCTTGCCGAGTCGTAGTAAATGGGTCGTATCGTTTGCGCCAGCGCTTTGAGTATAGCAAGGGAAAGGAAAAAAGTCGATGTCTCAGAATATATTTGAAAGATAAAACACAAACAGGTCGGTGGAAAGAAAAGTAGAGAGTAGAGAGCTAGGCTGAAGGCTTCTATTCAAAGCCCATTGTGTAGTGCCAAGGTCGATTAGGTATAGGTAGTGAATGATAAGCGGATTCACCAAAATGTAAGTCGCAAAGAAGAGAAAATATGCAAGGTGACGGCACCAGAGGGGATGAATGAGAGATCAAATACAAGGCCATCGACGGCATCTCTGAAGAAATCTTTGTCTAAGGTCGGCGCTAACGGCATCTACAAAACGGCCAATCTTTTTATAGAGAGGGTCGATCAGGAGCAACTCGCAACTATGCGACTCCCAGCAGCCAATCAGAGAGAAACATCAGCCCAGTCACCACAAAGGATGAGTAAAAATAAAGTCTGCAGACAGGTGACCGGGGTAGGGTCTGTTTCATCATGAAGAAAGGCGCGTAGGTTTGTGTTGTTGCAGACAGCGCCAGCTGCCAAATTTAGCCCCACCGTAGGCGCTTAGCCCCCTGTCGATGAGAACCAATCATTGGCAACCTCGGATGCAAGGCTCAAACAAAAAATCTCTTTGGTGATTTTATCCTCTGATCTAGAAACATATTCATTGGCCGGAAACTAGGCAACTGTTCTTTGTTGAGTAGACACCCGTGGTTTGACAAGTCTTCGTGTTTGTTTCGGAGTATCCATCCATCCCCATAGGCAACTCCTAGTAGCCTCAGTAAACCACCAACTCTGCAACACTGGGCCCCCATGCCATGACAACAGACACATTTTATCTCCCATGGTGTCAGTAAAATGATTGGAAATATTTGACAGGGCACTCTGTTATAGTTTGTAATACCATATAAGGTAAAACTCGGCGAGCGCGCCCGGGGAGCCACGGCGCGATGGGGAGATGCGACGAACAAAGTGATGTACTACAAATGTGGTAACATCTTGACCATGTCTTGAGAAGTCCCAGAGGCTTCATTTAATGATGCAACCTAACCATTCCATTCATCGAGCGACCATAGCCAGTTGAATGATGAAAACATGTGGTCTGTATTCCCGGACTCCACAAGTTCTGTCCACTGTTGTTCATCTAGAGGCAACCCATGATCTGCGATATTGACGTCTGGTGTAGCATCGTGCATTCTGGAAATTTCAGATGCATGTAGACTGATTTCGAGGGGCGGCTGCTGGCGGTTTCTCAGCCCCAGATTGTCAGGCTGGGGTGAGATGCTCGAAGAGTTGGGGCTTTCTCGACTCGGAGAGTCATCGAGTAATATTTCATCATGAGTAGCGCTAATCGCATTAGATTTTCCACTGAGTTTGCTAAGACGTTCTAATTTCGCTCCTCGGTGATCGCGAAAATCGAATTCTGCATCGTCCTGGCCAATTAATGGATGTTTGCTGTGCCGTATTAATATTAGCTCTGTCTAGTTATGCAGTACTCTGTCAGGACCAACCTGCGTATGAGTTCTAGGTCAGTCGGGTCGAGGAGGTGCACGTAGCCGCAATTCATGAGTCGGTGTATTGCTTCAAGGTACTAAACTTGTTAAATCATGGATTGGCAGTCAAAGTAATCGCACTTACTAGATGTTTCGCAGTTGTTGAACGGATTGAGATGTCTCGTATGACTGTGAGGCAGTGAACAATTCCTGTTGTCAACGTCGGAGTGTTGAAATCGTTCGAATCCTCAAGACTACCCAACCGACGAGGCTCAAAAAGGAGAACTGTTTAATCACAGTAAGCATATAGTTCTTGTGTTGTTTGCCGAGGTGGTGATTTTACTTTCAAGAGCAACGTAGGCCTGTACGCCAATATGTGGATCAAAGATGAGTTCCTCGTTTAGTCCCGCAGAGATCAAATTTGAAATAGAGAGAGCCCGATAAATTCTACCGCGGCGTACTTCGTTTATGAGATCGGCCTTGGTGGGATCTCGTAAATAGATAGTTAGTGCCGCTCGACCCAAAATCACGAACAGATTGTGTCGCAAAACGTGTAGCATGATAAATGTTGGCAATCGGTCCCGATGCAAGAGCAGACTGTTAGCATTGAACTGAAATCGGCGCGGTAAGTCAGCAAAAACAGTCTCCAAATCCTTTTGAATTACCAATAGGTCTGAGGTCAGCTGTTCAACTGTAGTCTCTTGGTAAGAGGCGCGGAATGCAAAGTGTAGACCGCGGCGACGGGCCGCCGCCGTGCGTAAAAGATAGGCCGACATATCGAGGGATGCATGCGGGAGGCTATCGCCTGTTTTCTGTGCGGTGATGATATCATCTGGAATTAACGGTTGGGTAACGACGTGGTCATCACCCAGGAAGCTCTCTTGGTCACAGGGCAGTTGGATGCGGTAGGCGCGTTCGTCAATTGTTTGGGATCCATATCGTCCCCCATCAGTCATTGAGTCCAGATAGAACGTAGACCATGCGATCCTACGAAGTGATTCACGCGACAGAAGAGGTGACAGGCGCTGGTGCGATGGGAAGTCTGCAGGGAATGCGAGATCGAAGATATGCAAAGACATCATTTGCATCATGCTGCAGTGGCTTATTTAGTTCTTGGTAAATTAAATAGAGAGACACGCGGCTAAACAAGCTCACCGTGTACAGCTAGCTCCCAGAAGCCATGCAGATGTAAACTTTCCGCGATGAAAGTCATAGTGTTGCGCCAGGAGTACAGTCTGATAACAATTCAAAGTCAGTCTTCGTCAGTGAACAAGGCTTTATTGAACCAATCTGACACCAACCATGAGTTGTACAGCTCCAAATCCTTCATAAATACGCGGAAGAAGAGCACCAATAGCTGCATCGGCCCACGCATCTGCTCGGGCAAGAGTTTCGGTGGCGATTGGAGCGCCGAACCTGCAGAACATCAACGATGATTAGGACGATACTGCAAGGGTGTATGTAGATGTTCTATTACCGATAGGCACTGGCAATCATCATCAGGGTCAGTTCACGCGGGGCTTTCCCACTGACCAAGAGTCTTTGAAAATGGAAAGGGTGGACAAAAGCGAAGAAGCCGAAATCTAGACCGATGTTAATCAACATTATACCTTTCGCAGAGCAAAAAGCATAGCATACGGTGAACAGATGAGAAGAATAACTGTACAATCTCCTCGAGCTCTTTGCCCTCTGGTAGCTGGCCTAGTCGTGCGCGCTGCGACTCGTTGTCCAGGAGATCCGGTGACGCAGGGCCGGTGAGTGGTCGAGACCTCGTACACTCGATGCCCTGTGCCCGACATCTTTCGCATACATTGCCGAAATCATCGGTACATTTCAACTGGGAAGAATGAGGTCTGAGATAAAATTCCATGGCAGCTTGAATGGGAACCGACCTTCTTGGCGCGACATCCTTCACACGCTGTCGCGTTAGCTCTGCGAGAAGCTCTTGTGCGCTTTGGTTCCTCTTCAAGCCAAGTGCAAATCCGGTTTCCTCTGTAGCATTGAGAGCAAGAAAGCTTCTTTTCATCGCATTTGATCTGTTCTTGACGGTCGGATTATGCCCATTTGCCCTTCGAACGCGAAACAAACACTGACCTTGCGAGATCGGCATGTTTGACATCCGGTGCGCGTCCGCTGAATTCTTGCTCTTCTCGACTCAATATTTTCAGGCATGCGCACTACGATGGGTGGTGGTGAGGTTTCCATTCAAAAGGAAATTTTGTAAGAGCCAAGATTGTGGAATTAGGCAGACCGGAGGTTTGACAGCGGGGAAAGGCCAGATCAGATCACTCACTCCCCACCCACTGCTAGTGCATACTAGTACTACAAAAATGCCATGATATTCCAAGGTTGGTAACTTCAACCTATTTCCAATCTTTCAATTGGCGTTGCTCCAGTCTTTTGGCACTTGATCGATTTTACCTACTACTAGTACTGCTACTGCTAGTAGTAAACTATAACATGGATTAACGAGATCGTCGTTGATCACTACTAGTAGTAGTAGGACTACTGACTAACTATCTGGCAAGAAATATACCTAGATACCTTAAGTTATACTAGTAGTAGTAACCGCTACTATCACTAATAACTTGAACCATCTATTGCCTGTGGTTACCTAGTAGTACCGTGACTATTAGCTACCTACCTAGGTAGGTACTAACTAACTAGCAATTAGGCTGAACTCCCCCACGAGCCTCCATCCAGCCCTTTTGTAGCTCCGTTTCATCCTCCCACAGCTCTGGTGCTTCATCTTCACTCAACCCTGGTGCCGCGGCCTTTTCTCCCCAAACAACCCCACACTCAATGACGTATTCTTCCCAACATTTCAATAGTTCCTGGAGAATTTCCGGCTCTTCCTGCGCCAGATCCTTTGTCTCCCCCGGGTCCTGTGAGAGATTAAATAATTCCCATCCATCGTCTCCCTCTCCAGCACCTCCTTGTGCCTTCGCAAAATGTACAATCTTCCAGTCCCCTTTGCGCAATGCTCCACGAGCAGAGAGCTCCCATCCAATAGGCTCTGAAGAGGAATGAATTGCCCAATTCAAATTATTCTCGACGCTTTCACCACGACTAAAGAACGGCTCCCACGACTTGCCTCGGACGGCGTGCACATCTCTGCCGCGAAATTTGGACATCGCTCGAGTGCCACTGGTAGCCGGCAGTGGTAAGGATATACCAGCCAAGTCAAGAAACGTGGGAACAAAATCCATGACTGTTGTGAAGGATTGAATAAACGAGCCTGGAGATAATTGGGGAAAGCTGCATGCAGGAGGCTTGATTACGCAGGGAACTAAAATGCCCCCCTGGGATGGGAAACATTTGAAGAGCCTCGAGGGTGCGGTCGATGCCTGTGCCCATAGAGGACCAAGCCTATGCAGATTTACAGTGAGCCGCTCTCCTTTCATAACAAAATAGCACGACTTACCACGTATATGAGTTGTAAGCACCGATGTTCTCGTATGAATTATCATAATATTTGTGGATCGCAGACTTGATGTCTGCGCCTAAGACAGCTGGAGTCGAGGTTAGTTTTTGGCATTCCTTCGCTTGAGAGTAAACGATACTTACGGACAGCTTCCAATCTAGTTATTAGAAAAGTCAATTGACGGAACAAATCGAAGGTATACGGGGTGGGACTTACGCCGCTCCTTCTGCCCCGTTATCGCTCATGAAAACGACAAAAGTGTTGTCGTACTCGCCTGTCCTTTTCAGATATTCGATGATTTTTCCAATATTCAAATCGATAGAGTCAACCATGCCTGCGTATGTTTCCATCGCGCGTACTGACAGCTTCTTTTCTTCTGGTGTGAAGGAATCCCATTCTCCGGCCCCAACTCTACTCGTCTCTACTTCATGTGGAACGATCGCTTCGTCGATGATGCCTGTTTCGACGAGCTTCTTCAGCCGACGCTCGCGGAGGGCGTATGGGCCATCATCATAGACTCCCTTGTATCTTCACCGATGAATTAGCCAAACAATCCCGGATTTTTGGGGTTGTGTATGATCACTTATCACGCTGTGCGCGGGAACACTGCAGAGGCCAATGGGGGGGCAGTGTATGGTAGGAACGAGAAGAATGGTTTCGATTTTTCATCCTCTGATCGCTCTTCCAAATACTTGATCATCTGGTTGGTATAGTAGTCTGTCGAATAAAAACCGTCGGGGTCCTCAGTCTTGTTCGGTGTTCTGCGATGTCGTACTGGTCAGTACAGATAGAATTGGGCAATTATCTGTCTACCACACTCACAAATCTACTTTCTTTCCCATCTCAGCATGGATTGGTCTGCCACCAATAGGGAATTTCTCCTGGACTGGCTCCCATCCGTAATGATTGCAGCAACCAGGGAGCATTGCAAAGGCCTTCTGGAAGCCGCGCTCCCATGGTCCTTGCGAAGTCCGCATACCTAGATGCCACTGTGATGAAATCGGTATCCGTTTTATAGCCTTAGCGGTAGCCTGACATCAAACATACCTTGCCGGACATCACAGTAAAGTACCCGTTGTCCTCGAGGATCTCAGGTAGGGCTGCCACATCGCGATTCAGAAACCCCTCGTAGCCGGCTTTGCCTGACCACCGCTCCGCGCCCTTCGCGCTTTGTTTGAATTCTATCAGAGTGCCTAGTCCTCCGAGGTGGGCGTCTGTCCCACTCAATAGCATTGCTCGTGTCGGCGAGCAAGCGGCTGCGGCGTGGTGGTTGAGCATCCGGGCGCCCTCCTCCGCCAGTCGATCAATATTTGGGGTCTGTATCTCAGATCCATAGCAGCCTATATCGGAGAACCCCTATCGTAAACGGTCAGCAAATACAACTTGTTCGGACACCTATAATGAACTCACTAGATCGTCCGCGAGAATGAATAGAAAGTTTGGCCGTTTCAAAGAGCTATCCATGGTGGACGGGTGTTGATAGAATCACCAAGAGGGTACTATTCTATATATCATACAATATTACCTCACAGAAGAGAAATGAACTGTTCGTTATAACGACAGAGTGGACACTGAATTGCGATATCCAATTTATTCGAGTCATGAGAGGAGACAAGGAGGGAACTTTGAACTTCTGGCGTCCTCGCTCGGAGTAAACCCACCTCGCTCGGAATAGAGACAGCTCGCTCGGAAAGTGGACCCACATCGCATGGGAGTGTTTAATGGAACTCCGAGCGAGAAAAGCCAAATTGTTCAGCACAGTAATAGTGCAGCGACACTGGTTGGTTTCCAATTACCCCAGGTTGTGGGGTAATGATGCCATCGGCTAACTTCGGTAGTCTCTTCTGTGGATACAAGTTCTTTGTGTCTCCCTACTACTAGATATTGGAGCACGCACCCAACTTGAAGTTTAAAATATAGAATATAATCGGCCAGCGTCCATCGCCGTTTTGTTGAAATGATTTCAAGTTCAAGTTCAAGTTGAATTCCCATTGGTTGTTTTTTTTTTGTTTTCCAAAGTTTCTTTTCTTTTCAAAGACTGAATCTTGTGAAGCTCTACTCGCCTTTTCGAGGTTGATTACACCGCATCGAAATGACGACTCTTCGTTCTTCCCAGTTCATGGCGGCCCCTATGCTGCTGTTTTCTTGTTTCTGTCTACTCACAGGCGACATGTTATTTGGATTTGACACAGGGAGCTTCGGTGGGATACTTGGTAATCCGGTATAGCAGAGACTATTATTAGCACAATGCTGTTCGGTAGGAAACCTATGTAGCTGACTGATTGTAGGGCTTCATCAATCAATTTGGCACCTATCGACCAGAAACACAGACCTATAAGATCAGTTCTCTCAACACTTCCCTTCTGTCATCCATGGCATTTATTGGAAAGTTCATCGGTTGCTTGGCCGCGGGCCCCGCCATTGAAAAGTACGGACACCGCATGGTGTTCTATGCTCTCTCGGTTACCTCGATCATTGGTGTCATTGGTGAGATTACTGCCCTCCCGAGTAAGATTGTATCCCTGACTGGTTGCTGCCATAGTTGAAATCACCGCCGCCGATGACGGACCCGGGACTGGACGCCTTGCACAATTCATCGTGGGCCGAATCATTGTATACATTTCTATTGGTTTAGTAGAGGTTGATGTGACGTAAGTTCCTTTCCAGGCTGAAGTCAGCATGCTAGTTATCATTTTGCTAACACAATCATCTTTCTACAGAACATATCAGTCGGAAATTGTTCCAGCCCCATTCCGTGGTCTTGTTGTGATCTCCTTGCAGCTCTTCCTTGTGGCAGGCAGTCTCGTTGCCAGCGGTGCTAACAAGGCTTACGAGACTGAATCAGAGGGAGTGGGTTGGAAGACAATAACAGGAATTCAGCTTATATTCCCTGTCTGTATGTAAACATACTGCCCCTAAGTATACTTCGATTGCCACTTACAATAGTTTGCCCTATAGTGATCATCATATGCAGCATCTTCATACCAAATTCTCCCCGTTGGCTACTTTCTAAAGACCGAGATGAGGATGCTATTGTATCTCTACGTCGACTACGCCCCAAGGAAGATGCGTCAAACGGCAAGTGTGAAGCAGAAATTCGCGAGATTCGAGAGTGTCTACGCGAAGTAGCATATAAGAGCTCGTGGATAGACTTGATCCGAGGAAGCAACCTCCGCCGCACATCCATCGTCATCGTTTTTTACTTCTTTCAACAGGTAGGCCAAATAAATTATGACTTTGTTACAAAATATCTAACTAAATAGGTCACTGGACAAGCATTTGTATCAACCTACCAAGTCAAATTTTACCAGCAGAACGGATATGCAGAATACGCGTACACCTATCCTCTGGTCTGCAGCGTCCTTAGTGCCGTCGCTGTACTCATAGCCATGTGTTTTATCGACAATCTGGGGTATGCATGTCAGTCCATTACTTGAAGCCATTCTAACTTCCCATCTGCAGTCGGCGGTATACGCTCTTAATGAGCTACGCCTTCCAAGCCCTTTGGATGTATGTAATTGCCGGCCTAGGGGGCGTATCCCACCCGACTACTACTTCTCGAAATGCCATCGTAGCAGCCTTTATGCTATACCAGCTATTTTATAACGTGAGTCTCCCGTTGCTTTTGCTGTGAGATATTCTTCGCTGATTATCTACCTAGGCTGGTGGAGCCTCAATTCCATATCTCTTAGGGGCAGAAATTCCAAATGGCGCAGTCCGTGAGAAAACACAGTCCATTGGAACTGCATGGAATGTCATTTGGGCGTTTTTGACGAATTTCATCATCCCGTATATGATGGAGCACATCCACTTTGGCATCGGGTGGGTATTTGGCAGTGTCTCTCTCGTGGCTTTGCTATATACATTCCTCTTTCTTCCAGAAACCAAGGTTAGTCAATTCTTCACTCCCGTGTCACTCCTATCATCTCACGCGTTATTTCAATGTCAAACAGGGCCGGACCCTTGAAGAACTGGAGGTCGTCTTTGCCCATGCGTATAATCCTTTCCGCAGGATCGACTCGTCTTATATGAACGGGGAAGTAGATCCCGTATCTCCGAACTGCTCCGACGCGCCTATTTACTTCAATCCTGATTCCGGTAAGCCTCATACACACGTTGAGCACGAATAAATTTACGAAGCAAAACATGATCCCAATATGGCTAGGTTAGCTTTAGTGATGGATAAAGCCCCGGGGCCTGTACACCTAGGCACATTCCATTGCCACATACAAAAATGATTTCACGTAACACTATATAAGCCACTCGCATTCGATCCATTGCTCCAGCCACTAAATGACGCACACATTCCAAAGCTAGATTACAGGATTTTTCAAGAGTCTTAGCGAGGGAATAAAGGGATACCGCTTGAGTCAACGCCTTAATTGGAGCCGTATTGGGGTTTACAGCAATAAAAGTAACGAGTATCCTCATAATTAGTACCAAAAAGCACTTCGGGTCTGAGTACGAAAAACGATTTCAGTGATAAATTCTTTCTAGGAACTCCCCAGACAATTTCTTTTTTTCCAAATCGGTCTTTCTGAACCAAAATATGTTGAGTCTTAAGATAAACCTATAAATTAGGCTTAGTTGACTTCCTAAGGAGGTATGGAGACTACCTACTTGGTTAGTAGGTATGTAACTTGAACCCAGTTTACCTACATAGGGCAAAATTCCACACGTGATTTCTCATTTCACTCGTCGGGTTATTGAAATACATCAATTATAGTAGGGCAATGCTGTTATGCATATTATAATCCTTAACGCAACTTGAAGCATTCCTTAAATCTAGTTTTTATTCACTCCTCTGAAGTTGCCAGTATCACGGGTGCAGCTCCTGGAAGATGGCCTCTCGACTCGGAGCGATTCAAGTATTCAAGTCGCCTTTGTTGACTAGCTGCAATTGATGCGATATCTTATTCACTGCCAGTGGATTATCTGGCACAGAAAGACTAGAATTTTACCTTCAAAATTTGAAATTTGTAACAAAATCGGTAAGGCCTAAGCTACTAGTAGGGGTCCAGAATACCGAGTTGACCAACAAAGGGAAGAAATGAAATGAATTGAATCCATGGATTAATTTGAATTCATCCGGGGATGGGGATAAAAATGGGCCCAGGAGGGGAGTGCCTGGGCCGCATTAAACATCCCACAAACTGGACATACGAGTCTTTAACAGGCACCAGGAACTGATCCATCTCACTCGATAGACTTCTCCTTCACAAGATTTCTTCTCTTCGTCACTCCACCTCGCAATCCTCGGCTCTTCCGTCCCCGAGTTTCCCGTTTGTATTGACCAAGATCTCTCACTCTTGCCCCAATACACAATACACACTTTCGCAGATATGAGTATCGCTCTGTCAAAGAGGCCCAATGGGAGTGAGGATATGACTCCCGCAGTGAGAAAGTCTTGTGCGATAAGACTGACGGTCAGACATTGGCTTTCGCGCGAGCGATCGTTTCAGCTGAATCCCTGCTTAAACCTAGAACCCTTGGGCTCTGACTTCGATTCCCAGATCGATTGGAGGAATGATCTGGTAGAATTCATTTTCAAGCTCCCTCATGACTATCCTGATACACCACAGGAAGTTTTTCGCAAAGTCCAGAAGCTCATTCAAGGAGGTAATATCCTCGGCATGCGAACAACATTCACGGGAGAGTTGGAAGTAACCACGGACAAACATGAGTTGAAACGGAAAATTCACGCAAGGAACTTGAAGAAATTCCACAGTCGCGAATTCAATCTTCTTGGGAACAGCCTTAACTGGGCTCGGCGGGCGGGAGTTTGCTACTTTGAGTTTGAGGTTGACTGCGGAGGCAAATTGATCGTGATGGTCAATGAAAATGATGCTGAATACCAGGGCGCTGGATTAGACCCCGTTAGAGCTCTTCATCCTCTCTTCCAAAGGCTTGAGGCTAACCATTGATAGGTCAACTTCTTAAAAGTCATGGTCCTCCCAGTTCGAATATGGCTACGGTTTCAATATTGGGCTACCCTGTACCGGAGAAAGAACTTGAATCAAGTGAGCATACCAATCCTCGCCAACACACTTTATCGCAGATCCAAACCCACAGCTTCGGTGACATGGAACTCTGGTGATCTACTCACTGGAATCATTGCCAGCCTGTTTAAACATCGGCATCAGGACATAACTTCATGTCGCGGGCAAACAAAAGGAAAGAAGCAAGCGGAATCACAAAGCGAAGACCAACATGGAAACATTGCGAGTCCTGAGGCAGAGAGAGAGATACCCATCTTAAATCCCAATTCTCTTTCTGATGGGCATACACCACGGAGTAAAAATGCACAGAAGAAAGCTCGCCAAAGGAGGCGAGACCAGACCCGGAATCGAGAAGAGAAAGCAGCAACACATTCGAAACAGCAAGAGAAGTTTGAATTCCCTCTCATGGCAACTGGCTCAGTCAATGAAAATTCTCTTCCCCCTTCACTCCATTCGCCCTCTTCCACTGGAAGTTTTCCTCCGTTCATGTCCACGCCAGGCACCTCTGACCCCGCAACTACATATCCCCCCCAGCTCACTGTGGGTACCTGTCTCCAACGAGAGTTCGATTGATATTCAGACTCACTTTAGCTTCTGCAAAGAGTTTGTAGACCTTGAACTGTTTAGCGAGGACGAAAAACAAGTGATTCAGACGGCAGGGATTCGCGGCAAGGAACGCGTGGAAAGCCGCGACAGGGACCGGGATCGGGAATCTCAGCAACACTTGTTCCACGTAGTCGGTATGGAAACTCCCAAAGAACAGACGTCTCCAGAAACATATTTGTCCTCGCTCATGGATAACGATTCGGTAGTTGTTAGTGCAGTCAACCCCAGTACACGTTCCATGACTTCTTTCACTCCACCATCTCCATCCAGCACCCACCATGAAACCATCACACAGACACCTTCGAGAAATCGCTCCAGTTCATTGAACTCAACCTGCACAAAAATGAAAGATGATGTCCTAGAAGATCCCTTTCACACAGAATGGACAGCTTTAAGTTGTCCAAACCTGGCAGCAAACTCTCAAAGTTTCCCAGGTCCCGTCGCTTCGGCTCTCATATACATCTTGCGGTCTATCCCAATGAACCAAGGGATGACCGAAGATTCCAACAGATACCAAGCGTTAACAAAGCCACCAGATGGGAGCTTCTTCATTGACTTGATGTACCATCCCCTCACATGCCGGCAAAGTGGATGTGAAAAGGTCTGCAATCTGTACGATGGATCAACAGTGATCTGCCCATGTTGTGGGCCATACTCAAAAACCAGATACTGCTGCAAAAATCACCTCTTTCTTGATCTTCAAAGCCACTGGGGCTCTGGAAAATTGACCTTCGATCGATATTGCGTTTCAGATTCAATCCCCCTCGATGTCCGCGAAGGCATCCCGCTGCTCATCAATATTCATGGCTGGAACACCCCCCAACGCCACCGACAGGCTGTGTGGTTCAACAACTCTCATAATACAGGCGATTATTTCGTGTTCGACTACAGTGATCCCGAGCCCATGGGGCGGGCTAGCCCGAACGCACAGCAAAGGATGTCCGTCCTCCCACTCTATCTCATCAAGTTCGACGACCCTGAGGAAAGAGACCGATTCCGCAGATTTCTGGCCATAAGTCTCTTTGCCCCCGTGACCAATCCCAAATTGGTCGAGTACTTCTTTCGTCTGGTGAGGGATAAGATGAAGAGGCTTCGTCTATGGAATAGATACAACGCAGCCCTTGTGCAGAACCAGGTATTCAGAGAAACCGGGCTCGATTTCCCCTCTCATATCGTGGGGCCCAAACACGCCTGCTACGCAGAATGGAATGGCAACAACCCCAATCACTGCAGCCATGCTCCCTGTTCCAATGAGCGTCTTCAATCTCTGCTGGGGGACCAAAGAACGAGAGTTTTCCACCGGTTGGAATGCGAGCGGTTGGAAAACCTGCACTGGATCTTGCGTGTTAACCGAACTACTCACCCAACGGTGAGTAAGGCGCAAGATCGTATGCGGGGCGAAGGGTGGCATGACGTGCTCCCCGAGCATCGACGTCTTTTTCGCCGCGGTGAAGGGTTTGAAGGCGCTGGGTCGGGTCCGATGGAGGTTGAGGGGATGAACTGCTGAGCATAGCAGGAAGGCGATGGGAGGGATGCGAAAGACCCAGGGGTCCAGGTGTGGGGTTCCGGTAAAGCCTGGAAGGTTGGAACAGTGAATACTCACAATTTAAAACCTGAAATTGATACATTGTGCATGAAATACTGTCATTGGCAGTGGTAGTATGAGCCTTTGTAGGATAAAACCTTGGAAGTTGAAACTTCACGGTGTTGCGATAAAGTTTCACAATAGAGTTTCGCAACGTTGTAAAAGAAAGTTTGAGCAGTTTCGTGACTAGTGGCAAGTACTACCTTGAGCTCCAGGCGGCGATCATATTTCTTAAAGCCTGATCATATAACGGATCATGAGTATTTCAATTTTCTATCAAGCTATTTTGAAGAGATTAAGTTCCAAGGAAGGTTTATGATGTCCCAGTAGGTACGGCGACCCACTCTCCACATTATATGCTTCCATCCCTTCATCTATAAGTACCTAGGTAAGCATGCTAAACACCTCTTTTTCCTAGGAGATATACTTCTTGAGACCCCGGAGTCTCTCCTTGGCAGTCTCAAGAACGTCATCATTCTTGCACACGGCAAAACGAAGGTAGTCCTCCGCGATGTGCGCGTTGGCGTCGGTATAAAACTCTGTCGGTGGGATGGCAGCCACACCAACCTCATGAATGAGGAACCAGCAAAGCTTGAAGTCACGAGGGCGGTTCGCGACATGAGGTGGGAAGGGATAATCGGTTGGCAAATTGACGGAGGCCATGTTGGCCAGCACGAAATAACCACCTTCAGGCTCGGAGTACTAAATGTTCGTTAGCGGCGGTTTCCTTCGAAATGATACATGCCAAGACACTTACGGGAATCTTCAGCTCATCAAAGACCTCGCAGAACAGCTTCATCTTCTGTTGCATCTCATTCTTGCTCTCTTCCCAGAAACCCTGCTTGTCTGCCTGCTCGAAGGCGACTGCGGCCGCCTCTTGGAGAGGGGACACACTGCTGTAACAGATACGGGTGTGTGCAGCAGCGACGTACTTGATCAGATGCTCGGGTCCGATCAAGTAGCCTACGCGCCATCCGGTGGCGTAGAAGGCCTTGCCTGCCGATCCCACGGTAAGCGTGCGCTCATAAAGTTCGGGGGAAAGAGTCGCGATTCGGGTATAAGGAACATAGAACAGGCGGTCGTATACCTCATCAGACAAGATGATGAGATTATACTTCACGCACAGATCGCCAATGCGTTGGAGCTCTTCTCGGGAGAACACCTTGCCTACGGGGTTGTGCGGTGAGTTCAAGACCTTTCATCACAAAGTTAGCATTTGGATTACAGGCAAACGGCACAGGTTTGGGAACTCACAATCATTTTGGTCTTGGGGTTGATCGCATTTTCCAGCTCCTGGAAATCAATCTTCCACTCCGATGCGGGCGAGGTTTTGGTCGCCCCATCCTTTGGTGGGTGAAGAGGCACATATCGGATCTTACCGCCGGGCATTTCGATGTTGCTGATATACCTATTTTCACTTGTTGAGTACCCCGATAGACTTCGGAAAGAATGCCGAAACTCACTGGTCGAAGAAGGGCTCGAAGATAATGACCTCGTCACCAGGCTCAATGAAACCCATGAAAGCACTAAGCATTCCTGTTGATATATGCTCACTCGTCAGCTGAATATTCTGCGGTGACCCTCATAACACTCCTGGTTGTCTCACCCTCGTTGGCTCCAGTCGTGATGGAGACCTCAGTCTCAGGGTTGATGGTCTTGCCGAAAAAGGGCGAATATGCGTCTGCGATGGCCTGTCTGAGGCGAGGACGACCCTAGTTGACTGTAAACAAGTTGTTCTGCAGTTTCGGCATGCTCAGTACCTCCCCACCTTTGTCGGAGAATATTGATTGCATTCCACCCGGTCCAGGGCATCCTTGGCGGCATCAATTGCGAATTGGGGAGGGTTGTAGCCACTGCAAAAAAGAAGAGAGAAGAAACATTTGTGTTAAAGGTAATTCAATTGGCAAGCGACTAAGGGTTTGTATATCATATTTGATTGATTACTCACAAGAACCCTTGACCCATGTTCACAATCGGTTGAACAGGTGAAGCGGCAGCCGCTTCATTGACAATCGACCTATTTGGGCAGGTTAGCGGTGCTTGCAGGCTGTGCGCTTTGCGGATTGATGCTCGTACCAAACATCCTGACGTTGGCCAGCCACTCTCGCTGCTGGCTTGAAAGGATCGGGCCGCGCAGCGGTTGCCGACATTGTTCTTGCGCCGTAACCGGAGATGCGGGGTAGATGGGAAATGGAGGCAAGCTGTCGAGAAGGACACGTAGATCGAACAAGTGAGAGAAGAGGATATCTAGTTATAAGCATGGGGGGAGTAAGAATAAGCGCGGGGAGAGATCAGAGCAAATTGTCAATGGAGGAGTCACGGCTATGGGCGTTCTCCACGGCGAATTGCGTGCTCCGAGGTCGGTTAGTAATGTCCCCGCAGTGAGTGTGAGTACATCTACAATACAGTGCGGAGTACTGTATTGTAGATATTCAGGCAATATCTACAGTGTGAACACCGAAGTTGCTCTATAAATTATTATCCGTTGACCAATTGAATAAAATTGAATTCTGTTGTCAAACTACTGCTCTCTTATCCTCCAGCTATGCTATGAGAATCCCAGCTGTCCCACTTGGAGCTATTCTCAGGCACTCAGGCAGAAACCCCAGATCACGAGCTGATCACGAGCTGACCACCTACGCGACGCGTCGTCTCGACCAATCAGACCATATCATCCTCCACTTCCTAACACTTGGATTGAGCTTTGTACATAGTAAGCTGTCAACGGTCAACCGCCAACTGTACCAGTTCGACCTGGCCTCACATTACAACTGCATTATACTACCGAGCTCAAATCTACCATGGTGTCCTGTCCGATTTGCAGCAAGTCTGTTCCACAATTAAAGATCAACGATCACATCGATTCCGATTGTCAGAGCTTCTTGGAAGACCCATCGTCCTCTCCCGGAGATCAGCCCTCCCAAAAAGGGCCAGTTCCCAGCATTTTTCAACCGCCCTCTGCTCGGAAAGCATCTTCTCAACCCAATGTCCCCAAAGAATCCCCCTCACGCTCCACCGTACCGACACCGCGCCCTCTGAATGGCAAACGATCGTTTATGCAAGAGACACCGCCGAGAGATAAGGATACATCAACGCAATCAAATGGAAACGGTACCGAACCGCAAGCTAAGCGCCCGAAGGTGAACGCTTTCTACAAAGCAGCTCCACTTGCTGAGCGGATGCGACCTAAAACCCTGGAAGAAGTTTGCGGTCAGGAGCTGGTTGGGGAGAATGGCATTCTTCGGGGACTCATCGAGCAGGACCGAGTTCCTAGCATGATCTTGTGGGGAGGTGCTGGAACAGGAAAGACCACTATCGCTCGGGTGATTGCTTCACTAGTCGGGAGTCGCTTTGTCGAGATTAACAGCACAAGTAGTGGCGTTGCGGAGTGCAAGAAGATCTTCTCCGAAGCTCGTAGCGAACTGGGTCTGACAGGTCGGAAAACCATCATCTTCTGTGACGAAATTCACAGGTTTTCGAGGAGTCAGCAAGATTGCTTCCTTCCGGGGGTTGAGTCCGGACAGGTGACTTTGATCGGTGCGACCACCGAAAACCCATCCTTCAAGCTTCAAAATGCACTCCTTTCTCGCTGTAGGACATTCACCCTAGCCAAACTTACCGACGAGAATGTTGAGGCAATTTTGAAACGCGCATTGAAGGTCGAAGGCCCAAATTACAACCCTACAGAGCTGGTAGATGACGAACTCATTCGCTATCTGGCCCGATTTGCTGATGGGGATGCCCGAACTTCCCTCAACCTTCTAGAACTTGCCATGGATATTTCCAAGCGACAAGGAATGACAAAGGAAGATCTCAAGGGCTCTCTAACTAAGACGCTTGTCTATGACCGGGCCGGGGATCAACATTATGATACGATATCCGCTTTCCACAAATCTATCCGGGGAAGTGATCCAGATGCGGCTTTATACTACCTGGCACGTATGATCCAATCTGGAGAGGATCCCCTTTACATTGCTCGACGTCTCATCGTCGTGGCATCGGAGGATATCGGTCTTGCGGATAACACCATGTTGACTCTAGCCACTTCGACACATGCCGCCGTGGAGAAGATCGGTCTACCAGAGGCACGTATCAATCTTGCACATGCGACTGTTGCTATGGCACTTTCAAAGAAGAGCACTCGGGCTTATAGAGCATTAAACAATGCCTTTGCTGCTCTCGGCGAGCCAGGTGTAGCAGGACTGCCAATTCCAATTCACCTGAGAAACGCCCCCACAAAGCTAATGAAGGAGCTCGGCTATGGGAAGGAGTACAAGTACAACCCTCATTACGTTGACGGTCAGGTGGAACAGGACTACTTACCTGAAAAGATCCTTGGGCGAACTTTCTTGGAGGATTTGGACCTGGGCACGCGACGAGACCCTGGTCGATGGTCTATGTAACAATGATGATCGGCCTGTTTCAAGTTCGATATCGTCCCCAAGTCTACCTTACATAAAACTCAGATATCCGCGACGCGGATTACTTTACGAATATATACTTACTACTTGAGCTTCTTTACTATAAGGTAACTTCAAGTTCCAAATTGAAGGTTGATGATTCATGCCCAGGTGAATTGTGATTTCTAAGCTACTAGTTCTTTCGACACCGAATTGCAGACCAACAACCCAAAGATCTAAGCAAAACCTTGGAAGAAAACTATCAGTGCAGCCTCAGCCTGCCCCTGTGCTCCAGGTATGGTCCGTAAAATTACAAACAGCCCTGAAGGGCTTCGATATCAACGTCACATGTGAGTAGGTATAAACACCTAAAGAAGGATACAAATGATGGGTCCCAGTCAATGATCAAGCGTCATGGGTCATCTATAGGTGGCTCTCCATAACTGAGCGATTCCGGGAAACAATGTATTCAAATCTTCCTGTTCCAAAGCGGCATCAAAACCGGCGACGAGAGGAGAATCTCTACCTGTGTCATTCAAAGGCCCCCACTGCTTGCACTGTGCCGAGATACTCGAATCCGGGTTGGGTTTATTGTCCTGAGGAATCGGAAAGCCCACCTGCAGAAAGCCTGCTGGATTGTCTTTGCGAGGCAATTTCGGGTGAGAATCGTCTTCACCAAGCTCAGGTGTAGATGGTTGACTCGAAGAGGAACTGGACTCGGAGCTACCAGGATATCTTCGGACGCACTCTTTGCCACTTCGTTTACATAGTGGACAAGGACTACCCAGTCCGCATTTCTTCTTGCTCTTATAGCATGAGATACAAGCCCCGCCTTCTGTTTTCAAGAGTCGACCGTCTTCCTTCTGCTGCGCTCGTTCCTCTTTGGTTTGTATGAGCTTTTCGGAGTAACTGTTTGAATCAGACGGATCCTCCATCATGAACTTGAAATTGCACTCAGAGGATGGCTCTATGCTACTAGTATATTGATGCGCAGCGGCAGGAGTGGTTGCAAAGCCATCTCCTCGAGATTCCACCAAGCTGCCGGGATAAGGGAAATAAGAAACATGGCCGTTTCTAGACCATGACTGAAGAGGTGGATTTGAACTGGTCGAAATGTGGGCAGATTCGAATGCCCCGGATTGTATTGAGGAAGACCACGTTTCCAGCCCCTGATATCTGTCTGTTATCATAGGCTCTAACCATTGAATGTTGGTCAAGTTTGAAGGTGGCTGTATAGTATCCTGTTGGAAGGTGAGAAATAAACCGGCTGAATCCATGTAGCTCTCCTCGGAGTCAATATAGGAGTCAAGGTGCTGAGACATCTTGCTGGTCCCCTATATCGATATTTGGTGAAATTTCCGAATGATGGGTGATGAGAGGAAAGGTGTATACAATGATCCCGGTTGTAGGAGTTGTACCGCAATAAGAATCAGAGTAAATCAAATTGTGTCGTATCTGCGATAAATAATTAGGGAAGATGCGATGAGGGTTCAAGAAACTATTTAAGTCAACCTGAATTCCTTCGAGCAAAATTTTCAGCAGGAGCCATGCAACTTGAACTGGGCCGAAATAGGGAAAGTATGGTTATGCCAGTTTTCCTAAAGAGGAAGTCCCAAGGCCATCATCGTTCGATTCAGGCTCTACTGGTACTAATTGGAAACCTTCTTTGGCTAACTGAGTACTAGTAGTATGCGAGCACCCTACTAGCATCCTTCCTATTTAGGAAAGGTACTATATCTATATCCATGGATGACTATGACTTGAAGGGGCTGCACTACTACTAGTAGTAGTGGTAAAAGACCATACCTACGGTAACCTAGACACTACTATTAGTAATAATCTGGACTCGTCTTCTCTACTTTATGACCGCTAGATACCTAGATAAATACTAACTTACTGCTATGTAACCTTGGAACTTGAAGTATTTACTAGTACTATCTCAGCAATTTGAATTTGAACTGTGAGATCCAGTACCTAGGTAGTACTAGTAGTATAGTACTTATAAGTTCAACCCTAAAGCCAGAATACTATGTGCATCTGGTAGGGTAGATTCTGCTAGCAGACTCCTCGGAAGCTATACTAGTGATACTTCAGCCTGAGGCTAGCAACATTTACTAGCTGGGCCAAAAAGTGTTCATAAACTGCACTGTTTTAATTAAGACCGACCCCCTATAGTAATACATACCTAGGTATACTACAGTACCTTTCCTATATAATAGGCAGGATAGGGTATTCGCATAGTAGCCAAACGCTTAGTACTAGTAGTAGTGACTTTGTAGATCAGTGTTTGCTATTACCGAGCACGAAATAACTCAAAGTCAATTATCATGCAGAATACAAATTGAAGTATCGCGAAAAATTCCTTGCTTGAAATATACTCTCAGTAGAAGCAGGCTGATTATAGATTATTACTAAGAAATGGGAAACATACTAACTATGGAACGAGTTTAACTTGAACCGTGCTGGCCCGCGCACTCCACGTCGGTCTTCTCATTCCGCGTCCCGCGCGTCTCGAATCTCTCCACCGCCAACACCTAAACTCCACATCGGGCCGCGAGCCCGAATTCTCCCAGAAGCTATCTGCGATTGTCATTCTTGAATCCCTTGCCAAATCCCCGACCCATCCCTCATAATGGCCTCTGGCCAACCTTTCGCCTCGCGCTCATACGCCGGGACCAAACTTCCAGATCGCTCTACCAACGCAAACGCCATGCCCTTCAGCGCCTCTTCGTTCTCCAGGCACCGTCCCTTGGGAGGCACTGGTCCGGCCGATTACCCTGGCGTTGAAGGTCCGAAGCCGCCTCAACAGTCCTCCGGCCCCCCCCAGCCGCGGCACAGTCTCATGGACCGGCGCAGGATGCGAACCCGTTGAACCGCTTAACGGAGGAGCAGAGAGAGGAGATCAACGAAGCTGTAAGCCCGACCCAATTCCCCTAGGAATTCAAGTCAGAGCGAGCCGATGCCGCGTCTTCTCTCTCATAGGCCAGAGATGACGAAGTAGCAGACCAAGCGGCTACGGCGCAATTCTCACCCTAAGGAAAAAGCAGCAAATGCTAACAACTGGAAATAACAACAAATAGTTCACTCTCTTTGACCTTGACCGTGATCGTCATCTCGACTACCACGAGCTCCGCGTCGCCTTCCGAGCCCTGGGCTTCACCCTCTCAAAACAAGAACTTATTTCCCTCCTCACAACGTACGGTGTGCCACGCCCACAAGTCCAACAACAACAACAAAACAACGCCAACCCGCAAGCGCCGAAGGGCAACGCAGGCGCAAACCCACAACACCCCTCCAACCTCCTCATGCCCCTCTCCTCCTTTCAAGCCGTGACAGCGCTGAAGATTCTCGAGCGGGACCCGCGCGACGAGATCCTGCGCGCGTTCGAGCTGTTTGATGAGGGACAGAAGGGATTTATTGACCTCGAAGATTTGCGGCGCGTGGCGAGGGAGCTTGGTGAGACTGGGCTTGAGGAGGAGGAGCTAAGGGCCATGATTGAGGAGTTTGATTTGGAGGGTGCTGGTGGTGTTACCCGGGAAGCATTTGTTGGCATTTGTTGGCAGTAGCGTGGGGGGATTGTTTGTTATTTTCTTTTGTATGAGATATATGCATTTTTTTGTCGTTTTATTTTTGTCAGGCTGGTCAGATTGATTGATGGGCTTGCATGGGATTCTATTTTTGTGCTTCCAATGGTGTTGGGTCCGAGTTCTTCGTTTTCTTCTTGTTTAGTGTGAATTCTTTTATGCCTTACTGCGCAGAGCCTACTTACAACTTTGATATTGAAACCTAATTCCCGATGGAGGAAACCGTGGACTGCAAACACAAAATACGTCTCCAAGTCTAATGAATTGGTAGTTGGATACTTTCTCTCTAGAATGGTGAATTGTTTCAGAACCGAATATTAAACAGGTACACAAGAAGAGAAGCCTAATAATGCAAAGAGGAAAGAGATAAAGAAATCTCCAACCTCATCGACCAGCTATCATTAACGCCAAAGACAGTGCCAGGCCTTTCTCAGGACACTCCCAAAAGGATCCATAGTATCCATATAATGCAAAAGAATCAAAGTTTATCGTTAAATTGGAAAAAGTCAGGCAATCATCAAGCGTAGCGGGGCGGAGGCCCAGGAGGTCCAGGTGGTGGGACATTTTGATATCCGTAATTGGAATATCCATACCATTGACCTTGCGGTGGTGGTGGTGGTCCACGAGGAGGCGGAGGGCCTGCATATCGACCCATTGGGGGTGCCCCCGGTGGAGGCCTCTTCGCTAGACGGCTATTGGCCTTGGCCATGCGACACCTGTTGATCAAGCAGAAGAATATGGCAAGGAGGATGAGACTTCCAACGCCAACGCAGATACCAATGACAAGGTTTTTGTGGTCCCTGATCCATCCTGCAGCTGAGGAGCCCTTGCATTGACCAGATGAGCAAGTGCCACCAGATTCACAGGGTGTCCCATCGAGGTAGTTTTGATTCATCTCGATACAGGTACCATAGGCATATTGGGTGAAAGACCTTGGCGCGCCACAAACGAGAGTGCACGACGGCTGGTTGGTGTTGTCACAGGCCCAGGTGTCGTTGCTGTTTAGCAAAGTACCCATCACAGAGCGACATTGGCGATTTCGACTCGTACACTGGCCACTGGCACACTTGAGTCCATCACCGCAGGAACTTCCGTCTTTTTCATACGCATCTGCTGGGCAAGAGCTAGATTTTCCGTCACACTTCTCCTCCTTGTCACATTCACTGGTACTGGCCCTGCAGACAGTGTTGGCAGAGGCGAACTGGCATTTACTGCAACAGTTGTCGTTCGAGTCATCGCAGACGGCGTTGTCCTTGAATTTGCACGTTTTGGCATCACAGCAGCTATTGTCACCACAGCCTGATTCTCCTCCACAATCGCAATCTTCACCGGACTCCACAATACCATTGCCGCATTGGCTGCCACTGATGGTCACAACGCCCTTGTTATCTGAGAGACAAGATGACTTGACGCTGTTGCGGCCGATGGCTGCACAGATGTTGCCAATCGTGCACTGAGAGAACTTTGTCATCTTGTCATCAGCATAAGGATTCATTATGTACTTTGCATCGGCGTCGCAGGTTGATGATGAGAGTGGGCAACACTGGGATGACTCGTTAAGATCCTCCTGGCATGTTTGCGTGTCACAATCATGCACGGCACCGAAGGTGTGTCCAGTTTCGTGTGCGAAGATTTGCCAAGTGGATCCTGAATTGCCAACTACAACGTTGGCACCAGTGACTGAGCTGCCTCCACTACTGCTGAGGTCTGATGTGCATAGTCGACTCATCCATGAAACACCGACCTCCTGGCCTGTTGGGCAGCCGGTCATCAACGTCCAGTAGGCATTGTTGTCCTCGTGGTCAGAACGCCATTTGGAGAATTCGTTAAGGCGCCAAGTGATGTTCCCGCTATCACAACCCATATTCCAAGGCGTCGCATCGTTAGCGGTGGTGGGACATGAAGCATCGCTGATGGTTAGGTTCCGCAAACCGATAGACACGTTGAAAGAGTCTTCATAAAGGCTGGATGCAGTGTTTACCAGGTTGATAACCCACTCCTTGGCGGCATCCTTGGGGGTGGAGTTAGACTTGAACACATTGGTCATTTGACAATCGGTAGCCACACCAATCAACGCGACTTTCTTTGTCTTGGGACATCCTGATGTATCTCCAATTGTTGATTTGAGATTCACTCCACCAGAACTACCGGACACTCCTCCAACATCATTACGTTTGCTCATGCCAAACATAGAATTCAGTGGACTAAATCCCCATTGGCCATCGGGCATGTCGATGCCGGCCGGAAAAAGAGAGCTGGTTAATTCGGCATTGTAGTCGAGCTTTTCTGCCTGGCAGCCGGTGGAATCATCGACGGATCGCTTGAGCTCGACGTGGCCGCGGATCATATCGGTGTCTCGATAGACCAGCATGTAGTCGTAAGCGCGGTCCTCCACATCAGCATCGATCGCTCGCTGCTTGGCAGAGTAGGTCGAATGCAATTCAACGTGATGTTTATTCTCATCGACACTGAATACACCCTCAAACAGCGGTTCGGGGCCATCCTTTCGAATGTTAACTCTTGCCCAGCCGGTGGGAGTCCATCTTCCCTGGCCTGATCCCACTAGAGCCCGGCCACGGAAGACCTTATGATCACTCCTTTCAAAGGGCTCATCCTTCCAGTTGCCGTCATTGTCCATGTATCGCACATTTGCATCATCGGCGAGAATGTCAAGATTAGGCTCGAGCTCCAACTTTATCCGCTTGCCATCGCGATGTAACTCGAAGGTGAGATCGAAGTGGGAGGTGTGCTCTATTTGGTGAAAGGGTGTGTGTATCACGGCATTATCGATCGGTGTCAGTTGGCGAATCGCTTGTGAAGCGCGAGATCTCGCTGAGTAGGCTGTTAGCAGACGGTTCAAGGGTCCAACAAAGGGTCCAGAGGGGGTTTCCGGATGTTGCGGAACAAGAGGCATACCTTGAATAGGCGCGATCAGAGCGGACAATGCACCGATCACGGGCAGAAAAGCCCTCGAGAACTTCATGGCCCAGGTGGTTGAAGATGTTCAACCAGAAGGGATCGGGGGAACTCAGTATGGATAAACTTCAAGGGACCAGACAACCATAGGGAGCAGATTTCAGGGTAACAACAGGGTCCACCGAGATCGACACAGCCACAGCCAGAAGAGGGAAGAATTAATTTGCACGGAATATTCGGGGAAAAGATTGGAAAGAGTTCAACGAGTGAGATGTAAATAACTTGAACGAGTGTTGATTGAAGCCCAGGCAACAGAGACAGAGAAACAGACAGAGAAAGGCCATGGGCGCCAAGCCTTGGCAAGCCTTACGTTAGAACTATTCTTGGCCATCTTGGCCTTTCTCTCTGTTCAACTTCAGGTTTCAGAGATCCATCGCTTGGATAAAATCCGCATTGCTATTGGTAGACCAGATGTGCTCATTGCTCTGTACTCCATACTCTCCCATCCACGCTTATGGGGTATTTCGTCTCTCACCTCTCATCCACCCGCTTGCCGCCCATGACCACCCATGACCATCTTCTCTGTGGTGGCGCATTCATTATCGCCGGGGGCTGAGCTGGTCCATTCTCCTGCTCCACCGACCCCACTCAGTGTCATCTCTTGCCAAATCCCCGCTTCCAACATGGCCTGCCAAGCACTATTGACTCTTGGGCCCCCGAGCCTTCCGGGACACCCACAATGATTATGTAGACTATCCCTATATAGTTTATGCACTCGTTAACCATCCCAGGAATGCGACTGCCTGCTGGGCTTGTATTTTGTATTAACAACTGGTATGGGTATCTTTTGAATTAGTAAGTAGGAGCTCACGCTTACAAACTTCCATATGTGATGTATCTCATCGCCAATCAGATTCCAGCTTTGGAATCCATTCGAAATTTTGTTTGATCCTTAGGGTAGACCCGGGACACACGACAGTTAAGAGAGGTGTCAGATCCCAGGGCTACAACCTTTAGGAACACTTTGAAATCGATATCAATGCAAAATAGGAGCTGGCGTAATATACTCATGGGTATATTCTCAGTTAAAGTAACAAAACACGATACAAGTAGCGACTTGTACTAGAGGCCGAGAGCTCATTTACATTTTTTCCCAATTCCCCTCTAATTTCCACCCCATTTCTTGTACATCATATCATAGATCTGAAGGTCCTTCTTAGCATCCTCCACAGTCGTCTTGATATCTTGACCGTTGGCAAAAGAATCGTGCACGAGCTGTAATTCAGCCGTATATGCGTCTTCATATGAGGAAAGGACGTTGCGTCGTTGGATTTCCCCTTGCTCGTTGACCTCTTCCACCTCGACGTAAATGGGCAAGCCCTTAACATAAGGGCTATCATACTTGATGGTAACCCGCTTGGTGTCACCGTACACAGTAATATGAGCATCAAATATAGGGACTCGATCAATGCCACTCTCGTAGGTCGTGGAATAGGTCGAGCCATCTTTGTTGCGGAAGGTCATGATAGCGCTATAGAAAGGATCGTTGGCGGAGACTCCGTCCACCGATTCTGGGAACCCGAGAGTCTCGCGCATAAGAGAGATGTCGTGGGATCCCAAGCTACCCAGGAAGCGGCAGTACTTCTTCTTTTCTTCTGTTATTTCCTGGTTGGGGAACGCCTCTTCGAAAAGCACGTCCAGGCGCTTGTTGCGCTCCTCTGTGGACCCGGCAGGGTAGTCGGCATTTTTGACTTGGAATGTACCACTCTGGTCCACAAATTGCGCATTGGGGCCACTGAAGTCCCGTACTCGCGCATACAGGATTTTCGGAATAGTCGCAATTTCACGCTTGAATGCATTCAGGTAGCTAGGGGCATACCGACGCATATAGCCCACAAAGACACGACCCGCGGCTTCCTTTTCGGCGTCAATGATGGACTGGACCGAAGGTAGGGAGAGAGAGACAGGTTTTTCGATGAAGACATTCTTGCCCGCCTTGAGAGCAGCGATTGCTAGTGGAGCATGAGAGTCGTCTGATGTAAGGATAAAAATCACATCTGTCTTCTCGTGCTCAATGACCTGCTGCGGCGTGGTGGTCTTGTGGGGAACGAAGAATTTGGCGGCGCAGTGATCGACTGTTGTGGGTGACAAGTCACAGATTGATTCTATCTTGAACAGGTGAGATAGAAGTAGTAGGCAAGGTCCATGGCAAACTTGAAAGACCTCCTAGACCGTCCGTTAGCTCGAATGCATTTGCTCGAAACAAAGTTTACACGCACGCCAGCCCCGATAATCCCGACTCCCAATCGACGAGGAGAAGCCATTCTAATCCAATCTCAAGAGTGTGTAGTTCAAAGAGCGGCAGGCGTGGGATAAATTGACCAGACCGTTCGACGGTTATGTTGACGTTTGAGCATCGGTGGAAAGTAAGGTGGGTGCGTCACCGCGGGGCTCGGCCCCGCAACTCGCTTCAAATTGGCGGCGCATCTCAATTCGGCCATTATACTGGCCCAAGGGCCTTGGAAACAGATATAGTATGCTACTATCCCCGGTGTGGGATTGAGACCGGAGTGACATCGAGGCCCTTGAAATATTTTGAACGTCTTCGGTTTTAATGATAGAGAAAGACTCGCATTATATGTCGGTCTGCAATCATTGCTCTATGCCCAAAAGAAAAAAACCATTTATAGATTCCTTAGAACCGCGGTGGAGGTATTGACCTAGGTATTACATATCATTTCTTCTTCAGTAAAAAAAGAATAAAAGTAATTCTTGCTCACATCCTTGGAAGCTACAATGTGATTTATTTTGTTTGTCAAAGTAGTATTTACCATTTCTCATTGCCTCGCTAGATTGTTCTGGAGATGTTTCGAAACTTTCAGAAAGATAGTATTTTCTTAAAGCCACTGTCATCAATTTCTTTCGAAATTCAGAAGTATCGGTCAAGAAAAGAGAGGTATCAAGACGAAGGATAGATTCATCCACAATGATTAATTCAAGTTGGGCGTAAATATTTGAATTCGAATGAAAGGTCAAGTGTTCCCAGATCAGTAGGGGACTTTGCTTTAAAGAAGCCAATGAAAGCCCAGTATCATGGAACACTCATTCACAACATTGCGCCAGAGCCTTTAAGAACCTTCTGTATTCCTTCCCATGATTCTACCCCGCGGGCTGCAGCAACTTCCGGTCTGCTGTTCTCATCGCGCATACGGCGGTCAAATACTTCCATGGAAACCCAACCCTTATATCCCTTTTCGACAATCCAGGCACGTACAATCTCATTAACGGGCATGTATCCTCCCAAATCAGTTTCACCAGGGAACGGTCGTGCATATTTTGACCATGTAAATTGGTGTGCCTCGCCTTCTGTATACCATGAGTGTGCCTCAGAGAATGGTGGATCGAATTTCTCCCCGTCAGATAGCTGGACATAAAAGACTTTTTCCATGGGACAGCTCTTAACGAAGCGGTCTAGCGTATCTTGCAGGGCCTTCTCTGCTTCGGGGAACTTGCCCGACGATACAAATGGATCGGCCCACAACTTCGTAACAATATGAAAGGTATCCAAGCAAAGTCCAAAATTGGATCGGTTAACCTTTTCGGCCAGAGTCACTGTTGATTCCCAAGTTGAAAAATAAGTTCCCCATGATAGTGCTTCGTATGCGATGGAAACAATAGGGCTCTCGGCAGTTCCAAGATCAGCCAGCTGTTGTAAGTCCGATACAATAACAGATTCGTCCCCAATAGCATCGGGTTTGAATTGAGAAGGGACCTGAAGATAACTCGCTTCTATGATTCTGGCTATTCCGATCCAGAGGGTGGCTGTCTGCAATCGTTGGCCCAGCGGGGATCTGTCTCCTTCGTAGTTTTCGAAGGGCGCTAGCGAAATGATTTCGATCTTGAGGCTCTCGCATAGTTGTTTGATCTTGTAGGCCGCATCGAAGATTGAGAGTCCGTTGGTTCTAGAATACGCTTCGAGGTCTGAGAAGACCAACTCGATTCCAGAATATCCAGCTAGAGCCGCAGCTTTTATCTTGCGATCGAGAGCGTGGGAAGGATGCTGACCCAGCGAAATGGTGCTGATAGCCAATTTGTGGGGGAGCATGATTTTGGTGTGAGAACTTGAACTTGAAAAAGAATATATGAAGGTCAACTGCCAGTGGCCAATACGGAGATCGTTCTCTGGCGCTGTATAAGTACCTGGGTAGGTATGTTGCGGGGCTCGGAGATTGATATCCGAAAAGAAGGCCGAGTACTTGAATTGAGTCAGTTCAATAAAAACTTAGAACCCTCAAAACTTCGATATGCCTAGATATCTATAATCCGAAGTTCCTTTCCCTGATAACATGGGTTTCCAGTGTTTTGTGCCGTGGTTCACCAACAACACTCTACTTTGATAGGCACATTGAAGTAAGTTAATCCAATGATATCGCTCGGATGAAAAACAATAACCTTGGAACATCTTTCGACTCTATGAGAGCCCTGGCTACGGTGGCAACCCCCGAGACTATACCGCACGAAGTTACGGGGGAATACACCCGATAAGTAGATTTATTCGTCTTGGCCAGAGCCCTGGAGCTGCATCGGGTGATTAGGACGTTGTGCCACTTTTCAATTGATCCTGGCAGCACTACCTAGGTACTTCGGTACATTATTGAGGAAGGTCGAGAGATAGATAGCTTCGATATTTTAGAACGAGTGCCAGTGAGTAATGCCAACGCTGATGCAAAGAAACCAGGCCTGCTGCCTGGAATGAAATCGCGCCGCCAAGAGGCTCCGCTCCACCATCGACCGCAGATCGTGTGGAGGGGCAGCGCAGCTCAGCTTATCACCTGGCGCATCCCTGAAAGGAGCGGGAAACCTTAGTGTCTATCCTATCCTGATCTCCCCCTTCTCCAACCTCAATTCCAACCCCATTGTTGATCTCCCTCTAGATCTGGAGACCCCCACAATCCACCATGGTCGTCGAGCACCTCACCATTCGCAATAACACCAGCACGGCGATCGTCCTGAAGCGCATCGAGCGCTTCGCGGCCCCAGAACAAAATAAGGGTGATGATTTCACCTCTATGGCCAGGAACTTCACTCGGGCTCTGACCAATCAAACTCGCACCGCTGAGCCGGTCAAGTCTATTAACGATGATACTCGTCCATTCGACGAGGTGAACGACATTGACTTGCGCATTGAGCCTTTCACCACTAAGAAGACGGAGCGCAAAGCCTTCGTTCATTCCGACAAGGAGCGCATGCGTCTCGTCTTCGAAGTCGATGGCGAACGTCACCAGATCCAGACGCCTGTCCCTACCACCGAGAGCGCGACAATGAAGGCATTGACTGAGAACCCAAAGCACAAGTTTACAGGCATCTACATTACGCCTGAATCATACCTGACCATTTTCTCGTCAGCAAACCTGGATGCTTGGATGCGTGAGCTCCGCGATGACACCCTCCTCTCCGCTCTATCCATCCCAGGCACGCACAATTCCCCCACCTGTCATGTCGCCCCGCCTTCGGTACGCTGCCAGGCTGTTAGCCCCCGCGAGCAATTGAAGAATGGGGTGCGCTTCTTTGACATTCGCGTGCAACCGCAGTACCCCGATCGACCGGAGAAGGATGAACTGATCCTCGTCCACAGCGTGTTCCCCGTTTCACTGACGGGGAACAAGTACTTCAGTGACCTGATGCGTGAGGTCAACGAATTTCTCGAGCAAAACCCCTCCGAGACTCTCATTATCTCCCTCAAGCGGGAGGGTAGCGGCAATGCCAAGGATGAGCAGCTTGCGCATATTCTCCAAAAGCACTACGCCAGTGCTGGCAGCCACTGGTGGGTTCGACCCAAGATTCCAACCCTGGGTGAAGCTCGTGGCAAGGTCATTCTCCTTCGTCGGTTCAACTTGCCTGAGGACCTGCAGAAGGAGCACGGTGGTACGGGATGGGGTATCGATGCTGCTGCGTGGGCGGATAACACAGCTCACGCAAGCTGCCCCAGTGGCCAGCTCTGTATCCAGGACTTCTATGAAGTGCAGGAGTCTCTCAACATTGAGAAGAAGATCAAGTTTGTTACCGAGCAGATTGATCGTGCTGGTCACTGCCGCTACCCTTTCGGGATCCAGCAGAATGTGAATGAAACAAGGAAGTACCCCTTCTACATCAACTTCCTGAGTGCAAGCAACTTCTGGAAGACTGATACATGGCCTGAGAAGATTGCTGCCAAGGTGAACCCTGCTGCCGTGGATTATATCTGTCGCCAGCAACAGCAAGGTGATGGCGACTGCGGCACTGGTATTTTGGTCACTGACTGGGTTGGCTTGGATGGTAACTGGGATCTTGTTCGTTGCATTGTCGGTATGAACGCCAAGTTGCGACTCCGACATGAGTAAATATATGCGTTTGAGGACTCGAAAGATTCCCAGGAGTTGTCTGCGGGGAGATTTGTTTTTATATCGCCGGTTTATATCGCCTCACGAGTGAATGAGATAGTACGTTATCCCATTTCGAGTTGATAAGAATTTCAGTATTTTGATTCTCACGCAATGTACACCTATCCTAGGCAAAAGATATAATAAATAAAACAAGGCTCGAGCCCTCTAGGATGCAAAACCAACAGTGTGACCTATTATACAAAAATCAATGCACATGGACGAAGCCATGTTAGGACGACTCGTCCTTCTCGCCCTCGCTCTTAGGGTTCTGCTCTTCCTCCAGGGCGCTTCTCCGGCTCTCCATAGTAAAGTAAAGGCTCTTTCCGGCGCCCTCCAGAGTGCTGGTAAGGCTGGAGCCCATGCTCTGCAAAGATGTGACAAGCTGGGAACGCAGGCCATCCATACCGCCCTCAATGCTACCAACCCACTTGGTCTGGCTGATATCAAAGACTTGGCCATCGACACGGGCAGCCAGAAGGTTGAGCTTTCGTAGACCGTCCTGAACAATGGGATCGTGGTAGTCAGGGTTACCCTTACGGGTAGGCGCAGGGAAGCCAGCCTCCTTCGGCGTCAGAATCGACAAAGCAGCCTTCATGTGTTCAGGAGAAACGCTAGGAATGGAAAGAACAGCGATAGGTCCGACCAAGATTTCGGCAAGCTCGTGTCGACCTTTCATGTGCTTCACAGCAAGGTGGGCAGCACGAGACAAGTCATGGGTCAGGGACGGGTCATCCTTGGAGCCGGAGATCGCGGGGATTTCAGCGGAGGTCTGCGTAATAGGGTCGACGGCGCTAGGGGGGTTTGCCGGAAGCCTGGGCGGCATCGTTGGGACGGAAATATTCCACAATGCGCAGGGCAACTTCGAAGATGCTGGTTTGAACGGTCTGCACCTTGATATATGGAGCCAGAGCCGGGGCAGTTCTGCCTTCAGAAGCAATCTTCTCATCGACCTTCTGGAGGGCCTTGTTAAGCTCACGGCGAATGGCAGCCCATTCCATGGACTTCAGGTTGTTGTGCTGGAACATGACCAGGAGAGGAGATGTGCGGAGGAGAGAGGTATAGGCGCGGAGGAGCTGCGATCGGCGATACTCAGGATTGCGGTGCGAAGGAGGCTGGGTAAGGGGAGTGCGAGCAATTGGGGCTTTGGACTTTGTCATTTGGTCGATGGGAGCAGCTGGTGTGATTGCCGGGGCCGCAGCGGTGCTGGCGCTCCTAGCAGCGATGCGGAGTGCATTGTGGCATTGTAGGGCCGGTTGCCGAAATGTCGTAACACGTAGCCGGGGAGGCATTGCGATTTGAAATGTATGCGAAGATTCACGGAAACAATTGGAGATGAACTTGTAGTGGACCGAGATGAGCCTCCGACAGCGCGACATTTTTTGAGATCCAAAGATAGCAGGCGGTGCTGGGTGCGGGTTCTGCCGGCATTATTGGACGCGGCGTGAGGGGCTTGAGTCATTTCAGTGGGGTTGTCATTCATCATTCATGTCCGTTTGCGCTGCTTTTTGAAAGACCCATTGAAAAACTTCTACGAAATTGCTCGTCAATTGGATTTTCGTTTGGGTAAAATGACCTCTAATAAACCGGTGCAAAGGGCTGAAAAGCCCGAGGTTGTTTCAATCTCCCCTCTACTCCAACGTCTAGCATACCCCTCTACAGCTGAAATCCGCGTCAGCGCGGATGACATTGCTTCAGCTTTTGCTCTAATTTTTGAAGACCGCCTCTCCGACATTCAAACTGCTGCTCTTCTCACTCTATTGCACTCGACTGGCAAGGATAAGGATGCTGCCGTCATTGCAAAATGCTCCCACCGCATGAGAGAAGCTGCTTGCCAAATCGACAAAGCTGCGCTCAAGAAGGTTGTGAAAGCCCGGGGCATCCACGAGGGTAATTACAAGGGTGGCTTGGTAAGAAACACTCTAAATGCATCGGAGCTTCATTTTGCTGACATCCGCTTCTTACTAGTGTGATATTGTTGGAACTGGAGGTGACTCTCATTCCACCTTCAACGTATCAACTACCTCCTCGATCATCGCCTCGCCACTTCTCATGACTGCTAAGCACGGAAACCGTGCGCAGACATCCTTCTCTGGATCCGCCGATGTTCTCAATGCAGTTCAGCCTATAGCTCCCAACATCTCTGCAATTAATGCAGAAAACGTGGCTAAGGTCTATGAGAAAACGAACTACTCATTTTTGTTTGCCCCGAACTTTCACCCCGGCATGATGTACGCCAACCCTGTTCGTCGCAGCCTCGGTCTTCGAACAATCTTCAACCTCATGGGTCCTCTCGCGAATCCCGTTGAGTGGGCCATTGAGGCCCGTGTCGTTGGTGTTGCTTACCAGAGTCTCGGCCCTGTGTTCGCCGAAGCTCTCAAGCATGCTGGGGCCAAGAAGGCGCTGGTTGTATGTGGTGCGGAGGATATGGATGAGATCAGTTGTGCCGGCCAAACGAACTGCTGGAGATTGTCGGAGTACCCCAACCCGTCCTACAAGGAGTCATCCATCAACCACGATGATGACTCAAGTGAGGACGAAGAGAACCCGCGCACATTGGTGAAGATTGAAACTTTCTCGCTCCATCCTTCGGATTTCGGCTTGCCGACTCATCCTCTGACCGAGGTCTATGGGCGCAAGATGCCCAAGGACAACGCTGCTAAGCTCATGAGCATTCTCCGCAATGAGTTGCCACGAGACGATCCCATCTTGGAGTTCGTCCTTATGAACGTTGCTGGCCTTCTTGTCACCTCCGGTATTTGCGAGGCCGAAACGAGCAACTTGGGACACGGTGACGACGGAAAGGTCATCACTGAGCGCGGCCCTGGAGGTGGTCGCTGGAAAGAGGGGTCTCCGCCGTGCGCGCTGGGCGATTGAGAGTGGCCAGGCACTGAAATGCTTCGAGCAGTTCATTGAGGTTACCAACCAACTTTAAATCGTGCCGTGCACAACAAGTTGCATATTCTCGGACATATCGAACCTCCGGTCTTCTCTTCTGATTGATTAATGGGTCGACCTTTCATTTCTTTCCTGTTCTTATTCTTATATTCGAGCATCATCTCGGGCCTTTTTTTTTATTTTCACTTATATACTAGTATGCCAGAGCTATACTAGTCAATCATTCTGGTTGCAAACAACTACCTTGGAAACAAGGACTACTAGGATACAACTTGAAGTTGATTACAGCCTTGGAAGTAATACTCAAACTCAACAGCTCCCCCATCTTACTTGGAATGATGGTTGGTTGATCAAAGCAGATCAACATTCGGAACCCTTACTGATACTTGTTATCGAAACTTGCTTTGAAGAGGACGTTTCCACGGAATCGTAGTCTCGTGTAATTCATATTTAGTTCTGTGAAAGAACTCCAAAAACGCCATTTGATGCATCATTTGTCGCAAGCGCGGACAGAAATAGAAGAAAAGATAAGTGACAGGTCGCGAGTCGCAAGCCCCATCAACTCCACGGTTTTATCCCAAAGTCACCAGGCCGGGATGATTATTATTCATCGGGTTCTCATTCGATTTAACGGGCCTGGAACTGGACCATACTAGATAAAGCAAGGTGAGTCAGTAAATGCGCTTCGTATCGTCGAATAGCTCGACCGCGGCTGAAAGAGGATCTTACCGCTTGGTTCGCTCCTTGTATAGCACACGGTGACCACAGTCCTTACAGCGAATCTGGTCGCCGCGCTTGAGAGGAACGCGCGCGGAGCACTCGCCGCAAAGGTAGACGACAGAGGGGCTATCGACAGCCATGGCGCTGAATCCGTTGTCGGCGCCGAAGCCGTTCTGACCGCCGCCCATAGAGGGGACCTGGTATGCTTCGCGGGACATTTTGGAGATTGTTCGTTTTCAACGGATGAACTGGATAAATTGAATATTCGTGTGCCGTGGAGGGTGGGAGAGGGAAGCGCGGATGCGGAGATGTCAAATGTCTTGCGAGATTCTTTTTTCGCGGCGGGATTTCTGCTTATCTCATCAACAGCCCCACTCACTTCCCTTTTTGGGACTCAATTTTAAGTATTGAGTTCACGAGCTTCACAGCTTTTATGCCTAATCCAACTTTAAATCAGAGGTTTTGTGGTCTTTTTGCTCTGAATTACATTTCGAGTAAATCTGGGATTCTTAGATTTATATTCATATTCATCAAACGATCATTTATCACAACCAACAGCCATGTATCTAGTATGCCCCGAAGAATGGTATCTCCCGATAAATGCAACAAATAGCCATCCAAGCGCCATGCAATAAGTAAAATGTGTATCATAAGATGAGTGGCGTAGCAAAATTCTTTACCACCCACCGCCAATCTTCCCAGCGAGTTCAACCACTCGACTGGTGTCATTGGATGCATTTTGTTCTTTTCCAACATCGCTTTCCACTTTGCGATAGGTGGTATAAACAAGCTTCGACAAAGGAATTCCCATGAATTGCGACCAATTTTCTAATCCTTCATGGATTCCCCGTTCCTTCTCTGCAATTGAAAAAGGGTTCTTGATGATTTCTGGTTCAATCTCGGAATCGGATTCCATCGAGAAATACGCTTCGTCCACACGAGCGAGCCAAGCACGCTGTTCATGAGGCGTAGGCTTCATAGCTGCTTCAGCATCCACCGAGTTTTCTGTGCTTTGTAGCGGATTTGTAATCTCACGAGCATCTTCCACTCGGATTTGCCCTCCGCCATTGGTACAACCGCCTGGACAGGCCATCACTTCCACATAGGAATATTCCGAGCCGGAGTTTCCAGCAGCAGCGTTGCGAGAGATTGGCTGACGACGGCTTGCAGGCAAAGGCTTTGCCCCAGGAAGCCTGGATACTCGCGCTGGTTTCAACTTTCGCACCAGGTTCTGAATGTTTCGAAAGCCGTAGTAACGAGCTGCCTTCATAATGGTTTGCCCGTCTTGAGAATTGAGCACGTACTCAACAACATCCGCATTACGCCCACGATTTGTGACGAGCTCGCTGCCCGGGTTCCGGGCCTGAAATGTACTCAGGACGTAGTGAAGGTAGCCCCCGGAAGTAGAAGTTTCTAGCGACTGCTCGGTTGCTGAATATCTAGAAGAGATGAAAGGTTCAAGAGTACTCTCTGGGAATGGTATATTGAGAGACCCTGTGATCGGTCGAAGAGGCATGTTCGGCAAAAAGAGGCCCCGAGAAGAAGCCAATGAAAGGATCTCTCGGGTGGTGATAACACAGTCAACGTCGCGAACAGGCTGAGAAGTTGCAAGTGAATCTTCGCCTGTTTGCCATGATATATCGGTGAGCTCCTCTCGACTAGCCTCCAACTTTTTATCGAAGCATGGCATGACTGCCAGGTGCCAAATTTGAGAAGCTGGGATGCCGAGAGATTTGCTCAAGACCGTCTTGAGAAAGGTTCCCGACAGAGCTTGTGGAGACTTGAGTCTAGACAAATGAGGCAGTACAAATGGATGCGTTTTTTCGGCGTAGCAGATCCAGCCCGGGCATGCAGAGGATAAAATTGGCCGCTTGGGAAGAGAAAATTCTTGACCACCGGCTAGAGATTCTGGGGAATTGATGGATTCCAAAACCTCGTCAGCAGTGAGCACCAAGACTGCCTCCCGCATGCTGTTCGTGTCGACAACCCAGGAAAATCCACTGCCGTGTTTGCCGCCACTGCGCAGTCCCTGCGGCCCGCGTAGGAACTGGTCAATCATATAACCAGCCTCCCTCTCGGAGATGCCATAGGTAGCTGCCAAGCTGGCTCGTACCTGTGGGCTCACGCTAGCAACGAAGACTCTGCCCTGTTCGGGTGTCTCAGCATTGCTAGAAACTGTCGCCTCATTTTTTTGTCCCAAGGGGATCTCGGGGTAGGCGTCGAGGGTATTTAGAACCTCAGTATGTGACTGCAGTGATATCAAGACTGCTTCTGCTGATGTGACGCATCCCGAGCAAGCAAGACAGTCGGTCAAAGAAATTTGGGCCGGTGGAAGGTTCTCGGGCTCGATTTTGTCTTCGGTGGTAACTTCGTAAGGATTCTTTGAAAAGAAAGGCAGTCAGTACCAGATGAAAGAGACAGGTGCTCTGATGACATTTTGACAAACCTCCTCCTTTGTGCTCTTTTGTGGAAGGGTTTCCACTGGCTTTATACACGCGACCCCGGGCGAAATGAAATCGTTCAGATCGTCCGCCGACAGGATCGCGCTCATGGTGGCGGGGTACCGCTGCGGGCGAAACGAGACCACACAACCGGAGAGTAGGCCACAAAGTGTTGTAAGTCGGTTATTATTCAAAAGACTGGTTGCTCGGTAGTATGATGTAAGAGTGAAAGAAAGAAAGGAAGATAATAGAAAGTTACTAAGAAGTGCAAGAATCCAGCGGAAGTCCTCGAACCAACAAGGTTGGCCGTTTTGTCATCCAATCTGGTGGCGACATCGGCGCACCGATAAGCACTGACCGCCTGCCTTGTGGGGCATGAAATAGCATTGACGGGTCCGGGCGTGCAGCTGCAGCCTCTCATTGGCTGCTCGCGATCTATTCCCTCTTTCACCCTTTGAATCCCGCTCACGCCTCCTTTGGCATCAACTATCAAAGGGTTGAAAGTCTGGGGGTGACTCGCCGTTACATCCAGCAGAACTGGAAATTCATGATTCTCTGTCTCTTTCATGAAATCAAATATCGGATCAGATCTCAAAGAAAACTACTACAATACATCACATTTGCACCTTGTAGTCCAGGCGATATTTCCTTTAAAGATGAGTGAGGTCTGATCTCCCTCAAGATGAATGCTAAAGCGAAAACTTGAAATTGAATATTCCAGAATTGCCATAGACGATATAGGGAACAACAAATTTTTATTTTTTCAATCATAGTATACCTATCTTCAGCACCCAGTCAACACAATCAACCTTGGAAGACCATTCTCTTTGATTATCATGCCACCCCCGCCGCCGAAAAGGACGAGATCGGGAAATGCTGCAGTTTTCCCCGATCCCCCAAAAGATCACTCGAGGAAGGAACTAGTCACTGTTGCCAAAGACACCCTTGAAGTCATTCCATATATCGTGAAATCTCTAGAAGCAATTGGCGAATCCCCTCGAGCTAGTGTGCTCTACGAGTATTCTGAAGAGAGCTGTCCACGACTCGACAGGGACAGCCCTTATTTTCCAGACCAAACGACAGATGTTAGAGTGGTACTGGAAGATACATTCGATGCTGCTCTTGCTCTTGGAAACATGAATCAATACTTGGGTAGCCAAGATCGAACTCCCGTCTGTGTTTTAAACTTTGCGAACCAGGCGCATATCGGAGGGGGATTCTATACCGGGTCTAAGGCACAGGAAGAAGACCTCTGTCGCCGAAGTACACTAATCGAGACTCTTCATCCTCATTTCTACCCCATGGACGACGATGAGTGTATATACTCGCCGAGCGTCTTCGTGTTTCGAGAAAACGCCGCGAAGAACCATAAGATCATGTGGACCGACCGTGTGAGCCTTCTGCCTGAAGTCAGTGTCATTTCCATGGCTGCAGAGCAACATCCCAATCTGAATCCAGCCAAAGATGACCACGCACATGCATTGTCCCGAGAATTGATGCAGGATAAGATGCGTTTGATTCTCCGTGTAGCTGCTAACGCCTTCCACCGCAGACTAGTTCTCGGTGCCATAGGCTGTGGAGCCTTCGGTCATCCTTCGAGACATGTAGCCGAGCTCTGGCTTGACGTGCTATCAGAGGAAGAATTTGGAGGATGGTTTGAGACAATCGTTTTTGCTGTCTGGGACCCTAAACTCCCTCACAAGGTCTTTTCGGATTTCTATGATGTCCTTGCTGGTCAAAGCCTATGGCAATACCATGATAGTGAAGACTCGCAGAGTGAAAGCTCACTGGATAGTCGCAGTAACGATGAGAGTGATGAGGATCCGGAGGAGCTATCGGAGTCAGGCTACAAGAGGAAGCTTCACGAAGTGGAGAGGGCGGAGCAGGAGCAAGATGAGTCCTCGCAGGAGGAGGGGAGTTCCGAGTCGGAGGATGATGATAACAGCTAGCTTAGTGACTACTAGTATTAGCTGTAGTAAACTCTTGTATAATACTACTGAGTACTGCTGGCTATTCGTATCAGCACTGGAAAGTTTGAGGAGTTGGAAGCGAAAAAATATTTCAATCCGTTCGCTCAAGGGTACTAAGACAAGTAAAAACATATTTTTTTATCTTGTTCAACATTGGACTGTTCTACACAAATTGAAGCGTATTTGAAGGAATTCCCAGGTACCTAGGTACTTATATCTGATTCTCTCAGGCCGATAAATATCATGTTATGTACCTAGGTAGGTATCAATACATAGGGATTTTGGATCTTAAAAAATCTCCGAACTAGCCTTTATGCTGCCAGTTGGGATATCTTGAACTCCTGGGACTTTTGATGATTTGGGGTCATCCATTAGGCATACAAGAAAAACCACTTCACTTCAGTAATATTCTTCATATGTGAACATTTAAAATTGCACCGATTCCCACCTACTAAAATCGCGCTATCAAAGCTGCCAGTATTCAGTATGATCAATGTCTTTGCCCTCCGCGATGAAACTCAGCTAGAAATTTTGCTCTTGATGAATGTCAAAGCCTGTGCGCCGTACTCTGCACCATAGCCCTGGTGGGTTGCTGCATTACTGCCATTACAGCAATACGGATCCGAGGCATCACAGTACGATTGGATCTTACTGGCGGATGGACAGGTAAATCCCGCCGGGCGTTCGTCGAACTATTTGAATGTCAGCTCCAGAATCGAAACAGGAAGCTCAAGGTAATAAATACCCCTCCTGCACCGCAGGTTCCCACGTCATATGGTAGCCCTGCCCTGAAAAGAGGATCTCCCATAAAAATAGCAGCCTTGACCATGTTCACGGCAGAAGAAGACAGCCGGACCGATGTATCGGTAACTCCTTGGTTGGGAACACCCCCACCACATAAAGCAGCGTCCATTATCTCGCCTCCCTGAACAAGCGAGAAAATGAGGTTAGACTCCACTCTTGTCGCTATCTATTTAAAGGATTGAGAATTGACGAACCTGTGAGTAGCCGACTAGGATCAACTTTGTATCAGGACACTGTGAATTGAAGGAATTTACAGCAGAGGCAACAGCTTGGATTCCTTGGGCAACTGAGCTAGAATAGCTCACGCCGCCACATGAAGATTGACCACCACATGCAGGGTAACTGATGGCCTCAGCTGTAGACCCCGAATAAGCGCCCAGCACCTCGTTGACAACAGTGCTGGACGACCCGTAGCCCGGGGAGACAGTGGTTTCACGGGCACCAAAAACATGGACACCAGGACAGTTTGCACGTCCCTTAATACCTCCGTCAAGCGGAGTAGCGTAAGTTCCGCCGACGAGAAAAGAGACAGTCAGTAAGTTGGACCACATGGTGTCAACAGAGTATAAGTAAGAAAAATGTGGAAAGAATTTGCCAGCTAGCAATAATGACAAGGAGAAGGATGAGTTTGCTCTGAGATTATTAGTTGAAACCGGATGAGGGCCTCTTCAAGTGAGCGGAGGCCACATTTATAGAAGGAGTCCGAACTCCACTCCTCCGAGTCGCGGGTAATGATTGAGTCCAGAGCCCTGGAGGACTTTGCTTGCTTCCTCAAGCCATAGATTGGTGGTAGTTGAAGAGCTCCTTTCGACCGAAGAAATAATTTTGCCTAATAACCCATGGATCATAGATATTTGGTCGATCAATCGTGTATGGTCTGCAGACTTGCAATGGGGCATCTCAAGATTAGCCGTGAAGAAACGCATCCGGATTCAGGCTGAATCAATAGACGTGTCACTCTAACAAGCCTAGCTTGGCGCCCCGCCAAAGTAAAAAAAGGGTCTACTACTAGTAGTTTTAGATGTGGAACATGTTTCAAGAGGTGTACTCCCCCGCATCATTTGAGGTAACTAAATGGTAGATCACTTGTCATGGAATAGTTTCAATGCGGCTTTGCGTTTACAAAATACCATCAAAAATCAGGAGTTCTCTGGCGAAATCGATTGGGAGGCAGATTTTCTGTCAACTTTCCAAATTGTGTGATTCCGGCAACTGGAGGAATCAAGTTTTCACTGGCAAACCAAAGAGGCTTCGAGGTAGATGAAGTTTTCTCGAATGATTAGGCCTCCTCAACATAAAATAAGATGGCAAATAAACTTGAATTTTTAATGGCGTATTTTAGACACCTGCTAATCGAGGGGCTTTCTGGCCCAAACACGCCGTCTAAAAACAACAGGTTAAAGCTTAGAAATAGCCAGATCTGGGATGTGACTTACGCTCGTTGATAGGCATGGACCTTAGGATTCTTCAGTTCGGTCCGAATTTTCCCAACATAAGCCTGGACCTGCTCTGGAGACCACGGATTTGGTGTGCCAAATTTAGTTAGAAGCCACATTCCCCATCCTTCCAAACCAGCGGACCACATGTGATAGTTTATTAGCCCCGCCTCCTTGAGCTGTTTATCTTTAGGCCAAGCTCCAATGGGCCACTTGCTGATCTTCTCTTTTAAATCGAAAAATCCAGCACGCTCGATGGAGGAGCTCATCGTATTGAGAGTGTCGATTCGACGACCAGACCTTTCTGCACAGCCAAATGTAACATCTCCCCAACTCGCAGCCATGCTATCTCCCGGAACACTATCATCGTCGGCTTCGAGATGAGCATCCAGCTCTAGCTGTTCAATCCAACCACCAGGCTTGAGATTTCTGGATACCAACATGAGAATCTTCCAAGAATAGGGAAATCTTAATCAGGAACGTAACGTACTCATAGCACTTTTGGTAGACAATGTCCCACTCCTTTTCTGTAAATGCTCCAAGCATGATACGCAAATGGATAAAGTCAAACGGCTCACGCCAGGTCCACTCTCGCAAGACATCATCCACCTCCAATATGCAGTTCGGTGGCATCCACGTCACAGGGGGTGGGAAAATATCTACACCTCGAACGGTAGCTAGAGAAATATTAGCGTATGGGAAATGTGCATTTGTTGAAGATTCAATCACTTTCGGGAAACATATCTGCGACGTCGCTGTAATAAAATGTTACTAATCTGTCGGGAAATGCCTAGGTATGAAGGGGAAGATTTCAACATACATAGCCCATAGTCCATTTCCAGTTCCGATATCGAGGATATTCTAGTGGTTTGAATGTTTGAGATATAGCCTTTGGAGGAATTAATTCTGTCGACATACCTTCGCCGAACTTCCGACAGGGGCTCGGAATAGTGGGTTTGACGTATCAGACTCAAGAACTATGGCAACAGCATGACTGCTCGTTTTGATTAGCTTAATTCTTTAGGTTCGGGGGCTATCATGCTATACCCGGCTTCTAGGCTCTCAAATTGAAGATCATCGGCCGGGCTCCTAGTACACGGTTAGAGCCAGGAATATTCCTCCTATATGCTTCTGTTTCTTTTTGGGTGGTGTCCTAACCAGTATTCATCTTCTCTCAACGTTTGGTATCTGAGGACTTTTTAGAGAATGCCGTTGATAAAAGTTGCATAGCTTGCTTACCGCCGACCATTTTCGATAAGCCCTCTATAGATCGAGGAAGAAATTGAAGTAGTTTCACTATGGTGGAAAAGCTTGTTAGAAAACCCGGCACTTGATAAAGGTACATTTGGAGCATACGATCGATTATCTTCCTCGAGACTCGCATTCGTTATATAGACATCGGGATCCTTGTGTAATAATGAGAGATTGTGCCAAATGCGAGCAAATTCGACTTTCAGGATGTCAGTCACTCACCACCGCGATTTTTTCATTGCCCTCAGCTTCAGACATCATGACGGCGACGATGAAAGTGCCTGGTAAAAGTACACTGAACAGATTTTCAAAAAAAATGTAAATTGGACGGAGGGGGGACAGATACCTTTCCTGTTGCTGTTAAAACGCCGAGGCTGCACCTCAATGCTTTAAGCATAGGGCCTCGCGGCCTATTGGTCGACAATATACCCATCATCGCTGCGTCAAACGTCCCATGCAGGGCGAGTAAACCAATCATGTCACTATTTACTGCTGATCTTTTCTTTTTCTGTACTAATGAGCGAAGGATGGAGGGGCCGCGCCGTTAGAGACGTGCTCCTTTTCCTCCGGAGAACCCCGTCGGTTATGGATACAGTATGCCCCATCCTCATTGAACCGTTTGGGTCCATTTGAAATGCATCTCACATGCACAGTGAAGGAAATTTGAGAGTCGCATCAGCCAATACCTGATTGACGACCGTAAAGCTCATCGAGGTGCATTGCAGTGTTCATGCGATGCCAACTACCCCTGAATCCATGCCCGACACTAATGAGTACTTGGAGGTGGGGCACGGGCGTGTCATGTAAATTGCTACATTGAAAGATTTGTGAAAAGGATTTACGTGCCATGCATTATGTTCGCCACATCAATATCCTCTGACAGGTGATCCCATGCGTGCCTGTGGGGCGACAGCGAGAAGATTGACGAGAGAAATCGAATACAAATCCGGGGGAGAATCGGAGACAGAACCAAAATCAGGCACTCGTTCATTTTCTGGAGCGTGTTGAGCGACGTCGCTCATTGGAGCCAACAACGTATTTCTCTTCGCCATCCTCCTCTTTTTTGATAGCGGATGTGCTTTGCCTCTTGGATCCGCGGCTTTTAGCCTCGAGCTTGGGCTTCTCGTCAACCTCAGAGTCGTCTTCCTGTTTCGATGCCCTTTTCCTTTTTGATGCGCTTGAGGTTTTATTCAAAGTTTCATCGCCGGTACTCTTTGTGGCGAGACTGGTCTTCTTTTGGACTGCTAGAACAACAGCACTTGTTCTGCCACCGACTGTGATGAATGTTATCTTGTCGCCGTTTGGAAGGGCCGACGATTGATTCTTCTTGCCCTTGCCCCATCTATGCTTGAAAAGCCAATGTTCAGGAAACTTTTCAGAGTCCGCAAGAACTTCAATCGCAGTAGAGCAAACATAATGGATTGCGTTGTGGAGCTCTTTGACTTGGTCAGTGGAAAGTGTATTGCTGTACTGTTCCGGATGGATCTTGGCGTGGTACAGGATCTCGTCACTGGATATGATGATGTCAGCTGTTGCAAAAGGATATTTAATTGGCCATATTGGTTAGTTGGCTGCGCTTACCCCATCCAGTTTCCGATTCCGCTGATATTCGCTTGGTCGAGCAGAAGTGCCTTAATGGGCACTTTCCTGCTCTTCAGCTTCTCTGCCAGCCAGGCTTCCGTCACGATATCTTTATCCGCAATGGGTTCGGGTCCATTTTCCTTAAGGGGTGTGTGTTTTCGGATTTCATCGGCAGGGCAATCGACAAGACGAATCCGACTTAGCCTGCGCGCATCGACGAATGCCGCTTCGGCCTTCGGCTCGTCGCTTGTTTCCAACAAGAACTTCCAATATTTGGGAGGCCACTCCTGGTCAGCAGGCTTGTCTGAGCGGTAATAATAGGTATCAGCGCCCTTGATCTTCAGCCAGCCAGCCATGCCAAAATGCATCACGGCATGTGGTGGAGAGGACATTGTGATCCAAAAATATTTCCCTTGCTGCCCGGCACCTATGACCTTTTTACCCTGTAATGCCTTTTGAAATTCGGCCGCACTGGTCCCGACTTTTCCATAGACGATATCATCGTGCTGAGCTTGAACCTTGGAAAGGGTCTTGCCAACCAGATGTTGCCGGATGAAATGCACGATACGTGCGACCTCGGCGAGTTCAGGCATCTGCACGCGGTATTATTTGACGAGAGATAAATGTGATAATATAAACAAGGTGATGCAATGTATGTATGAATAGTAATAGGGGAATCAAGTCTCGCAACGACGTGTCGCGTTTCTGATCACGAGATCACCTGACTCGATCTACATTCAAGTGCAATTAGTCAGCTGGTGCACTATTCCTAATGGGGCCGCCATTCGATGACGGAGGGCTGCGGCGAAGCTAGCAACCTCGCCCATAAATCAGTAAACTAATTTTTAAGCCCATTTATACGGAGATAACACTGCTTTTCCCGGCTTGCTATACCGTGTTGTTATCAATACAGATTCTTCTAGCCTTGATAACTACCCAGATATCTGGTGCATCATCCATCTCCACTCAAGCTGGCGTGGTTCTGGGCTACAAAAACGACTCGAGAAAGCGGAGGAAGCGACGGTGAAAATATGGCTGAAGCATCTTCAATGGAGGCTCCAGCATTGACACCCCAGTTTTGCTTCAATGAAAGACTCCTCAGAGGTTTGTCGACCGAGCGGATCCCGCAAATTCCATCCGACTGACCCTTGTCTCCCTTCGTCTAGACTTTCTGAGTCTTTCGCGGTCGACTATCGACGACTCGATCACGCAGAATCTCAATGCGTTAATAACCCCTGCCCGTGAGGGCTTCGATCCATCCTCTACCGCCGTGCGACAAACCGACTCCAAAGCCCGAAAAGCGATCGATCCAACAAATTGCCAGGGTTTCAAGGATAATGTGCTATTTCCGTCATGGCAGGCTCGTTCCGACGTTTTAACCTACTGCGCCGGTGTTGCGACAAGTCCGGACCCTGATGATCCCGACCTGATCTTACGGGAGACCGAATCTGCGAGGGATCGAGAGCGGGTTGTGAATGAACGATTGGACCCATACTCAGCTCGCTTCTTTCCTCGTGAGGCTAGGACGGAGTCACTCGCGAATTTAATACGAAACCAACGGACCGTGGAAGATATCATCCGCGCGAGAACCTGGGGCATGGTGACCGAAAGATGCAGTGGCTCTACGTCATGGGAGGATGCATTGAACCATTGGCGTCACAGCAATCAACGATGAATCATTCGGCGGTAAAATCAATTATTGGCGTCATTAATTGGTTGCTTATATCCTATAGCTTTACCGGCCCTGTTTCAACTTCTTTTGGGCCTGGTTATTTCTTCACTTCCGTGTACAATAAGTATGAAATACATCACAGCATACATAGCGTTGACTTTACGAACCTATAAATGTATGAGCAAGTTTTTATTTACTTATAAAAACATGAAAAATGAATAGGAAAATCCAAAATCCACATACTTCTAGTAGTTCAAATTTGTCAGTTTGGGCATGGCAGGGTAGAATAGCAAATAGCCCACCTTGAGGCAGCTACTAACTAGTATGTGATAGTAAGAGCTTGCCAGGAAAAGCTTTACAAAACAACCCCTTGTCGGCTACACAAAAGATGCCACTCTGGGTGAATGCATGTAAATTTCCTAGTCTCTGCATTCAAATGCAGACGTCAAATATAAACGCGAACTCATCGTCGAGATTGAAATTTCCCATCAGCCTCCCACCTTGAGTCGCTGTTGGACAGCTATCTTATCGGCCCAGCTGGTTCTGCCAAAGTCGGACTCGGAGGCGCCGCTCCCCGCACACATCGATTCCTCACTCGCACAAGTCAATTCACCCCAGCCATCGCCCACCATGCCGCAACCATTGAACTCCAAGGACCAGTCCTTGTTCCGTCAAGTGGTTCGCAACTTCGAGCAGAAGCAATACAAGAAAGGTCCCGCCTCCCCGCTCCCTCAATCGTCCCGCCTCAGCTAACACCGTTTTCATCACGATAGGCATTAAAACGGCAGACCAAGTTCTTCGCAAGAACCCCAAGCATGGCGACACACAGGCGATGAAGGCTCTGATCATGAGTCATCTGGGTCAGTTGGAAGAGGCTTTCGTGCTGGCTAAGGAGGCTCTGCGAAATGACATGAAGTCGCACATTTGCTGGCACGTGTACGGCCTGCTATACCGACAAGAGAAGAACTTCGACGAGGCGATCAAGGCTTACCGTTTCGCCTTGCGACTGGATCCCGAATCCCAGCCCATTCAGCGGGATCTGGCGCTCCTTCAGATGCAGATGCGCGATTTCCAGGGATATATCCAGAGCCGCAGCTCTATGCTTCAGGCGCGCCCGGGTTTGCGCCAAAATTGGACCGCATTGGCGATCGCTCATCACCTGTCCGGAGATTTGGAGGAGGCGGAGAAAGTCTTGACCACCTACGAAGACACCCTGAAGGATGGCGTCCCACCAGTTGCCGATATGGAGCACTCTGAGGCTTGCCTATATAAAAATACGATCATCGCGGAGACAGGCAACCTGGAACGAGCCCTGGAGCATTTGGAGAAAATTGGCTACCGGTGTACCGATGTGCTTGCCGTGATGGAATTGAAGGCAGACTATCTCCTGCGACTTGGCCGCAAATCAGAGGCCGAAGAGGCGTACACTGCTTTGTTGGAACGAAACCCTGAGAATTCAGTTTACTACAACGGCTTAATTCAAGCAAAGGAGATCCCGGAGACTGATCACAAAGCACTGAAGGCTTTGTATGATGAATGGGTGAAGAAGAACCCTCGCGGTGATGCGGCTCGCCGTATTCCTCTCGACTTCTTAGAAGGGGAAGATTTCAAGCAGGCCGTCGATACCTATCTGCAGCGCATGCTGAAGAAGGGTGTCCCCTCGCTGTTTGCGAACATCAAGTTCTTGTACTCCAACTCTGCCAAGCGCGATGTAGTGCAGTCATTGGTGGAGGGATATGTCTCTGGCAAGGCTGGTTCGCAGGCGAACGGCTCTGCGGAAGGCAAGGAAGATAACAACGAGTTCCTGGCATCCACCTACTACTTCTTGGCCCTGCATTACACCTATGAGCTGAGCCAGAACCTCACAAAGGCCATGGAGAATGTTGACAAAGCAATCGAATTGTCACCCAAGGCTGTTGAGTACCAGTTGGCCAAGGCGCGTATCTGGAAGCACCATGGAAACCCTGTTAAGGCAGCGGATGAAATGGAGAAAGCTCGTCTCCTTGATGAGAAGGATCGTTATATCAACACTAAGGCTGCCAAGTACCGCCTTCGCAACAACGAAAATGAGAAGGGTCTGGATCTCATGAGCAAGTTCACCCGCAACGAGACCGTGGGAGGAACATTGGGTGATCTTCACGAAATGCAATGTGTTTGGTTCTTGACAGAGGATGCGGAAGCGTTCCTGCGTCAGAAGAAGCTGGGCCTTGCGCTCAAGCGTTTCCACTCGGTCTTCAACATCTTCGAAACTTGGCAAGAGGACCAGTTCGACTTCCACAGCTTCTCCCTTAGGAAGGGAATGGTCAGAGCCTATGTGGACATGGTTCGCTGGGAAGACCGCCTGCGCGAGCACCCCTTCTATACCAGAATCGCTCTTGGTGCCACCAAGGCATACTTGCTTCTCAATGACCAGCCCGATCTTGCCCATGGACCCATCGCAAACGGTCCCAACGGCACTGAGGTTTCGGAGGAAGATCGCAAGAAGGCTCTCAAGAAGGCCAAGAAGGAACAGCAACGCCTTGAGAAAATCGAGTCTGATAAGCGTGAGGCCAGAAAGGCAGCCGCTGCCAATGCCAAGAGCCAAAGCGTGGACGGAGAGGTCAAGAAGGAGGACGCTGATCCCCTTGGAAACACCCTGGTGCAAACAAAGGATGCGCTCAAGGATGCTCTGAAGTTCTTGGCGCCGCTACTCGAGCTCAATGCGCAGAATATTGAGGCTCAATGCCTGGGTTTCGAGGTTTATATCAGACAAAGTATGTTTGAATCCCGCTCTCCTGACATTCAAAAACTTATACTAATTCGATGCGTCAACAGACAAATACCTACCCGCTTTGAAGTGTCTCACAGCCGCTAATGCCATTGATCCCTCAAACCCTACCCTTCACCTCCAGCTCCTGCAATTCCGCAAGAAAATCGACGGCCTTACCGATTCCCTGCCCGCCCAAACCGGAGAAGTCATCGGCACGGAATTTGAGAAGCTCCTTCCCAAGTCCCAGAACCTTGAGGAATGGAACGAGTCTTTCCTGTCCGCCAACAAGGACAGTGTCGCGCACATTCAGGCCGCTTTGTCAGGCCGTCAGCTCTTGAATCCTGACTCGAAGGCTCAGTGTGAGAAGGATCTCTTGGCCTCCCTGGACTCTCCCGCCGTCACCATTGAAGAGGCCGTCGCTGCTCTTGAGTTGCTCAGCAAGTGGGGTAGCGAGCAGACTGCCTACGCGGAGAAGGCTAGCAAGAAGTGGCCCGAGTCGTCAGTCTTTCAGTTGAACTGATTGCGTCTCGAGCCAGCGACCATCTTGATCACGGACCATCAAGGCCACCTTTTTTGATCGTCGCTTGTCATAACGACCTTGGCTCGAAGCGTGGCTACATTGATGGAATCGGTGGCTGGTATAAACATGCCACTCAGCTAGATATTGAATGATGGAGGATATCTCGTCGAAAAAGAGAAATAGAAACAGTCTTGAAATCTACACCTTTGAAATGTACCTCAAAAAATTCCAAAATACGCAAATGAATGGATGATGTTTAAAGTACTACTAGTATACGATAGAAAGAAGGATGACTACCTACCTAGGTAGGTAGTAGTACTACTAGTAAGTTTTCCAAGGGATATTATCACCGTGAATGTTCGTAGTTATTAATTTTTGAAAATTCTCGGAATTCTTCCAAGTCTAGAATGCACATGTGATGTACACGCAAAGTAAAAAAAGAAAAACACAACAAAAGCGCCTCTAATATACAAACCGAAGAGGGAGGATGGATATGCAAGTGACAGAAAACGTGAGATCTCCCCATACAAGGGGAGTTTGGGACAAAAAACACCCGCAACCATCTATGTATACACATAAAATTCAGACTCATTGATGCTGTTTTCACGCACCCTCTTCGCCATCAAGGTTACCCAAGATGGGTTTGCGGCGGATAGTTTCATCATCTTCGCCATAGCCGTAGTTGATCCACATGCTTCTCCAGAAGGGGATAGGCGCAGGACGCTCTTGGCCGAGAATGTATTCCTTTTCCTCGGCGATGCGCTGTGAGCGAGCCTCATCTTCGGCGGAGATGAGGGAGTGTTTCATACGCGAGGAAATGCGCGAGTCTAGAACAACGTCATTGAGCCAGACGCGCTCCCGGTCATCATCGGTTGGTTTGTGGACAGAACTGTGCCATTCTTTCTCTTCCTTCGCCAGAACAGTCTGCTGCTCGTGGTTGCCGTGGGGCAGTTCTGCAACGGAGTCATCGGGCGAAGAGGAAGCGGCTCCGAGCTCGGAATCAAAAGTGGGGGTTTCTTCACAGTAAGGTCGAGCGGCGGAGGCCAGGACAATGCTGGCAACATCACGACCAATGCTCTCAGCGAGGTAACGTTGGGTGACGTAGCGATACATACGGATAGGGGTGTTCGTGAAGCCTAGGATGTGAGGGAACTCAATGGGGATGGAGCTGTCGAGAGACTGGGGGAGAGTGGAGGGAAGTTGAGCAGTAGGGTAATCGGCGGTGGTAATATGGGCGGGCTTAGGGCCGGTAGGCTTAGAGGGCTTTTCCTTCTCTTCCTGCTCGGCCTTGGACTCCTCTGTCTTGGTGTCATCAATCTTGAGATCTTCGAGCTTGGCGACTTGGCCATTGTTAGCCTCATCGGGCTTGGTCTCGGGAGTTTCTTGGTTGTCGGATGGCGGAGGGCTAGGCTGGTCGCCCCCGGCAATGTCCTTCATGGTTTCTTCTGCACCTTCTGGAACAGCAACTGGCTCTTCGACAGGAGCAGGTGGTGGCGGATCAAGAGGTCCCAACCAACCCTCGTGCAATCCACGGACATATTCCTTCCAGGTGTGTCGGCCAATCACCAAATCACCCTTGGGGCCGGGTTCGTCGGTCACGCCCATCTGCTCTCGCGCAGCTAAAACAACAGTCTCCACGCTCGGCTCCTCCACGACGGTGGTCTGCTCGCCGGCCTTTCTCCGGATTTTGCGAATTTGCTCCGCTGTACCGGCGCGCACTTCTCCCTCCCGACGTCCCTCGATCACGTTATAATCCAAAGCCGCGGCGGTCAAGATCGGCTTGACATATTCCTTGAAATGATCACGGGCGACACGCAGACCATCACCGGGGGGAGCGGCAAGGTAGACAGTCAGTTTCCGGCGCATTTGGTGCACATCTAGAGGCTCGTTTGCAATATGAGCCACGAGATCACACCACTTCTGTTGAGCGCGTCGCTTCTCACGGCGGTCGTAGACAATTGCGGTGGTCAAGGATCCGGTGATGGTGAGGAAAATCATCCAGTTTCGCGAGGGGAGTTTAAAGCGGATGTTGGGCAGGCCTATTGGAATTGATCATGTCAGTGGTCATGATTAGGGTCATGGATTATGGGGTTGTTCCAGAACAATCAAGAGGACCTCAACATACCCATCATTTTGAAGACCGGGTTAGGTGGCTTGGGAGCAGCCGCAGGCTTGCCTGCAGGGGCTGTTGAGGCTGAAGAGTCGGCCATTGTCAACTTGAATCGGAAGACAATCGCACTCTCTCGAAAAGTTTGGGAGGCTCGTAGACTTGCAAACTTCGGGGAGAGTCGCAGCATCCCGAAAAAAGTCGGGCCCAAGATGATCCGGCGTCACGTGAACTCTAGAGAGACTAAACGATAGACTGCACTCTACGCTCTAGTTATAGAATACATAGAATACATAGATCATGAAGTACACTCGCATTTGATTGAGGTTCCTCTCTTCGTCTGAGCTCCTTGAGCTCACTTTTTGTTCCATCAAGGCTACTAGTAGTTTGATTGACTTATGTACTTGTGTATTCACAGCCCACTATACATAGATAGGTACTCCATACTAAATCTGGTGTTCTCCAACTTTCCCGTGAACAAAAGTCCTATAGAAATTGCAGACCCAGCTGGTTTGGAATGTATCCTGGCTCCCACTCTGTACCAATAACATCGTCAACATCCCCATGAACGTTTTTGACGGGAATGTTCAGCACGAGGGGTTCGCGGCTACGTGTATCCACTGGGCCCAGCCGATCCAGGGCCGATCCGAGGGACGGCATACGATACAATGTACAATGCAAAAGGAAGAAGTCAAGGAGAGAATTGTAACAGGCCGTAACACCACAGGGGACCACATTCGGTTTCAGCCTTCTAGTCAAGAGAACTTGATGTTTGATTAGGGGTGGATTGAAGAAGTGGATTGTCTTTGCCTCCTGAGACCGCTTCTTTGCTCCCCGCCTTTCTCCTTTCCCTTTGCCCATTCCCATTCCCATTCCAATCCCATCATCCACTTTCTATTTCTCCAACAAACAACCCCCCTCCCCTCCCTTCCGTCTGTCGACTCCCCTCCCCCACCCCCGATTTATCGGGAGCCCAGACTATCAAGATGGATCCCAACAACAACAATCGTCAGAATAACAACATGAATTACGGCTACAATGACCGCAACTACAATGCGGCCAACAGCCGCGCCTATCCCACTACCCCCTCCGCCTTTCCCCAACCCATCTATCAGACTCAGGGGGCTCAGGAATATGTCGACCCCGCCAATCCGGCCTATTCTCAGGGTTATTTTATGACCAACCCTTACCCTCCTCAGACACAACAACAGTACGCTCAGCAACAGCAGTATGCGCAGCAGCAACAGCAGCAACAGCAACAGCAAGGCCTGCAGTCACCCCAGCCCGCCTATCAAAATCGGATGGGTTACCCCCCCAGCGATGGGACCAATGGTCTCATCCAGCAATTTTCGAACCAGGATCTGAACGCCAATCGTGGCAATTTCTTCGGTCGGGCGAACTCCCCCGCTGCTGCCCAGCGCCCTCGTACTGCGGGCGGTTCGCCTGCTGGTCCCGCGCAGGCAGCACACCTGGCTCCCCCGGTGCCTCGCAGCCCTCGGCCCCCGTCGGAGAATGAGGAGCTCCAGCGTTTCTCGGATAGATACTCGGAGAATGTGCACAAGCGGGGCAAGGCCGCAAAGGAACTGGTGACCGTCTTCTTCCACGAGAACATCGAGCGTGCCCGTGATCGCAACATGCGGTACGTATTATAGCTTTGTTGAAAGCCACTGTTTGATCAGAGTAGCTGACATTGACTTTCTCTTCCTTGTATAGCTCCGTGGACCTTGACAAGACACTCCGCGACCCGGCTGTCGTGAGTGACAAGAAACGCCAGGATGCCGAGACAATCTCGAAGCGGGAATCGGATTTCCTTCGGTTCCTCCGAACTAAGGAGACCCCTCAGAACTTCCAAACCATCAAGATTATCGGAAAGGGTGCTTTTGGTGAGGTGAAGCTGGTGCAACGCAAGACCGATGGCAAGATTTATGCCCTGAAGTCGTTAATCAAGACGGAAATGTTCAAGAAGGACCAGTTGGCGCACGTTCGTGCTGAGCGTGATATCTTGGCGGACTCGAAGGATAACCCTTGGTTGGTGAAGCTGCACGCTTCCTTCCAAGATTCAGCTTACCTCTACTTGCTCATGGAGTTCTTGCCCGGTGGTGATCTGATGACCATGCTGATCAAATATGAAATCTTCTCGGAGGATATCACCCGATTTTACATGGCCGAGGTCGTGATGGCCATTGAAGCTGTCCACAAGCTCGGCTTCCTTCACCGGTATGTAGTTTGATACATGCTCTCTAATGTCGCAAGAGAAACTTGTCCATATTTTTTGCAGCCACCGTGGATCTTATGCTAACGAAACACGATAGTGATATCAAACCTGACAACATCCTTCTCGACCGCGGCGGTCACGTCAAGCTTACAGATTTCGGTCTTTCAACCGGTGGAAAGAAGACCCACGACAATGCCTATTATCAAAACCTGTTGAAGAACTCAACATCAAAGGATCGCAACCGCAACTCCGGCTACTTCAACGATGCTATCAACTTGACAGTCTCCAACCGTGGCCAAATCAACACTTGGAGAAAGTCTCGTCGCGCGATGGCCTACTCTACTGTCGGAACTCCCGATTATATTGCCCCCGAAATCTTTAACGGACAGGGATATACTTATCTTTGTGATTGGTGGTCTGTCGGTGCTATTATGTTCGAGTGTCTTGTTGGCTGGCCACCATTCTGCGCTGAGGATACCACCGATACTTACCGCAAGATTGTGAACTGGCGTGAATGTCTTTACTTCCCTGATGAGCTGGTTCTCTCCCGTGAATCCGAGTCTTTAATTAGAAGGTATGTTTCCCCCTCCCTATCCGAAAATCGAATGACCGAACTCGAACTCACCTTTATTTTAATAGCTTCTTGTGTGACCCCGAGCACCGTATTGGAAGCGACGGCGGCCAGCACGGCGGCGCAACTCAGATCAAGAACCACCCCTTCTTCCGCGGCGTTGTATGGGAACAACTGCGGGCCATCCGTGCCCCATTCGAACCCCGACTCAGCTCCAACATCGACGTTTCGTACTTCCCAATCGACGAAATCCCCCAGGAAGACACCAGTGCTATTCACCGCGCCCAGGCTCGTGCCATGCCCGAGTCACAGGAGGCAGAGATGAGTTTGCCGTTTATCGGATATACCTACAAGGCTTTCAACGCCTTCCAAGCCTCCTAAAGCTTCAGTATGCAGAAAACATAGCTGGTCAGCGCGTTGTATAGGAAGGCGCAAGAAGCAGGCGGGGCCTGTATCTACTTCTGTACCAGCATGGACCCGGGCTGCTTGAGGCTTGGGCGTTTTCATCTCTCCGCCACGAATCGTCATTCAGCATATCAGCGCGATGTTTTCCGAGTCATGACCCGAGCGCTGTCTTTTGATTTTAGTTCGGGATATCTAGCCCATCTTTTTATCATTCCGATATATCTCACGTCGGGGCCGAAAAGGGCTTGTTGAGAACTTGAAGTATCACATATTCGTCCTTATTCGCATTTCAGATCTCGATTTGCATATCATAGTCTGAAAAAACAAAAAGATCTGTCCATTGTTTACATATTATCGCTTTAGTCATAGATCATGATGAAGCTGACTTGCCACTTCTGCCTAGACGGTGTTAGCCGTCCAGGCTGGTAAGGTTGGCATTTATTGAATTGGGATTCCCATTTGCAAAGAAACTTTGGAATGTAAATCAACCATGATGTTTGATGCATTCCCCACGTCTCAACATTGCTCTGGTGCTTAGTAGAAGATATTCGGCTTCGAAAACTTGAATGGTTGTCATCAATCAATGTCAAATTGTATGCAGTTGCTCAAGTATCATAGAAATTATCAACAGGAATTATCCCCAAACGCCAGTTCTCCATTTCCCACAATAGACATGGCCAGATTCAGCCTTTGGAGCCAGACGGCAAAACAGAAGCAAAAGATAAAAAGTCGTCCTCACATCTGCATAGGCGCCAAACCAGGCACACCACTGAACCGCTCCTCACGCTCAGTCTTAAACATAATTTGCACCCAGAATTGCTTGCTATCCTCATCAAACCAAGTCCAATATTTCCCCTCCTCCCGGCGATCAACCTCACGAGCCTGCAGCTTGAACGCGCAGGTCTGGTATGGCTCAGCAGCCACAACCAGATATTGGTAGTCATTATTGGGCTCCTCGATCTTCTGCTCGTACGCGGACATGAATCGCACGCGCGGCACAACACCCGGCGTGATCTCCTGGAACTGCAACTGGAAAAGCAGCCCCATTTGGCGGGTCAATGGGTCGCGGACCTTGGTGATCTTGTATCCGGGCCGACCGATTTTGATAGTCTGTTTCTTGACCTGCACGCCCATAGCTCCGGGCATGGATGAAGGGTCTTGATTCTTTCCCTCGCGTTGTTCGCGTGCGGCTCGGCGGGCGAGGTTCGTCGAATGCTTGCGCCCCTGCGTGTGGGCGAGGTAGGAGCCGTCATTTTGGTGGACGGTTAGACAGAGTCGGCACTCGAAGCTTCCGACGTGGTTTTTGAAGAAGTAGGGGTCTTTGTCGAGGTCGATTGATTCCAGCGCGAGCTTGCGCAGGCGCTCGCGACGGTCGGCGTTGGTTGCGGACTGAGAGGCGACACCTCCGCCGCCGAATTTGGAGCCTGCTCGGTTCTGGGAGACGTCAGTATCAGTAGCTTCGTGGTATGAATAATCATGTAGATCCAGGACATAGAACTATAACGTACCTGGTAATCCATCCTGGCGTGGCGTTCTCGTGATCTGTCGAAGAGTTGCGGAGGGCAAATCTGCGTGGATCGAGATAGACGTGGTTAGGTAAGCGGATTACGGCCCAGGAGAGGTACACACCTTCAATGTTCTGCAATAGTTGACGGATCCGAAATTACGACAAGCTGCTAGAAGGACTTTTACTTTTGAGTCAGATGGATCACTCGCTTGTGGGCCAGCGTCGGTCCTTTGATGGCCAGCTGTGCACCATCCGCTACGTGGGCAGTGTCCAAGGCACCGCTGGCGACTGGTTAGGCGTTGAATGGGACGACGCAACTCGAGGAAAACATGCGGGGGAACATAAAGGAGTCCGTTATTTCACTTGTACGTCTATTCCTGTCTTTCATGATTGGAAATACTGTATTTAACCTCTTCTATAGGCAAAAGCAAATACCCCACGGCGGGGTCTTTCGTCCGTCCCTCAAGGCCATCAGATCCGCCTAGAAGTTTTCTGGAGGGACTGCGTGAAAAATACGCCTCTGAATCTGAGCAGGACCTTTCACAAGAAGGCAACCCAAATGGAGCTTCCTCTAAAAGGCTCATTGAGATTAGTGGCAAGGTTGTTGAAGAAGTCGGCTTCGACAAGATCCGCAAACAGCTTGCGGAATTGCAAGAACTGCGGATTGTGCTACTAGATGGCCTACTAATTTCCGGGGTTCTATCATCTTATGACCAACCGGAGGATCAAGTTGATCAGTTTGTCCAAAATATTGCAGCCACTTGCCCGCAAATTACAGAGCTGGACCTCAGCCGCAGTTTGTTGACCAGCTGGCGTCACGTTTGGCAGATTTGCAGCCAGCTTAAGAAGCTGAGAAAGTTGAAAGTGAAGTGAGCTTCATTACCTTCGCATATACTATGTGCCTACATTTGATAGAAGCTAACTACTATCGCAGCGGCAACCGATTCCATCCTTTGGAAGATGGCTTTGTCTTCGAAGGGGTCACTGAGCTTCATCTGGAAGAGACATTATTGAGTTGGGACGAGGTACGGAGTTGAAAGTATCTTTCCACGTATAGAACCAAAACTCACGATATGAATTTAGATTGTAGAAGTTGCATCACGATTCCCAGCTCTGAAATCCCTCACGGCTTCAGGCAACCAACTCTCTACGATATCTCGACCACTATCTGGGAACATCACCAAGCTCGTCCTGGAGAATAATGATTTCACTTCTTTATCAGAAATCCGCAATCTGGCGAAATACTCGACCCTGGAACATCTATCACTACGAGGAAACAACGTCAGTACCATCAATTCTGATAACGATACCATTGCAGACTTCCACTTCTCAAAATCCCTGCACTCACTCGACCTATCTCGCAACAACATTCCCTCGTGGTCCTTCCTCAACAACCTCTCAATCATGTTTCCAGCTGTCGCAACCCTCCGCATATCTGGAAACCCTCTTTACGACCTTTCTCCGCTTCCGCCCGCCGTCGCAGCAGCAACCTCTACCATGAGTGCCTCCAAACCAATGACGGTCGACGAAGGCTTCATGCTCACTCTATCCCGCTTCCCACCTTCCCTCTGCGTTCTAAACTTTAGCGTTATCTCGCCGCAAGACCGCTCGAATGCAGAGATGTATTACCTTTCACTGATCGGAAAGGAATTATCCGCTACGACCGCCGCAGAAGAAGAACCCGTCCTCGCCGCTCACCCACGCTACGCCGAGCTGTGCGATCTATACGGCGAGCCAACAATCACAAGGGCCGTCATTGGTGATGCCTCAGGGGGAAGAGTGATTCATCCGAGATCCGTTGCGGCGGGATTAGTAAAAATGGTATTCCGTTTACATAAAAAGCCAGGCAAATCAGACCCGGAGACTCAAGTGAAAGAGATCCCCTCATCTCTTGATTCATACCAAGTGAAGGCGCTAGTATCCCGGCTTTTTGGGCTTGAGCCATACGGGTTCAAGCTTATCTGGGAAACGGACGAATTTGACCCTGTGGAGAAAACGACAGTAGACGATGGTGTGGCGGACTGGAATGAGGATAGTGATGGCGAGATGCATGTATCTGATAAGGCGTCTGCTTCGGCTGATACGAGTCGGTTCATGCGAAGAGAGGTGGAGTTGTCGGAATCAACAAGGGATATTGGCTACCTGTTCCAAGGCGAAACGGGAGAGGTTAGAATTAGAGTAGAAGTGCCACCTTCATAGTAGATCAATTATTTTTGCACACTGGCATCTCTCGTCGGAGAGAACTACATTGGTATAGAATACGAGACTTAGATTTCAGAAAATCTTATATTTTCTATTCAAGTAGGTAACCGTTAAGCATAGATGCGTGGGCTATCTAACTGGATTGTTAGATGCCACGGGGTATGAAGCTCCCCGACAAGCGAGGGAGATATGCACGAAAAATACAAACCTTCGTCTGGGAAAGAAGCAAAGGTGAGAAAACGCCGAAGGACTTTGCTCGCTCATCGCCCATTTCCTCAACCCCCGGTATAGAAGCAACTGCAAAAATCACATCATCCAAAATGAAAACTGAAAACGCCTGGGCCATGATGCTTTTTGAATCTCGAGTAGGTTTCGAGCGAGGACGCAAAGGAGAAAAAGTACAAGAAAGGGCTCTAGGTGGCTATAGAGCTGTGGATGGGTTCCATCAAAAGAGGAGGAAGGGGATTAGAAGAGACCACCGCATCAAATTGATCATTCGCGAGCAGCCCACCAAGAACGAACTGCCATGCAGCAGATTCGCTTGTAGATCTGCGTGGTGCCCTTGCCTTCGGCTTCCTCCTCAATGAACTTTTGGGCAACGAAGAGCCGGGTACCTGCCTCCTTCTCGGTTGTGTAGCCAACCTTGGGCAGACTATTAGGGAAATCTGCCCATCGTTGGCCCAGGTGTCGTGCGATGGCGATGGAATAGATAATATCTCGGTTTTCATATGTGTCCAGCAGTTGGCGACAACGTCCGAGTGTGTCATCGATTTGCTTGGCCGAGCTTGCTTCGTTATCGTGAAGCGTGAGAAATTCGCCGAGCTCGCCCCAGAAATCCAATTGGCGTTGCAAGAACTGGTCTGGGGGGTTCGGCGGGGTGGCAGCATCCATTCCCATCGCCCTTGACAAGGAGTTTTGCTCGAGGTGGCTCCAACTCAAGAGGGCTTCCATTGCGTTTAGACGAGCTGTCGTGGCGACCAAGTTCCAGTCCTGACCGTATTGGCCATTCTCTGAATTCGGCACCTGACGACATAGCACCATGCTCCTCCAGATGATTGAAGCTTCGAAGCTCTCGAGACGAGCCACAATATTTCCGTCGCCGAGATTCCAGTCGTTAAATGCGTTTATCAAGGCCGAATAATCAGCCATGAGCTGTGCATCGGCCATGAGAACAGGAAGCGCCTTTTCTGAGTACCATCGGACCTCTAGGAGCTTGTCGATCGCAGGGGCGTATGTTGCGAGGAAGACGGCTTGGATTTCCTCAAGTCGACCGGGAGGAAGCGACCCAATAGGATGAGGAGGTGGAGGTGCAATACCTCTTAAGGACATCAAGTCATTGAGGCTGAGGTTTTTGGCTGTTTGTATAACTCATGTTAGCTGCGTCCCAACCAATACAGAGCGATAAACTTTGAAAGTGGAGGGGAGAAAAATCGCATCGACAGTTCAAGCGCACCTTTGTACGTAGGCTCCTGGACCTGGTGGCCATGGTCATTCGAGTTTTGCATATTTATTTGGGGTGGTGGGTTGTTTGGTGGAAGAGAGGACTCAAGGGAAGCTCCGTGGTCAGGTTGATCAGTTGAAGTGCTGGGTGATTCAGAGTGAAGAGAAGGAGCAAATGGTTGTGAGGACGCTGGCATATAACCAGGGGGCGCTGAAGGATACGATGGTGTCGAAGGGGCAGGAGGGCCTTGAGGATTGACGACCAGTGACGGTGGAGGATTCGGAGCTGGCTGGATGGCCGAGGGAGTGGATGCTTGAGGCCTGAAGACCGGGTCGTAGCCTAAACACTCGCGCTTGCTTTTCACGCAATTTCTGCACACTGGATGACCTTCGTCGCACTGTGAAAAATTAGTTGATGACCTAGAAGTATACCGGCGCAAAAGGGGGGGCGAGTCGTGGGTTGAGCGGGAGATAAAATAGACGATGGCGGGGTCTGCGGGCACAAGCGAGACTTCCCCCCCGCGAACTGCGCGCAGCGTGCAAAAACTCAACGCATCACATACCTTAATTCTTCGTTTGCGACAGGTCAAACATCCAGTTTTCGTCCGTCGCTTGACCTCCTTCTTGTGCCTCCCACCCGACAGAATTTTATTCGGATCCCCAGGCATGGGATATCCCATCTGGTTCGAGTTCATGCCCGGCTGCGACACATTGGACGGATAGCCAGTCATATACTGTCCCATAGATGACATCGGAGGCATGTTGGAGGGCATTGGAGAACCAATTGGTGCCTGCGGTACTTGCCCATGTTGTCCCTGGCCATTATTCCCGGGGTTTGCGTTCACAGAAGAAAATCCCCCTTGGTTATGATACATATCAGAACTCTGCTGCTGTTGATAATTCTGTGGCGGTTGGGATTGAAATTGGTGCTGAGCCTGAGCCTGAGATTGCTGATGTCCATCATATTGCTGTTGTGGTCCAGGGCTTTGTGTGTACTGGTATGTACCATTGGATTGCGTTTGGTAATGGTTCGAGCCATTTGCAGAGCCCGACTGCTGGCCCATGTGGTCGTGATGCGTTGAGTGCTCAACAGTATGGTCGTGATCGTGATCGTCAAAATGGCTGTCATCAAATGTATGATGCTCGTCCATGGTCGGGATATCGGTACCAATAGCGGGCAAAGAAGAGTCTAGCGAGGGGAGTGTTGTGTCGATAGCTGGCAGCGATAGGTCTGGGGCCGCAGAAGATCCCACAGAGGGAAGGGCCGAATCGAAAGAAGGTAATCCAGTATCATCAAAGGAATCGGTGCCTTCCAGGCCCGTCGTGTCCATTGGTGGGAGGGACGATTCAATTGAAGGAGTGACATTCGGGACGTCCATAGCCTGACCAGCCTCTTCTTTAACGTTGCTGAGATCCGTCTGCTGGTCTGCGGTTGTATCCAACTGTGCGACTTCCACCTGGGGCTCATTCACCGGGGCTGAATGTTGATCTGGATTTGGCGGGGCCGTTGTCTCCCCTTCAAACGGATTTTCAGCATGTGCGGCAGGTTGGCTGGTATCTGTAGTTGGCGCATTTGGTTCGGTCGGCGGATTCGCTGGATCTCCAGGATTGGTATCTGTCGGTTCTGCCATATTCGGCTGATTTATCTCCGCAGCGATGTAGCGGGTTCTCTCGTTGCGTTGCGCGCAAAATTGTAGGATGAAAGCCCCGTTCAAGACAGGCCAAGTTTCGAGGTCAAAGGTCGAGTGTTTTGTTGCTGAGCAAAGGCAGCACACCAATTCGATCGGGATGGGACGTAAGAATCATTTATCTGCTGTAGTCTTGTAAGAGTACTGTTAGCAAAACTCTTGACTAGAATCTCTCGCGGCGGGCAGGGCAAGTCATTGTCAGAGGCAGAGGGTAGAATATGAAGAAGCACGCGATCGTATCGGAAATAGGCAGATTAATGGCCAGGGGACTCCTTGGGGTCTCGCAGGAATCAATGCTTCGCAGTCCAGCGTCTATCGGTGGGTTGCGATGTGCCAGAATCCTCAATCTACTGACACCGCTAAAACTGCACCAAAAGCTCCCAGGTTTGCAATCTTTCAGTAGTGAGAATCTGGCAATAACAAACAAGTGCCCTGGTAGACCCATTTTCTCCCTTCCCTGCGATCATGTCGGCCGACCGAGTTTTGCCAGTCGCATTCTTCCTGCGAAGACCCGACGACGTCTCCCCGCCCGCGCTTTCCCCCGACCGAAGACCCAACCTTTCAGAGGCAGCGAAGGGGGCAAAAAGGACCAGCGATAGGATGGACTCGATTGCGAAACTGCCGAAGAGGGGAATCCGAGACACCTGCGCGCGGGTGGGAAAGAATGCGCTCCGAGGGACAGGATGGGGTTTGGCTAGGCTGGAGGAAAGCGCGATTGCTCTTAAATGGAACACACTCACCGTATTGAATGCCCTCTGGGGGAGGTAGAAGTGATATAGGGAAAATAGAGGGGCTGTTGCTGGGAAACTCGGCAGTCCGGGGCTCGGTGGCAGGTTGGAAGAGATGCGCGAAGTTGGAGCGAACTAAAGGAGCTTTCCTTTCCGGCGATCCAAAGACTCCGCTTCGATGCCGAAAAAAAAAATTGGAGTGGCAAGTCTATAACTCCAGGTACGAAAGCTACTATATAAATAATACATATAATTTGTAAAATAATCAGATTAAATATCCAAAGGAGATAAGTATACATCGAATTTTGGGCGGAGGATTCTCTCATATTTAAAATCACTGTCATATGGTCTACTAATACTACCCAAACTAAGGTGGTTGGACAAGACCCCACTAGACAACCAGTTGATTGATCTGAACACCTCAGGTTGAATTCACCTTCTTTTTGTGCAGGGGCTGGACGAAAATACTGGTCCATGAGCTTTCATCTGAAAGGCTAGATCATTCGGCGATGGCCGATGTAACGACCCTCGAGTTGAGAGTCTCATTCCGATCCTAGTTGGCAACAAGAATTCTGCGAGTCAACGTCTCGATCGATTATGTGATGGAGACTGCTCTTTTGATGATAAATGTTCGCTTTCGACGGCACATTCGCTATTGGTAGCAGTAATAAGCCATCTCAGTTCTGCAAGCCGGCAGGCTCTTCCTAAGAATGTGGGGTTGGGAGACAAGTGGAATCAAGCGCGTCAATATTTCCGATAGTATCATGGGACAGATATCATTTTCTCATGACCTTGGGCTTGCGTTTCTTGAAAGCAAACCCAGTCGCCTCTTCACCTGGTGGCTTTTCGTCCTTCGGTGCCTCAGAACCGACCTCGGGCGTTTCAGCCTTCACGTCTGATGGCTTGTCAGCCTCTGGAGCTGCCGATTCTGACACCCCATCCTCTTTTGCGAGGGCAGCAGGTTTCAACTTTTTCCCTTCGGGCTCAGTATCGGCAGATGTGTTTTGAGGCCTTTTAAATTCCTTGTTAGAGGATAACAAGGCATCTAGATCGTCGTCTTCTTCATCTTGTTCTCCAGGGTATGTCCTCAATTTTGAACCCCAGCCGAGGCTCGTAGTTTTCCCAGGAGCGTGCTCGTCGACCTCTTCCTCTTCCCCATCGCCCTCGTGTTTGCGTTTGCGAACTCCAATGGACTTGCTAGCTCCCTCGAGGCCTTCAGCGGCGATATTTGTTTCTGAGAGTGTCTGCCACTCGCCAACTAAAGACATCTCCGCACGGTACTCCTGGGGGATTGCAACACCCATTTCTGCCAATTGTGACATCTGTTTCTTTCGATCCTCTAAGCTGGCCGATCTGTCGCTAGGCTTTGGTGCCGGCCCTGCTGTGTGTGTCGGGGAGGCATCCTTAGCCGTCGAGGATCCGCCCCCGACAGCCTGTCGTAATCTTTCAACTTCGCTCTTCGCCCGTTGGCTTTCTCTTTGTTGAATTTCGTTATTCTTGTGGATATCCCGTAAAAACCGCTTTAGGCTGCCTTGGTGTTTCGGGCTAGCTTCATGTTGGGTCTTTTCGAAGGGCGTGTCGCGAATAAAGATCTTGCACTGCTTGCACCAGTGGCGGGGCTATGGGGAGGAAGACTTGTCAGTCATTTACATAATTAGAGACAAGTATGGAGTGGTACTCACCGCTGACTTCCAGTATTCGGCCATGGCAGACTTTCTGTGGGTGATTGTTGTGGTTGGCGCAAAGTAGACCACCGAGCCCGACTTTGGGGAGATGTCCGATAAGATCAGAAATCGATCTAGCCCCGATGCGGCAATTACCTTGCCATTCGTCGAATGCCAGAACAATGATGAAATTCAACGTATTCATTTCTTTCTGGTGTTTTCGTTTTCTCAATATTATTGGAATTTCAAATTCAGGTACGTTATATTACGATACTAGCTTTATTTAGTTTATTCCACTTCTCTCCGACCGTGACTCCGCCTTTAGCATATCCCGTCGCACTGGTAGCTCACTGGAGACTCGGATGATCTATAATCGTCATTTCAATTTATCTTGCTCTGGAACCGGGCTCTTGAGCTTCCCTGTCTCAATACCAAGGCGAACATTTGCAATCGCCCACTCTTCCATTGCGGCCATGGTCTGTGATATCATTAGCATCTAAGGTTCTACATGAGAGGTCTAGCTCAACTCACCTCGACGGTATAAGTACCCATATGAGGCACGAGCATAACATTTGGGTTGCGGATGAGGCCAGGATGGACCTTAGGCTCTTCCTCGAATACATCGAGGCCGGCAGAAAGAACCTTGCCACTATCCAGGGCTTCCACAAGGGCCGCCTCATCCATGACAGCGCCGCGAGCAGAGTTCACGACAACAACCCCATCCTTCATCTTAGCAAACTCGGCTTTGCCAATGATATGATGGGTGTTTTTCTTAAAACGGTCAGTAGACATATTTCGAAGCGCAAATCAAGGGCCTTGAATTACTCACATTCAAAGGAAGGTTCAGGCTTAGCACGTCGCTGGTCGACAGCAACTCATCAAAAGTCACATATTGAGCTCCGCCTGAGAGTTCATCGTTCAATGGGCGGCGATTGTGATAAACCACCTTCATTCCAAATGCTTCGGCCTTCTTCTTCAAATTGCGTCCGATGCCTCCCATACCCAAAATACCCAATACCTTGCCTTCAGGATCATGGCCAAGGGCTGGGGCAGGCTTCCCAATCCATTTACCCTCACGTAAAGCCTGCATACCAATGTTGAAATTTCGTAGGGCTCCAATGATGAGGAACATTGTCGTGTCGGCGGTGGCATCATCTACCGCGGTGGGGACATTCGAGACATGAATAGGAGGACTGCGAGCGCTGCATGCATGGACATCGACTGAGTCGTAGCCAGCTCCTAAATAAGGCAACATTTAGACAGGAACGACACCAAATGTTTCGGTTAAAGTCAGTCATAAAAACTTACCACAATGCGCAAGATACTCTAGGGATTTTGGCAGCACGTTCACAAGCTCTTCGTCGATAGGGCCAGTCACCTTGGCTGAGGCGAAAGTACGATAGGCCGCCACAACTCCATCAAGCTTTCCGTCGCGACATTCTTGGAGGAACTCTGTGCGGTTCTTCGCGGTTGGCTGAACTAGCTCACCCAATTCACTCAGTGCTTCCCATGACTTTTGCGCGCTATTGTGGCTATCGTTAGCTCCGGCCCATTTAGAAATCTCCTTCTATACCTAGGTACGCACTGGGCAATCTCTCCTAGGAGAAGAATCTTGGGCTTGGTGTCATTAGATCCCATATTGACTAGGCGGTACTGGAATGGCCTTTGTTCAAGAAACTCATGGATGTTAGCTTCCGAGTCAAGTTCTGCCAGGTACCAATGTTGGATGTTCGTTTCAAGAAGTTCCCTCAGGGATGGCCCTTTCAGCACCAGATACTAGGTCAATTGCTTATATGTGCCTGGGCAAGAACAAGCCAATGTTTTCCGAATCCTCTTGGGCAGGATAAAATTCAAATTAAATAGGCATATTTCTGGGTCGCGCACGACTCACCGGCGAAACTGAGATCGGGAGTGTCCGACTATAGTGGAAAAGAAAGTCTTCAGGTGCAGTCGTCTATTGAGTATAATAGTATATCTCGGCTGGTACACGGCGAACTTCAAGTTGCTAAGAGAGAGATTGCGAAGGGGAATCAAGATAACTCCAACCATAAGAGTCATTAGTAAAAGATACGAGACATCGGCCGAGAAGAAATGCCCCACGCAGAGTTTATGTTATCGGAGAGTTCCCCGCATGGTAGTAGATTCCACCTCGGAGCGATGCGCGCGAATGAGATGCCCTGATTGAAGGCACTAGGACTAATGTGGCGAAAATAAGACGGCCCTTAAACAAAAATTTCTCGAACAGGTAGGCAAGGCAACGAGTTGAATTCAATTATATATGGGCTTGACTAACTCGGTACTGCGAGATATTGCGACCCGAAATGGGAGGGTGCTGGCAGTTAGCAGAATAGAAACTCGACGTATTTCTAGGAACACGAATGAAGGTTCTAACTTCTTAATAGTATACTGCTATAATCAAAAGGGAAGGTTGTTCCGGACTATATCAGTTCGTCGAATACTGCAGAGCACGTCCAGTTCCGATCATAATGTACAAGCCAAATAGAACTCAGCTATCAATCGCATTCATACTTCAACGAGAACGCGAGTCCAATCAAATTTCCTCCAGCGTTTTCTAAATCCATCTATTCTTCGATCACTGCCCCGCTGCCAGCGGCCTTGCCGCTTGATAACATCCGGGGCAACGTCAAGCATACCTCCAATTACTTCCCGAGCAAACAAATCTCCACGAGGCCAACGGTTCTCATCTTCGACGATATGACCCAGACCACCATCAAGCTCGAACCAGACATGGAAGTAAGGCATTTCCTTCACCAGGGTTCGACGGAATGCAGATCTTCCTAGGCCTTGCTTGGATTTTGCCAGAGTATCAATAAGCTTGCGGTGCTGGGACCATTCAGACTCAGCGCTTAAGATAGCCTCTTTGAAGAATGCCGGTGATGTCTCGCCGAGGCTGTATGGCAGAGGAACCACCTCCATTGATGCGTGACGCTTTCGCTGAGGCTGAGCAGCGTTCTCGTAAAAGATAACATCTCGGCCTTGGTCATGGTACATGCGTGTCAAACTCTTCATGAAATTACGGATCTCCTCCCATTCGTCGTCGTCGCATTCCATCAAGTTCGTCCGGTGCTGAATCGGGACAATTGTGGCACCGCCTTCACTAATTTCAGGCTCCGTTGGAAGCGTGAGGAAAACTCTAGTCGCTAGGGAAACGACGGGTGCAACAGGTGGCGTGTTGGTGTCTTCGTGGTGGCAGAGTGGGCAATTATCCAGGATCCGGTTCATCTTGCGGAAGTCGTTGATGGTTGTGTTCTTGAGATCAATCTCAGATTTGTGCACTCTCTTTGCCAGCTTGGAAGCATTGTCGTCCATATACTCAAGATCGTTCTAAATAGAGGTTAGAGAGATGTAAAGGGGCATGGGATTAGTCGTGCCGCAACTTACCACAAACTTGGAATCGCGCGAAATGCGATCCGCCAAACGCGAACCCTCTCCACCAAATTGACCTCGGGTCTTGCGTTCCTCGCGAACCATATCTTCAATGGTCATGTCGTCGTTTGCTTCCACTTGCCCTCTCTCACGACCGCGTTTCGTATCGACTACTTTGACTTCATTTCTGGTACCAGCCAGCATGCGGTTTTCCTTGACACCAAGAACCACCACGTCCGATTCTTTTCGATTGGCCATAGCAGCTGCGGTCGTATTGTATTGTTCTTCGAGTTCAGCCGCTTCCGGAGCCTTCTTCAACTTCGCTTTCATCATTTGGGCTTTCAGGCGATTTAATGCCGTGAGATCCAATGGCCGTGTGACGCTGGACGGAAGCTCGGTCTCCATTTTTTGGCCCTGTGTCAATGTCTCGGGTTCTTCCACTGAGCCATGCGCATGTCTTGCTGAGCCACTGTGGGACTGCTTCTCGAGCTTTCGTTCTTGGAATAATTCCCCGCTTGGTTTCTCTTTGCCCACATAGGATTCACCATACATCTTACGGCGATCCACCTCGGTTTCTTCTTCTCTAGCATCATCAAATGAGCGCAGATCCCCGAAACGTTCCACTGCAACTTCATCCACGGTCCTGCCGCTGGACTCAGCTTCTCTGTAGACACCCTTGAGTTTGGTCATCCTCCATTGGGAGCCTGAGTCCCCGAATGTGTAGTCGACCTCATGCTGCGCAGGTTCCTCATTGATATCCTCGAGCGCTTTTCCTTCCTTGAGGTCGCGGAGGTGATTATTGAGCTCCTTGTCGTGAATCTTCAGCTCATAGTCCGCCGAGAGCATTTTCGGCTTCGTAGGTTCTTCTGATCGTTTGGGGTCCGGTCGGTGAACATAATCGATGTCAAGAGCTGAAGGTGCTTCCATCCAAGAGTCTCGCTTCAGCTGGTTAGGCTCGTTCTCAGTGGCGGTGGTAGGCGTAGCAGGTTCTTCGTCATCCCTGCTGGAGTCCTTGTGTCGACGCTTATGATCGCGATCATGAGAATCTCCATGGTCAGTCGAGTGACGTGAGCGCTTGCTTCGGTGGCTATCATCGTCTTGACGTCGAGATTCACGGTCGCGGGATCGAGATGAGTGTCGTCGATGATGGCTGGAACGGTGGTGGTGTCTCGAGCGCTCTTTGCTGCGGTCGCGGTCACGGTCGCGATGATCTCGGTGACGTCGCTCCTTGTCACTCTTTTCTCGGCGCTTGTCTTGATCCTGGGCCAGAGACTTCTCAAAATCTTCTAGCGTCATTGTGTTTGCTGGTGCTGGGGAGGAGGTTAGCTAGAGGTTAGCAGAAAAAAGAGAGCTCAAGTCGAATGACGTTTGGCCGCGCCGGGCGGTCCCAGCGCAGATCTTCGGGTTCCCCGCGACCAAAGAATTTCACAAAAAAAAGTTCACCCACTTCACTTCACTTCATTTCACCCTGTGCAAGTCTACGAACCTGACTTTGCCACGACGAATTTCCCTATCGTCTCAACCTTCATTTCGTTCACCTCGAAATAAATACCGCTACAGCATGGCGTCTCCAGCAGTCTCTGTCGTCTGCATAGGCATGGCAGGTAAGGCAATGAAGATACTCCCCATGCTACCTCAGATAGTGAAATCGGATTATTGACCTATCCTTATTCGTTTAGGCTCGGGAAAGACAACATTCATGCAGAGAATCAACTCCCATTTACATTCCAAAAACACGGTTCCATACGTCGTAAACCTTGACCCCGCCGTGCATTCAGTTCCCTTCGAGAGCAACATCGATATCCGAGACTCGATCAACTACAAGGAGGTCATGAAGCAGTACAATCTTGGTCCGAATGGTGGTATCTTGACTTCTTTGAATCTCTTCGCCACCAAGGTTGACCAGATCATTGCGCTGCTCGAAAAGCGCACCGCACCCAACCCCGAAAACCCCACCGCAAAGCCAATCGAACATATCTTGATCGATACACCGGGTCAAATCGAAGTATTTGTGTGGAGTGCGTCCGGAAGCATTCTACTCGAGACACTCGCTTCGTCTTTCCCAACCGTCATCGCATACATCATCGATACCCCGCGGGCCAGTTCGACAAGCACTTTCATGAGCAACATGCTATATGCGTGCAGTATCCTTTATAAGACCAAACTACCAATGATTCTGGTATTTAACAAGACCGATGTGAAGGACGCTGAGTTTGCTAAGGAGTGGATGACCGACTTCGACAAATTCCAAGAGGCTCTGCGAAAGGAAGAGGAAGCCGGCGCCTTCGGAACGGAAGGTGGTGTCGGTGGGTTTGGAGCTGGTAGCGGATACATGGGCTCGCTCTTGAACAGTATGAGCTTGATGCTAGAGGAGTTTTATCGACACCTCAGTGTTGTCGGTGTTAGCTCTATGACCGGCGACGGTGTCGACGAGTTCTTCGAGGCTGTGGAAACAAAGCGCCAAGAGTTCGAGCGTGACTATAAGCCCGAGCTTGAGCGCAAGAAGCAGGAGCGGGAAGAAAGCAAGGCCAATCAACGAGACATCGAGTTGGGCAAACTTATGAAAGACATGAATGTCAATAGCTCGGGCCGTAGAGAACGCAAGGGCCCTGAGACTGGTCCGGAAACTGTCAGCGAGGCTGAGGATGAAGAAGAGGATGAGCTTATCAAGCGGGGTCTTGCCTATGGCGAAGACGATAGCGATGATGATTACGCTGAGGCTGCTGCTGGGGACGATGATGGTCTCTCCCAGCGCTACCAGGATGCTCTCTCAAACACTCAGAGTGCCCCCTCGGATCAAGATAACAGCTTCACGAGATATCTGCGGGCTAGCAGTATGAACCAGCAGTGATTGCTTTTTTTTTCCGAAGAGGAGTTACAACATTGGCTTTGGAGTTGGCGGCTGTCATTTATGAAATCATTATACTTCCTTTTTCTCTATCTATGCATCTCATGTAGAAATCACTACGTGATCCATGGTTCTCTCATATTAATAAGAACTTGAATGGCAAGACTTCTATGCGAATATTCTTATCCCCCCCCCCGATCATTCCGAGTCCGAATACGTCTTGGGACTCTATCACAATCTCTAAAACATCTCTTCATTATGTGAAATTAATATATATTGTAGCTGATATATCAAGTGTCCAAAGCTACTATGGGATTACTAGGTTTGCATACGAACAGTTCATATATAACTAGGCTGGTTTATACATAGATTTGTTGCAACTCGGGACTGCTAGCGAGGCAAACCCGATGACGTCACTTCAATTTTGGGCAAGTCACGGCAATTTGTCGCCAGGCAGCAGACTCGGAGCTTCCCTGGCACCGATATCAACACCCCCAAAGCCTGACCAGTTGTGAAAGTCTCAACTTCCGATCAAAAATCATGGATGTAAGTTGTCACCGGCTCTACCCCCAAACATTCTACGAGCCAAAGCATCGTTAGCCTTGATGTATTTGCTAAGATGACATCTACAGGTCTTTCATGCCTACACATATTCAACGGCTGGATGGCTTTCATTGCAAGGCCTGACTTTGCTAGTGGGCCCACGTATGATTGTAGCTTTACTGCTCGACGAGGCCAGATCTGAATCCTGTACAATCAACTCAAAAAATCCTCCCAACGTGAATCGCCTTGCTAATTCTCTGAAAGTGATCGAGGTTTACTTTGCCCGCTGCCTTGGAATGAGTCTTTTGACTATCGCAGTATTAACGGTGATGCTAACGGGCTCGATTCCGCTCAATGCCACCATTGCCGAGCCTGTGTCAACCGACGAGTCGGATCCCAAGGCCCCGTATGCTCTACCAACTCTGATGGTCACTTCGGTGTTTCATGCTGCGTCTGCATTTTATGTGTACACATGGTACGTCACCGGGGGCCAGGGAGCTTTTGCTTTGGCGGTTCTGGGGAATTCCATTCTTGCGTCCATCGGCCTGTGGTGTTTGCTCTTCGCTACTAGTAATGGAAGGATTAGTCGGAGAACCGGGGCAGACAAGAGAACTACTGGCTTTCCGTTTGCGAATTCCGAGGCAGCCAAGAAACATGCAGGCAAGAAAGGCCTCTGAATGGGCTTTCCTATCACTAGCAATCTAGGTTCGACATTTGGAAGATACCAGGAAGGCAAAACTGTATGAGGTGAATGTGGATGTCAGTTATTTCTCTCATAAAGAAGTATCCAAATCAAATAAATCCGATCTCAAGGCTGTTGGAGATCAGTCTCTAAAAGACATCTTCAAGCATCCAGTCAGCGTGGAGTGCTAGTTATCTCCGTACTGTCTGCTCACTGATGCCATCAGGCGGCCAAACCTTCCGTTTAAATCCGAAATATTATTGGCCTGGCCTTCAAAATGTACGCCAAGTAGTCAATTATGCATCTCTTTCCCAATTAAAGGCGAGGTTGGGCTGGGAGGTTCAAATGATAACTATATTCCGCAACTCGCTCCTTGCTCGGGTACAAGTCCCCGCCGCTTCAACCGCCTCCCTTTCTCCGCATCGCCAAAAGCAGCGTCCAACTCCCCCACACGCGCACGAACGGAGTACATACACACCCATGGATTCTGATTTGCAGCAGACGCCCTCGTCTCGGGCCTTAGAGTCGATCGAAATTATCGATGAGACACCAAATTTAGCTGGACAGCTAGGCTCTTTCCCTCAAAACGCGCAACCCTTTGCCTCATTCCGCAACATCGATAATGTCGCGGCGCGGTCTCATCTGCACAACTCCACTCGACCGCAAGAAACGATAACCTTAGAGAACAATGTACACGGTAGCTCGAGCGATGAAATTTCACTCCTGCCATCGGCGAACCCGTCCTTTCCGCAATCCGGCCATGAAGGACTGGTACAAGACCCAATGGCCGCAGGCTTCGCAGGACAATTGCAGGGCATGAGACTGGTACCGAATCCACCTAACTTGGAATATTGGAGACAGCGATTATTTCATGTGGATGAAATGATCACGCTGAGCGAGGATGAGTATGTTGGCCATTCCTAATATCCAGCATCTTCAATTCCCTTCCTTGATCTGGGAAATAAACGACTCGCCAATAGTCTGGCTAATTAATTGGATTGATAGATTCCAAACCTACTTTCCACACGTCGACAATGTTTACTCTCATCGGTCAACACAAAGATACAAACGCAGGCCATTCGTATCTCATTATTGGGACTGTCGCCTCAAAGGTCGCCCTCCAGGAACACCAAAGTCCGACGACCCAAACAAAAAGAAACGTAAACGCACGGCTAGAGAAAGAGATCTATGTGATGTCAAGATAAAAATTACAGAATACTTGCCAGGTGCCGCCACCGTTGATAGAGCAGGCGGATTCGAATCTTTGCCCGCCGACCTATTGCCAGGAAGGCATACTTTATTCCCGGTCCAAGGTGATCAGCCTTTTGGCGTACTTGCACCAAGCCCCAGCCTTGCACCAAGCCCCCCCTGGAACGGGTAACAGAAGATATTATACCATACAGCGAGTGAATGGTAATGGTGCAAATGGGAAGAATGATGGCGTGAGCGGGGGTCATCGGCACTCAATCGAAGAGAGCGATCGTGTCAAGAAGAATAGTGTGCAGCGATATCTCCTGAAAGATAAAGGGAAGAAAAAAAGCTCGGTACGTTTGTCATTTAGTACAGTGTACGGGGTGCGCTGCGTTGGATACAGCAAGTTGGGGGCTTGGCACCCCGCAAATCTTGTCTACGTCACAGTCGACATTTGGTGCTTTCTTATGCCTCTTCTCTCCATGCACACCACTGAGTCCTAGGACAAATTTGGAATGAATCTCGAGTAAAGTTTAACTCCCATCTATCACAGTTCCGAGTCATGTCTGCACAGCAGAAATCATACCACACGAAAGCGACAGGTGCAGCGGCTGTGACAGCACTGAACCGTTCCGCCGAGACGAATCTCAAATTATATGGGAGCTGCTTTTGGTAAGCAGGCCCCAATAAGAATCGATATCTAGAATTTTCCTGGACGAGAGCCATTGCTAACTGCTTCGTTCTCCATTTCAAGCCCCTTTGTCCAGCGAGTATGGATTTCTTTGGAATTAAAAGGTATTCCATACCAGTATATTGAGATCGACCCATATGAAAAACCCCAGTCTCTGTTAGAAATCAACCCACGAGGGCTTGTTCCTGCATTGCAACATGATGACTGGGGCTGTTATGAAAGCAGTGTGATTATGGAATATGTAAAGAGCCTGCAACCAGTATAAACTGTGTCTCACTTCTCGTTGTGCTAATTGATTCACTATAGCTCGAAGATCTGAAGCTCGAGACGGATCTTTTCCCCCCAGATCCGAAATCGCGTGCTCACTGCCGTTTATGGGCAGATCACGTTAGCAATCAGCCTTCTCGATGAACACGCAATTGACCGCTAATCGATCACCAGATCAACCGAAACATTGTACCGAACTTCTATCGGGTGCTCCAGGAGCAGGATCCACAGAAACAAGTTGAACATGCCCAAGAACTTCAGGATGCTTTCAATCTGCTCATGACAGCAGCGCATCCAAGTGGCCCGTATTTCATGGGGACTCAAATCTCCTTTGTGGATATCCAAGCCGCGCCATGGGTTATTCGGCTGACTCGGGTGCTGAAGCCTTATCGGGGTTGGCCAGATCCCGATGAAGGGACCAGGTGGGCTTCCTGGGTGACTGCCATTGAGACCAATGAGCACGTTCTTGCAACAACTAGCACAGATGAGCTATACTTGGATAGCTATCAACGCTATGCAGGTGAGTTCGCCTAAATGCCTCGCATAGACTGAGGATATGCTAACCCCTAGATCTTGCGGTTGCAGAGAACCGCCCAAACACGTCCCAAGTCGCAAATGCGATCAATTCTGGACGCGGTCTTCCGTAGACTCTTGCTGGGGCTGGAGAATGGTTTATATAGGCCGAGAGAAGAGACCGTAGTCTCAGTGCTGTCGCCATTGGCGCGGATACGGGAAAAAGGCAGCGCCCTTTGTACCTTAGCTTGCTCGTGCGCCTCTGTTGGCAAATCCAAACCCACCTCTTCCACTTCCATCTGGGCCTCGCGGGTTGCGTAATGGTTGCTGGGGTGTGTTCTGCTTCTCTGGGCTGCTCTGGTTGGTTGGTTGACGCTCGCGGCGTTGCTGCGATGGCCCATTTGTCTTAGCTGAAGTAGAAGGATCGAAAAGATGTCTCGACTTGGTCGAAGAAGCCGTAGAAGAATCCCTTTTCTCGCGGTATTCCCGCCCTCCACTTCCACTTCCACTTCCACCTCGGCCCTTGCCCTTGCCTCGGCCCTCGCCGGACTGGAACTGACGAGGTGGTGTTGTACTTCCCGGGGAAGAATTTCCCGATGTGTTTGCAGATGGGCTGCCGAATAGCCTCTCACGCACCTCTTCGTACTTTCGTTGCTTCTCTTCACGGTTCTTCAGTGCTATCGCTTGACGTTCCTCTAGTGTCGGCACGGCGCGCTTATTGCTGTCTTCATCGGAGTCCTCGTCGTCAAGACCAAGTTGCCCCAGCCCAGCTACTGCACCGTCGATGCCACCTGACGAAGCTGAATTTCGGGTCGCTATTTGGGGTCTCCGACTGAGTAATTTGACTGGAGGTTTGAAGTCTTGCTTCAGCGGTACTTCAGAGCGTGCTTCCACAAAGTGAAATGTCTGCGGGGTTTCTCTGCGAGTGGTCGTCGTGTCAGGGCCCAAAGGTATCGAATCCGAAAAATTAATCTGATAACATACGCTTCTGCCCACAGCTGCCTGTTAAACTCAGCTTGTTCCGCTCTGCGTTGGGCTTTTGTGACCTTGGCCGAAACTTTCTTCTCAGGCGGCGGGGTAGGCTGATCGGCTAGTTTCTGTAGAATGGGGTGGGATCAGTAAACAATCGGTGGAGGAGACTGCATATCGAAGCACAGAGATCGTGAAAATCTCATTATATGGCAGAGGATTCGAGATTTCCACACATACGTCAGCTTGGGACTCCCAATCTTCCTCCCATGCGTCGGGTTGAGGCTTGGAGCTCATCGCTCTGAGCAAAATTGTGTGAAAGAATTTGGGTATGAATCGAAAAGACCAGCTCAGCGAATCTTCAAAACATAAGCAAGGCCTAGTGATATGTCAAGGGTGTATATATTGACTGAAAGGTGAGGTGAAGAAGAAAATTCGCCGTGGAATGCCCAAAGAGGTGGACACCGCCTGGTCCGCCGTAATCTCCGCTCCGCCTCGCATTCATCCACTTCGATCTACGAAGCTTCCCTCGCCCAATACTGGTACTGTCTGCGACATGGCTCATGGTTAGTTTTGCTCTTGATAACTGCTCTCGGGTGGTATAGCTCGCGATTTAGCTTGGTTTCGAAAACCTTCGCTCCTCCCTTTGCTTTACACTGTCCCCACTTGTTTTGGTCTTGTCCTTATCGTCTCAGACCCCCGCTAACCCGAGGCACCAATTTAACTACACAGATTCTAAGGATCCCGACGGCGACTCCGAGATGGCCTCCTCCGTCGATTCTGTCCACACCGATTCCGATGGCGTTGGTAATGGTGCGCGCACCCCGACACGTCAAGTTCACTTATCGGCTACCACAGCTGCTGCCGCCGCGTCGGAACTCTCCCCTCCAGGCTCCCAACCCCAAACAATCCCAGGCCTATCCACAGTCGGTGCTTTGGGATCTCTAGGAGAATCTGAATCTGCACAAGTGAATGTAAAGGGCTTTGATGCGCCCATCGCATCCTGGAAAACCAAGCGTGCCCAGGAAGAGTATCAGCGGGCACTGGAGAATGTGATCGATGAAGACTTCAATTTGAGTATGTATATGCAATACTGGCATGACTCAATACTTTCAGCTGACGTCTATCTCGTAGATGAATTCGGAGACCCATTTGACGAGCGTGACTTGAAACAAAAGCTACTGTGACCATTTGACGGAACGGCATCCGCGATCTCTCATCTGCATCTGCGGCACAGTCTGATACGAATTATGAGAAACGAATCCATCTCGGCCATCTCTCACTGCCTGATTTGGCTATTACCGTACCAAAAAGTCAGCTAGCACCCACTGATCAACTGGGCTACTATATTCTCCTCGCTGGCTCATCGTTGCCTACAGTCCTTTGCATTTATGCAGAAGAAATATCCATGTGGCCTACTTTTATGATATGCTGAATAGAAATCTAGTCTTCGTGCAGCAGAATTTATCTAAAAACAAGCATGTATGGGGGTTTTCGGAATACCCAAATGTGACTGACTACATTAGTAAATTAAAGGGCGTTGGACTCGACCAACGAACTTGCACAAAATCCAAAAGTGCAACCGATGCTTGCATATTCTAACTCTTATCTCCTGAGTTCTACTAGTATAGGCCTTTTAGCTAGTTCTAGTAGACATGTTGACCGAGTGACCATCGTTCCTGTTCTATAGTACGTGAAGCTGCAAATGTGAAGCACCTGGGTGTCGGGAAAGCAATAGTCGATCGTCCCCTCATTGATTCGTACAGCCTTATGGTATTAAGTCGATTGATCTCTAGGGAAGCATTTCGTTATATAGTAGGACTACTAGTCGTCAGGCCTGCCATGTTGGTATTGTGCACACCGTATCCATCTATCCATCGATGTAAAGATGTACCACGAGCTGTTGTGGCCGTTGTGGCCCAGCAGAGACTAGCGGCCGTTGACGGGGCAACCACGCTTTGTTGAAAGACAAACCCGTTGAACACATCAGAAACATCGCCCCTCAGCATCTTTACGATCTTATGGAATAAATGCTATTTGTCCACCCACCGGCACAAGTTATAATTGTTACTTATATCTCCAATTCGTTTTACTCACCCCACCAATACGAGGGCTTCCCGACGCAAATTCCATCAACCGTTTGACACATTCCACACGCGTCCACTACCAACAATGGGCACTGATCCTGCCCACCCGCAGGCGCAAGCATGGTGGGTTCCATTTATCCTCTTTGACTCCTTTGTCTTGTTCAAATACCTCCTCCCCCGGAAGCAAAGGATCACAGGCGCCCCTAGATTAGGGGCTGCTCTTCACATTCCATGTTTACCACGACATCGATCCCGATCTGCTGAATCTTTAGCGCATTGTCACATAACACAACTAATCTCAAGTGCCTTGGCGCACATTTCTTTACAGCAAGCTCGCCGATTCAGCAGACGACAGCTCATTTAGATTTACTCCTATCAAAGCCATTCGAGCCCTGCCCCGTCTGTGGGAGCGCAAACAAGCGACACCCTTTAAAGGCGGACTGAAACCACGGAAACTTTGGAAACGCTTCCAAACATCCTTCTCCAACATGCAGACCCTCCAAGACACGACTGCTATTATCGAGAACGACGCACTACAAACCGCGATCAATACATCCAAGGATTCAAACTATGTCCGGGGAACGAAACGCATGCGTGTCGGTTCTGAAGAGATTCAGAATCGCAGCGAGGCTCCTCAGGCCGGTCGCTCATTCTTCGAGACCAAATGGGACTCAGAGGCTGCTCGGAAAAAACGTAAGTCTCAAGGATGTGTCGTACACGTCGCGTCGCATAAGTGCTAAATTTGCGTAACAGGGAAATTGCCCGACTCGCCCTTCGATATTTTTGATGAGAAGAAACATAATACACCTCTCTTTTCCGAAAGCCAATTTGATGGACCTGCAGAAAACACCAGCGCAAGCGAAATCAGCAAGAATATCGAAAATGTGAATATGGAATTTGCGACGACCGCATCCTCTCGGCCCTTTGGAATGCCGCAAGGCCCCCAAGAGACCCCTGTATATCAAGACGATGTCCATGCTGAAAACTCAGGATCGTCAGGTTCTGACTCGATAGCCGCAATCGACCAAGAGCCCAGTTTAGCAGTCGAGGAACAATCTGCGGATGGCGTTGAGGACCTACAGAGCGCAAGAACAGCCGAGGTGGCACCAACACCCACGAAGGCCGTGCGAGGTTTGACACAAGAGCAGAAGGGGAAGCTAGTACGCTCCGCATTGCGGAGCTCGCTGGATGGGGAAGACGCAGAGCTGCTCAATGACTTCTTATCAAAAGCCAAAGCTAAGCGTGCGGCTAAGGCAACCTTGATGAACGCCCAAGAATCAGATGTGGACGTCTCCGAGAAATCTTCGAGCTCCGAGGATTCACCAGATGCTGAATGCGTAACTCCACGTTCACGTCGGGCCTTGGAGGATTTGGACACGAACTCGCCATCACCAATCAAGGTCCAGGTTTCACCCTCGAAGAAGGCAGATATGATCCCCGAAGACGCGACTCGAGAAATCGTTGCTAAGAAGGATCTTCAAGACGATGAGCAAGCTCCCGGCAGTCCTGCATACCGTCGCAGCACTCGTGTCAAAGCTCCGCCAGTAGAGGCGCCCGCTGCGCCTAACACAATCTCTCTTCGACGCGCCAAGGGAACTGAATTTGTTTTCTTGCAACGAACTGAAACCCAAGAACTAGCTTTGGCCACAAAGCGCAACACTCGCAACAATAGAGGCAAATCAGTCATGCCCAAATACGTACTTGAGGCGATGTCGCAGCATAATGAGCTTTCGGGAGCGAATGAAAGTGATCGACCTGGACGGAAAGAGCGAAAGGGCACCAATCACCGTCAATCGCGCAAAAATGTATCTTGGAACGAGGAGCGCCTCGCAGAGTATGAAGATGAAGTACCAAGCTCGGAGTCCCAGGGAGAAGAGGAGGGTGCCATCAGCAGGAATGACGTCGGCGGTACTTCTCGTGCTCGATCTGGAGCAAAGAAAGCAGACAAAGCAATGTCCAGCAGCCGCAGCAGCCGAAGCCAAGTGCAGCAGGAGACTCGGGATGAGAGCACAAATGTCGAAAGCGGCCCGACCACTTCGACTTCTGCAGCACCGCGATCACGACGGGTGCGGCGCCTCGGTGAATCGACGATGACCTCCAGCACCCCTGTGAAGACAGGTAGTGGCCGGATCAGCAAGCCTCCCGTCGCTCCGACCCCCGCAGTGGCTGCTGGAGGGCCCTCAACTCCTACTAAGAGTCGCCGGAAGCTGGTTCCAAAGTCTCCCAGTTCGTCAATGATTCCTACTCCAGCTACGAAGAGCTCCGAGCAGTCTTTTGCTAGTGGAATTCCCACTCGAAGTATCGCCAGCGAGGGGCCAAAGCGAAAGAGCATGCTGGAAGCCAGTGCAGGGTGTACCCCTATGCCGAAGCGGGTGCGAGCTCGGACTTAATTACCTGCAGCCCTAATTTTGCTACGTGCTCTGGTTATGGAGCGGTGTTGGTTTTGGCGTTAGCCATGGCTAATCATACTTTGGCTGATTATTGTCAAAGCGTATAGTCCTGCTTATCCTTTGGTCAAGGGCGTTTTGCTTGTTTTTCAAAGATACCAATGGCGCATTTCTGTTTCTCTGTTTCTGTTTTTACAAAGCTAGTCCTTTTTTGACCCTTGGTCTTTCAATGCACGGGCTTTGAAGTATTTCCCTCCTGTGTAGCTAAGAAGATGCACTGCACCACGCCATCTGTGCGCTGACGTCTGTGTTGCTTTCCATGCAACTTTTAACTCCCGATTCTCTTTAGGCTCACTACCTAGGTAATATCTGACAATGAGCAGTACGAGACCGTATAGAACTTGCAATCTTTGAAAATTGATCACCACGCCTACCTAAATATGCACATATGTATGCTGCATCTGCGGGGTAAGTCGAATCCACCCCCGCGAGGCAGCCTGCTGGAATGAGACGCTACCCCGGAGATGTGTCAATGTCAAGACGCTAAGGATGCCCGGGCCTTCACTTTCCTCGTTGATCCAACTGGGGAAACTAGAGCGGAAAATTCGCCCTTGGAACCTTTCGACCATTTCCAAATTCGGACTCATGCTTCGATTTCCAGGAGGTCGTCATACACTTGTACATTATCTCGCCAAGCACGCCAACAAGCCATCAAAAAGCCACTGTATCGCCTCGGTTTGAGAAGACGCCTCCTTTCAAACACCTGGGAAGCCACCGGGATTTCAGCTCGGCTTAGGATTCGGATTAGAGGTACAAGCATGAACCGATATATCCTTGGCCTTTGGATCCCGAGGATGTATATTCCGGAATATCACAGCTTGAATATAGTTATCGGCAAACCCAAACCCAACTTCTTTGTAGACGCCCATGAGTTCACTTGAGAGACTCCGAGGGACTTTTCAGTACTTGAACCGCTAAACAATCGACTACTTCGCATCCCTCGTCCTGCCCCTCCCCCGCTAATCACCAACCCAACCTGGTGGCCCGTAGTGGGTACCTGGACCATAGACGGAACCTTGGAAATTTGTGAGAGTCCAGTACCAAGTACCTAGGTACAGAGTGCTGCTTATGCGAGATGCTAGGTATACGCAGGGTTAATGCACTCATACGTAGAACCATACCCACCATAGTAGGTTTCATGCACTGTAAGTCTTAGGCATTCGCCAATTAACATGTGAGAAGACTCTTACTTGATACCACCACCGCCATCTCACTCTAATCTGACATTGGGCTCGAGGCAGGCGTTACCTCATTCGGATATTCGGTGTTAAATAGGCACTACAAACGGAGTACGGAGTCCTATAGTCAATCTTGATATGGAGGGCTACGGAGTGCTAGTATATCCTTTCCACCATCACTGCCACTCCGGCAATACCCGGAATGTGACACACGCTATACTATATGTGGCAAGGTATTAACGCTAAGCCCTGAATCTCCGTGGCGCAGGGGGGGGCTCCGAGCCACATAGCGGGATGACATTTTGCTATCGGAGCACTCTGCTCCTGTCCGGCCAGTCAAATGGCCAGATGATGGTGGTAAATAGGTGGTGTAACCCTGGCCAGGGAAAGCATTGATTTTGGCTACGTTAAATGCTCCGCTCCGAGTCGTCCTGATGTATGGAGTACAGAATACTTCTGAATTCCGGGTTGATAAACCTTCTAATAGACTTTCCCTTGAGGGCTGAGGGCTAGCTTGGCATTGGCAATGGCGTTGTTGGGCTAAGATGGCTTCCCGCATTTGCGGGATAGTTTCCTTCCGGGGGCATCTCCTGTCTCTTAGCAGGGGATCAGATCCCTGTCCGTTGAAAGGTATGCGGCATTTGTATTTGCGTTTGTTTCTTCAAATTTACAAACCGTAGAATAATACTTCGCTGTACTGTATGCGAGCTGTGCAAATATCATTTTCTTTATCGAATGTGTTGAGCTGAAAATAAGTCTCAATTGTAGGTGGGAATGGCTGCAGATCCTCCTGCGGGGTAAGTAGAATAGTTGGAAGAGAGACGGAGGGGGAGTTTGTTGCTCATGGATCTCAATTGCAAACCGGTTTGTAAGGATCTACGAAGACGTTCAAGCACAAACCACCGGCAAACTGGGGGGAAAAACTCGGATATATCTTATTCATCTATTCGTTCGTGTTTGATTCATTACACGTTCCCATCCAAGAAACCCTTGAAACTTTTGGGTATCATCCTCACGCTCTTGCTCTTGTATTCATATTTTCGCATGGATTCAAGCAGAAATGTTCTTGGCGGTCTCCTCGGGCCAGACGTCGTAGCCGAAGGTGTCCTTCATGTTGACGAAACGGAAGTGACGGCCCTTGGCGACAGCGTTGATAGCGGCGAAGTCCTCATCGCTGAGCTCAATGCTCTTAAAGTTGGACTCAATACGCGCGGGGTTGGAGCTCTTGGGGAGAACAACGTAGCCGCGGCGCAGACCCCAGGCAATGAGGACCTGGGCGAGGGTGTTACCGCCCTTCTGGGCGACCTCGTTCAGAGTCTTGTTGTCACTGACCCGCTCACCGGTGGTGGGGACCTGGTTTTGCGAGCCCAGGGGCGAGTAGGCAACGGGCAGAATGTTCTTGGAGAAGCAGTACTGGACCAGCTCCTCGTTGGGGAGGAAGGGGTGAATCTCGATCTGGTTGACGTGAGGCGCCACCTTGGCGAACTTGGCCATCTTCTCGAGGCCGGGGATGGTCCAGTTGGAGACACCAATGGCCTTGGCCTTGCCCTGCTCATAAAGCTTCTCCATGGCGCGCCATGTGGGCTCGGGGTTCTCGGTGAGATCCTTTAGGATGACGTACTATTTTCTGATATTAGTAGGGATAGCTTCCACACAGCTTTCAGAGCTATGCTCACCTTTCCATCGGGGCCAATCATGGGCTCCTCCTGGGAAGACTTCTCGGCGGCAATGGGCCAGTGAATCAGGAAGAGATCAACGTAGTCCAGACCAAGACGCTCGAGGGAGTTGTTGATCGACCACTCAACATCCTCGGGGCGGTGGAGGTGGTTCCACACCTTGGTGCAGACGAAGATGTCCTCACGCTTGACGGAGGGGTTGGCCTTCAGGAAGTCACGGATACCCTCACCAACCTCACCCTCGTTGAGATAAAACCAGGCACAATCCAGGTGACGGTAACCAACGTTCAGAGCAGTGGTGACAGCTCTGTAGGTCTCACCCTTGGAGCCCTCGCTGGCGAAGGTACCGAAGCCGACGCCAGGAATCTTGACGCCGTTGCTCAATGTGAAGGACTTTCCGCTAGACATGATGGATGTGGATGTGAAATCAATTGGGTAGATAGAAGAGGAAAGGAAAAAAGTGGAAAGAGGAGGGAAGAGCAATTAATAAGTGAGAGGTCAAACGGCGGCAATGACGATGTTAGCAGGCGAAGGTGGGGTGGAGGGGTACTTTGGACCTACCGTAAGGTCTACTACTACGGAGTACTGTAGACTACACATACTAAGGAGAGAGAGGGGTTGTCCACTCTTTCCCTTAGCAACACTTCCAACACCAAAACAAACTGTCTCAACGCCATCGATTTTATCAATCTATACATATCCCCGCGTTTATCGTGACATGCACGTTATCTGTCAGTATGATATCCTTGTACAATGTCAACCTGAGGCTAGCCCACGCCGAGAATGTTCAAATTCCACGCGTAATTTTCAGAAATCCAAAAAGCGCGCCATGACATCACCTCCGCCCCAAAACGGTGTCGAAAGCGTTTGACCCGCCCGATCGTCATCGGCTCCATCGATCTCATGCGGTTCCACGGGCGAACTGTGCTCCTGCCCAATGAGCCATTTCATACGGGTATGAGGGCCTCCTTCTGCTTTACTCTGACCATTCGGCGTGCTGAACGACCTCTCCTCGGCCCACCGAGACCCGTCGACGACCCTTTTGACCAATCAATGACTCTCAATTCGACTTGCTCGGCGGAGCAGACTTGCCCAGCTCCTTTGCCCAGGCCCTTGCCCTGAATGTCTGGGTATGTACTATCTATACTGAGTGTGAGCGTGCCGTGTGTATACGGTACACGGAGAAACATCAAGGCAGCCACCGTGACGCAGGTACCCTATACGGATCACAGTCCGTGAATTGACTCCAGACCACCACGGACCACCCGGCCGCAGCACACCAGCAACATCCTGCTGTTCACTTTATGACGATAATTCTTAGGAATAATCATGTTTTCCCGCAAAGTGGATCCTCCCCCTCTCGTAACCATGCAGACAATAGCATCGATACCAGTGCCGCGTCTTGTTTTCCAGGGAATCGAGTGGTATTAGAACCGGTATGGGATAGGGCCTCTCTCTGTATATATACGCGGCTGCCTTTTCCTGTTCAGAATTTCCCCTTTTTTTTCCTACTAGTATCTTCTCTTCCCCTTCAAGTTCTCTCTCTTTGTATCTATCTACCTTCAAGTTGATCCACCATTTAATTGGGCTCTGGTCTCTTATCATACGACTCTTCTTGCTCCAAAGATCAGCAGATCTCTCCTCCACTTCCCCGTCTCCACCTTCCTACCTCCAACCCCACTCAGTGTGCAGAGTATTGTCACGATGCCTCGTTTTGACGATTCTGACTTCGCGGTTGTGTCTGCCCCAGGTACTCCTCGCACTGAAGGCCCTAATCCCTTCGCGGCTGTTCGTCCTGGTGTCTCGAGAGGCAACAGTACTCTGGCTATCCCCGGTGCAAATGGAAACACTGTGGAGATTCCTGCCTCCCGCAGTTCGATCAGTGATGCCGCTGCATTGATGCACAACTTGAGCCTGTCGCCCTCGATGAAGGAGCGTCGCGGTTCACGTAACTCATTTGGAACATCGCTCCCGATTCCTCGTTCTCCTCGTCACTCCCGACTATTGTCGAAGCGAGCTGGCGTTTCTCAAGACATCCTGGCCTCGCAGGTTCAGGACATGTCCAAGGAGAAGGTTGCCGCCGCTAAGAATATGGCATTTGCTTTTGATATCGATGGAGTGTTGGCACATGGAAACGAGCCTATTGAGGAAGCGAAGCTGGCTTTGAAGATGCTCAATGGCGACAATGAGCTGGGTATCAAGATTCCTTATATTTTGCTCACCAACGGTGGTGGTAAGACCGAGATTGCTCGTTGTGAGCAGTTAGCAGGGCTTTTGGAGAGCCCTATCTCCACCGACCAGTTTATCCAATCGCATACGCCCATGCAGGCGCTGGCTGAATATTATGAGACCGTTTTGGTCTGCGGTGGTGAAGACTTCAAGGTTCGCGAGGTCGCTGAAACTTATGGTTTCAAGAATGTTGTTCACCCCAAGGACATCTTGGCGTGGGACCCTACCGTTTCCCCGTGGGGTATCTTTTCTGAGAAGGATCGTGAGAACGCCAAACCCCGTGACTTCTCTAAGATGAAGTTCGACGCTATTCTGATTTTTGCCGACTCGCGTGATTACGCTACCGATTTCCAGATCATCATGGATCTACTCCTGTCAGAGAATGGCAAGCTTCTCACCCGCGCCAAAGACCCCGTTGCCAGCCGTATTCCCATCTACTTCTCGCAGGGTGACTTGGTGTTCCCTACCAACCACAAGGGACCTCCTCGTTTGACTCAAGGTTCTTTCCGTATCGCTATCGAGGCCCAATACAAGGCCCTCACTGGTGTCGAGCTGGAGCGTGTCGTCTACGGCAAGCCTGAGCGTGCTACCTACACTTACGCAGACGAAGTTCTCAAGAACTGGATGGAACAGATCCACAACGAGAACACATTACCCCAGAATGTCTACATGGTGGGTGATAATCCCCAGTCGGACATTATTGGAGGTAACATGTACGGCTGGAACACTTGCTTGGTCCGCACCGGTGTCTTCCAGGGCAAGGAGGGCGAAAATGATGCTCACAATCCCGCCAACTTTGGCGTCTTCGATAATGTTCTTGAAGCCGTCAAGGCCGCCGTCCGTAAGGAACTTGGCCAGGACTTCAAGTTGAAGTGGAACCCTAAGGTCAACCCTGTGCTCCACGGTGACGATTCCTCAGCCGTCGCCTAAGCACCTTGAAATCGCAGCTTGGATGCAGAAAACCTAAACAACAACTCCCCTACGATATAACTGACCTCGGTGTTTTCACGCGCTGAGTGATATTTGAAACTCATACCAACGGCATGATTTGCGAGATTGGGAGGATTCTCCTTTTCTGGCGTTTACTTTTGAAATTTTTAGACAGATAATTTTCTTTCTCATTGGTGCTCCTCGTGTTCCTGGTTGAATTTCGGGGTTCAAAGCTTGCTGATATCTACCTTCATATCTCTGGTCGTCTTTTATTTCCTTTCATCTTGCGTTTGAGCTCCAACTTTTTTCTTTTTGATTTGTCATTGAATACACTTGATGTGATATAGATTGAATCTTTCATTCTTCCTGTCCAAATGACTTTTGATGAGATGCTGTAGCAAAAGTACCGTCAAGCTGTTGCTGCAGGCAGCCTCATCGGTTACTGGGCATACAATCCAGGTTTATTTTTTATTCAAATTTCAAGATTATTTCACACGTTAGAACTCTATAATTAGTTTCTATTTCTCCTTTTCAATCTTAAAGTTCGTTTAGTTCTCTGTTGGTGAGGTGGTAGAGTAATTGATGAGCCTGCGCAACATCTATGAATGATTTAAGATCAAGAAGGCATTTTCAAATACCCGTCATAGTATGTAACAACCAAGCTCAGCACCACAGATGGAAAATACAAATCATTTCCATCTTCGCCAACAAGTTAAAATCCCCAAATTCGATACATTGTCTTTCGCCATACGCCCTTGCATCTTCGGCATCAGGAACCCCTAACTTCTCAGCAGGAAACACGAAACGAGAACAGTTTAACCAAGACATTGGAAGTTCTAGAACCTTCAACCTGAGACGAACTTTGGTTATCTGAAATTTTCAATACAAAGTAAACACAAGATACCATGTAGAGAATCAGAGATGGTCACAAATAATCGGGCCCAGCCTGAGTAGAATAGCCGCAGTGGCTTTGATAGCCAGTAATCAGTGGACTGTGCTCAAAATATAGAAATTTGAAGGTTGGTTTGTGTTCGGAATTGAATTCAAGATTCTATAACCTAATTCAGCCAAACTTTCAAACGTAATAGCTATGTAGACGTTCCTTCCATCGGGAACCAGAACCATGTCGACGCCACGCCCGTAGTAACAACACAAAGAAGAATCGGCGTATTGCCATAGTAAAAACAAGTAATGATCCCACAATGAATGTAATCGGCTACTGCCACTACCTGCAGCGCCATGCGGCCACCCTCGTCTCCGCAATTCCTCCCCAATCTCTTCCTCCCCGCAACAGCGGCCATATCGTCATGCCGATATGCCCTAGTTCCTTCATCAATTCAGTTCCAGATATCTTTTGCTTCTTCGGACGACAGCCTCTCGTAACTACGGCCCATCGTCTCTTCCATATACTCATCGTCTTCACCTCCATATGTCACATTGCGCTCCAGTTCTTCAATGTTCGCTTCAACTTCTTGGGAATCCACTTAACAGAATTGACCCCGGAGTCCTGTTTGATGCATAAACTTGGCCACATATTGTGTTTAGAACCAGCTGCAGCACAACACTGTGCAAGCGCTTGCACAGCACATTCTTCTGTCCACTATTCGCGTTTTATCATCACCAAATCATGCCCTTGCGTGCTCATGTTTGTTATTTCTTTTTTATCATGCTCACCTTTTTTTTCTCCACCCGCACCTTCTCTCTCTCAGCTTTCACTATCCAACTTGTTCCCCCGCCCCTATTAGCTCAAGATTTATTATGTCAATGGCTTTTGTGTCAGAGAGATTCAACACACGATGTCGCCTATTTCAAACCATGATTCCCCTTTGATGATAATAATGATGATGATGATTCTATTATAGTGAGATGTAGCTTCCCCTGTGTCATTATTAGGGCACTATGCTCACTCAGACAACTAGGATACAGGCTGTACATCTTGATGTGAGATGCCATGATATTTATAATTCTATCTTGTGCTAGTGCACCACATAGATTTCAGGACTACTCTCGTGTATTGGTATACTATAGTCCCAAGGGAAAACTGCCAAAACCCTAGGTGAATAAACACACACATTCAGTATACTAGAGATAGTAAAGGGGAGGCCAATATATGAGAACCATGCTCCATAATAACCCCTATCTCCTTCCAGGCGCTGGGCTTGTACCTAGCAAAACCTTCCCCCACTGTGGTCATACCCACTAACTGGCCGGCAAATGACAGGCATTTTGATGGCTACTGGGTTCGAACTTGAACCCGCGGCATCATGTTGTAAACAGAAGTGGGGCCTGAAACTACTAGCTGTTTCTTTGATGCCCACCAGGATGGCTACCGCTAGACCACCTGGCCACCTTAGATGTTTGTTAGGCACTCCCGAGGAGCCCGCGCCGCCGGAGCAGACTGGTCCCAGGGGGGGTAGAAGGTGATTCCCCTTTACATCCTATTTTTTTTTTCCGCGTTCTCGTCTCTTTTGTTTCAATGCATTTTCAACGCGAACCGGAAATGGAATTTTTGCTATCTACCTTGTGTTTTTGCAATTACCGACTCCCTTCTTCTTTGCAAGTACTCGAAGAAGTCTTTCTTCTCTGCTCTTTAAACGACACCCTCCTTTCCGAGCGTCGTTTGCTCCAGAGACACGGGATTGGGAGGGCGGCAACTCGGTAGCTGCATAATTCTCTGAGTCTCTGTTTCTGAGGAATGGAGTAGTTCATGCAGAATGGAGAACAAGGTTGTGGCGGGCCGTATTGACAGGGGCTTTGGTTTCGGGCCATTGGGTGGCGTGGGCTATCTTGATACAAAGTTGTATGATGAAAACCAGGAATGGAATGGTATTATTCTTCGAGATCTGAGAACTTGAGTGGTATGAGTACTAGTAAGTGCTTAGACGCGTGCTGTCACTCAGATGTAGGTGAAGGTATCGTTCTTCCGTATCCACTTGTGGTCCACAACGCTCCGAAAGTGGGCTTTTTAGCGCATGTTTCCAAGGTTCTGACTCGAATCTTTGTAGGTTTGTATCTAAAGACTTTATACTCCTGATGAAAGTTGCGCGGGCGTTCTGTGAGGTGGTATGTGAGCTGTGTTAACTATGCATCCCAGGATGGCGGCTCGTTCACTGCATCAACAGAAAAAATGCGGCGCCAGCTTCAATCAAACTTCATGGCAAATGCTATGATCGAGTAGAAATTGAAATTGGAACTAGGGTATATGGAGAAGGCTAGAAAGTGACACAGTAGGAATGCAGCAGTACCAAGTAGCAAGGTAATATGCACTTTCTATAAAACAATCTACTTTAACTGCCTATTGCCCTCAACTCGTAAGTAGTACTAGGCTAGGAGAACATTGATTTAAAAGCGCCTACAGATCCGTCCGCTGTAAGTCTACCCAGCCTTTCCTCTCCAAGCAAGTAGATCTGCGGCAGACCGGGCACACTCTTTTCCCCAAGAGCCATTCGAGCTATCCCTTCACCGCATAACCAAGCTTTGTCCATTCCGTGTCCATTATAACCGGCTGCTATCCATTCCCCTTCACCCTCTCGACCAGATATTGAGGATGGAAGTTGATCAACAATTGGACAACCATCAGAGGTAAAAGCCATAATCCCAGACCAGACTTTTCGCACTTGATGGGGCTCCACCTTGGAAAATAGCGTTGGAAGTACCGCCGAGAGTTTCTGCTGTGTTATTTCCCCGACGGTCGAGTCATCACTGGTAAGTAGCTCCGATAACTTTTGATACTCGCCTCCAATCCAGATCTCACCCGTTTTCGCATTCTGCTGAACATAGTGATATTGCGTATCCCAGACATCGCTTTCCGGGTGGTAGGTAAATTCATTCACGAAGGACCAGGAGAAACGATCTCCCAACAGAGGAAAATCAGGACCAGGCTTCTGCACCGACATGGTACCGCGAAGAGGGTATATGGCGCCCACCAAGTTTGGCAACAGATGACCTGAAAATCCATTCGTGCAGTGAATGACTTTGTGCGCTCGAATAATGCCCCGAGGGGTGGTGACGGAGTACGACGGTGATTCTGTTGGATTGAACTTGATAGCTTGAACCGGTGTCGATGTCTGTAAAGTGAAACGATCCTCAAACTCCGTCAAAAGCTTTTCGAAGATTGCAGTGATCAGGCGATAGGGCCATACTGCGGCTGCACCGTGCTGCTCTACCAAACCGACAACGTCGTCTTGGAAGGAAAATTCCTGCCATGAAGTGTTAGAAACTAGCTGATTGGGAAATTTGTTAGACATGACAAGAAATAACATACCTTGATTCGATCCCGATCGTCCACGAATTTGAATTTTATAAGACTATCCGGATATTCTTGCTCAAGTAGTCTCACGGCAGTCTTGAAGCCCTCCATAGTCTCAGAGTTAGATGTAGAAGTTCCTAGCACGACATCCCGAAGCTCTGTAGCTTCGCGGTCCTTTTTCGCTAGGCTCGCTGTGACTTCCCTCAGCCGAATAGCATTGGCTTCACTGAAACGGGCCGTCTCGAGAGCAGCTTCTAAGCCATGTGCATCCATAAGGGGGCCAAAACTCTCGAGAATATTGGAGCAGATATGCCCGCCGTTCCGGCCAGTTGCCCCGCTGCATGTTTCTCGGGCTTCAAGAACAGTTATGCGCAGCTCTGTGGCGTCTGGGTGATGCAGTAAGGCATGGGCAGCGCCACAACCAGTGACACCGGATCCAATGATGACAATATCTGCTTCGTCGGCGAGATTTGACTGAATGTTGGCAACTATCGGATGAGGTGGTTGCTGCCATGATGATTGCGTTGGGTTTGGATTGGGCAAGCCTGGGGCTAGGGTGATGCGCTCTTTGACCTGAGCGGTTATGTCTGTTGACTCTTGGATTAGCCGTTTGAGTTGAATTCATATAGGATAGACCAAGCCAAGGTGAAGACAGGAGACTCGATAAGTTGACAGGTGCCTTGAATTCATGGGGAAACTGGGGGCGGGGTCATTGGTCTTGACGTACCAGAAGTAATGTCCATGGTCAAGAATTGGGAAGCTGTTAGCAGTACGGTTTTCCACTGAAGTTCGTGAATTCGAAGGTTGTCACTCAAACCGGCTTCATTTGGGACTTAAATACGAGTAGATGGGGTTGGCATCTATTTACTATGCGCGGAATTATATGTCACTGTAATCAAAAGTACCCACAACTCGAGCTTTAATAGAGATTCTGACTCGAATATCCAATTAAAACATGGGAAATGTGCCGGTCGCTAGCCAGATCTAGCTACGAAGACCGCCCGCATCTATTCCAGGGACCGACCATTTTGAACTTTGGAATGCTTACTGATGGCCTGGAATCTACACACAATTCACCAATTACATGTTGAGAAAGGAGCCGGTTTCTTGACTCGAACACTTTCTCCGCGTTACTAGTATGTGTTAGTAAAGTGATACATAGTATGTACATGGGTGGCCCTTCTGACAACACTGAGAAAGGGTGGGGTCGGCTTGCCTATTAAAACTTCAAGTTGAAAAGCATGTGGACCACAACTTGAACCAGCCTAGATCTAAGCACGGCGGATAGAAAGATTCAGGTTTTAAAAGCGCATTTCCCGCAAATATAGACTCTTGGAGCTGGCTTCATTTGCATCGTCGCGACGGAAGTCGTCACGAAATACCTTGTCGTTAATCAGGTCCACCTGGGTAGATAAAACACATCCAAGAAAACCAGAGCATTTTACATACTCTGGCGTATCCGGAAATCAACTAAAAGAAGAGGAGGAGGAGTCCTCGGATGGTGATTCTTTTGATTTTGATCGATTGTTGCAGTATGTTGGTCACTCCATCGAGGATAAGCCGCCGACCGACGTCTCTCTCAACTGTGGTCATTCGCTGAGGTCTTATATCATGCGCTATGTTAATGTGGTAGCAAATAATCACATCATATGGTGAATACCTAGTGTTTGCTAGGACAGGGAACAGCGAAAATGAGTCTCACCCAATTAGGCTTCATTTAAGTCATATGAATAGAGAATTAGTATTTGTTTTCCCATCGCAAAATCATCAACTTCAAAGACCAGCCAACGCATAGTTCAGCATGATACCACTGTACTAGACACACACTACAGGCGATGATATACATGACTGGCTAGCTGATCGTCTGGATGCCCCATCGAAAGGCATCATCTCGCATTGGGACTTCTTACATACGTGGTCGGGTACCCACCCGATTGACCATAGGATTACTTTGGGAGGTTATTAAAGATGGGCGCAGCAATCCCTCAACCAGCACCTAGAGACCACTTTTTGTGAGGAAACGGAGGTGTCACGAAACCGACGAGCACATATTGTGCGTTGTTCATCACCTTGTGACACAAGGCTCACAGACTTGCCCTACGGGGCTGATAGTATTTAAGTGGTTCGCAATGGGGTGATTTGAACACGCTTCGATTCTTACTGATGGTGTGTTATTACGGAATACATAATTGCCTGACGAGTCGGAAGAGCATTCTCACTTTGGAGACGAGGAAGCGAAGGCTCTCGGTTGGGTGCTTGGGCTCCACCAAAATGCCGATGCGACGCATGTCGGAAGTATCTCCGCGCAGGTCACGCGGACAGCGGGTTGAGCATCCGAGCTTTTCCTACAGGATCGAGATCATTATTTGTTTTCTTCATTTTGAGAAAGGAAGATAAAAAGGAGTTAAATAGGGGCGCGAGGGGGTTGCAGGCCAAGACTCTCGGCGGCGCGCCGGCATTTGCAGAGAGCAGACTATTGTCTTGTCAACAATGTTGATGATCGAGATCGCCGGTGCTCCGTAGTTCTCCACGGAGAGTATATCTATGTACTCCGTTGGAATAGATAGAGTAAGAAGATGCAGATCCCGTGATCCACCCGCCACCGTGTTTTTGGGGCCACCAGCCCCTCCGAACAGTTTGACCCCGTTGTCTTGACGGGAGATACTACATATGTACCGCGTTATGCCGACAGTCGGCGATGTGTCCTTTCGGATTTGATACTATGCAACGCAGGGAGTACTAGTCTTACTTTGCAGGTGTTAGTTGATAGATGAGATGGTGCTAACAAGCTGGCATTGCCGCATAACGTCATCTAGCATGTTAGTCTCACAGCCGACCGGGGCCAACTACCTCTTGTACCTATGGTATCCCCGATGACCCCGATAGCGCCGGAACTAAGCCTTTGCCAATGCAGCTTCATTAGTTATACAGTGGACCGGAGACGCAGTGCTAGTCAGCATCGTGAGGATCATGAGTATTTGAATATAAGATAATGCAAGGATACATGACTATACTCTGTAAATGCCGGTTGTAATGTGAAGATGGAGTGGTCCCGAGGTCTCACGTCCCGAGCTAAGACCGAGTCCGAGACAAACCAAGACCGGTGGAATGCAGGGCCAGGCTAGGCAGGGGGTGTATGGTTGAAGGATCTACTTTTAGGATGGCAGGAGGGATAGAAAGTCAATGCCAGGGTCGGTGAATACTTGAAAGAGAGTAGGAAATTGAAGCGAAAGCAGTATGTGGACTAGTTCACCTTTAGTTTGCCTTTTAGTTTACCTTGATGGAGTCGGTTGGAGGAGTATAGAGCAGATCAGGTGATTGTTATTTGGTAATGGCAACCCTGGAACCGCCAGGTCCCACATGATCGGCCGCATTGACCAATCAAAGATGGTGAATCCAGTTAGCCTTACCTAACAAGAACTCAAACGTGGCCGGCTAGTCTGGGGTACATTTTCTTTTCTTTTTTGGGGGATTATTTTATTTTATTTTATTTTTATTTTCGTCACGGTCCTCAATGATATAATTTATTATTCGATCCTGTACTCCCGTACTCCCGTACTCCGTATGTCGCACTACCCTCCTCTAGCCGAATGGTTTCTGACCAGCGCATTGATCCTCAATGGAAGCTACCGGTGCACTGGAGGCGCCGGAGAGGAAGACTATGCCAAAAACGATGATTTCCCTTATGTCATAGATTGCTCTCCACCGGGCGCAACCAGATCCGTTGGAAAGTGGGAATGGAAATGGGGCAGGTGATTCCCTAAAATCCTTGGAACACAATTGATCCCGTGCTTATTTACGAGTATTCTGGAAGTAATCAATACCTAGGTAGTAGGGTACCTTAACACTCCCAATTACTACTCCGTACATACTACTATGTCCTTATCGACAACCCAATGACGATATGCACTTCCGCTTGCATACCGTTCTGCAGACTAGAAAAATAAGGTAGAATCAAAGAAGAAGGAAGTAAAAACTTCGAGGTAAATATATAGGGAAATAGAAAATAGAAAATACCCAAATAAAAAATACCAAAAAAAGACAAAATCGGCTCTGCAGGGGTAGCTTGTTTAGTTAACCGCCGCTGGCCGAATGACTTTGCAGTACATCCGCCACTTTCGCCTCTTGACCCCAACACGGACATCTCTCTCCCTCTCTCTTTCTCTACTACTTCTCCTCCTTCCTCCTCTGACCACTCTCTCCCTCGTATTTCTCTTTAATTCCTTTGGACTATTCACACTCCCCTCTTCACCTTTTACCTATTTGACACTTTTAAGTGGCGCCGGTGGACACATACCCACCCAGCCGTGCAACGCCGGTTCGCCCTTTTCCGTGACTAACAGCTTCGACTTTTCCTTCCCCGCCGCCCCTCTTCTTTCTCTCTTTTTTTCTTCTCTCTTATAGCCCTAACCTCCCCTTATTCCCATTGACCGACTGCCTCTTTTCGCTAGGAATCCGGGGAAGCTACTTCTAGCCTCGTTTAGTTCTGCACATTTTCTTTTTTTTTCTGTTCCACTATTCCCAAAGGTACCACTGAGCCGCGTGCCTAGGGCCCTTTATAGAGGGCCCGCTTTCACCATGGCCTCTCCCACCACTGCCACTGGCACTTCTCCCTCTTCGAACTCCAAGCCTATTCTCCCTCGATTTACTATTCCCTGTGGTGACCACTTTCATTCACGCGACTCTTCGCCTTCCTCGTGTGACACCCCGGACGGTTCGAGATCCAGCAGTCGCCGCCGCCCATCCTTTGGCTCCATCAAAGAGGACGCCGACGACGGTACGTTTGTGGTGTCCTTTGTGCGCGAGGCTAGCTACGAGGTTACTCGATACCCATACTTGACTTTGCCATATACTGATGACTGGCAGATATTGCGCAATCTTTCGTGGACACTCACCACGCTCCTTCCCCCAAGGAGCCCTGCAAGCCCGCGCATCGGGAGATGCAGCCGAGCCCTGACTTCTGTTGTCCCTGTGGTGGATTTCTAGGATGGAAGCAAATCCGCCTAGGTGGAAAGAGCCTGAGTCGTAGTTATGGAGACCTGCGCAATATCGGCAATATGCAGGCGAAGGGTTGGGCATGGGAAGATACCGAAACGGGAAGGGAGCTAATGCCTCCTCAGGCCCCCGCTGTGGTCGAACTATCCCAGCCGCCTCCTGGTACATCGGCTCTCGAGAAGCTGCCCCCTGAGGTTCTTGGTACGAAATATCCGGGAGAGAAAGAACAAGAGAGAAAAATTCCAAGATCTATATGGCTAACCGATTATCAGATCAAATTATTTCGAACTTGGCCCTGGATTTGCCTCCCAATGGCTACACTCCCCGCAATGTTGACCTGATCTCATGCCTTTTGACCTCACACACCCTGCATGCAGCAACCCTGGGCGTCCTCTACCGCAACATGACCTTCCCGCACTCGATCATCTTTTCCAAGGCCCTTAACCACATGTCGCAGTACCCGGCACTGGGAACTTTGGTGCGCCGTCTCGATTTCTCACACTTTACTTCTGTTGGATTGGGTCGTACTAAGCAGATGAACGCGGAGATTCAAAACTTGACCTCGCGCACGCTTTTGAAGTGCTTGGACCTTTTGCCCAACTTGAAGGAATGTTTGCTGCAGGAACATCTAGAGGGTGATCTTAGTGTGGAAGTTATACGGAAGTTGTTTATGGGCTTGCCGAACTTGCGTGCTGTGGATTTCTGTGGTTGCTCTACTCAGGCCTTTTCTCAAGTCTTCACCGAGGCTCTGTCCGCAGGCCCCCCCTTTGCCCATGAGTCTGCCTAGTATGAAACGCCTCTCGCTCCACGAATGTAGTACCATTCCCGCACCCATGTTCGATCAATTGCTCTCACGACTGATCAACCTGACGCACCTCGATTTGACCCACACCCAGGTCAATGACTCCGCCCTTGCGGCTATCCCGGAGACTGCTCGCATCAGCCACCTGGGCCTGTCCCGGTGCACACGTCTGCGTAGCTCCGCCTTGATCGAATTCCTGACCACTCATCCTGCCGTTTGCGATTCTCTTGTGTACTTGAACCTCTTGAATGACCCAACGCGATTCCGTCTGCTTGAGGAGGAGGATGTTTCAGCATTGCTGCCCAAGCTCCCTTCGACTCTTCGATCTATGAACCTGGGTGGCGCCAAGGTTACTTCTGAGCACGTGTCCCTCTTGATCCCTCTGACCAAGCACCTGCATGAATTGGGCCTCAGCTCGGCCGAACTTTCTGTCAAAGACGTGAATTCATTCTTTGCCAAGGATGAAAACGCAGCCCCCAGCACTCTGTGCTATCTTGACCTTGCCAAGGTGCCGCAGATGACCATCGGTGCTATCTTCAACACGAGCTCATGCCTTCTGCTGTCCGAGCAGAGCTATCCCCTGCAGGTGATCGAGTTCAGTGATAAGATTATCACACCGCTCCGTGAGCGCGCCAAGACCCAGCGTGTGTCTGTGGGATGGACTGTTCGTGATCTAGGCCGCCGCGGTTGGTATGTTCGCGATCCCGCATCGCTGCCAAATGAGCCTTTGGACGACGGCTACCGCTACTGGAAGATGGGAGCGCGCTGGTGGGGCATGCGCAAGATCCCCATGGCCGTCGGCGATGTTGGCGGCATCTATGGACACTATATGTTCAAGAAATGATTCTGGCCGGCACTTTACCTCTTCTTTCTTGCCACTCGAAAAACACCGCTCACCGCCACTTGCATTTCCTCTCTGATCTGATTCTCTCTTGCTCTCTTATCGATGGCGTGGTCTCAATACCCTGGTTTCTGTCTGGTTTCTGTCTGGTTTCTGCCTGCTTATCTCTTTTTTTCTCCGCATTTACTTTTACGCATGGCACTATCTCGGGCGGGTTCTTTTTGATTTTTATGAATGATGATATCCGGTCTATGCATGGCGGCGCGCAACATGGCTTACGAATTTCGGCATTCCAGCTTCTCGCTTCGGGTTCGTTCTCTCAATCGCGTTCTGCAGGTTTTGTATAGCATTCAGGATCTCCTCAGCGTTCTCTTCTGTTCTGTTAAATTGTTTTCTGGCGTTATGTGATCGATCGAATGGCGTGCCCATATCAACTCTGCTCATACTCCTTATACCCGTCCAAAACCATTAATTTTTCAATGAAACATCGTAACTTAGTAGCAATATTCACGAATAATAGTCCCTAGAAACGTTGATTTGACTTCTTGAATATCCGCTCTATCAGCGTTGGTCAGCACTTGAATGCTTTAGGGTATTATTCGCCAGGTGATATGTCACGTGATGATTTGATAAAGAGCTGCGGCTCTTCTTTTGACTAGTTGCATTCACTTCACCCGCTGTCTCTGCGCGTCGAAGGCCTCGGTCCTTCTTCTTTCCAGCTTTACCCCAGGGGACTGGCTTATCCCGATGGGTCGTTTCGCTGTCATTTCCCAGGACAGTGAGAGCTGTCGAGATACGTGACGATGGCACCTCCCAGCGGAGCCGCTTCTTACAAAAAGAAGGATGGCATCTTGACACTGACCGCAGATGAGCAAACACTCACCTGGACACCAGCAGTAGCTGGTGGTTCAGCTCTCTCGATCCCGGTGACTACTATATCGAGTACGCAGTTGTCCTTGATCGCCGTCGAGCAACCTCGCAGGACTTGCGCTGACTCGAATGACTAGATTTGCAGCAAACCCCCGCTTCAAACCCGAAAGTTATGCTGAAGATCTTCGTTTTGGCCGCCAACGCCCCTCCGAACAGCACCGCCGAAGCATATGTTTTTCTTTTCACGGCAGGTCCGGAAGCCCGCCCGCAGGCTGATGCCATCAAAGGTACACTTAGCGCTCGAGTCAATGCGGGAAAACCGGGTACGCCCTCCCAGACGCCGACACCCGGAGGCAGTGGAGGGGGTATTTCGGCGGCTATGGCGATCGCGAATGCAGTTTCATCGGCAGGATCGGCGAAGAACCCATGGGATGACGACAACCGATTGAAGGGGGATGTGGAATTACAACAGTCGCTGCTGAAGGCGGACTCTACATTGCAGCGAATGTTCATGGACTCTTTGCACACAAAACCAGAAACATTGGGTTCGGCACAGTTCATGTCACAGTTCTGGTCGACTCGATTGCACCTTCTAAGGGCACATGCCATTGAGAGAGCACAGACTAGAGGCTCGTACAACGTTCTGTCATCATTGAAACCGCGTGTCGAGGAAAATGTGACCCGGTTGAATATCAGCAAAGAGCAAATCCAGCTCATTTTCACGCAACACCCGCTCGTCAAGCGTGTATACGACGAGAATGTCCCGAAGCTGAGCGAACAGCAATTTTGGTCGCGATTCTTTCAGAGCCGACTGTTCAAGAAGTTACGCGGCGAGCGCATCTCTGACGCAGATGCCACCGATCTTGTGCTAGATAAATACCTACGGGATGATATCGCGGACATGAACCGCGAGGCCAATATACCCCACTTTTTGGATATGGCAGGCAACGAGAGCCACCACAGCCAGCGTCGTGGAAATCGACCAGATCTAGACATGCGACCCTCCGGCGTGGACAAAGTGCCCATTATCCGGACTCTCAATAACCTGAGCGAGAAGATCATGGCTAATGTCGCACCAGCTGATGGCGATTTAAGCGCTCCCATTGGTATGAATGAAGAGACCTGGAAGAAAATGCAACTACGCGATCTTCGTGGGGACGAGGAGCAGTCCCGTATTGAACTCAACATCAGTGATCAGAATCGCTTCTTTTCCCATACCCAGGAGGATGACCAGAAACGGGCACTCAAGCAACAGGACCCAGACAAGATACTGAGTAGTCTCCGCTCAGAGATTGCGCACAATCTGCCACCGGGTGGGATAACGCAACTACAAAAGCTTGTGGATCCGGGAGACGATGAAGATGAGGAGATGGAGGATGCACCTGCTAGTCGTCAACCCGCTGGGTCCTCGGCAGCTTTACACGATGCATTTGCTCAAATTCTGGGCGCAGTGCGTGAAAGGCGCACTCAAATGAGTGAAGCATCCACATCTGATACATGTGGCTTACCGATAGCACTCTACGACCGGTTAACGTTGACCCACGCGACATCCACAGAATTCTTGAATCAATTCTGGCAGGCCTTCCTCTCGGGCAACCCGGAGCGCGCTGGTGAAGTGACTTCTCTATCGGAGTCTTTGCAGCGCGCAAAGGACCGTATTCGCGCCGTCGCTAATGACGCCGAGGCAGAGCGTCAGGTCGAGGTCAATCGCCTCAAGACTCATGCTCGCGAGGTCTATGAGAGGTCCGGACGGAAATTGAAGATGAATCTAGAGGGTGTGGAGGGAGGCCAAAAGGTTGTCAATCAGCTTCTCGGGCCTACACTAAATGCCTTGGACCTCGCATTGAATCGATACAAGACAGCTCTAGCGGAAGAAACGAAAGAAGCAGCCTCGTTGGCTGTGTAGATGAGACGACGCTTGCGGCAGAAAAGGAGATAAATCCTGGCGTTGGTGTGATTGAAATAATTGTATAATATATCACATACCATGTTTTCCTTCCTGTTCATTTGCTCTATTTAGAAATAGGCGTAGATCGACTCGGCATGCCGAGGTACCCCAGACTTCCCGAGCTGCCAAGCTGGCCTTCCAACTTCCGCCCTTCATCCACTCCATCCACTAACACCCGTTGAACCTCACAGCCCCCCCCGGCAACACCACTCTGCACGAATTACAATCGCCCGAATGATCCATCTAATCTTGACTAGATAATAAAACCCAATCTCTTGGCCACAGTCTCAACCGCTCAAAATGCTCACGTCCGGCCTCACCAACACCCCGCTCACAAAATCCCTCCTCATCTACATCATCGCATCCTCAATCGCACTCTCAATCCTCGACATCAAACATCTTGGCTCAATCTATGTATCTCCACATCTGTGGCCATATGCGCAGTTTTGGCGCACTCTCATCTGGCAAGCCGCCGGCTTCGCCAACTCCACCGAGGCGCTCTTCGCCGCCATGTTGGTCTATCACCTTCGCGTCGTTGAGCGGGCATGGGGAAAGCGAAAGGTGGCTGTAAGTCAACTCCTGCTTTTGCGCTCTCTACAATACATATAATGGCAAAGTATCCCCCAGCCCCATCAACACAATACTAACTGTTGCCTACAGACCTTCCTCCTCACAACAATCCCTTATACCACCATCCTGCCACCCCTCCTCCTCGCCATCCTCGTGCGGCCACTCTCTCTAAACAACCTCAATTACCTCCCCTCGGGCCCCACGGCAATGATATTTGCCCTGTTGGCTCAATACCACGCCACAATTCCACACACCTTCCGCTACCGCATCGGCACAACATCTTCCTCCAACACCGCAACCACAAGCACGACTACCACCGATCCCCACACCAATACCGAAAATAGGACCTCGACCCCCAAACCACCCCCACCAAGCTTAACCCTCCTGCTCTCCGACAAATCAACAACCTATTTAATTGCCGCCCAACTCGCCCTCTCCCAATTCCCCGCCTCGCTCCTCCCAGCTCTGACAGGATGGATTGTCGGCACAGCCTGGCGTGCCGAACTCCTTCCGGGCCTTTCGCCCGCAAGCAACGGATTCCGGATTCCGGCGTGGCTGGTCGGGGAGCGTGAGCGGAGGGATGGAGGTGCTGCGAGTGCTGCAGCCGAGGGTGAGAGGGAGCGGTTTGAGGATATGAGGCGGCGACTTGAAGGCGAGGCGGAAGCTTCGGGGTTGGAGGGAGCTGCGCCGGAACAGAGGCGGAGAAATGGGGGTAATGAGGGAGGTGGGCTTGCGGAGAGATTGAGGGGTGCTTGGTGAAGTGCATCTTGTATTCTTGTCCTCTTCTTTTGGTTTATTTTCAGCTTATATATAAGTTTTTGGAATGAGATCCATAGTTACTTTTCAGGTTGTCCAGTGCACAACTAGTTGAGTGCCACACAATATCCATGTCTGCTAGTATACATTCAAGGAACTTTAGGTTCTAAATGTCGATGTCGACATGGGGTCATGGGACCTATAAGTATATGCTTAAAGCAAAACACCGATAACAGTGGGTATGATTGCGCCAACGCTAGTCTATATGCTATCCTGAACCAATTTTACCTCATCGCCCACGCGTCGACCGCATGCCGGTCTTACATTCGTCACAGTACCATTTCACTGCGTAGAGTCAGCATCAATTCTAAAACCCGCTGGGAACAAACGCGAATGAGATTGAACTTACCATTCTTTCCAGGCGGTTTTGTCATTCCGACACAAGACAGATGGAACCATTCGCGAGGGCAAGCGTCGTTATCGCAAGCCACCATCTCGCCAAAGCTGATTTCATTACAGTAGCAGTATCGGGGCTCTCCCTCCTCGTCTTCGTCGTCGCCCTCGTGAAGAGATTCATCGTCAGAGGGGATGATAGGTGGAGGGGCTGGAGCCGTTTTCTTAGGATTTCGCTTCGGCGCTGGGTCTGTACTTCGTGTAGGTCGTGAACGAGATTGAGTAGGTTCTACAAATGCGGAAACGGGCGTGGTTGTCTTCGAGTTTCGTCCTTTGGCGGGCTCGGCTTCGGCTGATTCGGCCTTCCTTCCGTCTCCCTCGTCGCGTCGGACTCCCGCAGTGGCTGCTCGCACGCCTGCCTCGCCGTTATAATCCCGGTTTCCATCTCCATTCGGAATTTCGTTTTTGACGGAAGATGTGTCGCGGGGCGTAGATTTGATTTCGGATGGCTTTGGAGCATTCCCTTGAGCAAGGCGGTTGGAAGTCGAGGATGACGGCCGTTGGCGGGCATTGCTTGTTTGACCAGCATTCTGCTGGGCTCGTGAAGACTGTGGGCGGGCTGCGCTGGGGCCTGGACTTGCAGCTCCGCGCGGGGCATTGAATGTTCCGATGAGAGGTGAGGGGGCCAGGACGGGCGATGCGGCATTGGATGTGACATTCGGCCTGGGGAAGAAGAGACGCACAGTTAGCTTTATGCGTATTCAGGATAATTTGGCCGGAGACATACTTCTTGCGCGCTGCCGCAGCAGTCGAGTTTGGCGCACGAGATCGCTTTTTCTCCGTGCCATCCTTTGCGGACGCTCGTTGATTGCCTGTGCCGCTGGCGGAACGCTCCATCGAAGCGCCCATATCTATCGCCGTAGGCCGCTCCACCTTCCGGCGCTTCGGTGCCTGATCTGCAGGTGCATTATCTGCACGAGATTTCCCGGTATTGGTTTTGCGAGCGCCAGCGCCGCGGGGTTCCTCATAATCCGCGTCAACGTGGTTCCGACGTCTCCGCGCTTGGACAGCTTCGCGCCGAGCTTCACTGCGGCTAGCAGCTTCAGCCTCGTGAATCGCATACGGAATGTCTTGTCGCTGGGACACTGCTTCCCGGCGGGGTCGCTCATTTGTGGCTGCTTTCGCAGTACTCTTGTTAGAGTATGCCCAGTGTGTCATGCTGCCAAGGCGAGCTTCCTCGCTGATTTCCCCCGCGATGTACGGGAACACTCCATCCAACCGAATGATTTGGCGATCCAACTCCTCATTTGCATTCGAGATTACATGGTTCTTTTCATCGGCTGTCATCATAAGATCGGAGAGGCTCTGCCGTACGCGATCAAAGAGAAGTCGGCGGTTTTGGCTGTCCGGTGTCTCGGGAAGCTGAGTAACATCCTGAGGAGGAGCAAGTCAATGAGTATAAGTTCTTCCGTTCGTGAAATCTTCAAAGAGCAATTTTGGATCGGCTTACTCTTGGCAAGAAGTCCTCACGAACAACACCCCCTACAATGGGTGTTGGGATTGGAGGATGAGGGACGGGCTGCGACTCTGAGGAGTACTTGAGCAATTGCAGCAAGTTTTCCTCAAGCGCCCACGCCTTGGCGTCAACTTCCTTCAACAAGGAATTGTGTCGACGAAACTCGCGAGGGAGCGCGGTGATTGCATCAGTAAAGTGGGTGAGGGCAGGGTAAAAGCCATGAGGAATGGGGGCCGTCGCAGGACTCTCGGCATTTAAGCCTCTTCCGCGGCCAAAAGAGGTCCGCCCGATGTTCTTGGAGGTCCGCGAAGGGTTTGTTCGTGTTTGGCGAGAAGATTGTCGGACGCCCGAGCCCTGGGGATTCAGGGTTGTCGAGGAGATGGCAGACATGGCGAAGGTAAGGTCAGGCCGAGAGTTGCACCGCTAGAAAAGCTTGCGAGGCACAGCTGGCCTGTTGAAAAGATACAGATGAGGGGTAGGAGATGCCAATGTTGGTATATGAAAAGGAATACACACGAGGCTTAGGACACATTCCAGGAAAACAGCTGTGAGATGGCGAAGGAGGAGCAGCGGGAGGTTTGCGTGCGGAGAAGAGCGCTGGGGATCAGGTGAGTTTCGGCCTGATTTGTCAGGCAGAATTCAGTCAGCCAGCAGAAATGATGTCATCCAGGCACATAGAAATAGAAGTATACACATGACTACTAACTAGTACTAACATACCTAGGTAGGCTATATACTATCCTCTATTTCCAACGTCAGACATTACCATTTCTACAATTTCTCATCCTCCCTCCCAGCTTTCAACATCCGTTGAAACATTCCATCTGCGCCAAAGAGTCTAGACCCAACTGATATCAGAAGAGAGCACGCCAATATTTTCGAGTTCTTTTGTTGCGAGGAGTCAACTAAGTCTAGGTGGGTTGGGACCGTGATATGTGTGTCATACCAGTACGAATAATGTCTCATTGAATAACTTATCAAGCAAAAGACACTTAAAAGGAGAGGACCCTTCTTGTGGACCTCTTCGTCTGCTTTGCTTTCATGCTTCCCTCAGCCTCTCACTGTCAGGTTCTTCGCTCTTCCCTCCCCCCATCCATTTCCCCTTCCTCCTCCTCCTCCTCCTCCTCCTCCTCCTCCTCCTCCTCCTCCTCCTCTTCTTCTTCTTCTTCTTTTTCTTCTTCTTCATCCTCATCCTCATCCTCCTCATTGTCATCTTTATATCATTCGACTCCGCTCTGTTAGATGACTCTCTTTCACCCCGGTTCCTTGTCTCAGCACTCTGCTCCTCACAGCCCTGCACATCACCATCTTGCGTGTCAGTTGCAACTCTCACATTTCCCTTGGGTCGTTCCCTGCACAAGAACAGCTAACATAAAAACTTCAGCCGGTCGATCCAGTCTTCCGAGAACCATAACGATGAAACATAAACGACAAGTAATGGTGACCCTCTTCGCCCGCGAGGGCCACTTCTTCTCCAAAAACCAAAACCAAAATCACCACCGCCAACTCGAACACAACGACTTCCTCTGGAGTATAATAATCCGTCCCAAGAAACCTCAAGGCCACGACAGTGACTGTTTCGACATCCGCCACACAAGCTCAGAACCAGTCCGTCGCAACCAGCCCAAGCCAAAAGGAGACTGGCAGTTCCGAGCCATCACTCAATACGAGCCGTCTAAGGACCACCGCTTGCTGGGCCAGTTGATGATCGGCAAGATTCCGCTTGAAGTCAGTCACAATGAGATTATGGAACTTCTCAAGGATATTGCTTATCCGCGCAAAGACGCTCAACATCATGAGAATGGCATCAACTGGATCAGAACTGCTATTCGGCATCTCCAGATGACGGGGATTGCGGAGGAGTTTGATGTCGATGAGTTCTTGGATCACGCGCGTGATCGTGCTATGGTCGCGAGTCATGATGGTCGTCCTTTTACTGTCAACTACACATCCCGCCCTATGTAAGGCAGACAAGGTACTGGTGGCAGGCAGGTAGGGCTGAGGGCGATGTTGTGCCTCATTGATATCAGGCTCTTGTGATAGAGCCAAGGTACCGGGTCAGAGTCTTCATTTGTATCAATATTGATGGATTGATTTCGTTGACCAATGACAATCTACTACTAATAACCCCCAAGTTGACGTGGTACAAATCAATATGCTACACTAATTCACGTTTCAATACGCAGCAAACTTATCCTTGACTGACCAGTTTTACCAGGCAGGACCAACCCATTAGCCGCCGGCGTACATGCTGCCTGTCGTCCTACAAGATCAAAAATTACTGACTTAGAACTAAGGCTTGAAAGGAAAATTGAATACAGCGAAGCCCATTAAGACCGATGAACCCTGAATGCAACACTAAATGAAACTTAAATTTTACAAAGACATAGGTCTATGTATAGACAGGTCTGTCTATCAGCAAGCAAGCCAACGACAAAGAACGGGTCATATACACAATGAACGAGAACACGATACAACCCATGCAGATAATAGTAGGAAAGGTGTTACATATGAAACAAGATGGATCGGACGCTAGCTCCCACGCGACCCAATGAACATAACATTAGGAAAGCAACCATATCAAACATTCAAATGCCTATACTCCCAGGAGAGAGACCCGCTATTAGGCAAGAAATTCGCCGGGGGCGTACACGCAATGAATTTACTCGCCCTTGAGGCGCTCCTGGTGAACGGAGAAAGCGTCCTCGAGGAACTCCTGCTCCTCCTTCAAGTGGACGGCCTTGAGACCAGTGGCCACGGAGGCGCTAGGGGCACGACCAGCGTACAGAACGTGACGGCGGTTGTGGTGCTCGGTCGAGTTCAGTAGGGTCTCAAGACGGGGCTGGGCGTAAGACCAGGCGCCGGCATTCAGAGGCTCCTCCTGGCACCAGACGATGTCCTTGGCGTTGGGGTAGCTGTCAAGGTTCTCCTTCAGCTGAGCCCAGGGGAAGGGGTGCAGCTGCTCAACACGGGTGATGGCAGTGTTGCGGATACCCTGGGCCTCACGGTGCTTGGTAAGAGCGGCGTAGACCTGACCAGAGCACAGAATGACACGCTCGATCTTCTCGGGAGCCTCGATAGAGGCACCGTGCTCGGGGTCGGGGATGATGCACTGGAAGTGAGAGTCACCAGTCATGCTCTCCAGGTCAGAGCGGGCGATGGGGTGGCGCAGCAGAGACTTGGAGAAGAAGATAATGAGGGGCTTGCGGAACTGGCGGTGGATCTGGCGACGGAGAACGTGGAACAAGTTGGAGGGCTCAGTCATGTAGACGATCTGCATGTTGCAGTCCTGGTGTTGGCGGTCCAGTCTGTCGGCAACGGGGTACTGGCGAGGCTCCTCGTTGCAAAGCTGCAACCAACGCTCCATACGGCCGGAGGAGTGCTCGGGGCCCTGGCCATCATAACCGTGGGGCAGGGAGACAACCAGACCGGAACGCTGCAGCCACTTGGACTCACCAGCGGCGATGAACTGATCAATGATACACTGAGCATTGTTGGCGAAGTCACCGAACTGGGCCTCCCACATGACAAGGGCCTCGGGGGGAGGTCAGGGAGTAACCGTACTCAAAGCCAAGACTGAAAATAAATTAGCATCTCTATATCATTTTGATTGACCCAGTTGTTTGGAACTTACGCGCCGAACTCGCTCAGAGAGGAGTTGGAGATGACGAAGCTGCCCTGATTTTCGCTGATGTGCTGAAGGGGGGGTGTAAGTGGTCTCGTTTTCCTGGTCGTGGACAACAGCGTGACGCTGGGAGAAGGTACCACGCTCGACATCCTGTCCGGAGATACGGACGTGGTAACCCTCATCGACGAGCGAACCGAACGCAAGAGCCTCAGCAGTAGCCCAGTCAATGTTCTGGCCCTCCTCAACGGTCTTCTTGCGGTTGGTCAAGATACGCTTGAGGTTGCGGTGGAGGGTGAAGCCATCGGGAGCACCACCGACCTTTCCGGCAATGTGCTTCAGAGAGTTGGAATCCACGGCAGTGGGCAAGTGAGGCAGGACCTCGGTGGCCAACTCCTTGGGGGTCTTGAAGTTGTTCCAGGCGGAAGTCAGCCACTCCTTACCGGTGGGCTGGTAGTCCTTGCTGCGGTCGAAGCTGTCACCCAGCATTCCCCAGACCCACTTCTTGTGCTCATCGATGTCCTCCTTGGTGAAGGTACCCTCGGCAATGAGCTTCTCAACGTACTTGTCCAGCTGCGCCTTCTGGGCAGCAATGCGCTTGTACATCAAGGGCTGGGTGAACGAGGGCTGATCAGTCTCGTTGTGACCCTGCTTACGGTAGCAGACCATATCGATGACGACGTCGGTCTTGAACTCGGCACGCCAGTCAGCGGCAACCTGGCAGACGTAGTTGACAGCCTCAACATCGTCGGCGTTCACGTGAAAGACGGGAGCATCAATGGACTTGGCAATGTCCGAGCAGTAGGGGGTAGAGCGGGAGAAACGGGGGTCGGTGGTGAAACCAATCTGGTTGTTGACAACGATATGGATGGTACCGCCGGTGGAGTAAGCGGGCAGAGAGTGGAAGCCCATCGTCTCGTAGACAACACCCTGACCGGCGAAAGCAGCATCACCGTGAAGCAGGACACTCATGGCAGAGTCGTAGTTGGTCTCGTCCTTGTTGTAGTGCTGAATAGCACGGGTCTTACCCAGGACAACAGGGTCCTCGGCCTCCAAGTGAGAGGGGTTGGCGACCAGAGACAGCTGGACACGCTTACCAGAGGGAGTAGGGCGCTCGAAGTTCATACCAAGATGGTACTTGACATCACCGGAGCCCTCCTCAGACGGCTCAGTGGAACCGGCGAACTCACTGAAGATGGACTCGTTGGGCTTGCGAACAACGTTGGAGAGGACGTTGAGACGACCACGGTGAGGCATACCAATGACGATGTCCTTGACACCATAGTCGACACTGCGGTCAATGAGCGCCTTCATACCAGGCACAAGGGTCTCACAACCCTCAAGACCGAAACGCTTGTCGTTGGGGAACTTGGTGGCCAGGAAAGACTCGAAGCTGGAACTCCAGATGAGACGATCAAGGATGCGACGCTTGTCGTCGACGGAGTACTTGAAGGGCTCGGGGATCTCGAAGCGGTCGCGAATCCAGTCGCAGGGCTTACGGTCAGGAATGTGGATGTACTCGACACCGTAGGAACCACAGTAGATCTTCTCGCAGGCAGCAATGATCTCGCGCAGGGTCATCTTCTTGCGCTCCTCAGTGAGGAAACGGGGCAAAATACCGGGTCCGAGGGCGAACTCTTGGTCCAGATCACGCTCGGTGAAGCCGTAGTGGTCAAGCTCAAGCTCCTTGGGCTTGCTGTAGCCAAAGGCCTCGGCCTCGCCACGAATTCCAAGAGGGTCAATCTTGGCCTTGTGGTGACCGCGAGCCTGGTAGGCGCGGCACAGCAGCTGAACCTTCAAGTGATTTGTCACATCGGCTCCAGCGGCCATACCGGCGCCGGGCATATCTTGAGGGACACCACCAGTGGGTGTAGGGACGAGGGTTGGGGGAGGAGTGAAGGCCTGGGAGATAGGCATGTTGCCATCCTCCATGTTCTTGAAGTAGGTCTGCCAGGAGATGTGAACACTGGAGGCATCCTGCTTCCACGCCAGGTACATCTCATCAATGTAGTTGGCGGTGCTGCCAGAGAGGAAAGAATCGTTGGGATCCTATTTCGCGGTAGAATCGCACCGTTAGTCAAGTGTCCGAGAGAAGTTATAACACGTTCTTCTCATCGCATGCTATCAGAAGATTGCGAGCCACGAGGGAATTGGTTCACTTACCACTCCGACAGAGGAGGAGGCGTAGGGCCGCGCGCCATCAAAAGCGCGCTCGACGACAGCGAGAGGTCGGCGGGCAGTCAGGTTAAAACCAGAGCTCTTCGAGGCATTGCGAGCGCTCGAGGCCAGGAAGAAAGACCTCCGGGCAGTGGCGGAAGACACACCACGCATGTTGGTGGCCTTCAAGGCGGTGTTTCTGAACATTGCGGGATTTTTCCGTCAAGGACGTAGGAAGTATCGGATGGGGTCGGAGAGAAAGAAGAGGTGATATGGGGAAGGAGACAGTGATTATCGTCTTAAAACCGTAATGAGACCAAACTGGAGCAGTCTAGAAGCCAAGCTGGCGGAGAGATAACTAGGTCAGCGTCAAGTTGCCAGATTGTTTGTTCTCTCCTGCCGAGAGTACGGAAACACGGAGGAAGCTAAGCCAAGTAAATGGAAGACGTACAGGTGAAATAGCGCGAAAATCAGGTGTCGACTAGTATTGCCGTAGCACCTGTATAAAAATGGGACTCATCAGAGAGCAGAAACACTGCTAACGACAAGGTAAACTGGAGATGGGAGTGGAGAGCAAGAACAAGAGCAAGGAAAAGAAGCTGGGCGCAAAGCAGAACCAGCCTTGCCGGGCCGGGGAGTGGCTGGTGCGCTGAGTCAGCCCGATGGGATAGCCGACTGTACGGGAGGAGTACGGGAATAGTATGTAATAGTAATGTTAGTGGCCCCCCCTTTACCAGTTCTCCTATGTACTGTGTACTCCGTACAGAGTACCCAGTCCCTCGGCACCCCCGAACGAGCCACCCACTCGCCACGCCCGGCTAAGAATTCGGTGCTTCACGGGTGATTTCGGCCCAATCGGCCGGTTTTCAATTGCGATGACGCTATAGTAACTATAATATAACTATATACCCTGTCACAACAACCACAACAAATGCTAATGCTCCAATTCAAGTTGCCTTCCAAGTGGTTTCCAGCTTGATCTTTGATTGATCAATCAAAGACAGATAATTTTGGGGTAATTGCCATCCAAATGCTCCAATTGCAAAGATGAGAAAAAGGAAGAGAGAAAAGAACAAAACGAACGAATTCGAAACATGTCATTAAATCGTGAATGAATGACCAAATTAGCGCTTCCTAGGGTTCCATCCCGGGGCGCAATTCATAATATAAAACCAATTATTATATCCAGGGGGGTTAAAGGGAATTTTTTACAAAAGATTGAGGCGTGGCGGTCCGGTCATCGGCACTTCACCATCATTATTCGCGCAACCTGGGCCGCCCGTTCCGCTTGACGGGAGATCGGCGGTATGCCCATGCTGGTCCAGATCCGCCCCCCTGAGCGGTGAAGCGGTATAAGTATGACTCTCATCAGGAGGATAAGGTGAATTGAATCCGGCAATCGCTTCTTCGGCAGAGGGCCGCGCATCAATCGGACTAGCTTCCGCGAAACTAGCACGGTTGGAGGAAGGCAGAGTATGTGGAGGCGGACTGCCGGCGCTACTCCGCAGGCTGCCATTACTTCCGCCCCATGCTCCCCGACGCAGCTTCATCAAGGCACTCAATGTCATTTCATCATCCAGGTTACCCATGTCGGCCAGTTGTGCTAGTCCAGGACTTGCTAGAGATGCGTTTGAGTGGGAAGTCCCGTGCGCTTTCAGCGATATGACCGAGTTGCGTGTGCTCCATTCACTTCGTTCCGTGATAGGGGTCAGACTGGGTTCTTGGAACTTGCCCCGGCTGCTGAAGCTGCGTGAGATGCCTTCGACTCCTCGTGGGCCAAAGTAGCCCCCATTTGTCAACTCGGAGGTGCCGTGTGCTTGTGCGTAGAAGCCAAACTCCTGGCCGTAAAATCCCTCGTCATCATTCTCGAGTGCCTCTGCGTTCGCTGCCGCGACAATCGCATCGTCGTAGTATGGATCATCGTCTTCGAATGTATGATCATCATAGGGATCCTCATATGCGGTCATGTCAACAACTTGGCTGTCATCCGATACTAGCCCCGGTTGTGATTCACCTGTATGCGACGCCTGCGAGACACTTTCTTGTGCTTGAGAGCGCTCACTGGTGCTGAACTTCCGTTCGAATTGGATTTTTACGCTTGCTTCGTTTGCTGCAAATGCCAGGGCATTATGAAGGAGATCCAGATTCTGTTCCGTCAAAACTCCACCATGAGCCCGGGTAGGTCCCATGTTGGGAATCGGCTCACCAAGTGGACCACGTTTGATCGAAGGAGCCTGGTATTCACTTGCCACACTAGGCATGTGTTTAAGACCCTGGCTAGCGTGCTCCTCGAGTAGAATCTCTCTCTCTAGAGCATCGCTGCTGGGATCGGGATTCTGTTGTGGAGGGGGGGCTGGGGGGGGGCAACTGGCTTTCGTTCATAGAGATGGCTGGTCTCATCATCGAAGATAGACTCATCAAACCCTCCATCTTGGTTGTCACTATCCAGATCTCCAAATTCACCATCGTCAAAGTACAAATCATCATCATCTTCGTCAATAACTTGATTGCCTTGCTCCGGAGGACCCATGCCAATACCCGACGACCGACGTAACTCAAGTGGCCGTGGAATATCATCTTCTCTGGGTTGTTCGACTTCATCTGAATCGGGCGATGAGGTCTTCTGGTCTTCTGGCGGTATGGATGTAGGTGGCAGTACAGGAGGCGCAGGGGTAATTGGGCTTGCGACCACAGGTGATAACCCTGGAACAGTCCAAGACTTGATTTCGGCCATTGAGGGGGCAGAGAAGTAATCTTCATCAGCGTCTGCATTGACGCCAGGAATTCTTTCTTCCAAGCCATCAATGTCGTCCATCATGTCTTGATCGAAGTCTTCATCAAAATCATCAAAGTACCCATCTTCCATTTTGCGCTCGGCCTCCTTTGCTTTGTGTTTTTCTTCGAGGAGCTTTTCCTGGGTAGAAGACTCCACTCCTCCCATGTCAAAGCTGAAACGTGATGCATTGCTCTTGAGATGTTTGGGCAACCCAGATGAAGAAGGCCGGGGTACAATTGGTATAACATCCTCGTCCTGTTGTGGGGGTGGTGAGCTCGTCTTTGGCGGGTATTCTGGGATATCTCCATATAGCTCTGCGATGTGTTCGGCAGGGAGCTCGATCGGCGGAGAAACGCTTGACTCAACGTTCTCGGGACTTTGATTGGGTAGTCGATAGGGCAAGTTTCTAGCAAACGGGGGCAAAGACTGTTCATGCCCGGATTGGGTTTGATGTGTCAAAAGGCTCGACTGGAGATAGCCTTTATTCTCAACCTGCAGCACATTCTGGTCGTCCTCGAAGTGCTCCTTGAAAACGGGAGAGTAATCGCTATACTTTCTCGTTTGATCACTGAGTCGACTCGCTGGGCTCTGAAGTGTGGGTTGCGCTGGTGATGCATCCTGTGTGCTATAACTCGCCCCATCAGGCGGGCCACTCGGGGTGCCTGATACGTTTCGGCGAGGTCGTGGGGCTGAGAAGTCATGCACAATGCTTCCACGAATTCGGGGATCATAGTCGTCCGGGATGGCAGGAACCAGGTTAGAAGATTTATGCTTCACCTCATCCGTTCGATTGTTGCTCATCTGAGCGGATCGCCGACGGGCTAGTAGAGACATCGGATTGAGAAGATGTAGCATCGCCTTGCCGGATTTGTGATGGGTATTGTCCATAGGAACATCACGCTCCGCTGTTCGACGAACCATTGCATTCTCCGATCTGATATCTCTCGGCGGCACAAACGATTTGTCTGGCGGCAAATCTTCGGGAGAAGGCATCATTCGGAAATGGTTCGTGCCCGGGCCCGCAGTTGGCGAACGTTTCTGGGTCTCACCAGTGGCTGTTTGCAAATTGCGTAGACCTTTCCCCCGAAGGAAAGGCGGAAGGGCGAGGTTGGCTTGAAATTCGAGTCACCATCGCCCTCTGGCCATTGAAACCCGCCTGGCGGCTGTAAAGTATTTTGTTGCGACACCCACGTAGACTCGGGTTCCGAATCAAGCACAGGTCCATGTTCCACTGGGCTCGGGTGAGAGCCTTCCTCTTTCTCGAGCGACGGGTGATGAACGGCAAGGCTGACGGAGGAAGTCAGCGGTGCGACAGAAGAGCTGAAGTTGAGCTTTGAGGCATCGTTCTCAAGTGGCGAGTCGGTCCAGGGCGGGGCATCATAGGGGGGACCGTTCATCGAAGGGTGTGGTTAGGATAGGAGTATCAGGGATGTGAGGGAGCTGAGGCGGGGTGCTGAGCGGGCTGTCTATGGGACCTTTGAGACCTGGAGACGACGCGGGCGATGATACGGGCGGCGCTGTGGAGCGGCGATGGTCTCGACGCCAGTATGAGAAGACGGTGGACGGGGGCATTGTAGCCGGTGATCGGACCCGTACGGCACCAGTGGATAGCGTAGTTGCTGTTCAAGGAATATGCGACTCCATTGCTCTCAGGTATTCGCCTGTGGAGGCCACTGATTAGAGGTTGAAAGGAGGCGGGCCATCCAGTCTCACATACCAGACACCAGTGGGGCATGCAGCAGCCACTGGGCGTTGCGCTACCTAAAAGAGCCGCCTGCGGTGTTATGTGAAAGTGTGAGTGAAAGTAATATGATATGCAAATAAAGTGATCAATTGATAATAGATCTCAGGCTTTAGAGTACGAGAGTACCGTAAAGTAAATAAGAGTGAGGTGACAGTCAACAGCGGAAAAACGATGGGCCCCCCCAAGTCCACGAACCTTTGGAAGACGTAATCGGGCTGCAGCTCAACCACGGGACGGTTACACTGGTTCAGGTGCCTGGATCTATACTTAGTATACACTACAGCTTGGATTGGTCAAGAAGATATGGAATTCCTCTCCTCAGATCATACACAGGAAATAAATCAACACTACTTTACAGGGATATCCTTCAAAAACAGCAAAATAACACAAAGAAAGACGCCCAGAATGACAACGCTATAACGAACCAACAAATCCAGAAGAGAAAATGAAAAAGTATTGCAGAAAGAAGGAAATCAGCCATAGCGAATACTCTGCCTCCAGCGATCAATAACATCTTGCTGTGCAGCCTCAAGGGGCTGTCGCAAGGTTGGACCGCAGGTGCTGGGGTAGGCCATGTTGTTGTAGGGGTAGGGGGGTGGATAAGGCATTCCATACCCAGTAGATTGACCCATGGGATATCCTGTCATTCCCTGGGATGCCATATTGACGGGCAACGAATACATCGAAGAACGGTGTCCAAGCTGGGGCCTCACGCCCTGTTGTTGAGGGAAGACATCGTATGACGACTGGCGCGCGACATACGCAGGACGAGATTGTGGGAGAGCAGCCATGCTTCGTCGCATTTGGATATTCCTAACATCTCCGCGCTGCGTATTGTTTTCTCTTTGCAAACGAGCGCGTCTTTGCGCAAGGGTTTCCTCTTGTTCCGGTGCTGGCTCGCTGGGTTTCGATTCCTCCTTAGGCGCGTTTCCAGCTCGGGTATCAAACTCGGCCATGAGACCACTAGTGAACTCACTATCCTCGGTGTTCTGTCCCTTCAAGCGTCTTAACCGCTCAGCTAGAGTTTCGGCCTCGTTGTCACTCTCGTCCTCGGGTTCGGACTTCGGCTTCTCCGACGTAACTTCCATCGTGGAGTAGACAGTAACGGGCCGTTTCTCTGGGGCTGGTTCTCCCCGAAGGCGAGCACGACGAGTACTCAAGGGTTCATTTTCTTCAATCTCATGCTTCGCCATCAATCCAACAGGTCGGTTCTCGTCGTCCACATTGACCTTATCTGGATACAGCATTGCCAGGGGGACATCGTCGTCATCGGCATGATTGTTAGGATCCCATGCAAGAGTGACCGGCCGCCTGCGTCTCTTGTCACTTTGCTTTTGGGCCATCTCATCCATCTCCAACAGCGTAGCACCCATACCCTGGGCTTGCGAAGCTGTAGGAACGGCTGAGCGAGTCCGCTGTTTCAACTCTTGTTTCCGCAACTGCAATTCCGCGAGAAGCGTGTTTGGTGGCCCGACATAATCATCCTCCGAGTCTTCCTCCGAGTCTTCGCCACTTTCTGGAGAGGATGAGCCACTCTCAGTTTCGGAGCCATTGCCAGACCGACCATCATGCGATCGTTCGTGGTCGTGGTCGTGGTCGTGGGTGTGGTCACCAGGTTGTTGATGTTCTCCAACTTCTGCTTGAGCCGAGCCCTCCTCGCTCTCTTTGCTCTGCGGTTGACCCATCAGGTATTGAGAGTTGCGGTCTGACTTTTGACCAGGGGGAATCTTTAACAGGGTCTTGCGCTTTGCATTCCCATACACATGGGAGCCGATCTGGCCAGCAAAAGGGTGGTCTGTGAAGGCCGAGACCGGGGCATATGTCGAAGCGTCGAGAATGCTATCGAGTGTCGCGACGGCAGAGTCTTGTTTAACTTGGATATCAAGAGGGGCACTTGGTGGATCGAAAAACACGCTTGCGCGGAGTTGCTGGGGAACGGTCGATTGATGTTTGTCTTTCTGGCCGTCTTTGGTCGCTGTTTGCTCTGCCAATTTGTCGTCGGCGGCAATCGAGTGCATAAGCTGGGTACGACGCCTTTCACGGTCCGTAATGGGCTTGTGCGACAGCTTCGGTGGTAGATTTAATATGCGAGGGACAGGCGCTGGGTAATAAACCATTTGTTCCCCCGACTGCGGGACCTTGTACGATTCCGGCTTGCTTGCAAGGGGAGGCTGGATCAGCGAGAAACGCCGTCCGCTTTCCGCGCGTTCCAAAGGATTGAAATGAACACCATCGAAGTCATTAAACAACGTGCGGGCCTGGTGGAAGGTATCACCCGATGCAGCTGAAGCTGGTCGCTCAACTTCCTCCGTGGTATCATGGCCTCCTTCATAATGATTGTATTGAACTTCACTTGTTTGGCTATAGATCTGGGGTTGTGGGGCGGGTAGGATCGGCAACGGCGTAGGGATGTGGTCGGCATCGCGCCCGTTCTCATCATGATCGGGTTCCGTGACCTGAGCCAGTCGCGAGGCGCCGGATACGGAGCGCTGGCGTGTGGAAAAGGTCGATCCATGAGCGGAGGCCACAGTCACCGGGGAGAATGCACCATTCCGCATAATTATTGAGTTTGAGGCGGAGCTGCACGAACGCCTCTTCTGCTCCTGATCCATCTTGCGTATTTCACTGCCAATATCTGCAGAACTAGAGCTCAGGCGCTCCGCAGTCATTTCCAATCGCTCTACATTGCCCACATAGGCACCTTGGAGCGATTGAAGGTCTGGGATCGGATGGCTGAGAGGGGGAGGAATGTCGCTCGAGGCGCTGTGTAAGGGGGGGTTCGGGGGAGGAATGTCGCGCGATAGCTGTATTGAGCGGAGGGATAGCGCGGAAGCTGCTAGGTCGCTGATCGGGGGAAGGATCGGCATCATAGTCATCATCTTCGACTACATCGTAGCTGGTTGAGGTCATCGAGCGGATCATCGAGGCTAGATCTAAGCCAGCCTTGTCAGACGTTTTGGCGGTCTCCAGATGACTTCCCCCATCGAGGTGATCGGTATCGTGTAGTTGTTGAAAAGGACCATGTGAGGGAGATGGGCTGCGCGACAGGTCGGAACCGGAGTGAGAAGCGACCTCGTCAACTTGAGCGACGGCGTTGTAGGCCATGGTCTCAGAGTAGGTCATGCGACCGTGAGGTGGTGGTGGTGGAGATGGAGATGAAGGTGGAGGATGAGAGTGAGGGCGAAGGAGAAGGTGAAGGTGTTCAACCGTTGACCTCCAAACACCCGGGCCGGGTGTGGAGGATGAATGGGGAACTCAAAGGCTGGAGCAGCAGAGAGGAGAAGGTGAGATTAAGTGTACCATTTGTTCCTAAGGCTATCTCTGGGTAGAGGACCAGGGACGAAAGTGAAAGTGAAACCCAGGAACCAAAAAAGGACTACTCGTGTGTCACTCGAGGAGATTTTTTGGATTTTTATTTTTTTTTCGCCTCTTGAGGGTTGAGCTAAATTTGGACGTAATACAAGGCACAATGTCTCTACCCCCTCTATTTGCCCCCCCCTTGGAATGCTTCGATTCGAGACAAAAAACAGGGTTATTCAGGCCAAGACCGTGTGGGACCCAAAGAGGATCCAAAAGGGACGAGCGCACGGTCTGGCCCGTGGGGGGTCATCTACGGAGTAGAGTACTACAGTAGTATGTATAGATGTACACAGGTGTACGTGGTTCGCATCTGCTACAGCGACGCCTACGATTCCATCTGTCGAAATTTCAATTCAAACCCAGTCGCACACTAGTATCTGGCTGCAGCTGAAATCTTACGATACAAATAAAAATAAAAATAGTATCATGATCTCTCCTATCCCGGCAGGGATCGACTCGATCTACAACAACCTTCTTCACCTAAACCCCCTTAAAAAAGTCAATTGGAACTTCGATTTTTGGTCCATGAAAATATCAATGAGCAAAGAGCCTGACAATCAAGTAGTACAAAGGAAATATAGCGATAGTTTAGGTAGAATAAGTTCAAGGGACAAAGAAACATCGTACAGTATGTACACATCTAAAAAACACCGAATCAAGGCTTGACAAAGGTCAAAAAGTCCAGCGACAGATCGGTAAAGAAGCTGGCGCCACCAACGGTCTTGGGGTGATTAGACTGGGTCACATTGCAATACTCAATGAAGTTGCCAGCCTTCTGGCTCTTGCTCTTGATAAGAGACACATACTTGGACAAGAGACAACTCTTACCCGGTCCATCATGACAGCTCGCGATAGGATAAACCGCGTCGTTGAACAGCACCCGAATATAAGGATCCGTCGAAGAGTGCTTCTTACTTCCAGTGCTGCAGTTCAAAACCTCAAAGGCGACAGTGCCGCGCATGGTAATCCAATGAGCAATGTTATACAGGTGGTTCTTTGGAAGGCGGGTGGAAGAAAGGGGGTCTTCCTCGTCGAAAATCCCCATGGCTGCTGTCATCTCGGCAATTTGATTGTCGTTCAAAAACGCCATGATCAAACTCGGGACCGTAAAGGACTTCCCGTCAGCACCGATGCCGGTCTGGCCAGGTCCCTTACTGAGCAGTTCAGTCAGACTCTCAAGGAATGGTAGGAAGAGCTTTGGAGCGGGCCCATCTGCACCGGGGCCGACACCATAATAATAGCTCAGATCCTGAGAATACGCATAGTTGCGCAACTCATCCTCGGTGAAGACCCCACACCAGGGGCTGAGGTTGCCAGTGATCTGACTCTCGTACCCGCACAAATAGGGGAAGAAGAGGATGTCGGTTTCAGTAAAGGTGAGATTCCCTTTGACCAGTGAGTTGATACGTTTCAAGGCTTTGGGGACCCATGTATTGTCAACTGTGGATAGAATTAGCGATACTGTCATCTCAAATTCAGAAGGTCCAGGTTGAAACCATCACGCACAGTCTGTCACATTGTTGCCCCCGCTGGAGGTAGATGCAAAGGTCGGACATGAGTCTGAGGGCCCGAGTGAGTTACCAATGGCATTCACGGAGCCAGTTGAGTTGACGCTGACAACCGTTCCATATGTATCAGCAAATTCATAGAGGTAGCCATTAACGAAAGCCCGAGCGGTTTGAACTACTCGGGACTCGTTGATGGGGTTCTTGTATTGATTTGCCCATACATAAAACGGGTTACCGTCCTGGTAAAAGTTGGGATCTGCACATCAATTAGTAGACATCGATTTATATGGCGACGGGAATCTTACACCGGGCTCGAAGCTGATAACCAAGATCACTAGCCTGTAACCAACTCGAATGAGCTTCCAAGGTTCGTTCTGCGCTGGGATGAGCGGTTATCATACCTCTTTCCAGCCTGTCATAGACTCCTGGGCTATTTGAAGGGTTGGGTTTGTCAACACCGGGCTCCAATCCGGGATGAACGAAAGCGAGCCGCGTGCATCAAAGCCTGTACCATTGACGGCAATTTGAATCTACATACCACACCCTTTAAGTAAGCCATTATACAAAAAAAATTCGTTGAAAAAGCAAACCTTATCTTCGAGTGCCACCCAGCTATTGTAAGAACCTGTATCGGGGAATCTGAGGTAGAAGTTTAGCCAATTGTCTCCAGCTTCCCCTGTTATCGCTTACCTGCTCCCGTGTCTCACAACATAAGCAGCCTGTTGCACGGTGCACTTGTCAGGCGTTTCGTTGCTCACTCCATTGACATTCGGACCAGCAAAGTATGGGCTATTCCCACCTGCATACTGAAGAGGATTCTGTGCTGTTTTACTCGAGGGGAACAGGATATCATTGGCCGGAGCGAGCACTGCAGCACTGCTCGTCGTAGCTGCTAGCAGTAGCGAAGATACCGCGGCAGTTTTGAAGTAGTTCGTCATGGTGGTTGTATTTATTTTCATAAACGCATACTCCTAATCCTGGCGGCGAATTCATAACACTATATAGCTACCGACACCGGTGATGTTGCGGACCTGCGTTAGTTCGCCGGCTAGTCCCCCCTAGTAGCGCCAGGGAAGGCTGATAGCCCCCCCGCAGGCCTATTGCCGGCGCACGTGTCGGAGTAATTACGCCGTGAGATTTAACCGAGATGAACCCGATAATATACTGCTTCCAATTTCATCTAGAAGTCCGATTTCTTGAATGGATTTCTACTTTAAATAGGCTCGGCTTTCTCGGCTGCCACTAAGAGGGTACCAAGCCACAACGATTGCCTATCATTTATGAAACGTGCCCAGTGGACTGATTAATGGAATCCTGGTGCGTACAATAGTCTTCCTATGATGGATACATCAGCTGTCATTGATCTACGCGGCAACCGAGTTAAGCGAGCTATCCAGAAAGCCCTGTCACAGATTCCTCTTCTTCATGGATGACTTGAGTGCCGACATGCCCTTCTCGATGTCGGCAAAAATACCCGTCATAGTCGACTGACCACAGGCATGCTCTTGATGCTTGGCAGTACTACCGATATCTCGCTTTTTGAAATTTATGCCTGGCGAGACAGTCACGCAATTGTATTGCGACTCGCCGGCCTGAGTTGGCAGATTTCCTCTGTCTTGCAGTCGCCCGAACACGACTCAACTTCCCATCCTCGAGTCTTGCGCGCGATATAGTCCTGGAACACTGAATCCTCATTTTCAAACAGTGTGGTGACGTTGTGCCAGAATGCGGGAGTGAGTTCCGCGGCAGAGTCGGTCACGGCAGGCTCAAGAAGCGAGCCGTATGTTTCCTTCGCAGAGTAATATTTTTCCCAAACTGGATTTGTCTGGTAATCCGGGCTCGACATATTTGTGATGTAAACGGTGTAATCCAGCACTCCAAAAGTCACCGGGTCGACCGAGTATACGCGGAAGGTGGGATTGCCAGAAGTTGGGGTCAAGGCCGGGGCGATATAAGACATCACGTTCGCGGTTTTGGCAGATTTAGCGGTATAATTGGAGTATGAGAGTTCAAATTCGTCTTTGTGTGTGTGACCGTAAAATGCTCCGGCAATAGTCGCGTCGTAACGTTGAATGATCTGGTTGAAGTAGTTCGATCCATCATGAAGGGTATCTCCAGAGCCCATCGGCATGTGTCCTAGAAGCCAAACGCGCTCGCCAGCCGCCTCCGCTGCACTAAGCTCCGTGACCAACCATCTCAATTGACCATTGGGGTCCGTTTCCATGGTCTTTTCATACAGCCAAAAGTTCTCCTTGTAGTAGAAATTGGTGTTGAAAGAGATGATTCGCAGATTACTACCTGGGTGTTTCACCGAGTATGCGCCATAGTTGTCTGCCACTGTCGCTGCCGTTGATCCAATCCACTTACTCCAGGCAGAAGAAAGAGTATCGTAGACCCATTGGCTGGATATAGTGGTATCGATAGCAGCGGTCGGGAAAGAGTTGACAGGTGCCGCGTCATGGTTGCCAACAACACCATACACCTTATTGAGATAGGATGGCATCCGTTTGTTGTAGGCATCGTTCAGGTCATTTGTAACCTCGGTTTCATTGACCAGCCAGACAGCACCTTCGACTACATCGCCGGTAAAGATAGTGAAGTTTGCATCAGGGACCAACTGCTCAATGGCTTTATACATGCTTTCCTCTAAACTCAGAGGCGAGTCGCACTTTGAGTTTCCATATTCACCTGCAGGGTAGCTTGTATTTCCTGGAGCATCGGCAGCGGTGTATGGTCGACAGCAGATATTCTTTGTGCAATTATAGCTGGCATCATGATGATCATTAGCAAAGGCCGTGAGGGCTAGAGTTCAGGACAACATACTTTGCACCAACTTCATAGGAAAGATCAACATGGATGTCACTGATGTGGACAATTTGAAGAGGAGTTTGACCGCTGGGAGATGGCCGGGATGCATTCGCGGGCTTAACAGAAGGAAATTCAACCGTATACTCGGTCACGTCTGGAAAATCACAAAGACCAAAAACAGTTGAGCAGAAAAGGACTGCAGTCGTGGATGGGATGTCCATGTTCCGGAGGTCGTGTGCGAGAATCGGTCCTTCAAGACCGATCGCTCCCTCGCAGACATCCTTATCCTCGACCTAAAAACCCATTAGATGCTGTCTTCAAACATAAAAATATTCAATTTACCCCAGCCAAGACGCAAACATCGGTGATCACATCCACAAATGCATCATTTCCCAGGTGGGCCAACCCCTGCAAGATACCAAGTAGAGCCTGTATCATAGATATAGTGTTAACAGTTTGTACATTTAGGAGATGCTCTGAGCTCCGACACCTGACGTACCTCACAACTGCTGCAGGTCACTGCATTTTCAATGTCGGAGAGAATATCGCTCGCGCTACTCCTCTTGACAACGTCGTCTCCATCCGATGAGGCGAATGAGGCACCTAGCAGGGTTGCAGCTGCAATCCACAGTCGAACAAACATGTTCAATTCACTGAAAAACCTCAGAATCCAGCAGCTTTGGATTGTTCGACCTTTCAAGCTTTGAGCGACAACCTATTCAAAGTGTGCAATGACATAGAGACAGACTTTTAAACCAACCACACGGCAGAGTTCCACTACTTTGCACTAATGCAGGCCCGATGAAATTGGCTTCATCGCACGTTGGGCTCTATTCAGCAGTGATTGACTACATACTGCTAAGCGAAGCGGAGGTTGTGCCACAAGCATCGCCAACCCCTCAATGCACCGCACGAAAGACGCTGATCGCTTGGTGCCGATTGGTGCCTTCGGGGTTCGCCAATAGGGGATAGAAGTTACCAGTTGTCTATGTCTGGAATGGTTTCTCCGAAAGTGCCGGTCGGTACACTATCAGGGCGCTAGAGGCAATCTATTCGCTGAAGAACATGCATCGGGTCCAACGGCTACGGGGAATTTACCCCTTTTAATGGCCCACCAATCCGTCCTATCTCCACTGAACACGGGATAGAATTGACAACGCCGATCATAATGGGCTTTAAATAGCTCGTGATTTTATGTGTATGTTCTGGAAGACATGATCTTGGGTTCCAGTAGAATGCCCGTGTCAGAGCGCTGATCATGGGAGTAGGCTCCCAGGAATTCGATCATGGCGCCGGGGAATTTTGGGTTTGTTTTGTACCACATATTAGGGCTATGGTCTTGATTATTCTAAATTTCTCAACCTTGTACTCCGAACCTAATAAAACACAACTCATGAATCTGGAGTGCCATGGTTCAAACAATCAACTTCAAGTTGAAGTTATCAGCCCTGGAGTACTAGGTAGCTCTGGAATATATATCGTGGCGTTTACGCCCTGAACTCGGAGGTTGCCAACTTGAACCCCAAGGCTTGTGACTCGGAGGCGCATCGATGGGTACGCATCAGAACCAAGGTCGTAATGACGGCGATGCCAAAGGTATTGAAGTAGATGAATCGAGCATCATGGTTGCCGAATACCATGACGTGTTTGGGCTCAGCCATAATTTCAATATTGTGCTGTTAATAGATGACTCTAGAAAGGGGGACACTTCCAAACAAATAACTTGAAGCCCCCTGTATATTGGGCGGCAGGAGTTGTAGGACAGTTTCCCCATTCGCGAGCTCCCCTACTACCGATGAAAGAAATCCATCTAATTCACAAGAACAACCAAATAATAGGGGATTGGCGTTCTACATATGGGTGGGTCTGATTTCCCGGTTACATAGAACAGTCATCGTTAAATGTTCACGTGATCACGCGGCGCGCCGGCCAAACCGGCGGGACGCGCTGGACTCGATTCCCCGGCAGCCAGCGACAGCGCATCATTCGCTAAAATGTCATACTATGACATTGATTCCATTTTGACAGATGCACAGGTCAGTCCAGACAGATTTATTCTATGAATATTTGGCCCAAGAGCTAATAGCTGGTCTTAGAAACTGCCTTGCACGTTCGAACTAGAAGTTCCAGGTCTGGGCATCCTGGAGGGAAATCCAGGCGAAGATGTATGTTTTTGAACATTAACAACCCTGGGAAAGCCCATTCTCACTCATGCATCTCAGATTAAACCGGGTACTCGCATTGATCTCCCACTATGGCTAGGGGAGATGCTTTCTATCGGGTAAGACTGGCCCCCGCTATTCGCCTAGTAAAAAGGCAAGTCGTTTCTGACATTTGACCGTTGCAGTGCACGACTGGGGACATCTCGTCTGGTGACCCTTGATATGCCGTCCGCTCTGTCCGAGCGAGTGATGAACGCACTGAAAGCAGACCCACGAACAGTTGACCTGCGTTCCTTGGCCCCGCATTTCTACAGCCTGGGGGAGAGGATTCTCGAACTGTTCGAGGAAGAGGAGTTGGTCGACGTATTGATGGAGGTATGTCATTGGCGGTGCCTCTCAAACCCCTTTAACGGAAATTAGCATTTCTGACGTGGATTCTAGACCTTCAAGAAACGGGCGGCCGAGGTCTCCGATCAAGCTCACAACCCGCGTGGAGCCGTTGGAGACGGAGTAGATTTCCTCCGAGGTCTCGACGAGACAGAACGCCAGTGTAAGTTGCAGGGACTATTGTTCCGCACGGCAGTGGACAATGTGCATTATTGAATTTAAACTGACAGGCTGCAGTGTTCCGAGCGGCTCATGATCGGGCTAAGGAGATGCGGGTCTGGAGCGGGGAGGCCAAGCGGAAATGATTAGTCGCGACCAACTCGAGACTCGGACTGAGCTGTGCTCGTTGAGAGATTTCGAGGGCGGAAAAGGGTGATCTATCACGTCTAATCTAACCAGATGAACCATAATAATGACTGCATGCCCAACAGAAATGTGATCACAGTAAGCGGTATTCTCGATGCCGTTATATGTCTTGATGTACTTGTAATTATCTACTCCAATTCGCTGGGAAATCCTCTAAATCTCCAAAGGGCCATTACTAGTAGTACCATGCCTTACCTAACTAATACGAGTACCAGACTCGCATCGCGTTCAAGTTCCATATGAATGAATGTGGGCACAAATCAAGATGGCAGAGGAATAGATACGACCTATCCGGTCTCGATGGACTCGGAATAAATTGGAATATGCTTTATTTTTGGTGCTTTGATACTCCGGGTCTGTGTACGGAGTATTCCATATACTCCGGCAGATAGTTGTACATCGATGGATAGTTAGTTCGGACGGTTGCACATAGTGGGGCGAGCCACGCGAGTTCATTTTTGCTTTTTCTTTTCATGAACTTCTACGGAGTACGGAGTACAGGGCATCTGGAATGAAAGTCCTTATACGGAGTACCCTAGCTACTGTAGGTACTCGGTTAATGATTGGCACAGCCAGAACGGCCCAGGCAAAAGGACCCAAGCGTAAGGACAGCTGAAACCGACCCCACGGGCGCCATCCGATTGGGTCAAAGTGATGTCAGGCACAGCGATCGCCGATGATCTCGTCCAAAGAGCTAGCGGGGGGGCTGGTTAGCTTCTCAGCTAGGGGAAAAAAAAATAAGTCAAGTCAACAAGGTGATTCTTCCATTCCTCGCCTCATTCCAGTCGTCTCCATGGCGGGGACTGTCTCTCTCACCACTCTCATTTGATAACCTATTCCTTTCTATACTGCCAGTATTGTCACTGCTAGGAGTATACAACCATTCGTTCAGTTACTTTGCGCCCCCCGCGTGACTCGTCACAATCCCTCTCGATCCCTCACCTCGATAACCTCGATCTCAATCTCGATACTTTATACCATTTTTCTTTTCTTTTCTTTCCCCCCTGGTGGATTACCCCTGCACCACCAGAAACCTTGTATTGGTCCCACAGGTTCTTCTGTTCGCTTCTCATCGCCTTCAATCTGCATCCCTCGCTTCCTGCAGTCGAATCTTCCTTTGCGCCCACGTCGGATCATCCAATACATTGCCTAGTCATCGTTTAGTTTGGGGCAAGATTTCCAGATCCAGTTAATTAATTATCCGACGAGAGTGGAGGGCTCCGCTCTGAATTACCTTCTCTGAGTTCCGATTGCGCAGGTCGCACAAGGAATCGCAAATCATCGCCGCATGGGAGTATGCAACAGGATGGATGTAAACGACCGCAAAACCCAGCGCCGGAGCTCGGCCGCTCCCTCACACCCACATTCGCATTTACCTTCATACCCACAGTCCCAGCCGCGAGGCGCAGTATATCACTCCGAGACTGCCCCATCCACCCGCAGTACCTCCAAGCGTTGTCCCAGCAGTGAGCCTCTCCCCCCTTCCGTCCAGACTGCCCAAAACTAAACATCCGTCAAACTGACCTTGGTCCATCATCTCTTCAGATCAATCCGATCGTCCACAACATTCGTCCCTGAATCGAGTGAAGGGCAGAACCAATATGAATACCCCTCCCCGGATGAGTCCAGAGATGTCCTGGCTAAAGGATCAATCGCCTGTGCGTGGGACACGCACTCCTCCTCGCCCGTGCAGTATGTCCCCTCCTCCCTGTATAGGAACCACCGGGGAAATGCATCTAATACTGGGTTTTTGATTGCGATAGGAACATCTGAGCCTGGTACTCCGACCACATTGGTGAATCCCGCATCTAGTCTTCTCCAGGATCTATTGAAGGAGCAGCGTGCCCATCGTGGTTCTCGAGGAGCTGGATCTGGATCTGAAGACTGGAATGATAGCCGCCCCAGAACCCCCGAGAATCGTTCCGTCCAAGAAGACACCGCCTCCGACAAATCACGGAAAATGAAGGATACTTTTACCGCAAGCTCACGGGAACAGCCGAAGGAGATGGGCGTCCGAGAGATGGATCAGGTGGGTCCTCGGTAGAACCGATCGATCGATTAACACAAATCTGACCCCTGGAACAGTATGTTTCGAAAATCACCAAGCTGAACTTCGACCTGAAGTTGGAGATCTTCCACCGCACCCAACAGCTGGGAACCATGGAGAAAAAAATGGAGCGAATGGAGAAGATGGAAGAGGAGCTGCAACAGATGCACAAGCTCGAGGAAGAAGTGGTGGAGCTCCGTGCGGCTAAACAGCGGAATTGCAGCCTGCAGGAGTCTAACGATCGCCTTCGGGAGGAACTTCACAAACGAGACCAGGCTGTCGCGGAAGCCGTGCAGTTCATCTGCCAGCTGGAGGCCAAAATCGACGAGATTGAAACGGGCGGGCGCACTTCCCAGGCCTCATTTGGTCGTCTGGTGCTCGATGGACCCAATGCAACACCGAGGACACAGGCGGTCCTTGAAATTCCTGAGAGAACGTCATCCAAGCGAGCATCTTTGAAATCACCCGAGCGCACTCTGAACAAAGTGCCTTCATTTATGCGAGGAGACAGTGAAAGTACTTCGGTTCTGCGCAGCTTGTACGCTCCGGAAGTGAATAACTCATACTCAGCTATGAGTCAATTGACGAAATCGGAAAGTTACAATACCATGAACGACATCCTGGAACCGGTATCACCTAGACTCAGTGTACTCAGTGAGTGTAGCGAGTTGCATCCACTAGACACCCCTACGAAATGGGATCAAGCCGACAAGCTGGATATCCCTGTGCGTAGGGTTTCATCCATGGATTCTTTTGACAGTTTCAACCCCCGGCTCGAACGAGAGGAGAGGATGGATACCCAGATTGACGAATGGATGGAGCCACGTCAGGATATGCAACAGACTATAATCAGACGGCGCATGAATCGAGTCGCGTCAGATGCTTCCAAAATCCCAACAGCCCCTTTCAGGATTTCGTCCAATCATCAAGGACGCGGGCGACTGGACGAGATGCTCTTTGCTGGGGTCAAACTCCCACCCACCCCCGATACTATGAGCACTGCTCATGTGGCAGGTCGCCATGGCTCAAATGGTAGTATGGCGGCCGCTGCGCAGAGAAGTCCCAGGCCTGACCGCGACCTTTGGCTCGCCGGTCGACCATTGGAACGTCATCGTTCTGCTGATGAGCTCACAACTCGAACTCGCCGCAGCTTCACTGGCAGCGACGTCACAGACAGTATGCAAACAAACTGCAGCGATACCCCTCGCCTGGGCTTCATGAATGACAAAGAATCCCCCTCAATGTTCCCTTTTAACACGGTTGCGTCGAAAGCCAGTGAACTACTTGGTCCTGGAAGTCCTAACAACCCCGTCGTTGATTCATTCGGGGGTCTTCTCCGTCAAAACAGCAGTGACAGCCAAGATGAAGCAGTACCTCCGGCGATTCCTGCGTACCAAACTCCGACTAAGACTGTTTCCAAATCTCGGTCATTGGAGGATGAAGCGTCACCCCCGCTCACTCCCCAGGAGTGGATCGCCGCTGCAAGGCACACTCCTCGAACTCGCAAACAGCTAGCCCATGGCCTTCGGGTTGAACAAGAGGGGCGGGGTGACCTGCCACCTCGCAAAGTTATCAGCCAGGCGGCATTCCATGACGGGGATAGTGTTGACTCTTACCCAATGGAGCATGATGCGCCAGGGGTTCCGACCCTCGACATGGACACACTCAATATCCTTGAACAGCCCATTGCTGAGGTCCCTGAAGATCCCGCCCCGCTGCAGAAATCCGAGCCAGAGCAACGCCGGCGCTTCAGCTTCCGGCCTCCATTCCTCAATCGTGCAAACCTTCCTCGCCGTATTCAACCCTCTCAGACTGCACCAAACCTGATGGACGACGATGAGGATGATGGCGCGCCATCGCCCATTATCCCGAAGACTCGTAACATGGGCGGCGCAGGTCGTCGTCCTATGTCACAGATCATCACCAATACGACGGACTATTACTCATCCAGCGTTCCTCCTCCAAACGAGAGATTCGGAAACGAGAACTTCACAGTGAAATCTTTCCACCAATCTTTAATGGAGAGTCGCGACGAAAACATTCCCCCGTCCACAATGGATCCGCCACCATTTCTGGACGTCCCACAACATCCCACAGCGCAGACCACAAACGTCGCAGCTCACTTGGAATCTTTGGGTGGATGAAGGGCATGAGTGCTAAACGCTCAGAGCCTGCAACCCCCGCCGAGGCTGAGGATTTCCCCGAATCCGTGAAAGACCCGCGTCCAGTTTCGCGTCCTACGCATGAAACCAGTCGGCTGACGTTGGGGCGACCTTCAACTCCTGACTCAATGGATGCCCATATGGTTCGTCCACGCTCGGAAATGACAATGTACTCTGACGACCAGACCCGTCGTCCACGTTATATGGGTCGTCGCGCTCGTCGGGGGTAATTTACCCCGGTAGCAAACTTCTGATGCTCCCTCATCTCTCGCCACCTCACTCACCTTTTACTTATGATACCCACGTCCATGTATAACAACAAAGAACAGTGCGCAGTATCAGGAAAGGTGCTATCATCTCAAGACCGCTGATTCCTTTCGTCACTCGGAATGTCAATCGGTAATGGTTTTGTACACTCTGTATCTATATTACAATTCTTCCTGCCGGACAGGAAGGATGCTCATGTTTTAAATGATTTTAAGTGCGCGGTATATTTCTATGGGAAGGCTAAAATGGAAATTAGCGAATTTGGGTTTACCATATAGTTTAAAATAGCTTATTGTATTATTGAGTCGCTTTGATCATGATGATTTCAAAAATTAGATCGAATCAAATTCTGTCCTCCCACCCTGGACTTGAGCCCTCTATCATACTAGATTACACCTAGTCGCTTTCAAAGAATCCGTAATTTTGTGGCATCCAGGCCAGTTCGTCACCCATAACTCCATTACCTGCTCTCATCGTCAAACGCCATCCTTGAAAAAGGGTACCAAGAGAAAATCAAAATCAGAATGAGATAATACACGAAGAAAATTGAAAAACATCAATGAACAGCGGTCTGCAAGGTTAATACCAATCGTTGCCCTTTTCTCCTAATTTCTTCTTTTGCGGATTGAGAGAAATCACCCGCTGACCAGGGAGCGCATCGGCAGTAAATGCCGCTTCAAAGATACTCGCAATTCCACGCTTAGCATAATGAGCGAAAGCGTCGTAATCATCACGTTTCCCATTCACGGCTCCCCACTCCAGACCCTGCGGAGACATACCATCGCCTAGGTCACTCCAACGTGTCACAACGATAGCTTGTCTAAACACGCCGGGCCGCGAGTCCCCGCGATCCTCGGAAAGCTTCACCTCAATCAGATATTCAGTCGGGCACTCGGGGCACCGACGCATAGGCCTGCAGAACCCACAGAGCGTAGTCAGGGCATTGGGATCAAAGCCTGATCCCTTCCAGCGGTCCTTGACTTTATGTTCGAGACCCTGTAGCCCGCCTGTCTCCCGTGCTCGGGGGATATGGCCTAGCGCACACTTACAAGCAGGCATGAGCTCGCCGTCCCGCCAATGCGCACAGGCAGAGAAGTAAGGCCAGTAGTCTTCGCGTGAGAAGAGAAGAATTCGCTGTGCTGATGCAGGTAGATCGGCCGGCGCAAATGCCTGGCTTTTAACCCGCATCATTAGCCGACCTTCATGAATGTGAAATCGTGAGCTGAATGACCAGTTATCCCGCTGCCACCGTTTTCCCATGTCCTCCACGGGGATTCCATATCTCGGCCCGAACCGGTGTGCACGCATGATAAGCTGGACAAATGAATACGAGAGCATTCGGCCGTGCGTAATACGGTGCCGCGGCGGAGGATTAAGCGCATTGAACGCATTGGCGCAGTTGAATAGCGGGTTAATAACATGAGCCGGCCTCATACGTTCCTGTCCCTCCTGAATACGGCGATGATACCGCGCACATGGGAAACAAAGTAGATGATGCGGCAAGGACTGATCAAGCCTCGCCAAGAAATCAAGTTTATAGTGGAAGTTCTGCGTCGCTTCCAGCGAGAGGAAGTACCGCGGTCCCAGACGGCGGTACAGCGTAATCGTCGCAATTGCCAAGCTCGCCGCATCGGCCGGGTCCAAGAACCATGCAATAAGCGCCCACAGTCGCGGCGGCAACTTCGCTATGTCCCCTTCCCCAGGTTCCCGGTGGTCTTCGAGCTCCTCCGTAGGCCCGTAGTTATCGACCGGGTCCAACAAGCCAAGAGTGTGGATCATGCTCGTGTAGTCGCGGCGCTCGCCCAATTGTGAGTCGACATTCGCGTGCATCTGCTTATATTTTTCCCGGTGTACCTGCAAAGGCGCCAGATTCGGCATCGGGGGCGGTTCGTCGGCGCTGGGACATGCGGCCAGCCGCAGGTCGGTCGTGGAGCGACTGCCCTTTCGAAGGGTTTGGCGGGATTTCTTAGGTCGAAGAGCATTGGTGAATAGGGATCGGAAGCCCCCTTTCGGGCCGGGGCTTTCTGCCGACATAGTGAATTGCGCGCGATTAGCAGGGCTTGAGTCCTGTAAGTGGGTTTTGCGTGGATGTCTGTAGATCGAAGCCTTGAAGGTTGCTCTTGAAGTTGGAGACCCTGGGCTTACGTGACGGCCCGCGTCGGCCCGGCTGAGCCACACTGGCATCTTTACCAGTTCTATAGTCATAGTGTATGCAACATTGAATTGTATTCAGACGTAGTGACGGTCTATTGTATTTAGTACTCTTAGATAATTTACTGGGTTCTCTCGAAATTCTGAATTGAAATGCGCATACAATGGCATGTGCCCACTGAAGTATATACTACTACTACCACTACTACTACTACTACTACTACTACTACTCGAGATGCAACCGCCCCGCCGGGATAAGTGAGATGGCGCTACTACTAGTACTCGTAGACCTCAACAACTTGAAAAAATCAAACATGGCAGGTCGGAAGAGACTTGAATATACAACTGTAGCACTGAAATGAGATGAAAAATACAAAGGGTGTGATAGGGGACGTGATATCACCACTAGTAGTACTCAAATGAAGAGGTACTGACCGTGGAAAGATCTAGGGAAATGCCTGCGACATTCGATCACAGTTTGGCGAATACTAGTAATCAGGTGATGTATCGCGCTACTAGTAGTTTACTATGGTATCAAGATAGAAATACAAAATGCCGTTAGGCATTGATTTGATAAACGCATGCTACATACATGGTAAATTCAGAGCATACATATCATAGGTATCCAGTCGCTTTCAAAAAGGCCACCGCGCAATCCGCTTAAGAGAAACGCTTCTCAACGGTCTTCCAGTTGATGACCTCCCAGATGGCCTTGAAGTACTCAGCCTTGCGGTTTTGGTAGTCGAGGCTAGATGGAGGGTTAGCAAGCAGTTAGGCGAGGGTTTTTGATGGTTATGCTTACTAGTAGGCGTGCTCCCAGGCATCGATACCGAGGAGGGGCTCGAACTGACCGACGACGGGGTCCTGGTTCTTTTGGTGTGTTAGCATTTGTTGTCCTAACCCTAGCGAGGACTCGATTACTTACGGCGTAGGTGCGGATGCTGATCTGACCAGTCTGCTTGTCCTTGACCAGCCAGGCCCAGCCACTACCTTGGATACCAGCAAGAGCAGTGTTGACCTTGTTCTGGAATTCGCCGAGGCTGCCGTAGGTCTCATCGATGGCCTTGGCAAGGGCACCCGAGGGGGGGCTCACCACCGCCAGCACTCTTGGGGGCCAGGTTCTCCCAGAAGAGGGTGTGGTTAAGGTGACCACCACCGTGGAAGTTGATGGCGGGCTTCAGAGAGATCTGGGCGGCAATGTCACCCTTGTGCTGGGCCTCCTGGAGCTGCTCAACAGCGGTGTTGTAGCTGTTGACGTAGGTGTTGTGGTGGTTCTTGTGGTGGAGCTCCATGATCTTGCCGGAGATCGACGGCTCAAGGGCGCCATAGTCGTCTTGGCGTCATGTTAGTTTATTGAATTCTTTCTAAAAATTTGATTCGATTTCGGGCGAAGTGATCCCGGGGGTACCGAAGAAAGAGCACTTACAGGAGAGGTCGGGTAGAGTAGCCTTGCCGCGGGCGAAGGTCAGACCCGCAGCTCCGGCCTTGAAGGTCGGAGCTCCTGAGCGTAGGGCGACACGTGCAGTGTTTGCAAGAATAGAAGCCATTGTGAGGGAAGTATTGGGAGATTATGGAGGTTGAATGTGAGAAAAAGTATGGGGGAGAGTTCAATGGGAAAGAAAGGACAAGCGGGTCTCATAGCTAATGAAGTAACCGAGCTTAACGTCATTCTTGTTTTCGCCGGTCGGCTGTGAGTTTCTCCGCCTCCGACGTGAATTTCATATGACACTCAAGCAACCAAATCATTGATTACACTAATCCTCGCCATTTCAAGCTGTGAGGGTCCAGCGTGGAGCTATGGAGTCGCCATCCCCTCCATATGCCGGTCAAAAGCGCAAAGTCACCGAAATGAGCTCCTCCGACGAAGAGGATGCGCGCCCGACCACCGGCTTTCGTGGCTTTGCCAGAGCCCGCGATCGTTCCGAATCTCCTGCTACTATGGGAGGGCTAGGTAGCACATCTCGCAACCCACGGAACAATATGTCAAACTCGAATGCACCCCCGCGAGGTGGAGCACCCAGTCGCGGTGGAAAGGGTGGAGGCGGCAGCTCGTTCGCCGCGCGCATGATGGCGAAGATGGGCTACAAAGAGGGACAGGGTCTAGGAACCACTGGACAAGGTATTGTCAATCCGATTGAAGCACAAGCGCGCCCGACAGGTGCCGGCTTAGGTGCGGTCCGCGAGAAAACCAAACAAGCTCGCGATGAGGAGCGCCGCGAAGCCGCGCGCAAAGGCGAGACGGTCGAAGACAGCTCCGACGAAGAAAAACGAAGACGGAAAACGAAGAAAAACGAACGCAAGACAGAAAGTCGGAGCGGTACGGGCACCCCGGTTGCGCGCGTCAAACCTCAATTCCGTACGGCGCGAGAAATAGAGACCGATATGGAAGGCTTGGAGGTGCCAAACGTTCTAAAATCCCTTGTGGATGCTACAGGCAAGGAACAACGAGTCCTGACCTCGACGGCCGGCTTGATGACATCACAAGGATTTGTGAGCTCAGGAGAGGGTGAAGCTTTGAAGATTGCTCGGCGTGCTCGCAACGACCTTGAAGCTTTCGCAGACGAGTGGAAAGGCTTGACGGAGCGGAAGAAGTTCATTGAGATCGAAGAGGCTCAGGTGGTCGAAGAATTGGACGAATATCAATCCCGAGTCGACCATCTTACAGGATTAATTGCTGCTGTTCAGGAGCTGGACTTCTTTGAACATGACGAAAGCATCATATCTAAGTTCGATGAGATGACTGGCAAGCTCGAAGCTATGGAATTGAAGTACCGCGATATGATGGATGAATACAAACTGGCAGAGGCGGCTGTTGCTGCCATCCATCCTCTATTTCGGCAGGCCATGGAGGAGTGGGAGCCACTACAGAACCCTACGTTCCTCGTTTCAAACCTCAGTCGTCTCCAGCCACTTCTATCTCGCCAGAATAAGAAAGGGGAAATCCGACAACGTCAGTCAACTTCTCCATATGAGACCATGATTTATTCGTTGTGGCTACCCCGAGTTCGCTCAGCAGTCATGAATGACTGGGATGTTTATGACCCTTCTACTGCAACAAACCTGGCAGTAGCCTGGAAACCAGTCATACCGCCATTTGTATTCGCAAACCTACTAGACCAACTGGTGGTTCCCAAGCTCAGTGGGGCCTTGAAGCAATGGAAATCCCGAAGCAGTCGACGAAATCCGTCTGAGCACGACGGACAATTCCCGTGGTGGTTGTTCACATGGCTACAGTACTTGGACGACCGACACACCAACCCCAGACAACCAACAGGTCTCATGTCGGATGCCAAGAGAAAGTTCCGCGTGGTTTTAGATTCCTGGAGCCTGCGTCGGGGCCTCGTGAACGGCATTGAGTTGTGGCGTGATGCATTAGGCACAGAGTTTGATGTATGCTTGCGCAATCATCTACTGCCTCGTCTTGCACGTCATATTCGCGAGGACTTTGTCGTGAACCCGCAAGACCAGGATTTGACCACATTAGAGGATGTCTTACGCTGGAAGAACTTCTTCAAGCCTAATGTCATGGGCATGCTGTTGGTCGCAGACTTCTTCCCGAAGTGGCATGAGATCTTGTACATTTGGCTCACCAACGATCCTAATCACGAAGAAGTCGGTGAATGGTTCTCATGGTGGCAGACTCAAATCCCGGCTGAAATCAACGATCTTGCGATGGTCCAGGATGAGTGGAATAAGGGTCTACAGACTATGGATCATGCCTTGAATCTTGGAGATCGCGCAGCGGCCGAATTGCCGCGGCCCACACTCTCCCATGCAGTCAACGCTTCCCACGCGAGAAGATGCTGTGGCCGAGGCAGCAGCGGCAGCACCGGTTCCTCCGCAAGCCAAGCCCCAGGCGAGTAAAGAAGAACCCGCATTCAAGGATATCGTGGAAAGCTGGTGCATGGAGCAGGAACTCCTCATTCGCCCATTGCGAGAAGCACACCCAAAGAATGGTCTACCTCTGTTTCGAATCACGGCGAGCGTCACTGGAAGTGGTGGCGTTGTGGCATATTTGCAAGGAGACGTCGTCTGGGTTCAGAACAAGAAAGCCAAGGATATTTGGGAACCGATGGGCTTGGAGGATCAATTGGTGGAGCGTGCCGAAGGCCGGTAGGGCCTTCTATGTACCTACCACATTACTCCGTAGACTACGTACAGTTCCAAGTTTACCAGATTTCATTACGAAGATATCCCCAAAATTGCATCACCCCATCTGCACTCAACAGAACAATTGCTGCAATGTGACGTGGACCTTGTTGGCTTGGAAGGCTGATTTTGACCCACTTGACCCACCGCAGTCTGGGGGCCATAGGATCTCATCCTTTCATCGCATCTCGCCAATCTTGCCCAAAGGGTCCGACTGGGCACCAAGGGGACTGGTTGATACAGCCATGATCATCGATGCAAACGCGTTCATGTAAAAACATACGCTGGTCATCCCGCCACACAGGACTAGGGTAGTGCCAGGGACCAGACAGGAAACAGGACCTTTTCTTGATACCACACCCTACAGGTCAACGCAAGCCAAGAAAGTCCCCAAGAAGCTCCAAGCAGCCGGCCACTCCGCCTTAACCGGATCTTCATTCAGTTTCCTTGTTTTGTCCTACCCCAGTATTTGCAGTTCAACCACTCGCCCTGCGGCTCCTTGGCCCCAGCCCCTCCCATTTCTTGGCTAAAGCACTGCCTGCTGGATTGTCTGGGGGCCAAGATGGTTTTATTGGTCGCATGTGCTCGATGAGGCAATGCGATCTCCACTGATGGCACAGGTTATAGATCATCCATCAGCTTCGGTGGCAGCTATTCGTGAATTCGTCCCGAATATGATAGGTGCCGATAATTTTGGATAGCCCAGGCGTGATCAAACTCTCGGCATAATATTGGCATGCCGTGGTATTTAAAGGGCATTACATCTCTCGGGAACATCAACTTCATCCCCCTGCTGAAATCTCGAAGAAAGACAAAGCCCCTTACTCCGTTCTTAACAAAAACGAACCCGATCCCTGATTCATCACTTCCACAGCCATCATGCAAACCAAGATCGCCGTTTCTTTGCTCCTCGCTAGCCTGGCGGCGGCTGCTCCTCAGGCTACAGGCTCAAGTGACCCGGATGATATAAACATTCCTGCCAGTATCCAGGGCGAGCTTTTCTCCGCTCTACCTACCTCGGTGCAATCGGAGCTTCTGGCCGACCCCACTGGTGCTCTCCCCTCAATCTACAGCGAGTATGTGACCAAGACCGAGTGGATTTCGAGCCTACCATCGGATGTCCAGAGCTGGATCAGCGGCGCCGAATCCTCGCTCTCTGATAGTGCGTCTGATTCTGGCTCTGGCTCTGCCACGGCCACGGCCACAGCCACTGCCACTGCCACTGCCACTGCGACTACCACTGCCACTGGCAGTGACAACACCACCCTTACGGGCTCTTCATCTGGCACAGCCACCGACTCCAGCAGTGGAATTACAACCACCACCGCCGAGTCAACCGCAACGACCACTGACTCCGAGACCTCTGCCAGCAGCAGCGATGCAGCTTCCAGCAGCGCCGGATCGGAGACTTCGACTGGCGGTGCCCCGGCTGCCACTGGTGTGGGAATGGGCCTGGCTGGTGCTGCCGGAGTTCTGGGCGTGGCGCTTTTCCTGTAAAAGGAAAGCAGCAAGTGAAGACGCACTTGGTCTCCAGTTATGTCCAGTTTAGTCGAGGATGGTATCCATTCTTCTATTCTGTTGGGACTATGTGGCGGGCTAGTTTCAGTTTCGTTTGTTTCCATCAATAATGGGAGTGGTTGACCCCATTGTATTTACAATAATTGATTCCCCATGCACCAATGTTAGTCTTCTGGTTTGTGATATACCTACTACTAGTACAATTGTATAATCTTGTAATATAAGGTTCCCGGTGATCCGCAACGGTTCGTGTAATGTGTGACCTTTAGTTCCAAAATTAAAAGTACCCATGTACCTAGGACTGCTTGTAGTACATTTTATCCCATGATCCACATGTTCTTCTAATTATTCAGTCAAAACAAAGCCCAAAAAAATACCCCCCCCCCCGCCAAGATAAAGCCCACTCCAGTACCAGACCGTGTAGATACCTACAATGGTAAACTCCGAAGTAATCAAGCCTCAGTGGACATCCCTTTCAATTCCGAGCCCTATGAGACCGTAGTTTGTTAAGTCCGGGAATGTCTCCACTCACCCAATCAGCGAACCATTGCAAGTCGATCCAGATGGATCACCGCAGCCAATCACCTCATCCACAATGGTCAGCACAATCATCACCACCAATCGCACTTGATGGATTTGTCGTCACTTGCAGCTCTTGGGATTGATCTTGCACCTTTGGAGAACCTGAATACCGGCCAGACTACGGTCGCTGACCTTTCTAATGCCCCTGATTGGTGTGCTGCCCCTCTGAATGGAATGCATCTCCATTTTTTCCCCTTCGCTGACTTTCTCTGCGCTAATGAAGTTTTGCGTTTCCAGAGCGTTGAGGATCGGTGAGGACTGTGGCCAAAGAGTTGGCACAGAGTTATAAGGGACGTGCGTGGTCTCTCGTCTGTATTGAGAAATTTCTACTTCTAATTCACATTTGTTTCAACTCTCTTCTCTTCCTTTATACCACAAACGGAGGTATCATTGTTTTCGTTGCTTTCTGATCCACCATCCGAGACGGGTTCCACGACTCCATTCAGGCCTGGTTTTTGACGACCGATACCCCCATACCCCCCCCTTTTAAATCCCCCAGAGTTCTCTCGCCTTTTTTTCACCTTTTTTTTTCACTTCACTCCTCAAGAGTTCATGTGGCATCCTCTTTACCTTTTCCCGTAAACGTTGAACTTTGACGTCAGAGTTGCTTGCTACAGCTTGCATAGCTCCGGCAATCATTCGAAAGTCAACAATCTCCCGGGTTTCAGGCCACTTAGGATCGACACTTGGCACAAATCTTGTCAGATTGATTTCAATCGGCGAAATTTCAACAGTTTGGGAAGAATCAAAACTTAGCATCACTCAGCATCATGGCCCTCCTCTTCATCAAACAGAAGCTGTTCCCTATACAGCAATCAGACAAGTCGTCTAGTGAGTATTGTCCTGCAATTATGTTTCATATTTGCTTTTCCAGAACAAAGCAAACCCTTGGAAAAAGAATGGTCCGAAACTAACTCGTTTTCAATTAGACAAGCCCCTCCTCGCTCGTGGAGATGACGATGAGACCCTCCGCGGCGGCGACTCCGACCAGGACCTCGAGTCCCAGCGTTCGTACGATACCTTCGGACGATGCGAGAGCAATGACGATTCTACCGCCTCTACAACCAGTACACGGTCCCGCATCAACCCTCGTATCGTTTCGGATGCTATCCTCGGCCTTTCGGATGGATTGACGGTTCCTTTCGCCCTAAGCGCGGGTCTTTCTGCCCTGGGAAACACCAAGGTTGTTGTGCTGGGTGGTCTGGCTGAGCTTGCTGCGGGTGCAATCTCTATGGGACTTGGAGGCTATGTCGGAGCGAAGAGTGAAGCGTGAGTTTACTACCTCATCCCTTTGATCTATTTTTCTTTATTTGTGCAGCGACTGACAAGGAATTTTCCCTGCAGTGAATCATATGAGGCCACAGTTCGTGAGACACAGGCTTTAATTAAGAGCGATCCGCTCGAGACACAGTCTATGGTGCGCCAGACTTTCGCTCCATACGGACTCTCGCCTACTGCCATTGAAGATATCACACGCGACCTGCACGCTTCGCAAGACCGATTGCTCGAGTTCTTGTTGGCATTCCACCACCGCGAGTCTGCGCCTGACTGTAACCAGGCCTGGATCTCTGCCATCACCCTGGCTCTTGGATATTTCGTCGGTGGATTCATTCCTCTCATCCCCTACTTCATCCTCACTCAAGTCATCACCGCATTATATTGGAGTATCGGTGTCATGGGCATCACCCTGTTTGCCTTTGGATATACCAAGACTGCCGTTGTCCGTGGATGGTGTGGACGTGACAATATCATGGCAGGAACCTGGGGAGGTGTACAAATGTGCCTTGTTGGCGGCATTGCGGCCGGTGCAGCGATTGGATTGGTGCAGCTAATTGACACCAGTGGTGCTCAATAAACCTCCCCAAAAGGGGTTAAAAACTGCCTCGGCGATTAACGATTTCATGCCTGATTTAAAAAGCATTCTCGGAGTTTTATCATCCTCTCGACTCTCATCATGACTCTTCGTGAGTCTCATCAGCGAGCATTTGTCTTTAATATGTTATATTATCAAAAGATTATTTATTCTTCCTCATACCTACCTAGGTAGGTAACCCCCAATTGTAGTTTATACTTAGTACTTTCAAACTACATATATTGGATTATACTAGTAGTGGAACAGAACGATGTGAGACAAACGTAAATTTAGTAGATTCCACCTATTGGGATATCATTCACCCGGCCAAGGCTTTCTGCACCAAGGTTAGCGCTCGCTCCGATAATTTGAGCTTTAGCGCCTCGTCCCGACCAGCGGGAGACATCTTGCCCCAAGTCTTGCGCAATATATCCACCATCTTCTCCTCATCGCCGAGATCCTTCTCGAACTTGTCAAACTGGTCATCCAAGAAAACCAAACAGGCCACATCCTCCAACGTCTGCGTATCGGGGTCACCGGCCTTCAAATCCGCCTTTTGCACCATTGCCCCAACGCGTTCCGCCTCCTGCTCGCTATATCCAGCTTCTATACACATCTCTTTCACCAGCGCAGCCTGTCGTCGCTGTAGCCCGGCACGCCAGGAGTGATATCCGATCTTCGTAGCGGGGTAGGAGCTGCGCGGGACTTCCCAGCGGCGGAGGTGCTGGGCTCGAATGGCGAGTCGCAGAAGCTCGGGGGCATCAGGATTCAGGCGCTCAAGGTAGTATGTCATTTGTTCGGCGTAGTGGAGTTCGTAGGGCTTTGTAGTGTCGTTGGTGGTTATTGTGTTCGGGTCATCTTTGTGTGCGGCATCGATGCGCTCGAGGGCGCCGTCATACTTCGACATGGTAGATCGCGAGGGGTATAGAGAAGCAAGTTGTAAAGTCGCTTCGCTTTGCTTTGATTGAGGTCTGGAGACTGTCTCTTCTCCACGAGGGTTCGCAAAGGCAAAGTGCAGCGGTGTAAATTAACTGCGTTCAGCCGATAAGGTTGGTGGGGTTCCAATTTCCACATGTCGCGAATGGAATTACGCCGTCGCTGATTGGCTCTGGCGAAGTATACCCGGCCAGCGCAGCCATCCCAGCTTGGATATCCCTGCCACACCTCCCCGGTTCTATATTTTGAAGAATTTGACCACCCAAGTTCGACGCTAGGTCTAATACGTACTATCCTGACCCAAAAAAGGAAAAATAAGCATCCCAATCACCGGCAAATTAATCCCTTCCACTTGTTATTGCCAAGATTATTGGCACGACACAGCCATCCTTGGCGTCAACACCCCTAAATGAGTCAATTTTTATCTGATCCGATCTTTTCCCTCCAGAAGACTGTCGGCTTAATCAGATCTTTGACAAGCCTCAGAAACTTCTCGGCATCCAGTCGTTCAAAATGGAGGCCGATCCCTTTAACCTCCAACAATACAAGGCTGAGATCATCTCACAGAAGAAAAACTGGCTTCCTCTCCCTACCCAGCCAAACGAAAAGGTCAACAATTTCTACATTGAGCAAAATGAACTCATTGAAGGCTTTCTCTCAAGCGGTGACGAAGAGCGCCAAAACGCCATGGATATCGCGCAGAACGGTGGAAAGGTAAAACTTGCTGTGCGAGCTAGCTTTGTCGTCAATTTCTTCCTATTCGTCATTCAGCTCTATGCAGCTATCTCCACTGGTTCTCTTGCTCTCTTCGCTACGGCTGCCGACGCCTTCATGGATCTCGTGTCTTCGATTGTTATGCTCGTCACCTCCCGCATGTCCAACCGCCCTAAACCATACAAGTACCCCGTTGGACGTCGTCGCATCGAAACAATGGGAATCATCATGTTCTGTGCGCTCATGACGGTTGTCGGAGTGGAGTTGATCATTGAGTCGGCCAAAGCGCTGGCTGACGGGGAGACAGAGTCAAGTCAGCTTAAGCTGATTCCGTTGATCTGTGTTGGAGTCGCTATCTTCTCCAAGTTCTGCCTGTTCCTGTACTGTTATACTCTGCGACGGTACCCCGCTGCCCGCATCTTTTATATCGATCACCGAAATGATCTTGCGGTGAATGGCTTCGGTCTGATCATGTCGATTGTTGGAAATCGTCTCGTGTGGTATCTTGACCCCGTCGGTGCTTGCTGCATTGCTCTTCTTATCCTATTTTCGTGGGTGTCGACTGCTTTTGAACACATGTGGCTTATTGTGGGCAAATGTGCGCCCAGATCTTTCGTGAATAAGTGCATCTATGTGACGATGACACATGACCAGAGGATTCAAAAAGTGGATACGGTGAGTGTTTGACTGTGGCACAAGGGGATGGGATCAAATGCTAATGGATATTAGTGTCGCGCGTATCACTCCGGCCAGCAGCTATACGTGGAAGTCGACATTGTGATGGACCCAGAGACCAAACTCCGAGAGTCACACGACGTTAGTCAAGAACTGCAGCGCAAACTGGAGGGACTGGCAGATGTTGAGCGCGCATTTGTACATGTGGACTACGACTACCATCACGATGTCAACGAAGAGCATAGGCCACTATATGATGCTGATGGGACGGGCTCATCGATCCGGGAACTGGTCAAACGACTGTGGTCCCGAAATGATAAGCACGATCAGGGGAATGCGATGTAGATAGGAAATATCTCTCTCTGCATTTTACGGAGAGTATTGGCAGCCTTAGTTATGGCTTATAAGCAGTCAAGTAGACGAATTACGCCGGTTGCATGTATTCAGGGTACCGACATCGACTGGGTCGCCAAGGTCTTGTCTCTCATGCCAAGAAGGGCGCAGCAAATCCTCTCTCTTATAAAGTGGACATAATTTTCTCAAAATACCCCAAGTGTACTTAGTCCCATGAATAACATGGACAACAATATTGCCCTTGAGAGTGGAAACCCGGCGGCGTTCTCGTCTGCCGCGGATCCCTTCGATCTGTCAAGCAGACTACAGTCTCCACCAGAGGCCAACACATCTCGTAAGAGAACACTGTATTACAGCCCATTCGACAAATCACAAACAAAAACACAAAACTTGACCAACTACTACGACACCCAAAACAAACATATTGTCCGTCTCCTCAAGCCCGTCCACGAACATGTCCGCGAAGCCGCCGAGGCAGAAGAATCCCAGCAACTCCAATATAGTATCGCCGTGTACTCGTCCTTCATCTGCAACATATATCTCTCTGGGCTCCAGGTCTATGGCGCTGTGGCTTCGGGCTCACTTTCTCTCTTCACAACCATGGCAGACTCGATTTTCGATCCGCTCTCGAACGTGACCCTCATCATCTGCAATCGTCAAGCCAAAAAGGCCGTGAGCCACAAGTTTCCAGTGGGCACATCACGCATTGAAACGGCAGGGAACATCTTCTTCTCTTTCATCATGATGGCGGTGTCCCTGATCCTTGTAGCATTTTCCTGTCAGGAACTTGCTGAAGGCGGCTCAACAGCCTTCTATCTCCCCTCCGTGATCGCTGTATCCGTCGCATTCTTTGTGAAACTATGTCTCTTTATCTACTGTTTTGCCTTGCGGAATAAGTACTCGCAGGTCCGGATTCTCTGGGAAGACCACCGAAACGATCTCTTCATCAATGGCTTTGGTATCCTCACCTCAGTCGGCGGGTCAAAGCTCAAATGGTGGATTGACCCAATGGGTGCAATCATTCTTTCTCTCCTTATCTTAGGTCTATGGCTCAACACCTCGATTGGCGAGTTCAAGCTGCTCATCGGTGTTTCCGCCGATGCCGATACGTTGAATCTTATTACCTATATTGCCATGACGCATAGCGACCATGTTCAGGCAGTCGATACTGTTCGTGCATATCATTGTGGTCCGCGACTTATTATTGAGGTAGATGTGGTTATGCGTCCTTATGAGACACTGAAAACATGCCATGATATTGCAGAGGATCTTCAGATAAAGCTAGAGAGCTTGCCTGATGTTGAGCGCGCTTTTGTCCATGTTGACTATGAAACAACGCATCAACCTGAGCATTCTAAGAAAGATATTTAAATTGAGTTTCAAAGTTTGGATGACGAAGATAAATGGGGGTCCGGGGGTTCAAGTTATTGATAAAAGTTGCGTATTATAATTTGAGTGTTTGTACCTTTGAAACATTGGAATTAAGCATGGCCTGATGACCTGAGCTGATCAGGATGTGTCTGAGGGCGAAGCGACTAGACCTCCTTGAGCCATGCCATACTTGCTCAAGTACTATAATTTCAACATACTATTAAATGTTCCAGGTTAGGTAACTAGTAGCCACAAGGTTAAGCAAATGAATAGGTATCTGGTCACCTGCCTTGAAGTCTACTGTTCGTCCGTCCGTCTGAAGCGTTATGGGTGGACGGACGGCTTGGAAGGGACTATATCTCATAGTTCAATATTTACCTAATTACTACATAGTATCTAAGGTATATCTTAATTTAGATACTTTTAATTAGCCGAAACTCTAAGCTCTAATTTGTGCCGATTTGATAATACTTGTCTTTATTTCAGCTAGTATAAGGAGAATCGTTGTTTGTAGAGCCTTTGGATCAAGCGCGAGTAGCCTGGGTAATCACTTGAAGCGAAACAACATTTGATTTATGAGCTTTCTCTAATACTGCCCAGCTTGGGCAGTCCAAAAATCCACCTTCCATGGCTTCCGCTATGTTCAAGTCGATTGATGGCCGAGAAATGGAAGTCCCCTAGATTTTTGACAGCCACAGCAATTGTTATTCACACAGACATTAAAAAAAAGGGGTTGTTTGAATGTTCAAACGCGCTCCTGAACCGAATTCACAGCGTTCTATCAAAATACTCATTTTCAAGTTCTTTTCTCATGATGAAAAGACCGAACTGATAGTATACTAGTATTAGACAATACCTAGGTATCTACTGGGGAATGTGAAGCAATTTCTTTATTCAATGAACAGCCTGGAGCGTAGCACTCAACCTGCTCCCCTCGTCTCTTCTCATTTCTATATCTTCGCATGTACTACCCCTGTTGTGATTATCGTGCAAACGCCCAGGGTATCCTAGGATTGAGCAATGTGGGGCGGGCACATTGTACGACTCGGTTGGGCCGTCAAAATTTAGTGCTAGTCTTGTCCGCGTCTCTGACTAAACCAACCTCAACAGTGACAACACATAATACCTCTTGAAGATGAGCGGATACACACACTCAGAGCCCTTTGATATAGGCCTACTTCCTGTGGGTACACTACATCGAGTCTACTACGAGCAATATGGAAGAAAGGATGGAAAGCCAGGTCCGCTTTTGAAAGATTCCGCGTCGAGGTGGAAAGTTGTTAATTAGCAAACAGTCATTTTCTTGCACGGAGGTCCCGGAGGCTGCACTTCAAGAAAAAACACGACCTATTTTGACCCAGCCATCTACAGAGTGATCCTACTTGATCAACGAGGCACGGGGAAATCCAAGCCCGCTACTGAGCTGCGTGAAAACAGCACGCCGGACCTTGTTTCTGATATCGAAGAACTTCGTCAACATCTGTCAATCTCCAAATGGCATCTTATATTCGGTGGGTCCTGGGGCACGACACTCGCTCTTCTGTATTCCCAAGCTTACCCGCAGTTCGTGGGGTCGTTGATTTTGCGGGGGATTTTTACGGCCAGCAAGTCGGAGGTTGCGTGGTCACGAGGACCATTGGGCGCGGCCAACATCTTCCCTGAAGAATGGGATGCCTTCCAACGCTATCTTCCCGAATATGAGCGTCATGATATGACCGCTGCATATTACAAGCGACTTACAAGTGATGACCATACAACAAAGATAGCAGCGGCCAAAGAATGGAATCGGTGGGACTTGAGTATTGGGGAGCTGAGGATTGACGAAGGTGGCTTCAAGCAATTAGATGATGATGCATGGTCTTTGGCGCATGCTCTCATGGAGGCGCATTATTCGGCGCATTGCTTTTGGTTGGAGGACAGACAGATTCTCAAGCCAGAGAACTTGGCAAAAATCCGGCATATTCCTGGTAAGCAGATAAGGCCTGAGGTCTCTGGGTTTCACCCGTATTGATGTTTAGTAGTCACCATCATACAGGGCCGATATGACATGGTCTGTCCCCCACAAACTGCTTGGGAGCTGCACCGGTCTTTGCCCAAGTCACGACTAATTTGGATCCCTGACGCTGGCCATAGTGCAAGGGTATGGAATAATCTTCGTACTAACATATCTGTTTTTGGACAAACGCTGATATCGAGCAGGAGCCTGGGACCCGTCTCGAGTTAATTCGAGCATGCGATGAGAACGCTGTCCAGGATTTCGATACCCGCATCTAAATTCGAAAAAAAAAACGAGAAACTTCTATTCAAGTTACTGACTTAGTCAAGGTCTAACTTGAAAATCTTCGAATACAATTCAACAAATTTAACATATTCGTGACTCATAATGCCAGAGGCACTTAGAAAACATAAAACCCTATGGACACGCCCTTCACTCATTCTATGTCTCCGACGCTTTAGCAGAATCTGTAGCTGCTGCGTCTTCCATCTTGGCTTCCTCTTCCTTCCTGAGATTGGTTGGGGTTTCATCAAGAACAATATCTCCGTCCTTATCGGCTGGAATTGCGTCAGAAGTAGATTGCTGAGTGTCAGCAGGACCATCGGCTCCCGCACCCTGGGGTTCTTGTTCACCAAGCGTCATCTCAACTCCCTGTCCATCCTGCAGACCTAGATCCTGAACGCCCAAAACAGGGGGTCCGCGAGCGTGAGGAACCTCTTCAGATGAATCTGCAGGTGGGGAGCCAGCGGTGACAGCACTGTCTTCAGGCTCAATCGGAGGCATGGCAGTATCCGGGACGTGTGATTCTCCAGTTTCCATATTGTGACCTTGCGCGGATCCCGAATCTTCTGTGGATGTAATTGTTAGCTCAAACTTCCAACGGCTCGTCGGCAATCGAAGAGGGGCGCAGAAAGCTAGTAATTGATAGACGTACCATCTTCCATTTGTGACATACCCTCGGCCCCGAAGGAAGCATTGGTCAACCACGGAATCGGGGTGAGAAGCGCACCACCCAAGGACTCGTCACTTCCCAAGCTATGCGCGTAGTCGGGAGTAAGATATGTCCCGGCGCTGTTGCTTGGCTGAACAGAACCATTCGGCTGGGGCTTCGTATTTGCTGGTGTGGTGAATGGAAAAATAGCCGCATCGCTAGTCACAGATATGACACGGTCCACAGCACGCAGATAAGCGGGTAATGTTCGGTAGTGAGCGGTCGGGCGAAGGATAAGCTCAGCAAACCGCTGGATTGTGTGCGGTGGCTTGCTCGTGAAGAACGATTGGATCGATGAGCGGATAGAGCTTAGCAGTTGTGCAAGCTGGGGTGGAAGGGCGTCGCTGGCTTGCGAAGATGACTGTGGTTGCGAATCTGGAACGCGCTCGGTGGACGCAAGTGGGGTAGTCGCCGCCGCCGGCTGTGCAGGACTCTGCGGGTCGCCTGGAGCTGTATTCTCTTTGTTGCGACTCTCAGGGGGGACATTATTGGTGTCGGTTTGTGGGGATAGAAATTGAGTGTACGGCTGAGATCTCGGGGGCGCCTTGGGCATGGGAAACACATTGTATATGATCTTAGAAAAGCTTGTTAGCAATCATTTATCTTGAAAAGTATCGCATGGTGAAAACACACATCTTCCAGCCGCTCTAGTAGTGGTTCGACCATGGTAGCCCATTTGTCACTGAATTTAAACCATCAGTATCGCGTCGTCCATAACACACGTTGCTTCATAACTGCAGACGTACAGATCAATCGAGCCGCCATTAGCGACGGTCTCCAAGGCTTCTTCATCTGTCGCAACAATGTCAGCTTCGTCCACATCCGAGAATAGGTCCGCGCCACTCACCCAAAGACATTGTGATGGTTGGGGCTACTCGGTGGCACAAGCTGCGATGAGATGTCGGCCATAGCTGGGGCGGTAGCGTGGAAAGCCGCTGATTGGCCAGGAGTGAATCTTATCGATAGCGATCATGGGGCAAATCACACACGTGACTCTCCAATTTTCGGCGGGGCAGGAACGAATGAGTCGATGAGTCTTGTCGCGCCTTCTCTTTTCCCCCAGGTTTTGCCTGTTCCGACTGGAATTTCCCATCAATCTCCCGAATATACTTTTTTCGACCCCTCAAATACAATGTGGAATTCTCCCAAGGTGGGAATTCTCGGCGGCGGCCAGCTGGGCCGCATGCTTGTTGAGTCTTGCAACAGGTTGAACATCCAGGCCAACGTCCTGGATGCCGAGAACTCCCCAGCCAAGCAGATCAGCTTTCACGATGGCCATGTCACGGGATCATTCAAGGAGCGTGAGGCCGTTCGCCAATTGGCCAAATCTTGCGACGTTATGACCGCCGAAATCGAGCACGTCGATACTTACGCCCTCGAGGAAGTCGCTTCTCAGGTCCGAGTCGAGCCTAGCTGGCAAGCAATTCGCACAATCCAGAACAAGTTCAACCAGAAAGAGCACCTTCGCAAATACGGCATCCCCATGGCGGACCACCGTGAACTGGTCGAGAATACCCCGGAGGAATTGGCTCGGGTTGGAGAGCAGTTGGGCTATCCGATGATGTTGAAATCGAAGACAATGGCCTACGATGGACGTGGTATGTGGCCTTGGAAAGAGGACTCTTGGTCTCAACAGAATCCTGACGATTTTTACTAGGTAACTTCCGCGTGAACTCCAAGGCCGATATCCCCGAAGCTCTCGAGACTCTCAAGGACCGACCCTTGTACGCAGAGAAGTGGGCCTATTTCAAGATGGTGCGCATTATGCCAACTCTATCTACACATTTGTTTCTATTCCAAAAAAAAAAGCTCCATAACTAATGATATCTCAGGAATTGGCCGTCATGGTCATCAAGACCAAGGACGAGGTGTTGTCATACCCTACCGTGGAGACGGTTCAGGAGGACTCAATATGCAAACTGGTCTATGCGCCAGCTCGCAACGTACCAGAAGCCATCAACGAGCAGGCACAGGCTCTTGCACGAAAGGCTGTTTCTGCCTTCGAGGGCAAGGGTGCCTTTGGCGTAGAGATGTTCCTTCTTGAAGACAACAGCCTCATGCTGTGCGAGCTTGCTAGCCGCATCCACAACTCCGGCCACTACACCATTGAGGGGTGCGCTCTGTCACAGTTTGACAGCCACATTCGCGCCATCATGGACCTCCCCATCCCCGCTAAGAGCCTTGAAATTCGTCAACCCTCTGTCATGCTCAACATTATCGGTGGTGCTACCCCCGACTCGCACTTGAAAGCGGCCGAGTATGCTCTCTCGATCCCCAATGCCAGCATTCACCTTTATAGCAAAGGAGCCGCCAAGCCTGGTCGGAAAATGGGACACATCACTGTGACTGCTGGCACCATGCACGAGGCTGAAACTATGATTCAGCCTCTGGTTGACGTTGTGGACGAGATGCGGGCCCAGCGTACTGATATCAAGACCAAGGCACAGAAGTCGGGCCCTTCAAAGCCCGCGCCCCAAGTTGCAGTTGTTATGGGCTCCGACAGTGATCTTAAGACACTTGTGCCTGGCCTGAAGCTGCTGCAAAACTACTTTGGTATCGAGCCCGATGTCGAGATTACGTCTGCTCACCGAACCCCGGATTACATGGCGGAGTACGCGGCTGAGGCCGCGTCGCGCGGTATCAAGGTCATCATCGCCGCTGCCGGCGGTGCCGCTCATCTTCCTGGCATGGCTGCTGCCCACACTGCTCTTCCCGTCATTGGCGTCCCCGTCAAGGGAAGCTCCCTGGATGGCGTCGACAGCCTCTACAGTATTGTCCAGATGCCTCGTGGTAAGTTTTCATGTCTTGTTCAATTTTATAGACAAATACTAATCAGAATTGTGCAGGTGTTCCCGTGGCCACTGTTGGAATCAACAACAGCATCAATGCGGCGCTTCTGGCAGCTCGCATCCTGGGCTCCTTCGACCCAGCCATCCAGCGCAAGGTCGAGGCCTATGCCGAAGAGGCACGCGCCGAGAACATGGAGAAGAAGGGCACCAAGATGCGCGAGTTGGGCTGGGAGAAGTACTTTGAGCAGATGTAGAGACTGTTCTTCTCTGTAATTTCTACTTTCACTTTCAGACATACCCCAGTCTTACCAGCATGCGTAAGAAAGAAAGAAAAAATGAGGCAGACGAAGGAACAAGAAAGCGATTGCTTTTCCCAAAATTCTCATCTGCACATGATACAGATGCTATATTCCCGCGAACTATATGATAGAGAGGACACTTTTGATACAAGGTTTTAGACGACAATGAATGACATATCCCAATCGGTAAATTGGACATCAATTACATCATGAAATTGGCAGTAGGAACCGCAAACGGAAAATTAGGTTCAATGGAAAAAGATCTGGGCTTCGATCAACCTTCCACGAAATGATACCGTGGAATATTTGAAGGTTAAATGTCAGGAGTATATTGGACTTCGGCCGGAGTCCGAATTCACACCCTTTAAACGGTTAGCCCATGACCATCCCTACCGGATACTCTCAGCCAAGTGTTGAGGGATTCTTGTCCAAGAAAGTTTAAGCCAAAGCTACCCCGGGCAGCGAAGAAACTTGAATTCAGAGGATTACCCCCTTTTAGTTGGTTGGTCCAATTAGAAGGCAGTATCCTTTCACCGCCTCCGCGTGTTCGGGCGTAAGGCATAAAGATTGGAATGACTAAAGGACGAACATAATCTGGGGCTTATGGAACCTCTTCTTCCTAAGCTTAGGGTACCTTCCCTCAAACATCCCTTATCTCTGTGAGCACTGATCAAGTGGCATTTCATTGGTCGAAAATGGCACCACTGATGCTTTCACATGAAAACTAGAGGTGAGAATGAGTGAGAACTCTGGCCAAATCCTCCGTATTATGATTTGATTTGAACCCAGTCTCATATTGAATATCACAAACCCCTGGGTATGTAAAGAGATCGAGGACACGAGACATCTTCCGCGTGCAGACTCTCCCAATTGGACGACAGACGCCACCATGGGGCACTCGCCCGGGTTGTTAAGCCGTTATCGGGGCCAAAGCGATTAACCTTTCCATGGCTAGGTTCCCCTCACGCGGTTCACCTATCGCACTTCATTCTCTGGTCGCCTCCATTGCTTGTCTCCACAAAATGGAGTATCTAGGCCAATCGTGTTTGGGGCATATCGACTACGGGGTCGGTTATTATCTCGTGTTCTCCGCCGCCTCCTGTACCTTTTTTTGCCTCACATCTCACTTGCGTATCTCTCTGGCTTGATGCCTACCTAGTCTTCTTCCTATACATATGCCCCCCCTCGGCTCCATATTCCTTATATTTGATCTGTCTATACGGAGTACATATGGTGCTCGTCTAATTCTAGCCTTACATCCCGCCTACTCCGCTGTCTTAACCGCCATTGACTTGGTTACAAATCCGATGAATATCTTGTAACTTTCAACCTCCCGACCTGCGCTCCTCCACCCTCGACTACAGGCAGAGAATATGCCCTTATGTCCATCAGTGGCATCCTCGGCAGTAACTACGGCCTAGCCGCACGTTCAACTACCGACAACATTGCTGAACGTACCGCCGTTGCATGTCTCACCGCGATCGCCTGGTACAACGCATTAGAACTTATCGTCCTCTGCTTCACCACCTTTAAACGTTATGGCGGTTGCTACTTTTGGTGCCTCCTCATCTCCTCAATCAGCATCATCCCCTTCGGCTTGGGATATCTCCTCATTATCTTCAATGTCTACGACAGCTATTTCTCAGTGGCGATGGAGCTCATCGCCTGGATTTGCATGGTAACCGGTCAATCGCTGGTCCTTTGGTCACGATTGCATCTGGTCGTACATAGCCCCACCGTCCTTCGCTGGACACTCGCCATGATAATAGTCGATGCAATAATCTTCCACATCCCTGCATCCGTCCTCGAACTCGGCAGCCACTCCAATAAATCAGATCTCTTCACATCAGGCTTCAATATCTTCGAGCGCATTCAATTGATCGCTTTTTCCGTCCAAGAAGCCATCCTGTCTATGATATACTCCTGGGAAGCAGTGCGACTCTTGAACCTCCGCCCAAGGGGCAATTACCGGGGCACTCTAGTCCAATTGTTGGTAGTTAATCTCGCGATGATCTGCATGGACGCCGCAATTATCGGCGTTCAATACTCTGGCCTCTTCGACGTCCACGTTACCCTGAAAGCATTCGCCTACAGCGTCAAACTCAAATTAGAATACGCCATCCTGGGCAAACTCGTCGACGCCACGACGCAAAAGTTCGGCAGCAGCGGCGTTTCCGCCCCGACCGACCTGTCGGAATTCGTGGATCTCTCCCACCATCCCAACAACCAGCCCCCAGCAGATAGCGACAGCCAGGCGCGAATATGGGACGATCCGGAAAATATTGCTCTGCAGCAGACTCGTGTGTCATCGAAGCTATCTTCCGATCCACGAGTCAGTGAGACCGCAACGCCTGATTCAAATCGGAGCGTGCTGCAATGATGAAATTAATGTAAATAATTATCTATAACGACCTTGCATAAACTAGAAGCAAAATGATACATGTATATATTTAGATTTCTTTTCTTTTCTCTAACCTAGAATGTACTAGCCGTGGGACTGGATATCGACCGCCCATGCACTTTAAGAGTAATGAGCAAATTTGAACACCGTGACATCCATTCGGGAACTTGAAGGCACCTACTAGTAGTTGACCTTGTACGATTCTACATCGCTCCCGGGCCAGAGACAAAGTAGAGGGCCTGGCTTTGGCATAATATGGATAGTATTCATGTACCTAGGTAGTCGAGTCTCAATATCTCTGCATGTTTCAATCTTCCTTCTCTAGTCTTACCTTGGTAAAGATTATAGGTGTGCCAACTTGAAGTCAACGCCTACGTTGGAAACTTTTATATCGAATTCGAAACTTGAAGTAATCAGTCTATAAGGATATCACTGACATACCTAGGTACGACTATTCCAATTTCAACTTGAAGCTTCCAATCTTCAAGTTGTTTAGAACACCGACTCCGTTGCAGCCTTCCTCCTGCCAGTGCCCCGATTGAACACATCCTGCGCAAGCCTTGGCAAGTCAACGAATAAAGCACTGATCATGACAGAGCCATGACCTCGTTCAAGAGTTGCAGGCTAGCAGCCCTAGAGGTCTCTCCTAGTACCAATTCACCACGGAGCGTGTTTATTACTCCTCTGTCCATATACCCAATTATTTTCTAGTATCGGGTGAGGGGAAGCAGTTCCCCCGCTCTTATCGTCGGATGCCGCCGCGTGCTTTAAAAAGAGTTCAAGTTTCAAGGTGATGGGGCTACATGACAGCGGTATAGATATCTTATGCTTACCTAGTAGGTAGATATATCTAACAATCAGTACCCCCAACCTGGGAATCCTTAGTACTTTTATCAACCACGGCCTTAGTCCGACCTGACAGCAGACACCATGACAACACCAACCACTCTTTCCCCATTGACCTCCGCACAGCTCGATAACGGTGCATCTCGATGCTTGGCCCTCCAACAGTCTGGCCAAGATATACACGGAAAGAGACCATTCGCAGCCATTCTACTAGCCCCAGATAACACGACGCAGCTCATGTCATCGCTGTCGCTGTCACACGTACGCCATGCGGAATGCGAACTCGCCCGCAATGCCGCCGATAACTATTCATGGGAGTATCTCGCCGGGTGTACCATGATATCAACCTGGGAGCCATGCGCCATGTGCGCGGGAACCGTTTACTGGGCGCATATCGGTCGGCTGGTGTACCTGGCCTCGGAGAAAACACTACAAGGCTTGATCGGGGCAGGAAATCCGGAGAATCTCACTTTGGACCTACCTTGTCGCGATATATTTGTGGCCGGGCAGACTAAGGTGGAGGTGATAGGGCCATTGACGCGCGAGGGATGGGAGAGACGCGTTGTTGATGACGCCCGGCGGTACTGGTCGAAGCACGGCCAGTCGTGAGGTATCACATGTCATGCAAGAAATAGCTTGCGGAATTGCTCTGAAGGAATTAAAACTGGAAGATAAATGATGTATGTATAAGGTTTCCAACCAATTAACAAATGATAATCTTCGGAGTAGTCCCGAGAGTGTCTTGTTTGCGGATCTTCATCTGCATGTAATTCTGTGGCCTGATTTCTTCGAGAATTGGAGATTGCAAAGAGCGGTGATTTTGCTTCACGGGGCTCATTACGCCCTGATCTGACGGAAATGAAAGAGGCTAATGCTGAATCGGGAATTAGAAGAAAGGGAAAAAAGGAGACATGGATCTGCTAGAGGATCAAAGCACTCCACTGTGGATAATTAACGGGAGCTTTATCCAAGCGCAACCCACATGGCAGAACCTTGGAGAGCAAAATTGCCAAAGATTTGTCAACCAGGAACGCTTGACCCTTCTAGGGAATTTTGTAGTGATCTCCGAAGAGCGGACAACGCCGCTGAAGTATCTGCACAGCCCCTGCGGAGTTTAGCCACAGATTTTCGATCTACTTACATTTTGGGCCTTCTCTCCTAATGTTGAGGAACGAGAAGAGCCCGACTGGAGTCCCCACCCCAATTTCTATGTGGCTGTGTCAAAGAATCAGAAAATTAAGTTAATGGAGCGCAGGAGTCGCATGCTGATCGCTCGGAGGAGCAGCCGCAGCCGAAATCAATAGTTTGGGCGCAGGGGAGAGACCAAAGAGGGGGGGGAGGGGAGATGCCATTGACGACACTTTCATTGTATTTTTAAGTGGTACGCGGCGTTGATTGAAAGCATCAGAGGAAAGGATATTGGATGGTGCCATGTCATCTCGAGCGACGCAGGATTGACGTCAAGTTGATGCGGAGGATCTCAGATCATCCTGGTTTCAGGACCACAGATTGTCGAAGCTGGCTGCGGCCCACCTGGGACCATGGAACCATGGAGAGAGCGCGTGCGTGCCAAGACTGGAGCTCAAACAGGAGTTTTGCAGATCAGGGAGCTCGATGTGGCTTAAGGCAGAGGAGGCCAGACAGACTAGTGGCGTCTATGACTCGATCGTCATGATCCGGGAGCCTGGAATCTTGACAGCCTTATGGAGGTAGGCTCCTCCACTGAGGGCCATCAATGCCGAATTTTAGTCGGCGCAGGTACTTAGAAGCCAAACACTGGACCATATTGAGAGCGAGACCATTGAATAAGGGCAACAAGAATGAAAACGGAGGATCATGGCAAAAAGTAGATACAAAAGGGACAGTTGGGGGAATCGCAGCCCGCGCCAAAACGAAAGCGTGACGTCACATGTTGCGTCAAGGAAGGAACCCGTGTAGCTCCTTCCTTCTTCCAGTAGGGATCGTTATAGAGTACTACCACTATGTACTAGGCATGTATGTACTATGTACTCCGTACTACTATGTACTATAGCAGTGGTAGTACCTGCCATGCACTACAGCTCATATTTAATCACTCCGTCATCCCTCCCTGCTTTGCTTCTCTCTCCCCTTCTCCCATATTTCCCCTTCATTCTTGTGATACCCCAACCCCCTTGTTTTTTCTTCTTCCAAGGGATCGACTACCACTCCCCCAGAAAATAATCCTTAATTTCTCAACCCCTCTGGTAAGCAATTGATTGTTTGTTAGAGCTGCAAACTACCAACCTTGCAGTCCTGACAGGTCCGAACTCATTTGCTGACCGCGTGCCTAGTAATACTACTTACTACTCTACTGCTTTTTGTCGGTGTTCGATTCTTTTTATCATACGATTGTCACGACTCTTTCCATCATGTCTGTCAATAAACCCACCGACGTGAAGCAAAAGGAGCAGGTATGCAAACCCATGGTGCTGGTTGCGAAAAGAGGTCACTAATAGAGATCGTGCTCCACAGGATATCAACCACAAGCTTCAACTGTTCGGAATCTTCCATGGTAAGTCGACTTCTTTCAAGTCCCATCAATTTCAATCATCGCAGTCGCTCACGGCCACCCTATAGCTTTCAAGAATAGCAAGCTCCCCTCGGTTAGTTTGCCTGGTATCCCACTCTGTCGCCGAATTTCCTACTAAACATTGTTTTACCCCAAATAGAACAAACAGTGCGATGTCGCCCTCAACTCCGCCTTGAACTCCAAGGCTCTCTCTTCCCCACACCAGGACCTCTCCGCCGAAGGCAAAGTTCTTGTAAAGGATCTGCGCAATGTCATCGACCAATCCAAGAAGCTGTTGCTGTCTAAGAACGATGGCGAGTTGCTTCAGGACTTTATCTGGCAAGCGCAGCAAATCACTGCTGGTGGTGCAAAGGCTCCCAATGTCCCTGTGACCAAGGAAGATGGAAAGCAGGATGCTAGCAAGGCTGCCGATGGTCTCAAGACTCTGGGCACGTTGCTTATTACCAATGGAGAGTTTCGCAAGATCTGTGAGTTGGGACACTGCGAGCTGGCTTGAGCTTTTACTAACGATTTTCAGTGAGCGATGCTACCGTATTGATTCGCGATATCGCCGCAGACGCCTCCCAGAAGGCCGCCAACCAAGTTCGTCCATCCGAGGACAAGCTTGCCCAAATCGATGAGCCCGCGGAAGAGAACACCTGGCATGAGAAGCCCAACATCAATAAGGATGATATCAAGGGCAAGTTCAAGAAGAACAAGACTGTAAGCGATGTTGAGCTCAAATACACCCCGGGCAGCTTTAACACGTTTGATAGGACAAGTCTAGCGTCGCGTCTCCATCCATTGCCGAATCTGAAACCGGCACTGCTGGTGATGCTTCCTCTATTACCCCATCTGAGATGAGCCGTCGCAAGAAGCTGGCGGGTCAGACTAAGGAGTATCTGGCCGAGAAAATTCCCAAAGAGCGCCGCGAGCAAGCCATTTGGCGTCTCAAGAAGATGATCATTGAGGTCCAAGGCCACGCCGACTGTAAGAATTCCCAAATGAAAGAAACCTGTCTACCGTATGCAAGTGCTTACCTATGATACAGACCAGCAAGCCGTCGAGACACTGTTGACCATGGCCGAAAAGTACGCCGGCCACACCAAGACCGCTACTGGCGAGAGCGGTACCGCCGTCCGCGATGTACGTGCCACCGACAGCGTCAAGGCCGCGGAGCACAACCTCCGTACGTTGATTGAGCGTTTCGCCAACAACACTTCGCTCGCCGACTTCTTCGACTCACTCAACAACATTTACCGCGATGCTGATAAGGATCCTGAGCTTCGCGGTTGGTTCTCAAACATCGATACTTATATTCGTAAGTGTCTGCGTGAGCAGGGCTTCATCATGGATGAAGAGAGCAACCGTGAGTGGAATGTGCTGTACGACAAGGGCCGCTACCTTCTTCGCGAGCGCTACCGCGCCCACACCGATCGTATCGTCGACGAGATTAAGTTCCTTGCCGAGCAATTCGATAAGGATCCCCAGAACCAAGCTCTCGCCCAGTCCATCCAGAAGCTTTTCAAGGATCTTGGTCGTGACACCGAGGGCAAGGTTGTTTTCAAGAAGCACTTGCTCAAGGATATTCGTGATGTCATTCTTCCCGGCATCGTTGAAAATGTCCGCTACATCCCCATCCCTCGTATCGAGGTCTCTGACCCAATGGTCGATGTTGTTGTCGAGAACCTTGTCATTGAGAGCGACAACCTCATGCCCAATGTCCTCGAGTTTGGTAGCGACAACTACTTCCGTTGGGGCCGCAAAAAGGTTACCAACAAGCGGAACAACAAGATCATGATCGCTGCATCCGGTATCCAGGCCGATCTGCGTGATGTCAGCTACCACATCAAGAAGAAGCAAGGCTTCCCCTCGATCACCGATACCGGTGTGATGGACATCATCTTGGGTGGCGAGGGTCTGAGCTTCAAGATTGCGGCATCTACTGCTGACAAGAATGACAAACAGAACTTTGTCAAGCTTGACAAGGTTTCCGTGAGCATCAAGAACATGGATATCAAGTTGAAGAAATCGAACCACAAGGCCCTGTTTGCTACCTTCAAGCCTATGCTCTTCCGCGTTGTTCGCCCCGCTCTGCAGAAGGTTGTCGAGGCACAAATCCGCAAGGCATTTATTGATGGTGATGCTTTTGCCAAGGAGATCCACGGAGAGGCCAAGAAGGCCCAGGAGGCTGCGCGCGAAGACCCTGAGAATGCCCCCAGCATCTTCTCCCGCTATGCCGATGCCATTCGGGCACGCACTCAGGCCAAGGCTAAGCAGGCCGAGGGAGCTGTCAAGCGCGATACCAAGGTTCAAACCGTCATGACCCTGAACGACTCCATCTTCCCTGATGTCAAATTGCCCGGTGGTATCTCAAACAAAGCTACTGAGTATGCCGAGCTTGCTGCCAAGGGAGACCGTTGGGAGTCACCCATTTTCAGCATCGGTGCGGCTTCCGAGTCAAGCGACATCCCATCCCAGGGCCCAGTCACTCGCAAGACACACACGACCGCGGATGGTGTTGCCTCTGCAGGTGCTGGTGGTGGTGGTGCTGCCGGTACTGCTGCTGCTGCGGGTGTCTCCGGCGCTGCTACCAATGCTACCAACGGTACCAAGGTGGACAGCTACCCATCCCGCGGATTCTCTGATGAGGTTGATCAGGCTTTCGTCAATGGAAAGACCTCTCACCTCAGCGATGGCGTTAAGGCCGCCACTAACGGTGCCACCAACGGTACCGCTACCAACGGTGCTACCCATGTCACTAATGGATCGACTCCAGTCGTTTAAATATAGCAACGCCATGAAAGTATAGCGTGTGAAGATACATTTGTCGTTGCATTCGCATATACGACATGTGCCACTGTTGGTATAACCTTCGTTTTAACCATTTCATTCTGACGGTATCTACTTGCTTTGACTTTTGTTTTTGGATTTTGTGGTTTATGATTTCCCCCTCTGCAGTTTGTCTTTGTACGAGTATGATTTTATACAGTCGGTAGTCTAATAAATAATGCAACTTACTGTCCTGCGATTCACTATCACTTGACCTACATCATAGCCAGTATTAACTAGATCTTGGTAGAAAACGTAGAATTTCATAGCTCTTCTATAAAGTTGTTTCAACCAGGTGGGCCAAGCTTCGGGAAAGCTTCGGTTCCATGGTTGAGTCTTGCGGGGAAGCGCGATCATGCCCCAGTAACAATTATCGGTTAATGAATCCATTTTTGTCCTCGTATGTACTCCGTAAATGCTCATGAAAAGATTTACGCTCTGACTTAACACAACATGCAAAACTATGTACTGTGTTGTGCTTGCTGCTGAAGAAAAAGAGGGGTGATTAGAGATTGAACTGCATGCTAGTCCTGTTTAGGAACCAACTACCCACCCCGTTTCCAGCTGAGCCGACTCCCCTCAAAGCTGTGCACATCAAGAACATAATGACAATACGGACTATCACCCACTTCAATACTTCGTGCCATGAGCCCAGATGAACAGAATGCTCGCCTCCTGGATTGGCTGCAAGGGTCAGAGCATCATGCAGCTTCCAACTCGGCCCGTTCAAGTCGAAACAGATTCTCGATGACAGAGGAGCAAAGCCCGGAGCCTAGCATAGCAAGCGACGCTGCAAACTCCTTGGAAGATGTGCTACGCAACGATCCATGGACTCATCATGAGATTCCAGGGACGATCCACCTACCGGATTCTCATGCCTCGTCTTCTACTGTCAGTGATAACCTTCCCACTCTGAACGTATCGAACGATTCTTTGGAGGCCATTTTGCACTCTAATGGACCGGCGATACCGTCCATGGTTCCGCTTTCAGAGTCAATTTTATCTCCCGCAGATCCCCCAATAGCAGAGGAAGTATCCGTTGGAGCAGGAAGGCCTCGTACTCGGAAGAAGAAACGAACAACCCGGTTTACTTACGACAAAATCATCAAAAATGCGGGGAGAGTTCTGGACCATATCAAGCATGGGAATGTTGGCAAGGACTCACGTCACAATCGAGCCTCGGTTATCTACTACGATTATACCGATAGTTCCAGATCCAGTGCGGTACATATCAATTCTTCCGAGCGCATACCAGATCTGGGATACCCACCGCCTGATGTTCGTCTCAGACTTCTTGTTGTGGAGGATTTATCTACATCGACAATGAATGCACTCGGGGAGACATTTAGCATCAACCCTGAATTCTTCGAAGAACACTTGCTGAATTCGGGATATGCGGACGCAAATTATGACATGATGCCTTCTCGGTCGTGGGCGACGGCTTCCTTGGAGAAGTCGTACTTCTCAATAAGGTGGATCAGGCCAGTCTATCGGCAGCCCATGTATTCTTCAAGTCGCAGCATGAAGGATCTTGTGAAAGCCAGTACTCGTACGACGAAAAAGGTCGATCCTGCCAATGAAACAGGTGATGAAGAGGAGCTGGATCAGGGCAATCAAATTGGGATGGAACATTTTACTCCCTATGGAGTCGTCACCACGACTGTTTCCACAAACATTTTTCGGTCGGATTGGCCTTTGTGGACGGACCCAGGAAAGACGGCTAATATGAAAAGAGAGTGTGGGTTGGAAGAAAGGCTGACAATCTGGAAGGGGAACTTAACGGGTCGTGACTGTGATATCAGTAAGTTGCCAAGCTGAACCGGAAAAGATGTTTCTAAACCAAGAGCTGACCGGTCATCTAGTTATCATTCTCTCGGATCCCTTACCACAGGTAAAGGAGGATCACCCAGCGCCCGAGACCGAAGATTATGATACAGATGTCTCTGAGGCAGATACTGACCTTGCCGAAAAGGGTCTTTCCCATATGTTTTATGAAAGGCCGCCCCGCATTGTTGGGGGTACTGTTTTGTCTATGCCTTGGGACAACCTTTGGCTCCACCAAAAGGGCTTGTTTCTTACTAGAAGACGACCCAGGAGACCCGTTCGTACCGAGAATGAATCTGACGCTGGGGAGCGCGCGGAGGATACATTCCTTAGACAAAAGCGCGACACTGCGAAGCGCAACTCTGGCTTTCGCAAGGGCCTCACCGATCCATCTTCCCACAAGGTCATCATCAGGCAGATTGTACCTCGAGATAAGGTCTCAATGGATTTAAATCAAGTTTTCCGATCAAAATCAACAGCAAAGCTTCTGGGACACAATCTCAGTTCTCCAAAGTCGACTTCAGGCGCAATTTGCAGTGGGCTGGAGAAAAATACAGAGCAACTCAATTTAGCTAAACCGCTATTCCAAATTATCAAACAAGATACTTTATCACTTCTCAAGCAGCTAAGTCATGTTTTTGATGAAGTGGAAACAGGGATTCTTGATGATGCCATAATGGAGGATCGATTATCTTCATGGCGTCGGGTCATTGGTCGGGCCCAACGAGAATTGCCTGATCTTAGGGCCTCCATGAAGCCGTTCTTTGATTTTATTGCTCTATTAGAGCCTCCAGGCACCAGTATCACTGAGGGTAGCATGACCAACGAGCCAGAAGAGTCTGAAGACTTTCGAGAATTCTTGAAGGAAATCAATCAAGCATCTGAGCGACTCCATCGAACATCGGCTCTTCTTACATCTAATATGGGATTGTTGGATAGCCGGCGCTCCATTGACGAGGCAAGAGCTGTGAGCAGGTTGACAGAGCTTGCTTTCATCTTCATTCCACTCTCATTTGCTACATCTGTTTTCGGCATGCAGGTCGAACCATTTGCCGATAACGTACCTCTTCGTTCATTTTTTATCGTTGCTGTCGTCGTGACAGCTTTTGCATACTTGATGCGAATCACAATGCGTAGCCGATGGCTCGCCTATATGAAAATCGTCACGAGGAGTGAGATCCAAAAATACGCCGACAGTCATGGTCTTCCCACTCCAACACGGTCAATCCCCATTCTCCTCTCTATACAATGGATAGGAAGTCGACCTCGCCCGGCTGCTAAAATACTTCGACGATGGATTTTCAGAACAGCAAGGAAGGTTTGGACAATCTTCGGCTTCATCGTTCTGTTTGTTCTGTTGAATGGGGCAGTATTGGCAACACCACTCGCTCTTGTCTGGACACGAGATCTCGACTCTAGCACACAAGGCGCCGTCACTATTGCAGTAACCTTTATTGTAGTAGGTTGCGTCGGAGTTCCGTTCTGGCACCGTTCTGATTCAGAATTCCGATCCGCATTCCCAAGGTGGATCATCGCTACTTTCAATTTTCCATCCTGGGCGAAGAATATATGCATCTTGTTCATTTCCAGTGTTTTTCTTTTGAGCGTCACCTTAGTACCCATCTGGACCAGTCCTCTTGCCTCTGGTATCAAGGTTGGAGTGACGATTATGATGCTCGTGTTAGAGATTTTAGCTATCGCTTTCGGGCTGTACACTAGCGCAGCTTCTTAGAGTCCAATAATACCAACTTTCACGGTTCTGACTGGAAGGAAGTGTGGCTCAGGCTAGTAGGTGTCCCTTCTCTCGTTTGAGTGTCGCGGGAGGGAGTTTAGACGACTACCTAGCTGACTAGTACATGGGTACATTCGGTAGTTGTATGTACTAGTACTGGTAGGTCATATTTGGGGGCTAAATACAAGGTCTTGACCGTATAGATATCGTAAACGTATTTTCAACTAGTGCTGCGATGCACGTGATACTAGTGTATATTCTCTCCCACCTGGGCAAGTCACTTGATGAGGGGCTCTCTTTCTCACAGTGTGCGAGTACATGACTCTGCTACTAGTATTGAGATACTTCACAAGCCCATCCACATAATTTTTCCTCACTACTACTAATCGACCCCTGAAGCCTACCCCGCGTTCGAGCCACGCCGTAATGGGATTTGCGGAATGGACGTAAGAGTTTTGATGCCAAGGAATGCGATAATCGATACTGACCGAAATTGGTCCGAAATAGAAGGTTCATTCCGTTGATAGGCTATCATCACGTCTTGATGATTTTCTTGTTGTTCCCAATAACCATGCTTTGTGAGATTTTCCCAATATACTACTTGCCCAGGTGGGTAAGAGCCCATATATCCTTCCGGTCATTTGATTAATATTATGATCACTATGTTCAACCCAGCTGTTTTACTGTCCGGGTGCACGTCAAACGGAATGAGCAACATATATCTGCTTTCTTTGCAGTACAACGAAATAGGATCTCCGATATTGACTGCCCCTGGTCAAGTGAGCTCAACTATTGCAAACGCTGTCTTTAATGTCTCACAGGCGGGGAATGGGACTACTCTAGTGGAAGTTCGTGCAGGCTACATGGGACTGTGTGTTGGCAAATTAGGCCTTGGCCTCGACGAGACTCGCGTCTGCTCAAGTAGTGCCAAAGCATTGGCGGCTTTTGTCCAAGCGGAGAAAAAGACAATCAATCATGGGAATATGAGCATTACCATCACACCGGATCCGCTCAATTTGATCATGGTTGCGGAGGAGTTTAGACAGAAAATCGTGTTTGACGGGTTTTTGTGAGTTTAGCTTCACTTTTACCTATGCGCTACAGTATATTGATAGGCCTGATCTTGAACAGATATGTGGTTATCGTGGCCTGCGTTATAGCGTTTATCCTCATGTCAACATTTCCGGGGTGGCATGAAGAGAGCGGTGGAAGTGGTTCTGACATCGAGGTCAAGCCATTTCCTTCTCGCCAGGTATTACGGGGCGTTTTAATCGTGCTGGTGATTGGGTTCGGCCTTGGGATTATCTCTATACTATGGCAGCATATCAATAGTAGCTCTACCGCGTCTGTGGCCGAAATCCTCAGTTATGGTGCAGTTTCAGGCCATGTTGGAGCCGGTTCAATGGCACTTGGCTGGATTTCAGTGGCCATCATTGGGCTAGTCGGCACTGCGATATTAACCATGATTTTGAGTATCTCTATGCTTCGAAAGTTAACAGACGACTCGGAGTAGGTGGGAGGCATCAGATTCAAGTTGAGTCATGCAGAGGTTGATTGATAAATATTGTCATTGTGTTCCCGACGGTGCCTACCCAATATTTTATCCCTTTTGAACCAGGATATTCGTGTGATATGTGGCAGCTCATTATTCGTATATAGACAAAGAGAACAGAGGGCGAAAGGAGAACCCCCCCGAATATTAGTCGAATATGTGAACTGCAAGGCCACCCTGTGTTTCAGGTAGATGATATGAAATGTCCCAGCCAAAAATCATAGAGCATGTATCAGACCCAAAATGCGGCGACTGAGGATAAAGACTCTTTTGTCGCTAGAATTTCTTGATAACCGAGCGGGCATGAAGACAACTGTTGACGAACTGACACAAATTAGAGCTTGAGGCTTCGGCCAAGTAAAAGCGTATAAATTTGGAAATAACTTGAACGCCATCCGGATGAGCCGAATCCTGCATTTAGTTAATTGACACTAAGTGAGTTTGGCCTGGCTCATCCGGTTCTTCTCCCACTTTGGATGGCCGGATTTTTATAATGCAATATCGCCGACACGGCGACTCATTCGCTCAGTAGCCCTCAGTAGCCGGCCACTCATCAATCTCGCATAAAGGAAATTAGCTTAGACCCTGTCAGCCAATACGAGCTGGGAGTAGCTAAGTCTGGGCCTACTGGGGCCAAGAACACGAATGCCAGTGGGGGTACGGAGTAACCCAGCCTGAGATGAGCTCTGGAGTGCTACTAGTAGTGAGCATACTACGTAGCAGTCTGTGCCGTCCCGGAAATGGCTCATCCTCTAGCTCCAATTTGGGCTTGGACCAGAGCTGTAGTACATATATTGCGGCAGGTGGACGAGAAACAGGCTCAAAAGCTAGAATGGGGATGGTCGCCTTAATAAGGGTTCTCCTTTGGTCTACGGAGTATGTATACGAATGATACCAGATGCCCAGGTGATAGGTACTTACAAATTAGGTTTTGATGAAAATACAGTTCGTACAAACACTAATGAAGCCAGAGGGAATTATGTACGGAGTACTCCGTAGCAAGGAAATCATCACTTGAAGCTGAGCCGAGCTATTGGCGGAAAATCTGACCCTTACCAATCTGCGGAGCCATAGCCAGTATATTCAGCCCGCACTGGCATTATAGAGTTCTTTGGACCATCCTAGAGCCATTTACCCACTACGTGAACCTCATCCACCCTGTGCAGAATGGTGCATGGCGTGATCCCGACAGACCGAATACACACAACTCGTTGCATTAATTTTTTTTTTATCCTGCGGTGACATGTGAAATGGGTCTTTGATAGAAAGACAACAAAGACGTTGCCATAAGCCTCGGGCCAGGCAAGGTGCAAATTGAGATCGAGATCCATCGGATGAGACGGCTAGCTCAGAGATATCGGGGTGATTCCCGTTCTGGGTCGGGATGAACTTTCTCAGCCGTGCTGACCCAATTCAGTGATCAACATCCTAACACTCCGTTTTCAGCGCAAGAATTTTCCAGAATTTGCGCACAGGGCTAAGTATATTTCGAACTATTTGGTTCAACTGGATATCTATCGGTGCTTTACTCCGTAGTGAGGACAATACAGATACTAGTATATTTTTTTTTAAAAAATTTTTCATGTTGCCCGATCCGTGGCAATCTCCACTTGAGCTAGAATATAGCCATACACATACACACATAAACTTCAAATTTGTACTATGCTGTGTGTAAATGGGTACGCAAACTTGGAATATTAGTTATCATCCAAAACAAGAAAAAGGGTAGAATTTCCAGGAACCAGAACGAACTGTGGACAGACAGGGTCGACCTCAACCCAAAGGGACAACAAAGGAATTCCGTGGGTGAAGGCAAGGGAAGTGGAGCGGTTCCAAGGTTAAGATCAGATCCGGGAAGCGGAAGAGCTGGGATCGAGCGATCGAATAAATTAAATTGGCAAGCTGATGGCGGTCATGGCACCAAACTCTATCGAGGAAATCTTTCTTATCCTTGGATGGCTTGTCGAAGACTATCGGGGGAGTATTGTCTAGCGGATCCTAGGGAGATTAGGATGGTCTATTTAGTCTACAGACAGGACGATCTTAGCACACTAGCGTACCCGGGGAATTTCCGGAGGAGCCACCGGGGGGAATTTGTGTGTGCCTGGGGAAAACAGGGTCAAATCGAATCTTCCATGCAGCCTAAGGGGGGGCCATGTGGTTCGAAAAACGTGAACGTTAGAAGAAACGGGCTGGTGATTTGCATGAGACGTTGGGTTTGGACACTATTGGAAATTTGGTATTTATTGTTATCACAAGCCGTATTAGTTAGTACTTGAGATGAAGCAGGGTGGCCCACGAGGCTTTTGCGTCTATTGAGATCATGATGTTCTCTCAAGTGCCGGTGGCGCCCTAAAATTGAGGTGGCGGTTTCGTCCGCTTGGCTTCTCTTTTTCTCACGGGGTCTATTCAGTGGCTATGGGAGGAGCCTACCTAGTACAACTAAGTTCATTGGAAGTCGGTGTGTGTACGGAGTTGCCCCTGGCCTCCAGTGGAGACAGGGACCAAAGGGGTTGTGAGAGCAAGTGGAGGAGCCCAAGCCCTTCAGCCCCCAAATCTCACAGACAAATCAGGGTGGTGTGTGTCCAATGTCATCATTTCTGCTCGACCTATGACGATTTTTTATTTGTTTTCTTCCACTATTTTTTTTTGAATGACCCCTGGCGGGTAGGCCTAACCCAGGAGTGGGTCGATCGACACTGTCGAATACCACACGTTGGTTGGTCTACTTGACGCCACATCTCTCGTACCTTTTTTTCTAACTTCGCGCCTCTCGGCACTTTTCTCAGGCGGGCGATGCAGAGACGATCCCCGACCCGCCCCGGCCTACTCTTTTCTCTTCTTCCGAAACACTCGACAACAAGAGGTATACATATCAACTTGATGCACCAACCCCCGAAGACAATAGGTTGGGGTGTGCTGTATGCTGAGACACGTCAAATCCGTCAAAGACATCATACTAGCGGTGATCGCCCAAATCACTGTCTCAAATTTGTGTTGTTTACTTTCCATGGTGCCGGATGAGCGGAGTTCCCGTCCTAGACACCCAAGCTCTTGATCGACGGCATTATTGATGGGTCCCCGGAGGTATTCGGTCCCAGCGGGCCCATATAAGCTCATACTTAGCCAGCCACAACACGCGATCCCGTATAATGATGAACCTTTGGCTCCATCGCCCCTCAAGCTACACATGCTGATCCCAATCTAGTCATTTCGAAGATGTGTATTCGCTCTTATCGACTGGCGGAATTCCGATGATCTCCGGTTCGATATTCCAAACGCAGACAAGGAGAGATACACTCAACGCATTCACTAGTCGATGCATTTTGATTGTAGGGGTTGCCGGCGCTTGGAACGTTCCAGTATATCTCAAATCCGTCCGTGCAACAAACTATGATGTACATGAGTTGCTGCACTGTCGACGTTGTGATATGTGCTTTTGCTTCGAAACCTGATATGTCCATACATGACATCGGCACGAGCACCATGTTCATATCATACAGGGACATCAATCCGGCGAGGCAACAATGGACCCAGCTTCATTTCCCATGTCTTCCAGACCCTGACGGAATATCCACAGGGGGCCTTCTGATCAGGGTTTCTTGGAGTCCCGATTTTCTGGATTAGGTTTGACACGCTGGAGACTGGTCCACCATGGTCCATTTGTCAATAATCACCTCCACAGAGGATGGAGTACTCCGTAGTCTATGGACATGGGCGAACAAGGTTCCCACTGCGGCCTTTCCGGGTCATCTGGGCTGATTGCAAGAGACCCGCTGCTTCGAAAATTGAGATTTGCTTAGAGCATGTCCAGCGACGGAAGATCCTGAGGCGAAAACCTGATCGTATAAGAGTCATTGTGCCGCATTGAGTTTCTCTTTTCTTTCCTCATCCCTCACAGTCATTCATTCAGTCAATCCGACTCCAGTCACTCTTTAAGACTTCTTTTTTACTCGCAACTATGAAGGCCTCTTTCGTCACCCTCTTGGCCCTGGCCTCCGCTGCCATCGCCGCCCCTACCCCCGCCGGTCTCTCTGACCTGACCTCCGGTCTCTCTGGTCTGACTGACCTCACCAAGCTTGCTGGTCTTGACGGAATCACCAAGAACCTCAAGCTCGGTGACATCACCAAGGAGCTGAGCCTCAACAAGCTCCCCGTTGTCTCCAAGCTCGGTGACCTTACCAAGATCCTGAACCTGCCCACTCCCTCCAACGCCGACCAGTCCGTTGGTGAGTCTGGTCACCTCGTCCAGGACCTTGGCCCCGAGCTCAACAACGTCCTGACCGTCACCGGTCCTAACCTGCAGACCCTGCTCATCCAGCTGAGCCCTGAGGTCACCACTCTCGTCTCCGGCCTGGGTCTCCCTGGCCTCGGTGTTCCCCTTGGTGGCATTGTTGCCTCCGCCTCCGGTCTTGGTGACCTTGTCACTGGCCTTGGTCCCCAGGTTGACGGTCTCGTCACCGTTCTCGGTGCTGATGTCGGTGCTCTGCTCATTGGTCTGTCCCCTGAGGTCGCTGGCCTCGTCTCTGGTCTTGGTCTCCCCACCGTCGGTGTCCCCGTCGGCACTGTCGTCGCTGTCCTCGGCAAGAACGTCAAGCGTGATCTCCCCACTGGCAAGATCGTTGGTGACCTCGCTCCCCAGGTCAAGAGCATCCTGACTGTCACCGGTGGCAACGCCAAGCAGCTCCTTGTTGAGCTCTCCGCTCCCGTCACTGCTCTCCTCACTGGTCTCGGTCTCCCCACCGTCGGTGTCCCCGCTGGCAAGATCGTTAAGACTGCCTCCTCCGTCGGTGACCTCGTCAAGGATATCTCCGGCCCCACTGAGGACCTCCTCACCGTTACCCAGAAGGATGGCTCTGCTCTCCTCATCAAGCTCTCCCCTGAGGTCGCTGCTCTCGTCACCGGTCTTGGCCTGCCCTCCGTCGGTGTCCCCGTCGGCAGCATCGTCAGCACCGTTGGCA